GAACAGTAGTCAAAAAGATAAAATAAAGTGTATTTCGATTTTTTTTTTCAAAGAGTGTGCTCTCTTTTTATATTGCAACAGTTTCTGTCTACTTTATGTTGCAATATTATATGAATGACGATTCCCAACAGCAATGAAGATCCTTGACAAGGATGGAGAAATGTAGGGAATGTCGAAAGAAGATTCAAGCTATCATTAAAAAAGAATTTTTTTGTTTTGATTACGGCGCAATGAAGGTCACATTAATATACTATCCTCTCTCAACGACTGTAAGTGAACACTGGACGGTATTTAAACCCCCGTATGGGTAACAGTGTCCCTGTCAATGGGCCCTGTTATGATTCTTTTACTATCGGGTACACAAAGACTTTCTGCACCACCAATTGGTAATACCAGGTTACAAAAAAGTACAAACTGTCTGAATTACCAATTAGCATCCTTAGTTTTTAAGAAGACATAAAACGAAATAGACAATATCGTATATTTTGTATTTGTGCAGCCAATTGACTGGTAGAGAGATCCCTGAGTGTGTGAGTGTATATTGGAAAGAGGAAAGAGATATGTGTAAGAGCTTATCTGAAATATACTAACAGATTATATATATAATCCTAGAGTGACTTTTGGTATATGGATTTATCACGCGGCGTGTTATCTTAAGGATGTAATTGTCCAAGAAGAAGAGAGATCAACGAGAGAGATTTGTAGTGGACAAACAGAAAATGCGAGAGTGAGAGAGAGAGCGAGAGAGAAAGAGAGAGAGAGAGAGCGAGAGAGAAAGAGAGAGAGAGAGAGAGAGAGAGAGAGAGAGAAAGATAATTAAGGAAAGTAAGATGTTAATTGATCCATAAATATCCAGTGGATCGAATTATTTTAAAAGCACATTAAAACACATCTTGTTGCTTATAGCTCGGATCGGATTTAAGCAAAATATATCGATCCTTGCTCAGAATTATTTAACCAATTGATTGAGAAGTGTATGGTATAAGCTATATACATATATACTTTTGGAATTTACTTTATATACTAATATATTAATATGAGATATTGAAAGGCTTCATTATCTGCATGCACAAAGATATAAGGCAAAGAGTATAAGTTATTAGTTAGCTATAGAGTATAATGTCAAAGTCATTGGACTTCCATTTTTGGTTAATTAATTTCGACTTTTATATGATTGTGTACTTGTTTTAGACGGGAAGCATACTTACTTAGGAAGATAGCTTCGCCTTTTTTTTATTATAAAGCTGTTACTCAACGCATGTCCATCGCAAAAGCATTGCTGTTTATGTATATAGAATTCATAACTTCACTATGGATATGAAAGCTGTGCGCTTAGATTGCTTTTTTAGAGAGAGCTCATTAGCTTCAAATATTGTTTATAAAGAGTGAGCAACCTTATAGTTTTGCGCTTGTCTTAAGAATACACTGACCTTCACACTCAATATTCCTAAGCCATTCCTTATTGCACCGCCTATCCCCTGCCCCCTTTTCACGTACCTTAACTACACATACACACACACGCAATTCTCGACTATACACATCTTAACTACACACACACACACACGCAAACCTCAACTACACACATCTTAACTACACATATATCTCTTATAATACTTTTTTAAACCTATATAAATAAATAATATGCTTGTGATTAAGGCAAGTACATATATAAATCATTACAGCTTCTATTTGTTTTGTCTATTTAAATATAGTAAAATAAATAAGGTAAGTGAGTAGGTGGAGACCGAGTCGAATTAATTAAAGTGAAAGGCTGAAGAAGAATAAGAGTGTAGTGTAACAGCGATTTTGTTTTAAAAATATTGAGAAGGTTTTGATAGTAGAGGATTTGTGTTGTGTAAAGAGTGCAGAATAGTGAGATTGACGGAGGCAGTGTGTAGTAAATGATTTTTTTTATATGAGATGGGTTTGAGAATTAGGGTTTGTAACAATTTTATTATTATTATAGACTTGAAGATTATTGTGTGCGCCTATGAAGAGAGATTACTATGGTAGGACTTTGCGATGGGTGATTTCTGTTTGGTCTAGAACCAGTTATTTAAAGATATAGTAAAAGTCGGAAGCTTTGGAGAATATGTATGATGGGATGAGATCATTGTCACTGAAGACAGTCTTGGAAGTATAAGCATACAAGTGTTATGTGCGTGCAAAAGTTTAAAGGTAGTTCTGAGAACAGTGGTATATAGCACTTTTGATAGCGTTGTGCAGCTGGTATTGCTAGGCATAATAAAAAAAAAGAATATTGTAGTTATTGGTGTCGGTTTTTAAAGCGTTGAGAAGTTTATAGGGACACGAAAGTATGACTGAGGGCCTATTTCTTGTTCGACTCGTATATACTATGGACAGCCGTCTAAAAGATAAAACAAAGAGTATTTCTGATTTTGTATTGCGTCGATTTCTGTCCATTTTAAGTTGCAATATCATATGGACAAAGATTCTCGAACGGAATGGAGGGATGGGAGAATTTGGAGAGAGGATTCAAGTAATTGTTAAAAAGGATTTATTTTTTTCTGTTTTGGTTACGGTGCAGTAAAGGCTATTTTAATAGGGGGTTTCAACAGTTTTTAAGCTTTTAAATTTAAGCTTTGAGTTTTAAAGAAGTAACCAATAATATGTAAGAGTTTGTGTTTTAGAGTACCCTAAATGCTTATTTCAATTCTACTAGGCATGATGATAGTATGGTATAAGCTTAAAATAATAATCAAAGGTGCAAAGATGTTTGCATCAAGGCTTTATTAAATTGCAAAAAAAAACTGAGCAAAAATGTATTTAATTTAAAACTCTCGAAGATTTTCTTTCAAGAGTTTTAATCTTTTTTTTGATGGTTATAGATTAATTTCAACCAATTATATTTTGAAATTTAAACTCAAAGATTAAGTTTGAAAGCTTAAAGGACTGTTGAAACCCCCTAATATACCCTTTCCAAATATGTATATATAAAAGTTTATTGCTTCTTGGTCTTTTTGTTGGCTTCGTTTTGTGCCATTTCTTCTGGTTTCCGTTTTTGTGTTTTTGCAATGATTGGTGCAGTTGTTTGAAAGGTTTTTATATTTGTTGGGCAATATTCTTGTGGTGCAGATAATGCAGACTTCAACCATGGTGCATTAACAGGCTGGATTCCTTGTAATATTAAGCGAAGGGACTCTTCTTTATCTTGTTTAATCTAAAGAAGACGAAGAAAAATATAATATAATATAATTCGTTAATTCATTAATCAATCTATAGAGCGATACATTTAATAATATTTACCTCTACTGCAATCGCACATGCTCTACGAATACCAAGTGCAAGCGCTACCCTGGGTTCAGAACAAGGTGGCAAAGATACAATCTTGATGTTTGCAAGCGCGCACATGGATAACAGGTGAGCACACAAATGTGGGGGGTTAGCGTCTCTCTTGCAGACAAAAACAGCAGTATATGCATTTGTATCTGTATTTGTAGGTGTGGCTGATGGCTGTCCCGCACATTTGTCTTTGATCAATTTTTCGAGAAGTCGTGTAACTTGATTAACACCAACGTGAACACGATTCAGGATGTCAGGCTCAGCAGGTGGCTTCAAATCATCAGTTTTAGGTTCAACCTTTTGGGACTTTTTTTGCTTGATCAAGTGTACAGCCTTTCGGTAATGTCCAATGGGTTCAAGTGATCTAATGATCATTCAGTTTCCTTAATCACCAATAATAGTAATAACTGTATTTATTTTTATATTTTCTTTTTCTTGCTTTATTTTTATTTATTTTTCGTGGGTTTATATTTGACTTACAATAAAAGTAGCTCGGTAATCTTGTTTCCGAGATCATTATTAACAGCTGGCCTGAGAGCAAATGAGATTTCTTGGGTGGTAGAGATTAAGACGTATTCCGTCTTACCATTTGAGAATAAAAGGTGAATCCAAGACGCTCTTGTAAACTGTTCTTCTATCGTTTTGCGCTTTCTTGATAGAGTTTCCACTGAATACTTTAGCACTGGACATTGCTAAGATGCATATATATATGTGTGTATAAATATAGATATAAAGAAATAATTTAATGACCTTCTTAGAAATTAATCGTAATATAATATAAAATAAATAAATATAAAAAAGCATTAAAACTCTCCAAAAATGCTAATTTTGGCGTGACTGCCGAGAATTGAATATATGCTGTATTGCATAAAGCACTCATCACACAATCAGCATCATATAAATAACATACATATATGATAAGTAATCACAGTATAAATGAGACAGTTAGATAGATATATGGAGGTATATATTATAGAATATAAAATAGTGCGAATTATTATGAAAAAATACAACAAATTGTTCTGTAAGAGAAAATATATAAATATAAATAATAAGAATAATAATAAGAGAGATAAGAAAGACAGTAAGAGGAAAATGAATAAAGAAAACAGAAACAGAAAAAAGAGTGTGCTTTGTAATGTGTTATAAAAATCTGTACATTGTCAAGGGTTACAATACAATACAGAGCTTTTTGTGTAGACGCATGATTCCCCCAGACATTGCTGCCTTTGTCGCAGCTGTGATTACCTCATCCACAAACTGGTTTCGCTTGGCACTACACTCATAGTACTTTGCTCCAATATCCTTAGCCAGCTTATCACCCTAGTGAATCAACGGATAGTATATACATTAAAACACTTCCAAAGTATACGCCTTTACTTCATTTCCTTTTTTGCGTGTCTTCCTTCCTTCATTCCTTCTTTCTTTCTTTATGCTTTTTTCCATTTTAGACTTACTTCCTCACTGGTGATCAAGTGATGGCCAAGTGCATTCAGTTGGCCAATTCGATTCCGATCATCACGTAAATCTATCTTTGTTCCCACCAACAACTTTGGTACATTCTCGCAAAAATGGGTTACTTCTGGAAGCCACTGTAATATATATATATAAAGCAAGCAAGCAAATAAATAAATTAATAAATGAATGCATGTACAGATACATGCATATATACATACACATTGTATATTATATATTGTATATTGCATATTGTATATTATGTGTCTGTGTATTATATTTGTACACCCTCAACAGAAACTAGACAATGAACTCTATATTCACTCACTCACCCTATCTTGGACATTTGCAAATGAGGTCGGCAAATCAATGGCAAAGCAGATCAGAACAACGTCTGTTTCTGGGTAGGACAATGGTCGCAATCGATCATAGTCTTCCTGACCAGCTGTATCCCACAGGGCAAGCTCAACGTGTTTACCATTCTCTAGCTGGACGTTTGCGATATAATTTTCAAATACTGTTGGCACATAACGCTAAAAACAATAACAATATAAAAGCATACATACAAGCATATATATATGTGTGTGTGTGAGAGGGAGAGAAAGAGAGTGAGTATGTAAGAACAATGGTTTATATTTTTTCCTTTTTTTCTTGGTTTTTGGTTTTACAGATCTGGGAATAGATAGCCACCCGGATATATATATATATATATAATATTCCAACAAAGTGTGCCCATTATCAACCACAAAGATAATAATCCGTATTCCATATAAGGATAATACAAGAGGCCCCCGAGTGTTCCTGTGATTATAATCTGATATATATAGATATTTACCTCTGGAAAGGCACCGTTTTGATACACAACCAACAAACTTGTCTTTCCACATCCACCATCACCAACCACAACAAGCTTTTTCCGGGCGATCTAGAGAAGCAAAAGCCCAGTTACTAGTTTGTTTTTTTATACAAAGACGAATGCGCAGCCCTGTTTCTTTTTTTTTACCCTAGTCATGATATTATTTGTTTAAAGGTATAGATACAGGTTTCGAGCAAGAGGTTCGACGATTAATGTAGTGTGGTATAGTGTATAATATATAGTGTGTGTTTTCTTCTGACCGAGGTTGAAAAGAAAGAAAGTGAAAGTGAAAGTGAAAGAGAAAGGGGAAAGAAAAGAAGGTAACCAAGGGAATAAAAAAAGCGAGTGAGCAAAAGAGGAGAAGACCAGCTGGGATGAACAGCAGTCCAAGTATAATAGAGGACAATAGTGCCACAACCCATAAATGGTAACGAAGAAAGTTTGCGGAATAATAAGAAAAAAAAGAAAAATAGAAGAAAACCATGGTGATGACAATATTTTTATTTTTAACAATAGGGTTTCCTTGGTAACTGATTTTCCAATGAATTTGTACACCTGTAATCTTCATTATTATTTGTTTGTTCGTTTGTTTATTTGTTTATTTTTAATTATATTCCTTCATTTCAACCTTGATTTTATTTTATATTTTTAAGCACTGAAAATCTCTATTCTTAATTTGCTACTGGATATCGTCATATTTAATTTATATATATAATATATTAATATCCTCGTTACTAATTGTGAATTTTATTATATAAAAGAGAAAAAATAAAGATGAAGAAGAGATAGCGCTTTATCCTTAATAGAGAATAAGGTATACATATGTAAATATATATATATATATAATTTGAAAATAATAATAAAAATAAGAATAATAATAGTAATAATAGTAATAAAAAAATAAAGCATGTATTTTCCTCAATTCCTCTTTTGTTTTCGCCAGGCGTTACCAATAGTTGTTTTATATCAAATTCAGGCGCCACAAAAGGAGCAACAACAACAACAACAACAAAAACCAGTGTGTGCCTAGAAAGTTGTATAATACTTTAAGAGCTATAAAAGAGAAAAACACAAGCAAATAAGTAAAGGTAGATTAGATATTTGGATTGGTAATGGATAGAAACCAAAGCGTCTTTTTTTAAAAATAAAATAAAATAAAAGGAATACTTTACTCTTCAATAAAACCCATGTCCTTCATCATCACCAAAATACGCATGAGGCTGTTTTGTTCAGCATATTCACGTAACGGTGATCTGACCCCTGGTATTCTCAATACGATATCTTTCAACTGGGCATTAGGTAAAGCTGAACTCGAGAGCACCTTTACAGAATCAGGCAAGGTTCTCTATCAAATATAACAATAGTAATCAATTTTGTAAATATTTCGTATATAATATCTTATTAATTCATTCATTTATTATGTATATTTTACCTCTGTACATTTTACAAATCCATCCCACAGCTTAGGATATGCCCACACACGCTTGGAAATTAGTTTTACCAAGAGGGATAGAATGAAGTTGTTTAGGCTTTTATATACAGCAACTGTGCGGATCATCTATTAAAGAAAGAAAGAAATTAGGTGTTAGTCGGACAGCCCAGACTTATCATATAGATAAATCATTCGAAGAAAAGAAATATCCATCACTTACAGTCACCATCAATAGCAGAGGGATCTTTGGTTGCTCAACCAAGTGTTGAAGAGCAGTTGCAACATGTTTTGCCTCAAATGTGTCAGGCATAGTAAAGCAAATGTTGATAGCTAATATATATACACATTAGTTTAGTTTTTTTTAAAATAATAATAATAATAATAATAGACAATTGTTTAATATAGCAAAATAATAAAGGTTACCTTCGACTGCTTTTTGAAGAGGGACATTCTCCTCCATCTTATGGAGAGCCATGAGCAATTCGGTAGGAGCCATTGGTGTTTTGCTGCTTCCGGTACTTGAAACAATACGAGAAAACACCTTTTTTACAACCTTGCGTTGGCCTTCAGTGTTGTTCAGAAGCTCGACAATCTTTGGCAAGTTTTGACGAATATCCTCCTACAAAGAATATGCATGTATATATTGTAATAAATCGATTAGACTTTATGTCGCCATTATGAATGCTAAAGAAGAAAAAGAATAAAGTAACAAAGTCAGACTTACTTTACGAAGTCCAGAGATGATAGGTATCAGGAATTTAGCATCTAATTTTCGTTCGCGATAGATATACATCACAGCATTAACAAGTTCAGAACTTGGGCGCACTACAAACATTTTTTTATGAGGATCAGTGAATTTTTTTTTGCTACGTATATGTTGAAAATAATATCCACTCTAATGTATTCCATTATTACCAGTATCACACAAAACAACAAGAATTCGAATCACCAAAGTCTCTCCACCAGGGGGGAAGTGTCGAATGATATCAATAAGTTTTGGCGAATCCATTCCAATGGACTTGATAAGACTGTAGACATGCTGTCGAATCATACGCTGAACTCGATCAGATGCATCGATATAGATACTGAACAAACTACAGCAACAAAATACATTTAATACAAAGATTTTCACCTTTGAATAACTACTCCTTACATTATACTATTATATCTTATTGTTATTATTATTTTTGGACTTTACTTACTCATTCAACATGTCATGCTTCTTGACACAGAGAGCAAAAAATAGCTCAGAATGACGAATAACATCTGACTCGGACCACTCATTGGGTTCCTCTTCCTCTTCATCATCATCATAGTCTACTGCTCCACCTTCTTTTCCTTCTATATGAGCCGTTGAATTTTGTACATGTGGTTCTGTTGCTTGTGACCGTGGCTCTGCCATATCTGTGTCTTCGTTAGCCACTGATGCACCATTGAAATCCGAAAGTTCGGTCGGCTCTTCTTCTAGTTTTACTTTTACGCCTTCATCTTTTTTGTTGTTGAGATTTCGACTTGTATCGGTTTTATCTACTACACCTGATGTAACTTTCTTTTTGTTGTTGTTGTTGTTTTCGGCTTCCCCTCTTACTCCTACTGATTCTTCTTCTTCTTCTTCTTTTTCTTCTTCAGTTTTAACATCTTCCATCGATTCATCCTTCACAGACGACTCCCTTAACGAAGGATCTGTTGTGAGAACACGCAGCGCGTTGACCGAGAACTCTTCGACTTTTATAGAGATCACTGGGTGCTCAGGTACCCACTTCTTGACAACGACGATGCTCGTGGATCGGGTCTTGACGTCAGAGCTGATACAGAAATTCAGCAATACTTCTAGACACTGATCCCGCACAGGGGGGCGACTGGCCACAAGGTCTCTGAGGGCGGAAGCACAAGCAACAAAACGAGCCGGTTCTTTTGCCATGGTTGCACGAACGAGTTCAATGACATCAGTGTTGATCGCAGGTGCGTCCATCAATAGTCTCGAGAGCGTTTTGTCCTTGGCGTCAAGGGCAGGAATACCCTTTTCAAGAAGAAGCAGATGCCAGGTGTCGTATGAAGATGGGTAGTCTGGGTTGGTGCGCTGATGCATACGATCGCAGTAGAATTCTTCGTGTAGCCATTCTAGGGCAAGATCGTATCTAAATGTTGTATTGTTTCAAAAGCATCCACATTATTATTGTTATTACTTGCTAATATATATATATGTAGTATATAATATTCCAGATAGATATATATATCTTATATAGACAAACCTCAGTGGTAAATCTGCAACAATAAAGTCTAGCAACATCATCTTTAATTCATCTGGATTGGATTTCTGCTTGACGGTCTTTACGTCTATTTTAGTATCTTCTTCCATTGGATCTCCAATATCCATGTTTTCTCCAGCCGAGATTGCAGCCGTTCCCCAGGTACTATTACCCACACCACGTGTGAGCAGTTTTGCGACCAGTAGTAGCCACATTGTCTTGGTCGACTGATTCCATGAAGAAGTAACACGGCGTGAAGAAGATGCCGGATCTTCTGGGTTAGACTCAATTATCTGTGGTTCTAATAGAGCCTCGGCGGCAAAGATACGTTGAACAGAGAGTTTGAGCATCTCTAGCTGCTCATGTCTCTCAAGAGTGGCCGGTGCTGATAGCTCATAAGGCTGCATCTTCAATGATTGAGTTGCACGTTCCTGCGCACTTGCAAGCTGTACGCGCGGTTTTTGAATAATAGCAGGAGTAGTAGTAGATGTGGAAGCAGGTGTGGATGCTGTAGTAGCCGTTGTAGTAGTTGTGGTGGCAGTAGATGCAGCATTGGAATTGGCAGCAAAGGTAGGAGTACGAACAGCTGGGGCAGTAGGAGTAGATTGTTCCTCGATTTTTACTTTTACTGTTGGCTCTGGTGCAGGGCTCTCTTTCTTTAATCGAGGATCCTTTGGGGGTGTACGCTTAGTAAGGGCAGGCACAGGCGCTGGTCTGGGTGGCTGTACAGATGAGATAGGTGCAGGTACGGGAGCAGGAGCGAACATTGGTGCAGGTGGAGATACTGGCGCAGGTGTAGGTGCAAATCTTTGAGGTGGAGGCTGTGGTGTAGCTGAAGGCTGGTTGACTGTCGTTGGGATGTTTTTTGTAGGGTCTGAATTAGCAGTTTGGATCTAAGATTGGTTAACATAAAAAAAAAAGATGTAGAGATAGGGATAGATAGAGGGGGAAAGAGAGACAGCAGACATATGGAGTGTGTGTAGGGAAAAGGAAGAGAGAGAGAAAAGAGAGATTTTTCGATAATTTGGTTTGGTTTGGTTTGGTTTGGTTTGATTAGGATACTATTTGAAAGTAATGGTTTGGTTGTATAGTAGATATAACTATCTATCTATATATTTAAGTATCTATGGACCTAGACATTGATTTATTGATTTATTGATGTGTCTATATATCTATCTACAATTATTTATTTATTTATGATTTTTATATATGTACAAAGCTCACCATATGAATTCGCTGGCTAATTGTCTCCATTGAGATGTTCTGAAGTACAGCTACACACAGCTCTACAACCACATTCAAAGGCAAAGTAGTTACATCAAATCCAGCAAGCGGATTTGGTGGTGTCTGTGTAGGAGGTGGCCTGACTGATGGTTTTATAGATGCTCTTGCATTTTGTGAGTCTAATGATGATGATTGTTGCATGTTTGGGTTGGGTGGTTGGGATATCGGTGCTTGTTCTAATACCCTTGCCCTTTTTCCCTGTCCTCCATCATCTTTTCCTGTGAGAGAACGTTTTGACCGTCTGGCCTCTTCTGCCTCACGTTTTTCTCTTTCCCTTTGCTCTCGCGCTTGACGATTTTGGAAAATAGCCGTATTTCCTCCTACTGCTCCAAATGCACTTATAATCTCATTACGGTACTGGGCCAACTGGTCAGCCCTAAAATATATACATAAAAAATACACGTCCAAAACACAAATATATATATATGTATACGTGTATGTATATGTATATGTATAAAGTTATCATTTTTCCATTCTCCCTCTGTCTTTCTCTCTCTCTCTCTTTCTTTATTTTTTTATATATGCCTTGTATGCACAACTATTGGCCCTTTATAACTTACCGAATCATTGTAACCAAAGAAAGCCGTATTGCCTTTTCAACGTTTCGTTTTTGCGGGTTTGGCAATACTGCTGGCGAGGATTTGAAACAATTAACAAATGCAGCGGCCACTTGTCGAGCAAATTGAGGACGTTTTTTAACCAAAGGAACCAAACAACTTATGACAGCTGTCAATACAGATCCATGCCTACAGACAGAGAACACAAAGGATTAAAGATAAAATTATTACAGTACTCTATGTATTACACAATATATATATGTATATATATCACACAATACATATACCCTTACAAATGACTTACTCATCAGTTCTCTTTAGCCACTCAATCATTGTATTAAACATCTGCTTTCCTTCTTCATCCAGTTGACTCAGGTTTAGTAAGCGATGATCTGGTCGAACTAGGTAGAGCGATATATCGTCCTATCATGGTCATAATTCCGTTTATTATTTAGACATCTCTCTTAGCCTTTTTTTTTGTTTCTCTCGCTCTCTCGCTCTCACTCTGTATAAATATTTTCACTATCCACTTATTCACTAATCCACACACATATACCATATCACACATACACTATATACATATATATATATATATATATATAATATAATATAGTATTGTATAATATGGCATAATATAATATGATATAATATAATATAATATAATATTAACTCACTCGTGGTCCGTCATTCCGTTCTCTCTTTGTTTGCATGAGGATCAAGACTTGAAGACATTTTATGGCATGGATTCGTAGACCATGATTGCGATGATTTAATAATGATCCACGCACTTTGCTGATCAACGACGAAGCAGTCTGCCACATGCGAGATTCTGCTTCATTCTTACACCTTTATTGTTGTTTGTATAGATAGATATATATAGATAGATATGGATATATTGTTTTGGTATTTTGGATATTTGGTATTTTGGATTTACACACACATATATATATTAAAGAAAGAAAGAAAGAAATAAGATAAGATTAAAAGGAAAGAACAGAAAAATAGAAGACGAAAAAATGCCAAATAAAAGAAAAATTGTAATTTGTTTTCATTGATAAACTTACACTGTTTTGAAGATGTATGGTAAGACAGTGGTGAATGCGCGCGTGGCATCTTTCAAGGTCACAAGGTCATCTCTCAAAGCTTCCCCATTTTCTTCTTTTTGAAGATTAGTGCTAATCAGCTCTTCCAGAGTATCCAGGAATCCGTTTGTTGCAAAGGATTGTGCGCTTTGAGGATGTGCGAGAACCTCTTGGTCAAAGTCTCGCAGCTGTTCCAAATGGTGATCGTGATCCATAAATGTTTGTTTTTGTGTATAGTGTAGTGTAGTGTGGTGTAGCGTTCACGAACAAGTTTGTTTTTTTTTGTCTTTGTTTTTCTTTCTTCCTTCCTTTCTATTCTTCTTTTCTATAGCAGAAGCAGACACAATTGCGCGTTTTGTTTTAATAACGAAATTCATCTTTCTTTATTTTTACTATTTTTCTTCTTCTTCTTCTTTGTTCTTTCATTCTTTCATTCTTTCTTTTAATTATTTAAAGTGATAATATATACATTTACATATATATATATATATATATATATATATATGCATGTTTATATACATATATAAATGATTGTATAATGGTTGTAATGATTTGTAATAAAAATTCTAAATCTAAGTCTAAATCTAATTCTGATCCTAAGTTTTAATTTTGGATTCCATTTTCTTGTTTTTTTTTTAAAAAAAAGAATTAAATAAAGAAGAGGAAGATAGAAGATGAAGAAGATGAAGATGAAGAAGAAGAAGAATCTTGAAGGTGATCAAAGGGAGTGTAATTTATCGATTCTTACAATAGCTAAAAGTAAACAGACTGGATGTTTAGGCTCGGAAAAAGTATAGTCGGATCAATAAGAGGAGGTAATGATTATTTCCTTCCCACACTCTTTTTTTTTGGGTCCAAAAATACAATACGTTGCTTTTTGTCTGTGTCAGTGTGTGGTATGTATGTGTAGTATGTATGTGTATGTGTGTATGTGTATGTATGTGTGTGTGTATGTATGTATGCGTGTGTAGTGTGTAGTGTGTTGAGTGTCTCAACAAGTGAGTGTACAAACACAGCTAAAAAAAAGGTGCTTTTGAGCTGACAGTGAATATGATGACGTCGATATCCACATTTAGTACTTCAGATCATACAGGATACCTTTTTTTTGTTACTTCAAATATCGTATTATGTCTATGAGTAAAATATATAAGTTTTCATGTATTTCTTCAGATTAAAGTTTAACAGACATTCGATATAACTTGTATTGTACAATTCCAAAAGTATAATCAAATACTTTTATGTCAAGTGTGAATTAAATCGAATCGAATTGAATTGAATTGAATTATAAAAGCTGCTATTAATGTTTAGTCACGTTTGGGACACGACGTTTACAAATTGTATATTTTGTATATGCTGCATATAAAAAAAATAAAAATTTGACATGGTTTCTACTTAAGTACAGCTAGAAATTCCAATATATTAAATAAAGAAGTACTTTTGTTCCTGAATTAAATTATTTATATTTAAATAAAGTGATTTTACTCATACAAACTACTTTTGCGGGTTAGGGACCAGATAAAATTGCTGTGTGCCAGACAACAAGTCACTTTTTATGAGACCAGTAAATGATAAAGGTCGAAGATTCAATAAACCTAGTGCTCCAGAGAAACGTCGTGCCCGAGAGGAAAAGTGTCTGGCCCGAATAATTAGCTAATGAAAAACCAAATTATTAAACCGGGATGTTAAACTAATATGCTGAAATGCTATGCTGAAATGCTGGACCAGCTTTCCGAACTGTGCCATGAACAGGGTCCTTTTTTATGAAAGAAAAGATAAAGGTTTTACAGATATTCCGCTTATTATTCATTCTTTACTATTAAATGTTATTTATTCTATTGGTAAAATATTATATAGCTTTATAGCAAAAAAAAATTGGAAAGATCATTGAAAAGTTTCATCTAAAATACACATATATATATATATCTGGTCAAGAGCTTGGTTGATAGAAAAATGCTATATTTCTGTAAATGATAAATGATACTCAGAGTAAAAGACTATCGATTGAACAGATATCGTCATTTATTCTGACTATGAGGACACCACATGAGAAGCTTTCGTATTGGTGGAACCCAATATTATTATTATTATTATTATTATTATTATTACAAGTGTTATTATTTCTCGCCGTAAACTTTATTGTGAAACAGATTTATTATCAATACTTCTTTTTACCTTGTTTACCATGAAGTTCCTTTCGGCAATCTCACTTGTAATATCTAGTGCAGCTCTTGTTCATTCATTTCAACATGAGTTTACTGTACAAAGACCTGTACCGATCGAACTTTTTGTAATGAGCAAATGTCCAGACAAGGTCTACTGCGAATCAGTCATTGCTCAAGTCTGTGAGTAGACTTTTATTGTAGTAGTAATAATAATTCACATTTAAGCTAACAAAACAACCCAACTAACTCACTAATTTTATTTTCTATTATTTCAAAAGTGGAAGAGGTTAGAGTACCAGTAACACTATCGATTGATTATATTGGCACAACCGACAAATATGATCCTTTGAGAACTACATGGTGTGTTGGATATAAAAAAAAAGAATAAAAGGAACAAAGAGAGACACCTGTTTTGAATATATATATATATATTAATATTCATTAATACATACTAGTATGCATGGCCCTTCTGAGTGTTTGGGAAATAAGCAAGAACTATGCTTCAAACGCTTAAACCCTGATATCAAATCATGGTTTCCCTTTGACCTTTGTTTAAACAGAAATTATGATAAGATAGGAACAAGCGATAGTTTATTCAGAGCATGTGGTAAGTTGACTAAGCTGTCCCTATTAATAATATTATCATTATTGAATGGAAGAGCTATTGAATTGGTGGTGGTTCGTGATTTGTAGGAGTGTGCACATATATAATATCAATTAATAATATGTTTAATTTGCATTTTAATTTAGTTAACGAACAAGGAAAGAATGCCAATGCTGTTCATTCGTGTGCCACAAGTCAATTCGGTGCTCGTCTTTTGTCCGAATCAGTCCAGCACACAAAAAGTCTTGGTATCCGGTAAAGTTTGATTAAATGAACATATTGATTCGAACCTTTGATCAGTTGACTGATAGATGTCTATACATATATTGTATACTTGATTATATAGTAAGAGCTGTACCATTTTCATCAATCACAAATTGCGCTGTGTCAGGGACGGCGAGTGGAAGGTTAATATTAGTATTTTTGTTTATTTTTAAAGAAAAACTATAAGAATAAGAATATTAACAAGCTTTTTTTGTAGGACTGTGAAGGAGGATACAAGGTCTCTGACTTTGTACAGACCATTGAAGATTCCTACTATCAAAATGAAGTCTAGAAAATAAAAATAAAATTGACCATATGAGAATCACATAGGAATATTGCACAAAATTTATGTGAGAAAAAAAAAGAGAAAACCCAAGTTTTGGAGCAAGAAAATATAAATATTGGATATATTTTTGCTTTATTTAATAATATTATTGTTTCATTTATATACAAGTAGAATGACAGAGAATAAGGGAGGGATACTATCATTGGAATTGGGAGAGATAGTGGTAGTGGTAGTGGTAATGGCTGTGGCGGGTGGGATGACTTGGTTGGTTTATACAATGAGATTCAAGACTTGAACAAGTGCTACAATATAAATATATAAACATGAAATAAAATAAAATAAAATAAATAATTAGCCTTAGTTTCTTTCATATGAGCAAAATAAATAAAAACTTACCTCCACCAAGAAATGTGAATGCAATTAAAGCCATTGCCCAGTAGGTAATAGGGATCTTGAACTTGTTTTTTGGTTTCTTTAAAGAAAAAGTTAATTAGTTAGCTTATAATTATTTCATAATTATTGTTATTAGGTAGTTAATCTTTCTAATATATTTATCTATAGTATTTATTTACCAAGCTAGTCTTGACATGGCCACGTTTGTTGACGTTGGACTGGTAGGCAGCATTCTTTTGACGGAGGGTGGGAACAGTAGCCTTTGATAGATATGTTGGTGAGACACTGTGGGTAGACTTGCAGCAGTTTAATCAGGAGGAGGAGGGTTGATACTTACCATTGTAAATACAATAAAGATAGAATGAAAATAGAAAAGAATAAGAATAAGAATAAAAGGCTGATGATGACTTTATTAATTCCTTTTTAAAATAAAATAGGAAAAAAAATATCAATAATAATTCATAATTAATTGATCGAGGTACCTCATTAATATAAGCAACCGTGCGTGAACGAGGCAATCGTTGATTGGCTATATTTACAGCATATCCATTTAAGTCGAAGAAACCAAGTTGGGCCAATAAGAAAAGAAATTTCTCATTGGCCCAACCTGGTTTCTTCGACTGTAAAAAATGATAATCACGTTTTGACATTCCGCTTTTCGTACCCTTTAACATTTTTCTCTTGTGTGTACCACATCATCTTTTTGTATGTGCTTGCCACGTTTCCATTTCATTTCCACTAAATAATATTGAGTAAGTGATTATGCTAGTGTGACCATTAAGTCTTATGAATCTCTTGTAATAGTACTTTTGTAAATTATTTGAGCGTGTATTTCTTTAAATTTTTCTTTACTCAAAACCGTGAGCATATTTTAAGTATAGTAAAAAGATTCCAAAATTGCATGCAAAGCGTAATTATAAGTTCTGCACAATCTTTGTTCTTTATTTATTTTTTATTTTGGTATATGAATTTGCATATTTCTACCGTGTATGCTCAAATGAACAGCAAAACAAGAATTTTGAATTGACATTATTATTATTTTGAAATTACAAAAGATCTTGTCTTGTCTTGGTTATTAAATGCGCACACCAGTAACAGTAAATAGCCAAATACACAAAACTACTCTAGACAAAACAGAGTTTCTACAAGTGGTCGAATTGACGAAGCAAAATTTAATCCAGCATTTTCCTCAAAAATAAAAATAAAAAAGTAGTATTATTCTAAATCAAGAGGTCATTAATGGAACTGAATTATATATATCTTTTTTTTTGTCCAAGAAATCACTCTAAAATAACCTTTTTTCAGCAGGTATTTATTTATAAGAAATAGGCTTAGAATTAACGATTTCTACGATGAATATACATACGTACATGTAGACATCTATTAAAAAAATAATATTTTTTTATAAAATATACCTGTTTCGAAAATAAAACAAAAAGAAGCTTTGGCGCTTAAAATATACTTGGCATTTAAACCTCAGTGAATAGCACAAATGATAATATTTTAATAGTTTATCTGGAATTTAATTTACAGCTACTTCTATTTTACTTTCTTCCTTTTGAAATATCGATTGTTCTATTTTACAAATACAGTATTTCAGTTTACATTCTTCTTCCTCCTCTTCTTCCTCTACTTCTTTTTATTTTTGATCCCAACTCTGAAATACTTTTTAACCAATTGGATAAGCCAATTGATATATATATGTGGTCAATGTGTTTCACTTTTGTTGTTTCTTTTCTTCATTAAACAGCTCCTCCATCTCTTGACTCATGTTATAATTAAATCACCGTTTTATCGCCTAATCATTTTTCCGAGCCTTAAATGAATCTTACAGAAAAAGAAGGAAAGCAAAATGATTTTTTTTTTTAAAAAAAAAATTGTTCCCATGGCGACACATCTCGGATATTTCTGGTTTGCTGTCAGATTGGATAAAATGTTATTTTATTTTTTTATTTTTTCGTATTCTCGGATTAAATTTGCGTATTTTTAATTATTTTTTGCGTTTTGTTTTTCATAGTAGCGAAAATATATAGGGATTGGAGTAGACATTAGGTTTCTGTTGATAAAGCTTGATTCAATATGTACATCCAAAATACATTTATTTGCAAAGAAAATTCTCCTCAACATAATTGAGCCTATTAAATCAACTATAAGAACAGCTTATAAAAAGAATATCATAGTAGAGCTTCTTTTTTTTTCAAAGAAAAAAAGTTAAAAACAATTGTTTCAAAATGTAGTTCGATTAGATAGCCTTGGTTGTTAGCAACAGATCCAATCTTCGGGTAAACCTTACCATTAATAATAAAAAGAAAAAGAAAAGACGGACCAATAAAAAAGCAAGAAAAAAAAAATAGACTCTGTTTTATTATTATTTTGGGCTTCGTGGACGTATATAGAAAGTACAAAATGACTTGCAAAACTCTGTTCTAGTGGGTTCTTAGTTTGGCGGGGGTATAAACTCAAATTCTACCCTGGCAAATCTCGAGAAGTAAAATCCGTACCTGGCTTCTCTGCGATTCTTTTTTATTCCAGAGCTTGGCTTGAATTTTTTTTTCCCTATTGGTATAAAAACTGTTGACTTCCATCGATTTCTCTTTTTTTTTTAGTTTTGGAATCCTTTGTTATTTTTCTATCCTCGACATGTACAACTTAGCCAAGTCCACTCGCCGTGCCATTCCAGCACTCGCTCGCTCCGTAAGTAGAACGAACCTCTTTCAATACAGACAACAATCCTCTTCTCTATTTCTCCTTCTTTTTGCTATCATTATTTATTATGCATATATAAAAATAATATATTAATTAATATAATTATATTAGAACGGCGTCATGGCCACTCTGGCTCGCCCTTACAGCTCCAAGATCAACGGTCCCGTTATCGGTATCGATTTGGGAACCACCAACTCTTGCGTCTCTGTCATGGAAGGCAAGAACCCCAAGGTTATCGAGAATGCTGAAGGTGCACGCACTACACCTTCCATTGTTGCCTTTACCAAGGATGGTGAACTTTTGGTTGGTCAGGCTGCTAAGCGTCAGGTAATATATCTATATATAAGAGGAAGTAATAAAGATATAATGGGAGAATATATATACTCATATGTATGGAAACTATTATCTAGGCTGTCGTAAACTCTCAAAACACTGTCTATGCTACCAAGCGTTTGATCGGCCGTCAATTCAAGGATCCCGCTGTTCAGGCTGATTTGAAGGCTGTCTCTTACAAGATCATCCCTCACTCCAACGGTGATGCTTGGGTTGAGGCCCAGGGTAAGAAGTACTCTCCTTCCCAGATTGGTGCCTTTGTGTTGGGCAAGATGAAGGAAACTGCCGAGGGTTTCTTGGGCAAGAAGACCCAGCATGCCGTTGTCACCGTACCCGCCTACTTCAACGATTCCCAGCGTCAGGCTACCAAGGACGCCGGTAAGATTGCCGGTCTCGATGTTCTGCGTGTCATCAACGAGCCTACTGCTGCTGCCTTGGCTTACGGTTTGGATAAGTCTGGCGACAAGACCATTGCCGTTTATGATCTCGGAGGTGGAACTTTCGATATCTCGGTGCTTGAAATCCAAAACGGTGTGTTTGAGGTCAAATCGACCAATGGTGACACCGCCCTTGGTGGTGAGGACTTTGATTCACACCTCGTCCGTTGGGTTCTCGAGGACTTCAAGAAAGAGTCCGGTCTTGATCTCTCCAACGACCGCATGGCCATTCAACGTGTCCGTGAGGCTTGCGAGAAGGCCAAGATCGAGCTGTCTTCTACCGTCCAGACCGACATCAACCTTCCTTACATCACTGCCGATGCCTCTGGCCCCAAGCACATCAACACCAAGTTGACCCGTGCCAAGTTTGAGACCATCGTTGGCGAGCTTGTCCAGCGTACAATCCCCCCCTGTCAGAAGGCCATTAAGGATGCCGGTATCACCAGCAAGGACATCGGAGATGTCATTTTGGTCGGTGGTATGAGCCGCATGCCCAAGGTTGTCGAGACCGTCAAGAGTGTATTTGGCCGTGAGCCCAGTAAGTCGGTTAACCCTGATGAGGCTGTTGCCATGGGTGCTGCTATCCAGGGTGGTGTTTTGGCCGGTTCTGTCACCGATATTCTTTTGTTGGATGTCACCCCTCTCTCACTCGGTATCGAGACTCTCGGTGGCGTCTTCACCCGTCTCATCAACCGCAACACCACCATCCCCACCAAGAAGGCCCAGGTCTTCTCAACTGCTGCCGATGGCCAGAGCCAGGTCCAGGTCCGTGTCTTCCAGGGTGAGCGTGAGTTGTGCCGTGACAACAAGTTGTTGGGTGACTTCAACTTGACCGGTATCCCCCCAGCCCCCAAGGGTGTTCCCCAGATCCAGGTCGAGTTCGACATTGATGCCGATGGTATTGTCAACGTCAGCGCCAAGGACAAGGCTACCAACCGCGACCACTCCATGACCATTGCTGCCTCTTCTGGTTTGAGCAACGACGAGATTGAGAACATGATCCACCAGGCTGAGGCCAATGCCGAGACCGATCGTGCCCGCCGTGAGACCATTGAGATGGCCAACCGTGCCGATTCTGTCATGTCCGAGACCGAGAAGGCCATGGATGACTTTAAGGAGCAGCTTGACAAGGCCGAGGCCGATAAGCTCAAGGAAAAGATCGTTGCTCTCCGTGTCGAGGCATTGAAGGCTCAGTCGGGCGATGATTCCGTCAAGCCCGAAGAGCTCAAGACCAAGATCGATGAACTCCAGAGCAGCTCTCTCAAGTTATTTGAGTTGGTTTACAAGAACCGCGCCGCACAGAACGACAATACCGGAAACACTGATTCCAACTCTTCTTCCTCCAACCCCCAGTAAAATCAATCAGCCATAGATTTTTTTTCCCTTTTTTTTTTTAAAAAAAAAGTATTTGTATAGAAGAACTCTTGTGAGTTTATACTTTTAAAATTCCTGTTAATAATCACCACCCCTTTCACACCAGAGAAGAAGAAAAAGAAGAATATACGGCTTATTTTGCCTTTCTTTCTTTTTCTTTTTCTTTTTTACATTATTTTACCCTGAGCACACATTTAGCCATAAATATATATATAACAAAAAGAAGTCAATCAAACTATTAATAAATGTCATAAATGTTGTATCATATCCATTCAAAAACAACCGCAAAAAGACTGTTAAATTTAAAGAATAATGAAGTTTTACATGTATGGTTTTGATAGAAAGTTTAAGTTTTGTGGCCCAAGTGCATAAAAAATTATGTCAAACAATGCAGCCAGCTTTGCAATTATCATAATTGGCAGCAATCCTACGGGGACGACGTTTTTATCTAACCAGATTAATTAATTCTGACTACCTGTCCGAAGCCCTATGTCTTTAATCCTTCAGGGCAAAATGTTGTATCCTGTAAGTTATACAATATACTCATATCAACAATAGCCAGTTATTCAGAATATTATGAGTTATTGCCATTAAATTGGGGCAGGGTCTTATTGGATATCGTGCTGATTGATTATAAAACCTGTCATTCGCACAGTTGGATTAGTCTTTTGGTGCATAGACTTTTTAGTGTCCGACATTTAAACAGCTGGTAGAGTGGTGGAAATATCGATCTTGTTACTTTTAAATCTAAGGATACCTATACAAATATTGATCTGTTTCTAGGCAGACAAGGACTGATCATAATGAATCTGCACTATACATAACTTCACTTAGTAGAAAAAAATAATACATTTTTAATTTTTTTTTTGAAGTGCAGGCCCTAAAAAAATAGTTGGCCTCAAACATGAATTTATGGTGCAAATATCCAAATCTTTATTAGTAAATGGTTTTTTTAGAGTGAAAAAGAAAAGACATTTTGGTCAATATTTAAGTAATAAAGCTCAAACAAAGCTTTTATAGTGGGTCGCAATATCTCTTACTAGGTTACTTAAGTACATAAAAAGTATTTGCTAAAAACAAAGTGGATATATAGCTGGTTTTTGATATTTAATTTGTCGTTTTGATCAAAATTATCCTTTTTTTTATTAGACAAATCTTCATTTCATCAATAATTTCGACGGTATTCAAGGTATACTTTACATGTACTTTCAGTGTTGCTGTTGCTTTTAAGTGAAATTAGCTAAGATTTTAGGCGAATATATGAAAGCTTGGTCAAACAAAAAAGGTTAATATTGAAAGTGTCAAATAGGTAGAGATAGATGAGAAGAAAATATCACCGAATATGGTTGACCTATAGGTACACTATATATCCAAAAGAGTGCAGCTAAACAAGGAAAGAGAAGATATGGTGAAGTAGAAAGAGAGAAAGAGGCATGGAAAACATCTATAAACTAAAGAAAAATGAAAGAATAATCCAACCCACCTAAAGTGATACTTTGAGACGGATGAGTAGACTGGACCCTGACCATAGGGAAAATAAACTCTATTTACAAATAAGCCTCAAGAGTCAATCAATGAATGGTACACAAGTCAAACCTGGTGATCAAAGACTTATAATGTTGATGTATCAAACGGTAGAAAGAGACACAAGCCCATCATAGTCGTAAAGCTATTACCTTTTCTTTTTCCTATCTCTCTCGCGCACACACGTTTATTCTCTCGCTCTTATTATTACTTGTTAATCTTATTTCTATAATGTCAATAACTACATTGCCCAATGAAATCTTTCTTCGCATTACAAGAAATCTCTCAAAGAAAGATGTTGATTCCGTAAATCTTACTTGCAAAGCTTTAAATGGATATCTCAAAACAGCTACTTGGAAAACTATCAGAATAAACGACGTCTCAATTATTTTTAATGCACTTCCTACAACAGCATACCAGACACTTTTATATCAGTATGGGCACCTCACGAAAGAATTACGTTTAGAGACCTTTGATCCAGATGAAAACTGGACACTTGATTCACTACAGCAAACCTTTCCAAATCTACGATATCTCCGTATATATGGAAATTATCTGCCAACCTGCGGCACCAGTACCAAAGTAAACCATACCAAATGGCAATATTTGATCGAGTTAGATTGCAATGTATTCGTTCGTCCCAGCAAAATGTCAATAATAGAAATGATAAATAAGAAAGATCTCCAAATATTCAATGAACTAGAAAATATGTTTTGTTTTGTGAATCGTGTGGAGAAGCTACATCTGTACAATATCAACAATCAGGTGTATTCAGTACATCCTTTGGATATTGTGGAGACGGTCCATAAATATTTTAAACAACTGAAAACATTTGGGACAGACATCACGCCCATCCCTTTTGAAGGCCAATATTGGGTGCGTGCTACAGGATCTCTACCAGAAGAACAATTGACTTGGCTCACTTTACGACCTTGCGATATGAAAATTCGATGGCTAGCCTACTTTGCTAGGAAATATCCAAATCTGCGTACCCTTGAACTGGAAAGAGTTTCTCACGACTATACAAATTTTTATCATATACAAGGAAGACATCAGCATCCTGTCTTGGAAACGGTCGAATTTGATGGCATTCAACACCCGTTTTCTTGCTTGCAAAGAATAAAAATATCCTCGACTGCTCTAAGTTATCAATTTTGTGCTGCGTTTTGGAAAACACTTAAAAAACTCGACATCCCCCTCAAGCATGTATCATACGATGATTCAGATATCTGCCATTATGACTCTAGAGCTGCTTACACGTTTTTCTACTCTCTTGATTTAGTCGAATCTAATCTTGAAGTGTGCCTGAATTCGTGTCCCAAATTTATGGAGACTTTTACTTACAAAGGGCTACGTAATATAGGTATACGACAAGCAGGTCCACATGTTAGATTTGAAATCCATCCTGTCCTTGTTAACCTTCATATTGAAGATTCTATATTGCCAATCCATCTTGACGTTGTTTTGAATCGTTGTTCTGCTCTCAGAAAAATACGGCTAGTTCACACAAATATATCCATCAGGTCAGAGACATCAGGAGGACCAATGATGCATGGGCTTGAGATAGCTGAGCTCAGATCATCAATTATGACAGCAAGCGTACTCGAATACATGTCTTACAATTGCAGAAACCTAAACTATCTCAACATAAAATACTCAACTGTACATGGGACAATATCTAGAACAACTGGAATTATGGATATCGACATGACCTATACAAGCTTTAAGACGCTTTATATTCGTTGTCTAGTCTTAAAGCCATCTGAAGAAAATGAAAATAATTTTGGTAGCCGTGACGAAGCTAAACTGGTGGCCATTTCTCAAGAAGAACCAGACCACAATACAAATGATAGTATTTCAGGTGTGCTTTTAGATCCACCTTTTCAGCACCAAGGAAAAAATGATAAGAACAAAAAAATATGGATCTACACAAAGGGTATACTCCCACGCGGACAATACAAAGAAGATACAAGGCGCCTGAACAAGGAAGAGGCTGAACAAGCTGAAGATTATTTTCAAAACTATGCAACGAACGAGGCTTTGTCCGAAGAGAGAAGGAATGCTATTTTTGACAAGCTATTTATCGAAATGAATCATATTAATGTTCCCTTTCAATATACGTACATAAGGTGTAAGAAGCTAGTTAGCTATACCTTGGGAACCCGTTGGAAAGAAAGAGAGTCGGATAGTTTTTGGGATGATTTGTACGAATCTCTTTAGTTGAATATACTTCTTGCTAATATATATGTATATGTTTTAAAAAAATGGACATAAATACCTAAACACTATATTTTTTTATTTGGATTTTTGACAATTACATGTAGCATATTAAGTGGCTAAAGCTTTCAGAAAAAAAAACAAGATTAAATAGGCATAGAAGAACTTTGCATAGAGAGCATCGAATAAAGAGAAAGCAGTAGTGTCAACAGATATGTGGGAAAAGAGGCTAAGTATCGGAGAAGTATAAAATATAATCTAGCTTGTAGGAGGCTTTGGCGAAATAAGCAATTGAAGGGAAATCCCTCGAGTTAATGTTGTCCGAATTATAGCCATACTAACTTGATTAAAATTAGAATGTAAAACGGACAACATTTATGTCTGAATACAAAAAGCTATAGGTGACAAACAACTAAAGCTGATGATAAATGAACCCATTATTGCTTACGCCTTTGAAATTGTAGATACACCTAAACACTTTACGGGTATAAAGCTAATTAGTTTCTTTTTGTCTCTCTTTCTCCTTCTCTTTCTAAACTTCTCTATCTATATTCTATCATGTCAATAACAAAACTTTCCACTGAAATATTTCTTCGAATTACGGGTTTTCTGTCAAAGAAAGACATTGATTCTGTAAATCTTTCTTGCAAAGATTTAAATGGATATCTTGAAGAAACCACTTGGAAAAAAATTGCTTTGAACGATATTTCCCTGCGTGTAAATGAATTCCCTCCAACCGTTTACCAGGCTCTTTTATACCAGTATGGATATCTCACAAAAGAATTATATCTGAAAACCAAAGGTCCTGATGATAATTGGTCAATTCAATCCCTTCAGTACATTTTCCCGAATCTGCAATGTCTCCGCCTATATGGATCATGCCTGCCTACTTGCGATAACAGTACCAAATTAGAATGTACCAACTGGAAATATTTAGTCGAGTTTGATTGCAGTGTGTCTTCTAGTTGCAAAAATGATCCATACACCTACGAAGACTTGGTTAAAATTTTTCCTTTTGTGCATCGTATTGAGAAATTGCGTATATACCGTACCCGAAATAGGGTGTTCCATGAGCACACCTTGGACTTTATGCAGACCATTCATGATAACTTTAAACGCTTGAAAACATTACAGACGGACCTCAAGCTTGTCCCTTTTGAAACAGACGATTTGCAACGAATTACAAAAGTTGACCCGTCAGATGAGTTGACCTGTTTCGTTTTACAGGCTAACTTTCTAAAAATGCAATGGCTAGGATATTTTACTAGAAAGTATCCGAATATACGCATACTTGAATTTAAAGATGTATTTTATAAGGCTATGAAGCCAGAAAATGTACCAAGTCAACTGGTCTTGGAACCCATCAAATTTCAAGGAATCGAACACCCGTTTTCTCACTTGGAGCAAATAACCATATCTTCAGCGGCTATAAGCCTTAAATTTACTGTCACACTTTGGAAATCCATTGAACGCCTTGATATTCCTCTCAAGCACATATAGTACGACGAATCGGGTATTAAGAATCCTCATTCACAGATTTCCTTCAGGCAACTTGACTCACTTGGTTTAGTCGAGCCTAATCTTGAAATGTGCCTTAATTCGTGCCCCAAATTCTTGGAAACTTTTGCTTACAAAGGGCTACGTCTTATGTTTATACGACATACACGTCCACATGTCAAGTTTAACAGCCATCCTGCTCTTGTTGACCTTCAAATTGAAAATTCAATATTACCGATCCATCTTGATGTTGTTCTGAACTTCTGTCCGTCACTTAAGAAACTACGACTTGTAGATTCGGATATATCTATCGGGGCAGAAACATTAGAAAAACCAACGATGCATGGACTTCAGATCGTCGAAATCAAGGGATTCTTTGTGTCAAAAAGTGTTTTCGAATACGTATCTTACAATTGTAGAAGCCTAGATTATATGAACATGAAATGCCCATTTCTACATAGGCCTATATCCGAACGATCACGGATCATAAATATCGACATGTCCTTCTCGAACCTTAAGGCACTCTATGTCTGTGTGAAAAGGCTTATTCCACCGAATGAGAATCACGACGGTTCCAGTAACGATTAGGCCAATTTTGTGATTATAATTTCTCGAGAGGAGTCAGACGAGGACGCACATGGGGATTCAAATGTGCCTTTGACTTTAGCTCCTCACGAAAAAGTACAAAACAACAAAAGCAGGACGTTTATTTACGCAACTATGAGTCATCAAGACAAAATACTTAAGCTAGATACGTCGTATCTAACCCAGGAAGAGATCGAAGAATTTGAATATCATCTCCACAGCTATACAATCAATGATGGTTTATCTCATAAAGGAATGGATAAACTTATCGACCGAGTATTCATCGATAGAAATACTACCTATCCCCTCAGATACATTCACATAAGGTGCCGAAATATAGCTGATTTCTTTCTGGAGGATATAGATGGATTAATTGGGTTTGGCTCTTCTTGGGATAAACTGTATAAATCTATCTAGTTGAACACACGTTTTTCTAAACATATCTATGAATAAAATTAAACATACTGGTTCTATTCTTTTTCTTTTTCTTGCTATGATCTAATAATAATAACAATCTCTGCTGGTTTATTACAATACTTCTTTAATTTGTAAACCTTATTTTGACTTACTAGTAGCTTCAATTCATTAGATCTTGTTAACAAATCAAGTGTAGTAGAGAATAAAGGATCATGAAATATATATTCTTGTAATAGGCGCTTTAAAATCGCTTGGATCGATATGTATAAATAAATAGTTGTTCAGCAGCATGAATATTTCACTGTTAGATTCCATTCTGCTTCTTTCTTTCTCTGATGAACCACTTTACACAAAGAAACTATGCTTTGGAGAGAGTTAATATATATACGGAAACTCGACCAATAAAAAGCAAGGTCTGGTAAATCAAAGTAAAGGCATTTCTAGTATGTAAGTATTTGATATTTTCGCCAATAGCCAATGACTGCAAGAGATCCAAAAGATGAAAATGCTAAATATACTTGTAATCTGTAGCCACACTTTCTTTTCCTTTTCTTGAAACTTAATGAGGCACAAATACATATATAAGCATAGTATCTACGCGCTTGCCCTGTGTGTGTGTGTGTGTGTTTTATTTTATTATCATTATTGTTGTTGTTTTGCCAAATCTTTCTCGTACTCAGCATTTGTCTTGGTCTTCAAGACCAACGCGTGCAATCCTGTTTTTAATTCATGGTCCAAAAGTGCATACACTAGTCTGTGACGCTTCATCAAGGGCTACATACATACATACATACATACATACATACCATATTGAAGACATATACATTCGAGATTAGTTGATTGGATTCTTTTTTTTTCTTTAATTCGGTTTCTCTTTTTGAGCTGCCTTACCTGGCCTACAAAAGCGTCTGATACAATGGTCAAACTACGTTACAAAGTTTTTAGAATTATTTCAAGGCACACACACGAATATATATATATATCCTAAACTAATAATTGTTAGTATTCTAGCTTAATCTTACTTGAAATGAGTTTCTGGGTTTGTGTTGCCCTTCATGGGAGCATGATGAGCATGCTTGGAAGATTCGTTAATGATCTCCAACACTGATGGTGACAATGCTTCGGTAATCTAAACCAAGATTATACATTATTATTATTGCTAAAGAAGATTAAGCTTATCGCGTATAAATATATACAACTTCTTTACTTTGGTTTCGATTGAAAGTGCAACAGGTCCTCTTTCTGCTGATGACATTTTTATAAAGATAGAGTAAAGGAGTAAAAGAAGAGAAAAGATTGAAGCAGAAATTGATTGCTGTATATATATATTATGTATATTTTTGGACACCGAAGAAGAAGCAACAAACATGAATGCAAAATTTGGGTTTTCTTTTTTTTTTCATTTATTTATATTGTTATTTATATTGTTAATATTATGATTATTATGATTATTATATATATATATATAAAAGCTACTTCAGTTTCTGTTCTTCCTTTACTCTGAATATTTCCTTATTGCAACAGAGCTAAGTTTTTTTTTGGATTTTTGATTTTTGATCCTAGAAGAATTTGCCAGGAGCAACGGGATGGCTTGCACTCAAACCACCGTCAACAGCAAAAACTTGGCCGTTTACGTATGAAGCCTCATCACTTGCCAAAAAGGCAATAACATTACCAACCTAATAATTAACAAAACAAGAAGAAAAAAAGGGAGATTTACATGTACACATGAATATTTGTGTGAGTGTGTGTTTACTTTACAGTTACATTCTCCCATATATTTATTTATATCAAAGAATTTACCTCTGAAGAAACACCAGAGCGACCCAAGGGGTTCAATTGACCAATCTTGTGGGTAGTTCCTCTGGAACGAGCGTTGTCAAAAACAAGCTTTGTCATGTTGGTCTCAATCAAACCCTTTTGATTTCATTTGATAAAGAGAGAGAGAGAGAGAGAGAGAGAGAGAGAGAGAAAAGTCGTGTGTTAATTTTATGTGCATAATTTATGATTATTTATAAGGGTTATTCACTTACTGGGCAAATGGCGTTTACGCGGATATCAAATCCAGCATATTGACATGATCCTGTTTGACAAAGGCTTGCAACACTAAATTTAACTTTCAGATAAGTACAGAAAAACAAATAGATCAATAGACTTCTTCCATTCCACTTACGCTGCCTTTGAAGCAGAGTATTCTGGAGAGCCAGCACCGGATCTAATACCAGCAACTAGATGTAATAAAATAATATTAACAACAACAGTCGCTTACCTAATTTATTATTTCTAATGCTTACCAGATGAGGTTGCTACAATAGAACCACCACTACGTTCCTTTCCACCCTTTCCGACCGCCTTCATGGCTTCACCGGCAAACTTGATGGCCAAAAAGACGCTCAAAGAGTTGATACGCATCATGTCAGTGAACGACTCGGCAGTCTCTTGGCTAATACGAGACATCGTGGCCTTTCCGGCATTGGCTACAAAGACATCCAATCTTCCAAAGGTCGTCAGGGCTTCGTTGACAATACCCTCCACAGCAGAGGAAGACGCGGCATCAACTGCACGTGCAATACACTGGACCCCAGGATATTTCTCATGGATCTCCTTTGAAAGATCTTCGAGATTTTCAAGCGTCAGGTCGGTCACATAAATTGCTTTTGGTTCACGCTTGGCAATAGAAATAGCGGTTGCTCGACTAGAGAATAAATACGAAGAAGAACAAGAAGAATAAATAAATAGAGCCAGTGGATTTGATTTGTTTTCCAGAGATTTTATGTCTATGTATTTTATCACACGACTCTTTACCCGATGCCATAGATGGATCCTGCACCAGTAATGATGCAGACCTTGTTTGTCATGGAAGGTGTGACATGAGCGAGATGAGCAGTAACTTGAGCAAGACGATCAACAGCAGACATTATGTAAGAATAAAAAGTAAAATTGGTTTATTCGTGAGAGTGAGAGAAAAAGTGTGTGAGTGAGAGAGGGAGGGAAAGAAAGGTATGTTGCTGGTTGTTGCTCTTTTTTTTTATATTAAATATATACAACAAAGTTAATGTAACTCTGTGCTTTGTGGGGTATAATGTATATTTCAGGAACAGGGTCCGCTGTGTGGATCAATCTCGGGAGAAACTCAAGCTTAATCATTTTCGTTAATGAAATATACACATACATATATATACAGGTATATAATATTTTAACAAGGCATCTATTAAGATCGAGATATGAACAGGTTTCTCGGAGGGGATGGGGAAGTAGGTTTTTGACCTTTTTCGTGCTTAGTCAAGCATATTAACATTTATTTAAAGCCCGTTATTTCTTTTTCTTTTTTTGGATTTTATTTTTGCTTGTGTGGCGAAACAAACTTAATTAGGTTTTACTTTAAAGTTGGCTGATAAACAGGCTCTTAATTACATTTCATATTTCTCTTACTCTATTCAAATGCATTCCAATACAGGTATATATAAGCTTCTATGTAAACTGTACGGGTTTTGTATAACTAGGTGGTGCAAAGCAATGTCGAATGAACTTGACAATGTAGAAAGGAAGAGACTACTGATAGCAGTAATCGCAGCTCTTTTCCAAGCAAACATTTCTGTTAAAATGAATGACATGTCTAATTACAGAAAAAATTAATTGCGAATAAAAGGTTAAAGCCAAAGCCAAAGCAAAAGCAAAAGCAAAACACTAAACCGAACTATACTACAGAACAGTTTATCATTCATAATGACCTTTGCTAAAGTATGTCTACAGAAGCCACATTGATCCAAGCTAAAATTAAAGTGGCCATTATTTCTGATAGATAGAACCATAATTGCACCATATAATATTTTATAAACACACGCATATACAACAGTACAAGCCCATATAAAAAAAAGGGTCATTGTCCTCATTTACTTATCTTGGTAAACGCTCATCAAAAGCCATGTAAAGAATGTTCTCTAGGATAAAGATCGACCATATAATATATATATAGCTTATTTATCAGTTTCAAACAAAAATTATTCTTTGTGTGTGTGTTGATTAAAACTAAAGTATTAATATTTCGCCTTTGTTAAATCCTTGTAGAGTTCAGGGTACATTAATGCAATCTCTTCATTTACATCTTGGTCAAGGATAAGAGAAAACGCTGGTGCCATTGTATAAATCGTAACATGACTATTGATATTAGTACAATCACAACTGATATTATTGCTAGTAGTCGTATAGGAAATAATCAATCTAATGTCTGGCTTACCCAACAATACGCATTCCTTGATACAAAGTTCAAAATACGGCTTTTATCACTGAAATAATAAGACAACGATGGATAACAAACTGAGAGAGTTTGGCTGGTCTCTTGTAGCTATTCCTTCTATGGTATACTATATGCATACATGTATAAATGACCTGTCAAGATTCAGATATTTGAAATGTCATTTACCATATTTTCCAATGTATTGTTTATACTATCCTGAAGCTTGTAGATTACACTATTCAGACCAAATAGCTTGGGTTCTGTTTTTAGATGAGATTCAATCATTGGCTGCTTATTCTAGTTGTGCTTATATATTGCTTTTCTAACCTTATGAAAAATATACACCATAAAATAACAATGACACAAAGAATCTATAAGCTTTTTTTTTCTTTGTTTCAATTACAAAAAAAATAACGATCCTAAAAAATATATATATAAATATATGAGATTTTGATAGATGGACACACAGACTTTATTTTTTTTTTACACCCCGTTTTTCACGTATTCTTTGCTTTTACTGGGCTATTCAATTGTGACTCATGTTTTGGTGTCCAGTACACAAACCATAATATCAACAAAGAAACGCGATTTATTTATTTATTTCTACCTACAACAACAAACAAAAATAATATAATCCTGTCTACCAATTTATTTATTTTTTTGCATCATCAAACCAAGCCAGCCCAATCTTTACAACATCATGAGCCTGGAAATCCCAAAGACATAGTAGCTCAACATCTGTCAATATTCTGGAGATGTCTCTCATATATCCGAAAGGTTGTTAACAGCTTCAGAAAAAGGAGAACCCCCCTTTCTCCATGGATTGCTTACAATTCCCTTTTTTTTTCCTCAGACCTTTCAACTGAGACCTCTTCCCCGGGAATCTTACACGGTTGTCTCGAGAGCAAGCAAGCAATCCAACGCTCTGTTTTTTTTTACGAAAAATTTGCCGCTTTGATGGATACTCTGGCCATTGTGCTTTCAAGATGACACCAAGCTGCTCGACTGCCGCCACGTGTTAAATAGTGTCGAGAAAGCCTTTGCGAGAAAACTCAAGTCAGTTGCGGAAAAGAAAGTCTTGATGGAGTATGTGAACTCTATGATTCACAGCAATACCAAAAGGGACTTTGAGGTGGCGAAGTGGACGACAGAGGCCCCAAGGTAGATGCCTCGGTATACTTTACCGAAAAGTGGGAGTAAGCTACCTGACTTGCCAACAAAGCAAGGCACCGACAACCTCTGATTTTTAATCATGTTAACAACAAGTACCGGACAACATTAAATCGTTCCCGAAATGCCTTGAGGAAATGGTCAACCTTCCCTGGGTTATTCTTTGTGGGCTGTGCCAGGAATCGAATTCCTGGTAACTTCGACGCACATTGGGACACGTTTGAAGAGTTCAATAAGCATGATCGCCGAAATGTCGTGCTCTCTTTTCCGAGCAAGATGAACCAGCGGATCTTACTCGAAAATCATCCGCTGGTTCTCTCTTTTTTTAATATTCTTATTAAATATTATTTTTCCAAAAAAAAAAAAAATGAAAAGGGGGGGTGGTAGGGTGAGGATTACGAAAAACTTTGTGACGTGTCCAATATTTTCTTTATTTATTTATTGTGTTCTTTATCATCTCTTTTCATTCATGATAACTTTTTCTTAAAGAACAATCAACCAAAGGAAAAGGAAAGAAGGAAGGAAGACTGCAGCCTGGTGAGTTCTGGAGATGTTCAGAGCTGTATTGGAAATAGAAGGGGGGTTTCATTATCTCTTAAGATTAGGATTCGGAAAGCGGATGTTTAAATGGTGAAATGATTGGCTGAGAAGAATCTGAATAGAATTAAAATGTGTAGATTTAATCCGAAGGAAAAGGCTTTCGGATTGAAATTTAGGATTGCTCATTTTGACGTCTTGAAATACTTGGAGCAAAAGTTTATCAATTTATTTGGCTCTCTTACATATTTCTACTTTATATACCAGCTTTTTATAAGCTAAATTCCCAATATAAGTGATAGAAATTAACTTAATTGTTTATAATAAAATATCAGGTACAAGAATAAGACGATTAATTAGAAAGGGGGACTCAATAATTTTCATTTCATATTCACTGTCATTGGCTACAGGTTTAACATCCTAATCCGAATCCTAATCCTGAGATAATAAAACCCCCTAATATTTTTTTAAATCCAAGAGTAAAAAATAAATAAAAAATAAATACTCACGGTTCACATAGCAAGCAAGGTAAATAACCTTTGATTCAACCGAGTCGTCAAAAAGGCAAGTCCGAGACCTACTGCTGTCTTTATACAAAACACATACATATAGCTTACTCGAATACGGTTTGTTCGAGCATACGCATTTGCAGCACTGGAGGGCACAGTCTACATCCTACATAATAAAAATGATGGGTACATTTTGTCTCAATAGAGAAAGAGCAGGTTTTTGTTTTGTTTTGTGTTTTGCTAAATTTATATACAAAACAGCTTAAAAAAGCATCTATATCTTTAAATCATTTTTAATTTGATTTATATGATTTGTATCAGCAGCCACTTTTTTTTCTTTCTTTCTTATCCTTCTTCTTTTATTGGATTTTTTAGATTTTAAAGAATATACTGGCAATTTCTTGTATGCAACCAATAGATATCCATATACGTTTGTCTATATACTATATGAGTTTTGTATAGCTAGGTGGTGCAAAGCGACGTCGAATTATCTTGACAATATAAAGAGGAAGACTACTGACGGCAGTAATTACTGCTACTTTCCAGACAAATCTCTCGGTCAAAATAAATGACATGTCTAAGCACAGATAGAAAGAAAAAACATAAAAGTTAATTGAAAATAAATAAATAAAAAAAAGAGATAATAACTTGTAATGCAATATGCAAACAAGTTATTATTCTCAGTAATTGTTACCAAAGTACGTTGGCAGAAGCCACATTGATCCAATGTAAATTAACATGGTCGTTATTTCGGATAGAAGCATGATTTTATGCCTGTTGACCAAAGTTCTGTCAGTACTGACAGCTTTGTATTTTTACCTTTTTATTTATTTATTTATTTAATTATTACTTACCATGTACTGATCTGCAAAGCGACCATGAGAAGTTCATTAAAGATCAGAGCAGTAAATGAGATTGAAACAATGTGGATGAATTCATCCTCGAACAGAATGATAGATAGAACCATAATCGCGCCACCTTAAAATATTAAAGAAAAACATCCATATAGATATTAGTACATCAGTACAAAACAAATCATCTTTCTTTTCATTCACTTGCCCTGGTAAACGCTTATCAAAAGCCATGTAAAGAATGTTCTGTATGATAAAGATCGACCCTATAATATATGTATAGCTTATTTATCAGCTTGAAACAAAAAGTAGTCTTTGTGTATATATTGATTAAAAATTAAAGTATTAATATTTTACCTTTGTTAGATCCTTGTAGAGTTCAGGGTACATTAATGCAATCTCTTCATTTACATCTTGGTCAAGAACGAGAGAAAACACTGGTGCCATTGTATAAAGAGTAGCATAACTATTGATACCAACATAATGATGATGATAATAATGTTAGTATTCATATAATAAAAAAAAATCAATATAATATCTGGCTTACCCAACAATAAGCATTCCTTGATACAAAGCAATTGGAGCAAAGTAAAACAAGGCTGAAAATACGGCTTGCATCACTGAAATGATAAGACCACGATGGATAACAAACTGAGAGAGTTTGGCTGATCGCTTGTAGCTGTTTCTTCCATGCCACACTATACATCGAAAAAGAATGTTAGCGTGGACTTGGGTATCAGTAGGACTTGATTTTCTTACACAAGAGCTTAGTCAGGTGGCTAAACTGGGTTATAGAAAAATCTGCTGCTAGAGATGCCTGTCTACCTTCCTTTCCAACAATACCAACACCTAGTAAGAAAGAAAGAAAGTACTTGTCAAAACTTGGTCCAAGTGTGTGTGCGTGTGTTTTCTCATATATAGTAAAAAGAAATTAACAAGTAACTTGCCTACATCTGCAGCCTGAATCATGCTAACATCATTTCCACCATCTCCAACACATAATACTCGCTTTTTTGTGTAATCCTTTATTAAGCAGGTTATGTCAGCCTAAGATTAAAGAAGAAGAAGAAGAAGAATATAATGTCAGTTAATAATTCAGATTATTATTATTATTATCTTTTTTTTTTAAAAAAAAACAATACCTTTTGGGTAGGCGAGCAACGACAACACACAACTACAGGTAACCTTGTAGCCACTTCAATAAACTCCTCTCTGCATGCATCAAGACAAAACTGTGTAATACAAACAGTGTTGTTAGTATGATGATTTCTTTTAACATGGTGTAATAAGTAAGAGTTTCACACATACTTGTAAGGACTCTCCGTCTATTACAAGACAGCAGTCTGTTTTCGACTGAAGATTGTCAATTTCATCAAATGCTTCCATAGTACTTGATACTAAAAGTTAGCCGTTACTATTGTTTTTTTTTTGCATATATATACAGCAAAGACTCGATTCAATTCCTTGTAATTTTTAAGTTTTTTTTTATACCTTTGGTAATTTGATAGATTTGCTGGTTACGGGAAACTAACTTGGAAGATACTGCAATACATGTAGCAGTCTCTACTTTGTCACCTATTTATTTATTGGGTTTTGAAATGATTTAGATACCAATATTAAGAGAGCCCCAGTATAAAAGCCAAGATATATATATATATATGTTACCTGTCAACATCCATATCTTGAGACTTGCGTTTCTAAGATTTTCTAATGTATTCTTTACACCATCCTGAAGCTTATCTTCTACACCAGTCAAACCAAGCAGCTCAAGTTCTGTCTCTAGATGGGATTCAATTACTGCCTGCTTATTTTCGTTACGTTCGTGCATTGATATTTCAGCCTCATGGAATCTATACCATCCCAGAAGAAACATAAAAAAAAATCAATAATACAAAAGATCAATAACATTCTTTTTTTTTGTTGTTGTTGCAATTCTATTAGTGCCTTTCTTTACTTTTCTTTAAAGAGATCGTATGCTTCTTCTGTCAGTTTTTTCTTTGCAATCACAAGTGTTCTCAAACCCTCTCGGGCCATGTTCCCACACTCTTCATCTAGCCTATAGATTTACATGGATAGATGAGTTTTTGACGGATAATATATCAAATTAAATTCAAATACTTGCCAATCATTGTATTGAACGATAGAGCTCATAACTGCGTCAGCTCCCTTTTGATAAAAGAAAATTTCTTGTGTCTGCTTGTCTTGGATAATGATACCCATTCGCTTGCTTTCACTTGTGAATGGAAACACATTCAATATCTCGAATTCCAAATACTCTCCTGTTGCCGTGATCCGAAGCCGTATGGTATTGATATCTCGGTGAACCAGAACCATACCCATCTGCTCCGTCCACCTGACAATTGCAACCTCATCAGGACTGGCTGCCTGATATGTAATTTCTTCATCGAGATTAAATGAAGGAGTTACCTAGAATTATTTTTCATAGAGGGGTTCATTATTATTGTCATCACTTTAGATAGATGAATTTGACAAGGATGCATACTACATCACGCATATTTCTTTAGAAAAAAAAAATAGAAAGAAAGAAGAGAAAATTTTATTTACATTATGGCACAATGCCAACGCCTGTACAATATCCTTAACACGCCATGCAATATTTCGTCGACTTTTACCAGGCATATTCATCTTGCCGCCTTGAGAAACATTAATACGCAAATATGTACATATTGCTCTTATACATATATTGTTTGACTTACTTTGCTCTGTTTGCTCACAGGCAGAGGCAAGATGTGCTTGGATTTCATCCATAGTATCAAGACTGTATGACATTGTACCCATGTGCAATTTCTTAAGTTCCATATCTAATCTCCAAAAAAAAATACGATTACTATTATTTCAATTCATTAAAGACCCACACATCACCTATAGATCTATGTATTGTATAATTATTGAGGTTATTCTTTAGGCGTACCGTTTTTTGTCAGTGTTCCGGTTTTGTCAGTCAAGAGATATTCAATACGTCCCAATTCTTCAGGAAGTGTGCTTGTCCGAACAATTGTTCCCTGAATTGATGTGTCGTTTTCAATTTGTCTAGCATAAACTGTTTTTCCCATGTCCAAGTTCACACGTAAACTACACATACATACATACACACACATATATATAGATATAAATATATATCACATAAGATTCAATACAGTTTTTGTACTGCATGTTTACCTGATAGGAATGATTGACGAGAAAAGAATAAGAAATCTAAATACATAGATGTACCAAAGACCATGAAATCCATTGAGGCCAACCATGATAACTGACATACACAAGGTAACTAAGAAAAGAATCTAAAAGAAGAAATCCAATAAATAAAAAGTGTTATAGAGATTGGCTTGAGAGTATTCAATTCAATTGTATTGTATTAAATTGAATTGAATTGTATTTTTATTTTTTTTACCTTTGCCAGTCTGTTGATTTCTATATCAATCAGCCCAACCTTTGTTTTTGGATGGTTTGTATTCATTACCGCACGAGTATCTTTTCCAGTGTAGACTACAAACCCAATAGCTGATCCAGAAGCCAATACTGTATTTGACCAAAGAGTGTTCTCGACTCCGAGAGATTCTGTACGTTCTGCCATTGTTGTTTTGTCAAGGTAGGTAAAGGTACCCATGAAACTGTGGATATCCTTGTGAGGTGCATCGGCTAAATAGATAAAAAGCAAATTTTAATTTTTTTTTATACTTTCTTTCCAACGCAAACACATATGTACAGACACAGACAGACACATACCATTTACTGTTCCCTCTACATTCATTAGTTCAGTATCTCCGGAAAGTCTCTGCATAGACGGAAGTGCTAATCTCAATTTCCAGTCGGTTTCTCCGTCCAATTGGTCTGTACGGATAAAACATGCGCCAGTCTCTTCTGTGGTTCTCAAAAAGATCATGTCTGCAGGAATCTACATAATCAAGCTTTAAATTCTTCCTTTTTTTGTTTTTTACTTGGCCCATTACAAAAACAAAAACAAAAACAAAAACAAATCAATCAATCGATCTTACCCTTTGATCCTTTCTTACGATAATAAGATCTCCAACACTGATCTTTGAGCTTGGAATTGTATGGGGACCAGAAGGTGAGAGTCGTTGATATATTTGTGAATTGGCTTCTTTGTCCCGTTTGTACCGCTGATAGTCATCCATGGCTTCTTTGCTGATAGTTACCAAGAGAACAAAACTCAGTGGACCAAAGTAAGTAACAATGTAACCTAGATATAAAGTTAGATTATTTACAGTTGGATCCAGATCAATATAAATGCAGTGGATATACATATAAAGAAAGAAAATGATAGATGCTCAATTTGATCGCTAGTATCTTTACACACATAGTTATGTACTTCTTTATCGAGAGACTTGCCTATCTTTAATGCTGGGACAAATTGTGACAAGGCAACAAGAAGAAAGTAAAGGTTGAAAAAGACAACAAACTAAAAGTATGTAATTTTCCTTGGTGAATTTAAACAATTTTTTTTTTAAAATTTATGGATCACCGACTATTTGTAGTAACTTGCCTGTTCATAAAGTACAAGTGGTAGGAAAGTAAATATATTGTATTTCTGATTGATAACAATATTTGGTGTGTATCTCTTCTTCTTTTGCTTGACTGTTTTGGATGTCAGTACAATGTAAATAGCATATTATTGTTACTGCTGTCATTTATCTTCTCTTGACTTTCTTTTTTTTTATTACCTTTGGGGTCGAAAGCAATTACTCGAGGTTGTTGTGGTCTTTTCCATTCAAACCAAGATCGCCATTGTGTCTTTCTTTTTGGCACAGAGGTATGTGAATTAGAAGTTTCCTGAGTAAAACAAATATAATGCAATATTGTCGAGATTTCCTATTACTACTGTATTCTTCATTGACCAATCTGATTCAAACTTTTTTTTCTGTTTTGGACTTACACCCAGTTCTTCGTCCATCAACAAGTGATCTTCATCGCTTGCATGATCAGATGATGTACTGGGTTTTCGACCACCACGTCTCGAAAATGGCAACATCTTCCGAAGTGCGATTGGTCCAGAATCTGAACGCATTTAGAAGTCTCTTTTACTTTTGACTTTTTCTTTTTCTTTTTTGGCTTTTGCTTATTGATCTATATATATATACAAGATAGAGAGGTAGGGTGAAATGAAATCAAAAGAGAGGGAGTGTCAAAGCGTGAATATGCTTTAGCTCCGATAATCAGAATTAGAAAGAAAGAAAAAATCTCAAGGACACGATGATTTAGCAATTGGTGTAGACAGATATTAGTATCCCCACGCACCCAATGCGCGGCCTTTGAAAATAAGATTTGAGAAAGATAGTTACAGGAGATGAAAGAAAGAGATATGAACACTAGTCAGGCGGAAGTGATGTCATGGGATCAATGTATGGCTGTCACTGCTTTATCTGCGACTACATTGGGGAAAAAAGAGGGAGTTGTAAAGACAAATGCCCAGTGAGCACGCCAGATTGTGTGAACTGTGATGGATGCAATCGCAATCTGGAGAGAGGAGGAAACGGAGAGAGAAAGCCGAGTACGAGTGAGAAGCCAGGCAACATCAGAAATGGACCAGAACCGACACATTTGCCGCAGTACCAATGTCCACACAGGAAACTTGCGAGGGCAGGAGAAGACGAAGTGTTAGAGAGACTCTACCGCAGAGAGACGCGTACTAAACGACGTGCTCTTCATGCAATAACAAATCGGGTCTTTATAGTCCTTTCTTTTTCTTTTTTTTTTACTTTGACAATGACGTTATTTTTATCTTCAGTCGATTACTTAACCTTACTGACTTTTTTAAATTCTCTAAAAGCTAAAGTAGATGTAGGCAAAGGCATATCAATGTATAGCATCAACCCCCACCCTCCGTACCAGTTGAATTCCCCCCCATATGCCAAAGTTACGCAAAAACCGAATTGAAACTTTGAATCAGTAGGGTGTTTCAAGTTTAAAGATCCTGAAGAATTTGAGGTTTTTATTTTCTATATATACTCTATTAATTGGCCAATAACATCTAATATGAAAATATATTACTGAATTTCCCTAAGTAAAGTCATGTATAAAAAATCAAGTCAACTTCTAAAAGTCTAAAAGTCTAAAAGAAATCTCTTGAAGCTTTTTGATTTAGATTTTTTTTTTACAGATATTTCAATAGTTCCTAAATCCTTTTAGGAAGGTGACTTGCTTTTTAAGTTCGCCGATAGAAATATCTAAACCTTGAATCCTTCAAGATCTAAATTTGAAACACCCTATTGAAATCAAAAGGGCCAAGTTTCCAGCAGCCTGAAATGATAGGATTGGACCTGTCCAGTATATGGAACTTTTAGCAGGTCTTTATGTATCTTAACAAGATATTGAAGTCAGAGGGTTTTCTATGGAACCCATCTATTTTTATTATTATTACAGTAAATGCCGTAGACAACTTGGTCCAAGGCTGGTCTTATCTAAGCTTCTTTTCAAGCCAGATACCATGCAAGCATAAAAGGGGCTTTAGATAAAATAGATAGCTTTAGAAATATGAATACCCAACGTTAATAAAAATAAAATTACACCTGTATTATTTAGTATTTTACAAAGAAGTATATATATATATATTTTCTCTCTCTCATAAACAAATACGATTTTTTGAAAAACAAAACAAAACAAAACAAGTATGCTTTGTATATTCCTCCAGTCAGTCGATTGGATTGAGAATAGGACCATAGTAGGAGCATTATTATCAGTAAGCTCTTCGTTTCTTTCTTTTTTAATTTGATTATTTTTCTTGGTAAATCCCAATCAAAACTCCATTACAGATCAATTCAGGGACCCCTTGATAATCTCTAGAGCCGATCGATATCCCTCCCTCTATTTCTTCTCTAAAGAACATTTCAAGGACCCTTGCTTTTGTTCTATTGTTTTGATTTATATGTTAAATAGAAAGATGGATATGGTTGTGTATTTTGTAAATAAGTAAAAAAAAAAGGAAATGTAAGATGACGAAGAAAATGATATCAAGAGAAAGAAGATGAGAATAATAGATAGAGGGATAGAAAGAGAGAGAGAGAAAAAGATAGAAAGAAGAAGTAGTAGTAGTAGTAGTAGTAGTAGTAGTAGTAGTAGAAGAAGAAGAACAAGACAATGGATTTTTGTAATTATTGTTTTTTTTTGTATTTGTATTTGTATTTGTATTTGTGCAGTGTATTAAACATCTTTCTCACTTTCTCATCTTATTTCTTTCTTTACATATGTATATCAATCTTCCTTTTTCTCTAAAAGTGCTTGGATTCAGAGGGGACGCGGCCACGGATGACCTTGGGCTCAGTACCGGGGATGTAGATGTCGGTGTAGAACTCCTTGAGCTCTGGCTCGGGAGATGCCTCGGCCTCCTTGGCAGCCTCATCAACGATCTTGCGGGCTTCCTTGTCAATGGCCTTGAGGTCAGCCTCGGTGGCAACACCGTGCTCGAGGATGATCTGCTTCATGCCAGTGATGGGATCAGAGGTGGAGCGCATGTGCTGGATCTCCTCACGGGTACGGTAGGTGGTTCCGGGATCGGACATGGAGTGACCACCATAACGGTAAGTAGCCAACTCCATCACAAGAGGACCCTTTCCAGAGGTAGTCCATTCCTTAGCCCACTCACAAGCTCTGTAGACAGCAAGGGCATCCATACCGTTGACCTATATATATATATATATATATATATATATATATATATTGAAAACATATATTAGAAAATGCCAATGCATTATTTATTTCTCTGTCTTGCTACTTCACTAACACTCTCTTTGTATGTGTCTTTACCACACACACACAAGGTATTTCACCATCTAACTCTTGTATATTCTATATCTGACTTACGTAGATACCGGGGATGTAGTCACCACGGGTAAAGTACTTTGTAGAGGCAGAGGAACGGTTGGCAGAGGTGCCCATACCGTACTTGTTGTTCTCGCAAACAAAGACACAGGGAAGATCCCAGAGCTTGGCCATGTTGTAGGCCTCAAAGACCTGACCCTGGTTAGAAGCACCGTCACCATAAAGGGCAAAGGTGACCGAGGGAATACCGAGGTACTTTTGGGTAAAGGCAATACCGGCACCAAGAGGAACCTGGGCACCGACAATACCGTTGCCACCGTAGAAGGAAGGCGAGAACATGTGCATGGAGCCACCCTTTCCCTTGGAAATACCATCACGACGACCCATCAACTCGGCCAAGATGCTCTTGATAGAGCCACCGCGGACGTAGGTGAAACCGTGGCAGCGGTAAGAGGTGATGACATGATCATCGTGGGTGATGGCAGCTTCCATACCAACAGAGACAGCTTCCTATTAGTCCAAAACATTGCACAAGGTGAGTATAGGATTAATATGGAGTATTCATTATTTCTATTAAGTTCAATATAGAGATAGTATAATTATAACTATATATATATATATATCCCGGGCCAAATAAATAAAATAAAATAAAATAAAAAAAAAATTGGGTTTGGGCGGGTATCAACTTTTTTCTCCTCACACACAAAATATTATTATATTTTTTCCCGTCCAAGATTTTTGGCTGGGAAAAAAATTATTGTGGATTCCCCCATTTTTACCCGCCTTCCCCAATTTTTAACCCATATACTTTTCTTTTTCTTTTTTTTTTGGTGTTGTTGATGGTCTAAGTGTAATCGACAGCTCTTCATTAATCAAAAAGATGTATTTTACCTGTCCATTGCACAAGTGGCAGAAACCTCTGATCTTCTTGGCCTTGTACATGGCATCAGCAGCCATTTCCATACGTCTCATGGTAGTCATCTTGGTGTACATATCCAAGAGCTCGGCCTTGGAAAGCTCAACCTCAAGACTGGGCTTCTCAGCATTGTACATCTCAAAGGAAGACTCGGGTAAGGTAATCTTGATCTTCTCAGAGTCATCGCTACCAGAGGAGGCCTGGGCCATAAGACGGGGAGTCATGGTAGAAAAGGCACGCTAAGAAAATAAATAAAAATATGCGTACGTGCGTATGTGAGTTTCAAGTATTCTATCTGATTGTAGAGACAGATAAAGATAAAGAACTACTTCTTTTGGCTGCCTATCTGCCTATCCTAATCCTATTATCTTGTCTTTTGTAGTCTGTGGTTTATATTGGCTTCTAGTATATTTACAGGAGCAAAGGCCTTGGGGGCTACTGCTACATTAGCGAGTAGACGGGAAGCAGCCAAACGAAGCATGACTGTAGGATATTTTTCTCTTTTTAAAAAAAATTAAAGGGAAAGAAAGAAAGAGAGATTTTATTCTGGAGAAGGTTGGTGTATGAGAACGGAAAAAGTGATGAAAATTTATAGGGTTCCCAACCATTGACTGTCCTTTTTGATAGTCTAGCGATCTGATTGGCCAATATCTCCTGTGCGCTTCCCCAAAAAAAAACCGCCATTATAAAATAAAAAATACGTGAAGAGATAGAAGACAAGTAGGAAGGGTAAGATAGGAAGTAAAGGCACTAAAATAATTATTATTTATTTTTTTTACCTTCTTTTACCCGCCAAAAATTATAGCTATAATACAATCAAAATATATAAACTACAAATGCACTCCTGTTAAAAGATACCTCTTTACGTTTTAATAAAAACCATTCAAGCCAAGATAACATTTTTATATCTTTTTGTATTATTTTTGATATCATTATATAAATACTTGATTTTGATTTATATGAATATGAATATGAATATGAATATATAAATATATATATATATATTTAAATGTTAATAATATGTTAAGCCATCATCACTTCTATATACATTTCTATCATGGGGGTTGGCTGGTGCGCCATCGTACCACGAAAGAGGATAGACATGGTAATAAAGTCGGTTGAGTCTATCGAGCTCACTCTCCAGATCCTGCATCTCATCATCCTCAAACCCGTGGTCCTCTTCCAGACTGAGCATGTCAGACACATCGATTGGCTTTGGGAGATAATCTTCCTGCTCCTGGATTTCCTGCTCAACCGACAACGAGTGCTGCTGCTTTTCGGAATCTGGCGCCACATACACCGTCACGTACTCAATGTGCTCCACTGCCTCCTTTGTCTTGACGGGCTTCAGGCGACGCTTGAGCTCGGCGGCTTCGGCTGCGGCTGCCAGGCTGGCCTCGATCTCCTGCCGCGAGTGTGGAAAGGGACACAAGAGATCCTGGGGGTCGTATCGGCCGTGGGTGCGTGCACAGGCCGATACCTGGCGATGCCACACTGCGGCCGTGTCCTGCAGCATCGCATGTGTCTTGAGACGCCCCCAGAGGTCCAGGACAGGGAGCCCTTCGAAGGCTGGCAGGCGGTGGCCGGGCAGCTGGTCAATAATCGTGTCACGCTCCATCAGAGGTACCCGGAAATTGTCGATGACTACCTGCAGGCGCGCCTTCTTGACGTGCGTACCAAACTCCAGGTGGTTGGTCGAGAACGACTCGTAGTGCTGGAAGTTGGGGTAGAGCATCACATACGCCCGCAGATAGACCAGCTCGATAAAGTACTTTTTCCAGGACTTCTTCCACCGGTCTGATCGACTGCCGGGCACGGTGATGTTCAAAAGGTGCTCCTGGCGCAGATCCTCGATCCGGCTCGTCAGGTAGTCGTGGAATTCGCGCCAATGTTCTGGAAAATAGACTGCTCCCCAGCTGCAGGGAACTTGGCTAACGTACGGCATCCGGGGTGGGTGCATGGGTTCCAGAACCAGCGCCGGGTCAAACGGACGGCGTCCTTCGGGCAAGAGCTCGAGGTTGCGAGGAGAATAAAGCGAGATTCCGTACAGCGCAGGATTGGATTGCTCGTAGCGGTACTTCAGAATCGCATACTTGGACCAGCAATAGAACAGCGGCGAGACCTCGATGTCGTCCTCAAGCAACACCGCATAGTCGTCATTGTCATTGGGGTACCAAGACTCAATGATGGCCGGCATAAGCCCGCCTTTGCGCACACGGTGCCGGATCGTCTTTTCGCCGTGGTGCCAGGAAAAACTGTTGACCAGCATTTTCGTAACCCTGTCTGCAGACTGCTCCATGTGCACGACCAGGTTGACCTTGTCGCCCAAAAAGTGGGCCCGTCCAGACGACTGCAGCAAACGCGACAAGGAATGAGGACGGCGATCGGTAATGACGACAAGCTGGATTCTAATCGTGTGCCAGAACTGAAGGGTCTCGAGCGACAGATCTGCAATCCACAGCACATGCCGCACATCATCGGCCGGCAGAGCAATGGCCACGACATGCTGCAGACTGGCCATCTGGGCAAGTGCATCGTCCATTGGATTCTGGATGTGGATGAGGATCTGTGGCCGGATGACCTGGATCAGCCGGGTCATCTTCCACACCACAGCCGAGGTGAGTGCAAGGTCATCAAGAGGTTCGAGATCAAGGTCGTGGATTGTCACACTGGTCGAGCAATTGGTGTGGTCAAAGGCGAGCTGCAGAGCCTGGCCACCAAGACCTCCTCTGGAGTGTCCGGTCACGACCACATGCGCCGTCTGGTTGAATCGGCAGATCAACGGGTGCAGTGCAATTGCTTGTTCGGGTCCGTCTGCAAAAAACACGGCCGAGTGCTTGTCGTGGTGCTGTCTGACCGTGATCTGGCGGCTGTCGAGGGCCGATGGACTGGTGCGTTTGGCCAACAGAGTTTGCCACTGAGTGTTTGTCTCGAACGCGTGTTTGACCTCTAGGCATTCTGCCGTTTCCTGTTGTTGATCTGCAGACACCGATGATGAAGATCGTAATGGCGATGGCTCAAAGGGGGCCAGAATTGTAGGAATGTTGGCGTGCTGCAATAAGTTTTGAGACACAAAATGTCCAACGGGAGATGCCAGGCTGTCTGGTCTTCGATCGGCCAAGAGATAGGGTATCCAGGCACGTTTGAGCAGCCAGGCGCCCTGGACCATGTCGACAGGTTGGGTCACACGTGGCAACAGGTCAAGGGCATCTGGTAAGCACAGAATGGCAGTGGCTGGATCCTTGTTGAGGTTTGCGGGTAGAAGGACGCCTCGCTGGCCGACAAGTGCATGTTCATATTCAGATGTGCGCATCAGACGGTAGATGTTTTCTAGCTCGTCCGAGGGAACAACTGTGTCTACTGCCCAGACCCAGGCACTCTCAACACTGTGCAGTAATTGTAGCCAGGCTGCAGATGCCGCACTGCCAGCAGGTGCATCTTCGGGGGTGTCAATAGAGATGTACTGGAGTGGTGGTAATTGTATTTCCTGTTGTTCTGAAGAAGGAGAAGAAGAAGAATATGGTGATGATGATGATAATTGTGATAATAATAATAATGATGATGCTGATTGTGGGTCTTTTAATTCTTTGACGTATTCCTCAATTGATGTACTCGAGTGAGTCTGACTGACAATAACGATGTTGGATGGTTGGATAGATTGGGATAGGACAGAATTGATGCGTTGGATGGCTTCTTGTTTGGAGTGAACAGATATAATTGCAGTGATGTCAAGTTTGTTACTGTCTGCTACCAAAGGTTTGTTGGCTACTAGTCCAGAAAGTGCAGTTGGGTCGTGGCCTTGGATGGTGTATGTCTGGAGTGAGCGTATAAATGAAAGAGGTTGAGATGAGTGACGAAGGTTTGTTTGGTGATGATGACGAGCGATTGGAAATGACCATGCGGAATCTAAGATTATTATTTAGTTATTTATTTTTTGATGAGAACCAAGATGATATATATATATATATATTGTGTGTGTGTGTGTGTTGTACGAATAATAATAACAATAATAATAATAATGTACCTTGTAACCAATTTTCAAATTGGGGCCAACGCCATTCATTGAATACATGTTTGTGTGGGATTGGGATGCTTTCTGGTTTAGATTGCTGTTTGTTCCCCTGCTGTTCCTGTTGTCCCTGCTGTTGTTGTTGTTGTTGTTGTGGTGGTGGTGTTAATTGTTGTTTTTGCTGCTGTTGCTGTTGCTGTATTGGTGGTTTCTGTGGTTTCTGTGGCGGTGTAGAAGTAAAGAACAAGGGGATACATAATAGGAGAGCGAATGCCAAGAGAACAAAGGCAAAGAAACGAAACAGTTTCTTTGGCGAGTAAGGTAATGCCATAGAATTGTATAATATTCTTTCTTTCTTTCTTTTTTTTTTTTGCTTTAACTTTTTTTTTCTATTTTTATACTATGCTTCCATATAATAGAATAAAATATAATAAAATCGTATATACTTTTATTTTATTTTATATATATTAAAGAAGTGTATATTGAATAAATCAAGTTAAAGGCGTAAAGGAAAGAACAAGTAGCAATAGCAGTAGCAGTAGCAGTAGCAGTAGTAAAGAAGTAGTAGTAAAGAAGAAAGGGGTAATGATACTAATAAATAAATCAATATGAAATAAATGCTTAATTTGGAATATTCAGGTCCATTTTTTTTTTTATTTTTTACCTGGAACCAAAAAAAAAAAAAAAAAAAAAAGAAAAAAAAGAAAAGAAAAGCCCAATAACCGGAGTCCAATAGAAAAGTAGGACGTCAAAAAAAAATAGACAGTAAAGATTATTTGTTTCTTTAACGCAATATTTTTAACTAATATTTCGCACATACACTCGAGTGTAATAGGTCATTAGACGGTCACAGATTTTTTGATTTTTTGATTTTTTTTATGCATTATCAAAATACTCTTTTCTTTGTAAAACCACTAAAAACTCTTAAACAAATAAAACAAAAGCACAAAATGACTCCACCAACTTCTAGCATCACAAAACCCAAAAGACAAGAGCTAGATGCGTTCATTAGGGGCCGAATTATAGGTCAATGGGAGAAGGACGCTACATATGAAGAAATCTCTAAAGCCCTTGACATTCCGAAGAGCACTGTTGGAAATGTAGTGAAAGCCTTCAGAGATAAAGGTGTTTCCAAGCCCTTGACACGTCTAGGAAGGGAACCAAAGGTTACAAAGAGAACACAATCTGCGATGGTGCGCTCATTTCGTAGTGAGCCATTCGTGTCAATTGCGGCTCAGCATCAGAGATTAGTCGATGTGGGAATCTCTATCTGCATGACTACATTCCGTAAGAACATGGAACCTCTTGGCTTTAGTTCTCACTCAGCAGCTCGCAAGCCAGGGTTGACCGAGAAACAGAAGGAAAACAGGCTGAGCTGGTGCCTTGACAAAGTGAATTGGACTGTTGAGCAGTGGAAGTCAGTTGTCTGGTCAGACGAGTCCAGACTCATGGTAGTTGGCAATGATGGAAGAGTCAGAGTCATCAGAAAGACTGGCGAGAGGTTTGACAAGAACCATATTGTCCAAACATACAAGTTTGGTAAGGGTTCCGTCATGATTTGGGGTTGTTTCTGGGGTGGGGGTCTTGGCCCCTTGGTAACATTGAAAGGAAACATCGATCAAGACAAGTACATCGACTGTTTGGCTCAGTACTTTCTTCCCTGGTACGAGGAACTGTCCAGGGATAATAACAAACAGTTTTTGTTCCAAGAGGATGGTGCACCATGCCACACGGGCGCTTATGCCACATGGTATAAAAAAGAGAGGTGTCTAATAGATAGCTTTGATTTTTGGCCTGCCCAGAGCCCAGATCTTAATCCTATCGAGCATATTTGGGCTCATCTTGCGAGGAAACTTCGCAAGAATAGAGCACAAGTAACCAATGTGGAAGAACTTGAAGCGGTAATCCACAAGACATGGTTGGAGATACCACTTCAAGTTCTGGAAACTTTGGTAGCCAGCATGCCAGATAGGCTTAAAGAAGTAATCGAGAGAGGTGGTGACACAACTCATTACCAGAGCTCATACCTTTTCTCTTAAATATATATATAATAAACTATGTTTTCTCTAAGTTTTGCTTTATTCTGAGCACATTTTATTATCAACATTATTGAAAAGAAAATATCGTCCATAATATGCTTGAAAAATAATTTTGAAAATTAGAAGACCGTCCAATGACCTATTACACTCGAGTGTACAAAGAAGAAAATACCAAGACATTTCAGGGACATAATATATATGAGCAAATGAACGAATGGATACCAATCATATAGAAAATATCGAATACTTGCGCACACTTTTTGCCTATTTTTTTTATTTTATTTTTTAAAAAAAAGGAACCAATTTTACCTTGAGCTTAAATGATTATTTTCCTCTCTCAGACTTAAAAATTGTGTGAAGTTTCACAAACCATCCAATTAAAAAGAAGCATTCTAAATTTGATTTAAAAAAAATTACTTTCGATCAATATTATGTCACTTGTTAGTTTTGTCTATAACCAATAAAGAGGTCCATGCTTAATTTCAAGGAACGAGAATAAAGAAATGAAACATTTGCTTCAACCCATTATATGTTTCAAAGCCAATAACGTTAAACCGAAAGTACCAAAAGTATATTTAGTTAGAATGGTCTTGTTTGAGTTTACATACCGATATCAGCTTTTGTATATAAGTATTTAAGAAAAACAACAACATATGCAGTGCGAAAAATCAAAGCAGCAGCCTTTATTCTGCAAGAAATGGACGAATTCAATGAATGATCGATACCGAAACTTCTATAGAAAGTACCAGTAAACAACTTTACAGTATTTAAAAGCTTTTTATTTTAAACCCTCAGATCCAATAAATTATAGGCCAGGATTGGCATAGAAAGCAAAACTTCAAGGACGGATCTGTTTTACCGGATAAAAGAACCCGGAGTTTAAAACAAAACAAAATGAAATGCATGTCTTCAACAGTAACAACAAGTATTCAAAGGTGTAATGATAGTGTCAACCATAAATGTGGTATGCCGCTGTGGTGTTGTGACGTTGAATTTTACTCAGTCAGGTACAAATCTATGGATTTACAATTGTTTCTATTCATTTTCACTTTAAAAACGAAACATTCCTGAACTTTAAGAAAACTTGAAGAAAGCCGGTGCGATACAACGGTGTTAAAAGACTAGGGTTCTTCCAAGACAATCTCCTTCAAACATAAAAAGTGTTTAACCACGTTTGGGAGAAGTGACATTTGATCCAGGTTTTTTTTTTGAATAGTTTGATTTTGGATGCATTGATTATTCTGTAAAGCTTGGGAGACAGGAGATCCATAACGTATGTGTGTTTTTTTTTGCCTTTACAGTGGATACCACAAACTTTAGGTTTCAAAACTTCCTTCATCTGTTTGGCAAGTTTGGCTAAATCTGATTCTACATTGGAGCTTTTTTCTATACGCTTAAATCCAGCAATTAAAACAAAACATTTGGTACTACCAGAGATGTTGTATACAAAAAAATCCAGCTAGAATGCAACGTTGTTGTTCCTTGATAGCTGACCGCTAGCCCATTTCATTCTGAGAAGAGAATCCGAGGCAAATTCATCTTTCTCATCTGAATTCGTAAATGTAATGGTGTACCCACAAATACGGTAAGGGTGGTGGTGGATTGACAAATCAGATGGTATTTTGTCCTCTTTATCATTTTCCGTTTCATACGGATCTATTAAGTTTAGTGTATGGCGGTTTCTGCTGGTTGTGCTTGATTTAGATTTATGGTACTTTTGTCAAAATCATTAAATGTATTGATAGCGCTAAAATTACCTGCTGTAACGCTATAACTGCTGTCTTTGAGGCTTTGTATCGAGTGGCTTTAATGATAATAAGCGATGAGCTTCTGCCCTTACAAAATCCGGTACATCACGCAAGCTTTAGGCGCTATCCATTATTGACATTTTTTTTGTGGTGGATCAGACTTTGTTATTTATTAAATGGTTAAAAAAAAACTAACTAACAATGGGCAGAAAACGTTTCCTGGTGGGGGACAACATTTTCTTGTAGTAGACATCATTTTGATTTTCACGGACCACAAGTTATGCCCATTCTGTTATGACCTATGCCATGGACGGCATGGTATTACCCGAAACCTTTGGAGGAGATGATAATCAGCCTTGCTTCTATTTTATTTTTTATTTTTTTAATGACAAGCCTTGGGCTACTTTCTGGTTATATATGCGAAAGAGAGACAAAGAAATGATACGCGTATGAAGGCTAAATAAATAGTAAAAAACAAAAAACAAAAAAATCCAACAGGATTGCGTCACAATTTAATGAAAACAAATCCTAATAATATTATGCATAGCTGGCTATTGATAAAGTGTATTCGTAAATAAGTATTTAATTCATTTTTATTGTAAAGTCTAAATTTAGGGCGCAAACAGCTATTTTGATAGGGATATATTGTGTATTTTTTTAGGACACGCCGTTTCGCCTTAAAAGATAAGAGACACTGGCCCGGACAGGCAAGTCACGATTAATTAGTCGGGTTGGACAGAAACGTCGTGTCCCACCAGAAAGTTTGTTCCCTTAAGATTGCTAGAGTATTTATTTAGTTTACAAGGACGAGGCCTTGCTGAATAATGTAATGCATTCAGCGACTTGGTGGGAATATGCATTTCCTAACTAAGGACAGCCTCTTTTTATTTATTTATTTTTGACTTCCAAAGCTTAATCAATCAGACAGATATCCAAGTCACCGATTGTGCATTAAACATTAATAGAAGTTATGATGATTTAAATGCATGGCTTCCTATTAAATATTAACTCAATAAACACAATGAGAGACAAAGAAGAGGTATTTATTTTGATGAATTTGAAATAATAATATATATATATATATATATGAAGCGCAAAAGGAGAACTAAATACGAGCAACAACAACAGAAAGCATTGAAATGTCTCAATCTTGAATATGAAACTATTCATAAACAGGCAATACAAATATCTCTTTTTCTTTTTGCTCTCTTTATTAATTGCTCTGTGATTTTCATTAGAGAGGCAAAACGGCCAGAGGCTTATAAATCTCTCTCTCTCTCTCTCTCTATCTTTATCTTTATCTTTGGTTTATCTTGCATGCTTTAATTTTGGTTTATATTTTTTGTACCACAAATTTACTGACTATATAAATAAATTACAATTCTATAATTAATATATTATTTTATTTTATGTAAATAGCTTTATCTATCTGTATCCATACATATCTTTAATATCTATCCATATATGTCATTTTCTTATCTATGCCTTGAATTGCCTTTTGATATCTTTCTTTGATATTCTAAAGGATTAGAGAGAGAGAGAGAGAGCGAGCTAGAAACTTAATTATGTATAAAATATATTATAATATAATATATTACAATATATTTAAATGCAAACCTCCCCTTAAAACTTACTCCCACTTTGCTTTGTGCACTCCCCCGTCCCCTTTCGATAGATCTATTAATCTATCTGTATACTTTAGTATAATTTAAGACCAAGTACATCTGCATATGTGTGTATAATTGTTTATTAAAGATTTAGTAAAGGCCAAACAAGAATAGAAAAATGAAAATGAAAATGATGAAGATGGAAGATGTGGAATATTATATTATATTATGTACAAAAAGTTCAAGGGATTAAGAAAGAGAATGAAAGTAAAGATGCGATTATAGTAATAATAATAAAGTATTGTTCAAACAATGTTAAGATTGTTGGATGTGTCGCGTCTTTTGTACCAGAAGAATTGTATAAAGATTGTGGCATCGAATGACAGTGTACCTGCACTGCCGATCAAGTATGGAAGGGCATCCAAGAGGCTGTTGAGGGTCTGTCCGGGATGAGTGAGGATGGATAGGGCGTATGTAAGGTTACCACCGACAGCAAAGATAAATAAGGAGGGAGAGAGGCCTTCGACTGATTGACGCTTATAGTTCTTTCTAATTTGGGGAATACGGGACATGAGGTATAGACAGGTGCAAGTCCATGCAAAGATACGACCGATGATTAATGGGTCATCTGTTATTGAGGTTTCTGCCGATGCTATTGTAGTAAAGGTGGTGCTGGTCAATGTGCCTGCTGGTAGACGAGAACCAAGCAAGAAGATTGAAAATAAAAATGCACTGGCTTTGTTTGATCCTGCACTACTGCCGTCTGTGTTTGTGTTTGTGTTTGTGTTTGTGAGTGTGGATGTTGATGAGGATGAGGGTGCGAGGGTGAGTGCAAGGGTGGTGGCGGTAGATAGGGTATCTGGTTGGGTGGTGTTGAGGGTGTACCACTTGCTGGGTGAGGCTGAGACAGAGTAAGGTGCGATTTCGTCAGTCAGGATCTGGCCTGGGTTTGTCTGGATCAAGAGTGGGGTCAAGACCGAGGGATGCTGGAAGGCACTGATCTTTGCTCGGTTGTATTCGTATTCTTTGGCAGTGTCGGATAGGTGGTTTGGGGGACTGAACTTGTTGTAGTAGATCCATTGTACCAAAAGACAGACATCGACCGAAACAAAGTACATGCCCAGGTATTGCTGGAATGGCAGCTGGTGTGTCAGTATGCATCCTATTAAATTCGCAGTGTCGCCTGAATAGATATATAAATAATTTCTTGTTAGTATAAAACGCGCGTGTGTGTGTGTTCATTGTCTTCTGATTACCTCACCGGGCATCTTAAATAATAATAATAATAATAGAAAAATATGATCGACTTACCCAACAACCAAATGAATAAAAATGGAAGGCTGAGTCCTTCAGCAGAGGACTTTCTATAGTTTGTAATAAGCTGTCTAAAATGTTTGAAAAAGAAGAAGAAATGAAGATAATTTTGTTAGTTAGTCAGTTATTTAGTAAATAAATAAATAAAATTATTTTATATATATATAAAGGCTTACGGTAATTGAGCATTAAACCAAAATGCCATTGACATGTAGCCTAATAATAAGCTTGTTGCTCCTTGAGTTCCATAGACACATTCACCGAATAATGCCTATGCTTATTGTTTAGTTTTATGATCAGATCATAAGCTTTTTCTTCTTCTTCTTTGAAAGCTTACATGTATCCATTGTATGTATGGCATATCATTTTGAGTAGGAAGACATTGATTGTTATTATTATCCATTGTAGCTTTTCTTTGATTCAATTGAATAGGAGGTTCGATTTTCGCTTTTGATTTGTCAAGGAAGCGTGAGAAAGTAAGATATAAAATTATAAATTTATAAAGGGGGGATTGGAGAAAGGGATTGAGAATGGAGATAAAATGAATATAATAAATACAAAAAGAAAAGAAAAAGGAAGTTGGGGGTTTTTAGTGGTTCCTTTTTATACATTTTAAACGGGGAATATATTATTAACGTTTTCTATCATCAAAAGATAATGAAAATTTCCTTTTCTAGATTCCAGGTACAGTTGATTTAATAAATTATATCGTCCAATCAGAAATAAATGTCGCCTCTTAAAAAATCAGAACATTGACCGAGATACTTCCAACCTGTCTCTGTGAAAAATCCTACCAACACTTGGTGTGGTCAGACTAAAAGTTTAAAAAAAAAAGTGTTCGAAATCAATAAAGTACACAATAGGTAAAATTGTACCTGTAATGCCGTACCTGTCATTGAGAATCTTTTATCACTAGTTTTTCTAGGCCTTGCACCCTACAGCACATCGTCTCTATCAAATATATATATATATATATATTACCAGAAAACGAAAGGAGCAGAGAATGTGCTTGGGTGGACTGAAATGAAAGATAATACTTGGTACAATTCAGTAACCAGTGAAAAGAGTGACCTTTGAGCTTACCAATAAAGCTAGAATTGATATCCTATTACAATTAAACAACAAGACTATTAATTATTTTACATTTGGTGTGGACAGACTAAAAGTTCAAAAAAAAATTGGACACAAAGGTAGAAATATAAGCTTGGTTATTGGATTAGAGCTTTAAAAAAATGTCCTTTTTTTTTGAACTTTTAATCTGTCCATACCAAAAGTCAGGAGAGAGAAAGAGAGAGAAAAGGAACACTCATGGGTTCGATAGCTAATGCAGAATTGAATTGAATTTTATTAGAATATTAGATAAACAAGATATAAGTTTAATTCAGAATCCAAAGGCTCTGCAACAAATACATCTTCTTGTGATTTTAACTCAGGACCTACATTTACCTTATCTTAACCTTTTTTTTTTTTTTGTAAACTTTAGCCATTTCCATTCCCCTTTTTTTTTTTAAAAAAAAATTTCTGTTCTACAAGACACTTCTTTGCCAGTGACTAATTTACTGTCACTATTGTAATTATTATCAAGTATCATTTCCTCAAAAGCCATTATTATCATTTTCAAATATTTCGTTTGCCGGTGTGGCGAACAATGAGTCATTTATTGAATAACCGAAAGAGAGAGAAGAAGAAAAAAATAAATAATGATAGTAAAATAAAGCAAAAAGTATGATTATTGAAAGGGTCCTTTGGGTGCCTTGATCGCACAGACCAAAATAAGAAATCATCGTCTTGTCCTTCTGTCTTTCATGTGCTGTTGAAAGATACCATGATTTTCCCTAATATATTATATGAAGCTAGTATTCCGTATGCCGATATTTCTCTACTCATCCCCCCACCCTTCTCCTTCTTTTTATTTAGTAATGACGCCATGAACTTTCTATTTCGCCACACTATACACCATACTCAAATACGCACAAGCACATATTTATTTATATAAACTAGTATTCTTATTTGATAAGCAATAAATTGAAACTTTTAACAATAGTCTCACAATTCACTGCTAAGAATCACTAAAATACAGTCTGAGAAAGAAATGTTTCGCACCCTGGCGCGCTATTTGCACCTTTGCTTTATAACCTATATTTTATATTTTTCAACGTCTTAAAAGAATAACTCTCGTGGGCCCTATAATGTGCTTTCAGATTTGACGAAAGGAAAGATCCTTGGTCTTCAACTTGATGGAAATAATGTTGCCAGCATTTCAGCCAAGCTGAATGTACCCAAATCAACAGTTCGATATTTTTTAAAGAGATATAAAGAAAGAGGAACTGCCGATAACAGAAAGTCTTCTGGAAGACCACAGATCCTCACACCTAGAGACAAAAGACGTATTGTCTCGAATCTCAAAAAAGACAGGTGGTCAACGTTGGATGATCTTGTTGATGATGCTAGTGCTGACACGGGAAAGAATGTCAGCAAGGTTACCATGCGTAAAGCTTTGCACAGCATGGACTATTTTTGCTGTAAACCTGTGTCAAAGCCTTTTCTTACCAAGGCACACATTGCCAAACGCCGAGCTTGGTACAAAACCGTGAAAGACTGGAATAAACAGTGGGAAACAGTTATCTGGAGTGACGAGTCGTCATTTGTGCTGTATAAGAAAAATTCAAGCAGAAAACTCTGGCGCAAAACTGGTGAGAGGTTTGATACGGATCACTTTGTCCCAAAGGTGCAAGGAAATGGTGGATCGGTTATGGTCTGGGGGTGTATCTGGTCAGGAGGACTTAGTCCACTTGTTTTCGTAGATGAAAACATGGATGGTCCAAGATATGTAGAAGTTCTTCGAGACCATTTTCTTCCATTCTTGCATGCTCTTCCTGTATCTAGCAGCGGTAGCTACAAGTTCCAGGAAGATAATGCCAAGGCGCATAAATCAAAAGTTGCAGGAAAGTTCAAGAAAGAACATGGTATTGATGTTTTGCAATGGCCACCCAACAGCCCTGACCTTAGCCCCATTGAGAATATATGGGGAATCATTGATCACAGAATCAGAGCAAGACGCCTCAGACCAAATTCTCTGAATGAGCTGAAGGTTGCTTTGTTGGAAGAGTGGAACAAAATATCAGCAAAAACTTGTTGAAGATGCTGCTTGAATATGCCAAATCGATTGGCCTTGCTTAAGAAAAAGAAATTTAAGCAAATCCGCTATTAAAACTGTATCTTTTTTTTACATTATTAATATATATGTCTTTCACTTTTATTGTTCCAAGTATTATATTTCAATACGTATTGTACATCTTTAGAAAGGGATTTGAAGTTGTGATATCTTCTTTACCATTCATGGCGGATGTTAAAATGGGCGAAACATTTCTTTTCGGTACTGTATAATAATATTATTATTATTATTATTATTATTATTATTCGCATTTTGCCTTTGAATGCAATTTTCTTTTCTGAAAATATTAAACCGAATTCGTGTGCACGGATCGGCTGAGTGTCAAACATAACGTGCACAGTCTGAGGATCAGTCGGTCCGATCAGCCCGTCTGTGGTATGGAGAGAATGGAGTGAAAAGAAAGAGTCCTATAACAGGTATTCACAACTCGCTCCAACAACACCAACCAGGAAACTACTATATATCACACATCCGTCCCACGAGTCATATATATAAATTTTAGAGAAGAGTTATAAATAAATAACCAAAGAAATACTAATAAAAAAAAGAGATAAGAGTCGCTCTTCAAGTTTGTCACTACACCCCAACATTCATCTATCACCTGTGGTGTATATACGTATTTGTAATTATAAAAGTAAAAAGCCTGGTGGTGTATTGTTGGACAAGTCAAAAAAAAAAAGGGCATGACGATCGTCAACATCCAATATAAGATTCAAACTGTGCCATTCCATCTGGTTTGATCACGCTCATTGTCAGCTGAGGTTAGCACAATAAAATGTCGGTGGGGTCATCATTATTACAGGTGGCAAATGAGGCACCAGGTGATGACAGAATTTGTAGGTAAGCATCCAAGGAATCCAAAGATGGGTGTGCAAATACAACTAGATAGATCTGATAACCCATACAGGCACTATTGCGTGCAAAATAAATATTTATATTGTGTATGTAAACCAAAAGAGCAACCTTATTAACACATTAGACAGTAAATGCGGGGTATAAAATAAAAGTTCAAATTAAAGATAGAGAGAGAGAGATTTATAAGCCTCTGGCCGTTTTGCCTCTCTAATGAAAATCACAGAGCAATTAATAAAGAGAGCAAAAAGAAAAAGAGATATTTGTATTGCCTGTTTATGAATAGTTTCGTATTCAAGATTGAGACATTTCAATGCTTTCTGTTGTTGTTGCTCGTATTTAGTTCTCCTTTTGCGCTTCATATATATATATATATATTATTTCAAATTCATCAAAATAAATACCTCTTCTCTGTCTCTCATTGTGTTTATTGAGTTAATATTTAATAGGAAGCCATGCATATTCCCACCAAGTCGCTGAATGCATTGTCCATTTTAATTTTCCGTTAAAAGAAAGAAAAAAAATTCTGGTGTCTTTAGCTATGATCAATATACATATAATCTTTGCTATATACTTTCAAGTATTTCCAACAAATATTTTTTTTGTCTAATTGATTTAGATGCTCTCAGGGCACAAATGTGTGGTGTGATTTGTTCCCAGGGTATTTCCCGCATGTCTAGTAAACAGCTAGCGATCCCAATATAAGATACTAAACTTTCTGCTCGCATCGATGGTAAGTGTACTCTATGTATTATAATTATAATTACCGTTATAATCGTCATCACCATTACTATCACTATTCCTTTTATTATCAAGATTTTGAAAACTTCCCCCCCTTTTTTTTTTAATTGTCAATTTAATAAAAAAAAAAGGCTTTGAATATATCACCATTCAATAGTATATCTTATTATTCTTATATGACAAAATAAAACACCAACTTATAATAATTAATCATAATGGTAACAATACTCGCCTTTCGCGTTCAAATGCTTCCTCTGAGTCACTAGCATGAATTGCGTTCTCCTGAATAGATCCACCGATCTGTGCGCGGATCGACTGAGGGTCGACACGGCGTGCCTTTTGAGGGTCGGTCGGTCCAATAATCCGCCTGAGAGCTTTGATGGCATCAACCCTCTCCAACACCAACACTCTACACTCTCCACGAGTCAGATAGCGTCTTAAGGATGGATAAAAATCGCGCCCAAGCTTGTCACTATACCACTCATCAATCACCTCGGCTGCAAAAGTAGTGGTGTGTTGTTCGACAATCCGAAACCCATGGCGATCAATCGCATCCAAGATAAGATCTAAATGTGCCATTCCATCCGGTTTGATCACGCCTAACGTCAGCTGAGGTTGGCATAATGACGTTGGTGCGGTCATCATCATTACAGGTGGCAAATAAGGCACCAGGTTATGACAGAATTTGTAGGTAGCATCCCAGGAATCCAAAGATGGACTTGTAAGTGCATATAGAAGAAATTGGTAGACCAATACAGGTACCAATGCGTACAAAAGCAACATGTATATTGTGTGTGTGAATGTGCTTAATGTATATAAATAATAATAATGGTTAAAAAAAATAACCTTATTGCTGTAACATGTTGAGCAGTAAATGCGGGGTATAAAATAAAAGTTCAAATTAAAGATAGAGAGAGAGATTTTTGAGCCTCTGGCCGTTTTGCCTCTCAGATGAGAATCACAGAGCAACTAATAAACAGAGCAAAAAAAAAATGAGAAGGAATGAGGACTAAATACAAAAAAAAGAGCAACAGCAGAGATATGTATTGCTTGTTTGTGAATAGTTTCATATTTAAAGTACTACGATTACTTTGATGACACTCTATGCTAAATTATTAACAAAACCTGCCATTCACAGTGAGGTTGTTGTTGTTTTTCTTTACTGGTGAGGATTTAAAATGAACAAATATTTAAAAATATAATGCGTTGCTTAAAATAAATATAAGTGGATAAAATAGAGAGGTTCTTCTATTATATATTAGCCTTTATTTTAAATAAACAAACAAATAAAAAAAGAACAACAACTAGCAAAAGATATGCTTAATAGAACGTTTCATCTTTGGATGGTTCGAGTGTTCTGCTTGTGCAGAGACCCTGCCAATCTTAGTATGTGACAGAGATTCAAGCACCTGTCGATTTAAATAAATGTCTAATTTTGTAATATACTTATTAATTTCAAGATATTTTTTAGCTGTGAGGTTTTCTTGTAATTCAATCTCTTAGTTCATACTATAATGCGATTTCTTGGTGAAAATGGCTTTAAGTTTGTAGATGTTACATGATACAGAAAACGTTTAGCTAATTTGGCATATTTGATGCTTATCCGGTCCGAGTGTGGAGATATATATATATCCCGGCTCGGGCTTAGCATATCCGGAGATGATATTAGTTTGGACATGGTGCCTGAGTATACCTCCAAGAATCCGGCTATGACTTTAATTTCAAGATACACATGTATTATTTCAACCTTAGCTTGCAAAATAATAGTGATAATAATAAGCACTTTATACACAAGGCTGGATCTTTTGGCGCATAAGTTCAAGATGAATTAATTGTTTGGATTTGTGATCAGACTAGCTTACTAGTTTATTTAAAGGATTTATTGTTGTTCATATTGAAGAACATATGCTTATAAACATTTATAGAAAACTCGAGAGGCCTTGTAAACCAACCGATTAGTCTATCAATTAAGATATCAAGTAAACAAGCGAGCAAATGACTTTCTTACCATTTATATTCATTGCTATATACATAGTAGATATTGCTCTGTAAGCCTAAAATCATATTGCTGCTGTAGTAACCAATCAAATGATACGAGAAGAGAAAGATATATAAAGAGAGTAAGACTAATTTGACTGTTCAGTTTCAATAGAATCAGACAAAAAGATCAATCGTACAATAGACTTTTTGTTTTATTATACTTGTTATTAATATTAAATATTATTTTACGTTAAATTAATTAATTGATTAATTAATTAATTATTATTTTACCTACCTACATACATACATACAAATAATAATTATATAAAAGAAAAGATAATCCAAATTAAAGGGCAAAATATAAATTCATATATATATATATATATATATATTTAAAGCACAATACAATACAATACATTAGTGTACAGTACAGTATATTTAAATACAAGCCAAAAGTCTTTTTAAAGGAGTGTAAAGTATAGAGAAGAAAATACACAAACACTGCGAAAGGAAGACCTAATTTTAAATAGTAATATATAAAATAATCCAAAACAGAATTCTTTGCCGTGACGTACAAAAGAGTAAGACGCTCATTGTAATAGTAATAGTAACGGTAATAGTAATAGTAATAGTAATAGTAATAGTAATAGTAATAGTAATAGTAATAGTAATAGTAATAGTAATATTTAAACAAACATACACAAACACACATATACACGCAAACCGAAAAAGCTAGTTTCTCAACCCCCTCTTTCTTTCTCTCTGGCACACATACAAACTTTTATATATTTTTCATTTTTCATTTTTCATTTTTTTTTATATATCTCTCTTCTTCTTTCTTGCTTTTTTTTCTTTTCTTCTTTACATGTCATTGAAGAAAAGAACTTTTAGTGATCAGGCCTGCTCTCTCAACTGTCAATCAAATAACAACATCTACTACATGGGTGCCAAGCAAAGTTCGACTGCTCAACTTGTCCCTCCTGCAACAAAGCGTAAGCGGACTAATCCCATAGTTCATCAGGAGACCAAAGCCCAACAACAGCAACACCACCACTACCAACAACAACAAAAACAACAGCAGCAGCAAAATCAACAACAGCAACAGCATCAACAACAACAACAACAACAGCAACAGCATCTACATCATCATCAACAACAGCAACAACATCTACAACATTTGCAGCAGCATCATTCGGGATCTAATCGTAATCGAGCAGTACAATCCGCACCTCAAAGGTAATAATAAGAATTACCCTTTTTCTAATTGTCCCAGCAACAAATTCATTCATTCATTCATTCATTTCTATATTATTTATATATCATTGCCTTTTTTTTTAAAAAAAAAAAACTTAGCCCACAGGTAAATAAGAATAAAGAATAAGAAGAAGAATTGAATAAAAAAAACTGAAATCTATGCACTTGCATATACATTTATTACCTGTCATTAAGTTCAATGAGCAACAATGTTTACAATGGTTCGAGCAATATCGTGATCCGGAATCCCCATTGATTATTACACCCGAAGGAACTCAAAAGTTCTTTGACGATCTAGGAATATCTGTTGAAGATGTAATACATTCACACTTACATATGCATTATATATATAATTACATTATTCAGTATTGATATAAGCATATATATATATATATATATTGTATATATGTACTCTTTTCTCTTTCTATTCTTGTTCTGTAGGTCATCATATTAGCTATTGCATGGAAGATGAACGCGTCTACAATGGGTGAAGAAATAGAAAAAGAAGCAAGAGAAATTAGCCTCCAAATACTACTACTACTAATAATAACAATCAATACCTTTATCTGGATTATATTACTTGATTGATTTTCTTTGATATATATATATAGGCTACATTACCAAAGATGAGTGGATGACGAGTATGCATCAATTAGGGTAAGACAATATATATATATATGTATAATTTTGTAGAAATTGAAGAGTGAATATTTTGTTTGTGTATAGACACAAGCATAGTCTATTGATTTACTTCATTATGATTATGATGATATTGATTTTGGCTGTTACATGTATATAGAACCGACTCTATCCATTCATTTAAGCAAAAGCTACCGATGTTTGAGGCGAGCATTCATGATCCGGATACATTGAAAGAAATCTATCGTTACACATTCGGATACGCAAAGAACAAAGGTCAAAAGTGTATGGATGTAGAGGTAGGATTTATAGCCCTTTATTTTTTGTAAGAAAGAAAGACAACGAATACAAATACAAATACAAATACAAATATATGTGAATATTCATTAACTCGCCGTTGACTACTTGATATTTACTGCACAATCATTCGTTCAATTAATTAATTAATTGATAAATTGATTGATTAAAAGGTTGCCTGTGAGATTTGGAACATGTTGCTAGCCAATAGCTTCCCATTGACTGTCCAGTTTGTCGATTTTCTGAGGGAAGCAGATCCTGTTCGAGTTATAAACAAAGACCAATGGTCTAACTTTTTCGAATTTGTGTCGAGTGTATCTGATGACTTGATTGATTATGACGAAACATCTGCATGTAAGATATTATATATATATATATATTGTATTTATGATTTCTATTGAACAGAACAAGGTAACTAATCCAAACTCTTTTCATCAACTTTTTTTTTGTTACTCTTGCTGTTGCTGTTATGTAGGGCCAGTTTTGTTTGATGAGTTTGTGGCATGGAAACGAGAGCACCGTTAACAGCAATGCCAATACTAATAACAAGACACAAATATACAAACAAGCGAGTATATAAAAGAGTGATAATTATTTCTTACACGCTTATACCCCCTTACCCTCCCTCTTTTCCTTCTTCACCTACCCTTCTTTACCAACCAACCAATCTTTTTTCTCATATTTCTTTCTTTCTTTTTAAAAAAAAACCTCTTTAAACAATCTCATTTTTCTTTCTTTCTTTTATAGCCAAAATAATCTACAGTGAGCCAAAACAAAGATATATATATAGAGAGAGAGAGAAAGACAATATCTTTATTATTGCTTTTGTGTGCGTGTGCGTGTGCGTGTTTGTGTATTGTTTTGTTTACACATGTACAATATATACATATATAATAGGTGGTGGGTGGTTAATAGGAGAAAGGCTCAAAATGATTTGATTTTCAAGCCCTTTTTTTTAAAGTGTCGAAAAGGAGGAAAAGAGAAAAGGAAGATTTTGGAGGAATAAAAAAGAAAAAAGAAGAAGAAAAGGCGCTCAACATACATACATACATACATACATACATACATACATACATATGAATGTATGTGTATGCGCGTGGATGTGTGGGTGGGTGTATAAGATAAAGAAAAAGAAAAGTAAAGCGTTAAAACACTCCTCCATTCTTTACTGTTGCCGTTCTCTATTAGCCTCCTTGTTTTCCAAGGTCAATTTGTTCAGAGCCTGAAGATCACCCTCACTCAACAGCTGTTCTTCGCGGGTTGGTTCCTGGGATCCACGACGCAAGGCCGGGAATTTCATCGGTGGCATAAAGTATGGGTCTTCTTCTTCTTCATCGTCGGCCGGGAAGTACGCGCTGTTGACCTCGTGGCGGATGCGGGGACTTGCGGGTGCAGACAAGGGCTTTGGGATCTTGCGGAACACCTCTTCCTCCTCTTCCTCTTCACCGTCAAACGAGTCTGGGTAGACGCGTCTGAGGGCCAGCTGTCGGGCTTTGATGTACTCAAGGCCCATGCGCTTCCAGTCCAGTAGGTCAGAAAGACGCTCGGTACGGTTGCGCTGGTTGATACGCTGGCGGCGGGTCTTTTGGCAGAATCTAAACATCTGATCGCATAACTGCTGGAGAGATTCCTCGACAGACTTGAGTCGGCGGTCCATGATGTAAATACCATAGTCTTCACAATTTTCGATGTTTTCGTCCATGAAACAACCAAATCCAGAAAGACTATTTACAAAAAAAAACAGTTGGACACAGAATAATATTACGTAAATGCAGAAAAACCTTACTTTGTAGAAATTGAAGGAACACCCATGACAGTGCACTCGGCAGGTGTGTAACCCCAGGGCTCGTAGTAAGACGGGAATACACCCAGATGGCAGCCTCGGACAAACTCTTCGTAATCGAGGCCAAACAGTGGGTTGTTGGCATTCAAGAACTCTGGGTGGAAGATCACCTTGACACGGTCATGTGCATTGTTGAACATCTGGAGACGGCGCAACTGGTTCAGCACAGGATCTTCGGCATCACCAACCACGTTGTGGGTCACAATAGGAGGAAGAGACTGGCGCTTAAGAGCAAACACACGGCGCTTCAGCAACACACGATCCTCCTCTGACAAAAAGTCCTTTGGATCCAATTCCTCACCTCTATTTTCATAAGGAAATTTAGTAAATATGTGTATTTTATAGTATATATAATGTGTGTCTGTGCTTGTACACCTTTTAGTTTGTACAATTATATACACAATACACACACTAAAAAAAATCTATCTCTTTCTCTCACACGCACACAAAAGAGAAAGAAAGGATAGTGTAGTAACACTTGGTCTAATAATATTTTCTTTTCTTTTCTCACCTCAAGGCTTTTTCATAAATGCGGTGGCCAATACGATCCTGGATCTCATCTACTGTTCCTCTTAATTGTTTTGTGACTGCCTGTCCTTTGAGTGCCTCCACATTGAATGAGTGGGTAGCGGCGGGCATAATGATAAATGCGACAACGGTGGTGTTTGATTTTGCAGCCTTGAGTCGTGCATTGAGTCCTAAAATGAATAGATAGATAGATAAATAAATAAAATTATAAAATTATAATACTTGGGACAGTCCCAATAGACAATTATTTAGATTTTTTTTGAATACTTTACTTTCTAAAGATTCGACAAACATATCGACACCTTTGTTGCGATACTCATAACGACCTGCTGTGAACATGTAGATTGTGTTTTCGAGATCAAAGTCATAATGGCCATAAAAGTGACCTCGTACAAAGTCATTGATTTTCTCCTTATTGAGGGCATGTAGATTTTGGAACTCGTGCATGGCCGAGAATTTGACGACATTGAGACCGTTGGGGAGAACACCATCTTATGAACCAAGGAATTAAAAGAAAGAAAGAAAGAAAAAAGAGGAGGTGTTTTAATCTTTATGTATGTACAGATATATATTTTCAATGGTGTGTGGAAGTGTGTAACAAGAATATTTATTCTTACCTGGTTTGCGCTTGAGTAAATGCTCACTCTCATAGGCAGTGATGTGACTGACGGTAGTAAAGACATCTGCGCAGTGTGCAGCAGCACGTTCGATACAGTAACGGTGGTAGATGCCTCTCTTGCCTGCCTCTCCATCACAGTCAAACTTTTGAAGGTTGTTGTAAAAGTCAACCGATCCAGCGCACAAGTATCGGCCCAGTAAGGTTGCATGAGTGGTGAAGATGGTCGCGACGTCAATATGACGGCGTTTGATGAGCGGGATGGCTACACCCGCTTGCCATTCGTGGAAGTGAGCTATAACCGCTGGAGGGCGATCCTGGCCAACACTAGAGCCTCCGTTGGTGTTGGCAACATCAGAATGTGATCTATGGCCATTGTTGTTTCTTGTGCTGTTGTTGTGGTCAGCTATTGCCTTTGGCTGGGTAAGCTATAAAAATATTATAGAATTCATTAATCAAACACATTCCATTCAAAAGTAACAATTAAATATTGTTGATTTAGGGTTTGAATTTGGGAAGAATAAGGGAAAAGAAGATCCACCAGTGCCACAAAAAAAAGGTCTGAGAAGAATGGAAATGGAAATACCACACACACACAAGTACATCAAAGAGTAGTGTGTCTCCGCCAATTTTTTTCTTTTCTCAATCTTTCCCGTACAATCCTTTTTGTACACACTACAGACGTCTACTATATCACATTTTCCCGTTTCCCCATTTTCCCATTTTTTATATTATTATTTCTTATTTTATAATATCAGATTGGTTAACTTACTTTGGGGCTAACTTGACCCAAGAACCATGCAACAAGGTAACCAAACAGAATTGCGTCGTTTGTCTCGAGATCGTTTGGAGGACTTGGGATACCGGCCGTACGCCAAAGATCACCTTTCCACTCGTCCAACTTGTGAAGCGCACTGTTTGTGTCGAAGAGCAGAACGTAAGGAGCACCTTCGACCAGCCAACGCCCAAAGAGATACTTGATTCCTTCCCGCTCCATTTCCTCTAGTGTCTCACGGATTTGTGCATTTGGTGGCTCTAATGCCTCTACTTCCATAGGTGCTGTCTTGTAAGACAAAGGACCTATCAGGCAGTAACGGTCGCCAAATTCATGTACCGTCACAGGTACTTTGGTTTTTATGACAGTATAGATACCACCAACTATTTTTTTTTGTTTCATATATGTATGTTGGTTAGTTAAAAATATTTCATCTATAAGCACAAAGACCCTTTTTTTTATATACCTTTGTTTGCAACTTCCCAAGCAACCTCGAATAACAGAGGGTTGTAGACATCACGGTTGGGCATGGTTTCTTTTTTTTTTTAAAAAAAATTAAACCGAAAAGAAGAATGGATATTTAGCTTTTTACTATACAGAAAAAGTAAGAAGAAGAAGAAGAAGTGGAGTAAAAAGTAAAAGAGGAAGAAGAAGAATATTATATTTATTTATTTATTTTTTTTAAAAAAAAAGAGAAAGTGATCGGGAAACACCTAAAAAAATATCTACTATATATATGTGTGTGTATATAATATATATAAAAGAGAGGGCGGGAATTATAAATTAACGCGCAAGGCTATTTTATCACTATGTAATTCACATGAAAAACGTCATGGCGTGATGGCTTCCGACTTTCTGTTTGTTGAATATTTTGTGTTGAATTGAGAAAGTCGATTGGATTTTGTTGAATGAATTGAAGCAGAAATGTTACATAGTTTTTGCCAAATTCATCCTAGAATTATTTCTTTATAAAAATATGCAAACAACTTAAAAGAGGGGGGTTCAAAGACATGAATACTTTATATTATATAATAATAATTTTCTTTATTTCTCGGTAATTGAGAAACAGCCCTAAGAGAAATTAATAAGGAATAAAGAAAAAAGTCGAGAAATTACTAGAAAACTAGTTTTTTTTTTAGAGATTATTAGTTGGGTCAACTCAGCCTTTATGAGGAGATTGAGGGTTACAATTGGGATCATTGTCAGTCTAATGTCTCTTCATCAATCATCAAACTGGATACATGATGACAGAGTTGAATGAAATACTCCGAGATAAATAAGAGTATAACACACATTTATACCAGAACAGTGTTAACGGCTTATTCTTGATAGAAACAACGTAAAGAAAATGAATATTATTTGGTAATAGACAATACTCCGCCATACACAGGCCTACAGCAGTAAAGGGACCCGTGTAATAGTAAAGACTACAGATGCGCTTGCCTTTTCCACCATACTCGCCTTTGTTTTGGTCAAAACTAAAATATGGTGTTAAAAGAAAGACATTTGAAACCAGCAAGACTTACAGGTCCAGAATAATGAAATTCCTGCTTCCAAAATAAATAAGAAATATTATAAAGGGTTCAATTTTTTTTTTTGCAAAGACCCCCCCCCCCCCCCCCCCTGCTAGGATAATGACTTTTTTGGAATAATATTTTATTTAATTTGTATTATCGCCGGGTTTTTCTCTGGAAACTTTGGCTTTGTATCTCTTTTCTATTGTACTTCTTGTTCATTTTCATTTATATTTTTCAAAGGCAGCACATTGTATTTGCACAAGAACGAAAATCAATAAATTACAAAAAAGTAAATTATCTATTGTTTTATATTTTTGGCTTCTTTATTGTAAAGCAGTCTCTTTATTATCAGTATCAAGTTTCATGATAGCCTTTTGTTTAATGTCTATACAAGTCCATAATACCTGACTACCTATCAGTTTACCTCTCAGATACACCACATTAACAACCACCCGCAGATATACACACATTCTTTGGTTATCATGTCTTAATATTGTATTATATTATATTATATATACTATATATATATAATTTGGTTCTTTAGATGTATTTGAAGGAATTGGGTAAAAAAACAAACAAACAAGCTGGTGCTTCATCTTTTTCTTTTTTGTTGTAAAAGTGATTGTGGATTTGGATTTGGATTTGGATTTGGAGAGGGTTGGATCGGTGTATGTATATATAAAGGTGTCCTTTTTTTTTAATATCTTCATCTTCATCTTTACTGTGGAATTTGGCATTTGGAATTTGGCATTTGAAATTTGTCAATTGGTTTGCTTAATTGCGCAAGAACTTGCCAACGATGTGAAGACCGAATACAGAGGCAATGAAAGCGAGTGAAAGAACAAGGACAACAACAGGATCACTATAAACCATACATATCGAATTGTCTCGTTAAGTTTATATTTTTGATCATTTCTCTCGTGCTCTTTAAACCAATAACTCACTCTATTCCTCTACCCGTCTACCTTTCTATTCCTCCAGCTCTCTTCTAAAACAAACACACGCGCAGACACTAGCCCTAGCACACGCGCACACTCATTCCTTTATGTATGTATTTAACCCAGAAATGCTTCTAATGCCCTGATTTGTCCTCCACATTATCCAATATCGCTATGTTTTGGGTACTGTTCATTCCAACGTATAATCATGTTACTTACGCGCGAAGTCCGGGAGAGTCGTCCGAGTAAATGCGCATCATGCTCGATGTGCTTCCACCAGGAACACCACCTCTGGGTGTGCTAGTGTTGGAACGCGAGGTAACGCGCTTTCTAAAAATATGAAACGCCAAAGAAAGAAAGAAAACATAAAATGCAATTCAGGTAAGAGATGCGTAATTATTATTGTATTTAAGAAAGTTAATTCAATTAAAAAAAATAGGTCTTAATTAACCTCATCATCTCATCATCTAACTTTTATTCTCTATTTTATATTACAAGCGAATGTAATGGAATTCACCATCGATTTAAGGAGTAATAGTATATATGTAATTTATTTTAAAAAAAATGTTCTTACCGGATGGTGCCCTTGGGTGTAGATGAATCAGCCTAAGAGAAAGAAAAAAAAACAATAATAGCAATAGGCAGATGAGTTGATGATGGCAATGGTAATAAAAGAGTTGAGTATTGGGAATCGAGTACTGAATAATATTTTAATTTAACAGTATGCTTTCAATGTCAGGAGAAACAAAGTGAGAGATACTACTTTAACATGTATACAACAGAGTGTTCTTTTATTTGATGTCCTGGTATATAGCTCTACTCACCATGCTTATTTAGATGAGGAAGGTAGTTAGAAGATGTATTTATATATTTAAAAGAAGAAGACAGCACTTTTTCTTTCTTTCTTTCCTTTAATTTTTTTTTGTAGAACAGGGCAGGTCCAATAAAATAAATCTTTGGCTTGCTATTCGAGGTGCACACCTTTGATTGGTCAGAAATGTCCAGCACTTCTCCTGCCGCAACGTCACAAAAGCTTACTTGATAAAAAAAAAGAAAAGAAATTAATAAAATAAGACATATATAAATAAATAGATGGATAAATAAATAAATATGCTTGTATGTATTTATTTTAAAGGATATTAACAAGCAATATATCCTTAATAGCCCAATGCACTAACATTCTGGTCACTAATAAGCTTGTATATATCACTAACCTTTGGACTAGATTCACGGCTATTGTTATCATAATACAGTATTTGTAGTACAAAATATACGAATCCTTAAGAAATTAATGTGCAATGTATATCTGTGTATATACAGACCAATTAGTCAATTAACTAAAATATATTAGATCAATAGATGTGTTGCTTGGGATCGAAGCAAAATGAATAATTACCATAGGGTTAATACAAAATATCGACTTCATATCTTTTACAAAAACAGATATGTCATGGCTTGCAAGTGTGTATGTTACAAGAGAAGTAAATCAATCAATCAAAGATCAAAATAAAATAAAGTAAAATAAATGCGTACCCCCTTGAGTACAAGGCAGACGAAAGATCGTACTTTCCTCATTTCTTTTACCTGGCACGCATTTAGTCTTATGTCTATAAAGACAAAAATTCACTATCCACCCTATGTGTACATTTGGATCCTTTGCCGATTTAAAGCTGCAGATTCAATACATATACGCCATAAACTTCTTTAAAGAAGTAGAAAGAAGTTGAAGCACCATACGCCACATAATTATATAGACGATAGCCTAAGATAATAGCAAGTTCGGAATTTTTTGTTTTTGTTTTATATGTATATATATATTATTCCAATTGACTTGTAAAGATTTACAGGTCATTAAAAATGTTTAAATGTAAATACAAAATTTTACAAATAATTTAATTTAATTTTCTTACTTGTTGTTTATTGTCAATTTTTAAAAGTACAATAATATTTGTATATTTTGTATATTACTACTATTACTATTAGTATTACTATTTAGCAAGAAGAGGAAGAAGAAGAAGAGGAAGAAGAAAATAATGGTATACATATCAATATATCAATATATCAATATATCAATATATCTATACATAATTGAGAAACAATAAGAATACAAACCTTTTTCTTGACTTTATTAATAACATAATCCTGTCTATCTATATATCTATCTACCTATATACACACATACATGTACATAATTACAGTTACGGTGGACTGTACTTAATCAAAGCGATGTTGTAGAAAGTCGAAATGAAGCAGAACTTAAAGTAACGTGTCTTGACCAAATCTCATCAATAAAAGAAATGAACAAACACCTTTGAATACTAGTATAATCACCATTATACACACTTCATTGCCTTTATATATATATATATACATGTACAAATCTTTATTCTCAATTTAGGTTGAGAAACTTGTTCGAACCTACAATCGAGCTCTCTTATTACATCAGACCAAACAACATGAAGAAGCCAAACAACTATACCAAGAAATCTTGGCCAATGATATGAAAAGTTTGGAATCTCTCAAAGTAAGATTCAAAATCACATCATTGAAATTTACAATCTCAAACACGCAACACAATGCACCCACCCACATTCACTCAATTAAATTACAGTAATACATACATATGTGTGTGTATGTGGGTGGGTAGGTGGGTGTACATATGAAAAACACATAAGATATACAAATGAAATAAACAATTTACCTAAACTCTCTATCTCTATTTTTATCTATCTATATATCTCTTTCTCTGCATGCTGTGCGTATATATCTTTTTACCTTAAGGATGAACTCCGGACAGAGGCAGGTCGAAAGCTATTAGAAAAGGATTTACCTTACCTGGCCTGCAAAAACTATGCAGAGATCCTAGAAGGAGAATACAACGCATCCAATCCAAAAGAAAGTTCAATAGGCAAGAAAGCCATCAAACATTACTTAAAGGTTTGTGTGTTAAGAGATATATAGATAGATAAATCGGAGAAGTATCAAATTGGGTAATTATGTTTATATATATATATATATATATATATTTGCCAGGCTTTGGATACGGACCCAACAGACCCGACAGTTTGGTGCAAAGTAGGAGCCCTGTCGCTCAAATTGGATTGTGAAAAAGTAGCACTAGCAGCGTATCAGAGAGGATTGTCTGCTACACTAATGTTCCCAAAGATCATCGAATTTTCTGTCATTGATGGAGTCAAGCCATTTGTATTTGACAACATTAACAAAGTATTCTTGGAAAAGATCCAGTCCGGTTGCATATCTCCAAGTCAGTGGAGATGTCTAGATGGTATTTGTACTGTAAGTGCATTAACATAATATATAGTATACTGATACATACATACATGTGGGATAGTTTGGGTGTCATACTTATCTAACCTTTTATTATTATTTTTATTATGAATATATATATATATATACATTCGCTAATAAGGTGGCTTTCAAAATTGGCGATACCTTTGAATGCACATTCTATATCGACTCTATTCTTCAAAGATATCCACATTGGTCAGTTGGAAAGCAACTTCGAGAAGAGCTCAACAAAGAAAGAAATATGGATATATATACCAATCAAGCCAACAACAACAACAACGATAAAGATGACGAGCTCATGCCTTTAGCCCCACAGCTGGCTTCAGTATCATTACAAAAATCAACTTGGCCAGAACTTACAAAAAAGCTTCTTGGGCTGTATCACGAAACAAGCATACTAAAAAAGTATGCACATTATTAGTACTAGTAATAGTACCAGGAATGGCACTATCGGCTTCAATTCAATTCATCTGGGATCAAAACAAAGATGATATTGCAATAGCCATATTAACATTTAATTTCCCACCTTTCCTTCTTTCTTTATTTCTTCTTGTGTATGTATGTACCTATGTGTAATGGAAAAAATGATATGCACAGACCAGAAAACACCGACATTGACACATACAAACGAGGATTCATCTACAACAAAAAAGTTCAAGTCAATGTGGACCGAAAGGAATCCGTTGTTTTTGATGTACCCGAACAAGCGCCACATTTAAATGTTCAGACAAACGATAGCCTGACTGACAAGTCTATGCAAAAAGAAGATGCTTCTTCTGCTTCTTCTGCTTCTTCTGCTCCTCTTTCTATTAATATCCCGCTTCCATACGTTCCTGCTGAAAATGCCACCGAAGGACCTATAATCATCGATCTAGTTTCTCCTACATTGTCCGCAACCGATGCTATGAGCACAGACGAGAAAGACCTAAAACATAAAGCAGATGATACACCCAATGAACCGGAAGAAGAGCCTGAAGAAGAGCCTGAAGAAGAACCTGAAGAAGAACCCGAGGAGGAGCCTGAAGAGAAAAGAGCAACACTAAGGTAAATCGATCACAATAAATAACAATCTGTAGATAGCTGTAAGAGTAATAAGAATATTACATATAAGCATACGCACACACGCACGAGTATATGAATCTATAGCTATATATATATGCGCGATTGTGTATTTATTTTGCTTTGGCTTTATTATTTGATGTAATTAGAGCATCTAAACGCCAGCAACAAAAGATCGAGCTCGAGAAAAACGCGAGAATAAAAATGATGGGAGAAGAACAGATGTTTGTCACCAAGGCCAGACAAGTATTGAACACGATTTGGATGAAAGACAGCCTTCCTCCTATCAATCTAGTCCACCTTGACGAAAACGATGCAAGTTTGAGTACACAAACCGACATTGATGCAAAGATGGATGGACGTACCTCATACGAACCATGTCCTTATCAACGATCTGATGCTGAAGAGCACGCAAACAGTAACGATAGTAGCAAAAATATCAACCACACCAATACCAACAGTAACCACGACATCCACAATAGTGGTAGTAAGAGTAACACTAGTGATGCCAATGACGATGAAGAGACTATGAGTTTGTTCTGGACTTGGTTTGATGCAAAGGTTTCTGAATTGGATAGCACATATTACTGGGGTATGGAAGCAAATCAGACAAGGTAAATTATACTTCTTTTTGTTTTGGTTTTTCTTGAATATAATAATAATAGCAATACTACGATCAAGGTCAAAGACACGTACAAGTGGAAATCCCAACGTTCGAAAATGCGGAACATTTCAGAAAGCGTCTATTGAATCACCTGGCGCTCTGCTAAACCAGCATGCAATTCAATCCGATCTCTTAAACTTTGTCGACGGCCTCAATACAGAAAATTCTGGCTCGATGGATAGCCTTTGCAAGTTAGCCATACACTTACTCAAACTAGATTCCCAAGAAGAATACAACGAAGGCTTTGATGAAAATATTATAAAACCCATGGTTGACATCCTGATTACTCTTGAACGCAATATATTCTGTGTATTTTCTTTTGAAATAACAAACGTGGATGTAAGTTGCACACACAAATGATAAATATATAAAGCGATATTAATCTTCTCTCTTTCTCTCTTTATTCATATATTTCATCCTTTTCCTCTTCCTATTATTACTATTACCAACCATTTAATCTTAGTCTGTTCTGAGAATCTGCGAGAGTCTAGTAGACCAACTTATCGCCAAAACTATAACAAACAGTCGGTCCAAGCTTTCTCTTTTGCGGTCTAAAGGTGCTGCAAAACAAGAAGCAACGTTGCATGAAATGGCACAGCTGTGTCACACATGGATAGGGTTTTCAGAACAATTCATTCGAGGCCTTGAGGTTCCTTTTGTCCAAAAGCAAAAAAGTATATCAGACTCTGAATACATTTTAGGATTTGAAGGTACACAACGACTGCTTCGGCTTTTGTTTGCCCGAGGAAAACTAGCAGAGTGTCAGGGTAACATCGAGGACGCTTCTCAGCTCTACGAGCAGTGTAAGTCTATCTTGCTCGAATGTACAAAGCATAACACACACATGCATGTTTCGATTCCAATAAGGTGGTGAGTAAAGATATATATATAAGTATAGTACATACATACATATATTTAATTGTATTTGTATCTTTGCTAGTCAATATGATAACTGTATCAGCTTGGAGAGTATTCAACAAAAGTTATCTGATCAGCAAACAAGTGAATATGTAACCACGACATCAAAAATGCTGGAAAACAAGGACTATAATGGAGTTATTGGTCTCTTGAAAGATTATGTAACAGAGCCTCAAGAAGACACATCAAGATCCAATCCAACTGAGATTTGTGAGATTCTTCTAATGCTCGGAAAGGTATATATATATATGTGCATACAGCAGCAAAAAAAGGACAATCTTAACGTGTATATATATATTCTTCACTTTGCTTCTTTTTATTCTCTCAGGCATATGTCAAAAATGGAGAATTTACAAAGGCTTGGGACTGCTATGCCCGAACATTAGAACTTGCAGTTGATAATATTGTAGCTTATGGAAGTTTGCATACTACTTTGGAAAGCTTACTCCCAAAAGAAGAGGACACCGAGTTCTTTGAATTACTCAAAATGGTATAATTATGTTCTTGTTTTTCTTTGTTTCCTATTACTAAAAAAAAATCAAATAATTCAAGAAGCAATGTCAAGAAAACAAAAACTTAGTATTTATCAACTGATTTTGTACAAACACTTATTTGCTCTGTTCTTGGATCTATAGATTAATTCTTCAGTTAAGAAACTTGCCGAACTTGCTTTTCAGAAAGATATAAATGGTACTTTAACAAAACACAAACAAAAAACTTAAACGCATACACACATACACATATGTATACGTGTGTAAATGAGGATGGTTCATTCAACTCTATAATGTATTGTATTATATTTATCGATCAAGCTAACATAATTTAAATGATAGACTCAATGTGGCGGTCAATAGAATTGAGTCCTTCGTTCAAGAAAGCTCTCGTTACCGTTATTCAGATGACAATACTTTATGTCTATCGCCACTCCGATTTTATTGCTCTGATCAGCCGCTATGAAACCCCCGAGTCGGTTCCGCATTCTCCTTCATCAATTACAAAGGCAAATCCATTCAATGATACTGTCATGCAAGTATGGGTGCTTTTGTCAATCCTAATGCATGTCGAGCTTGAAAATATACCGGTATACGAAGCAGAACTTGCAACGTCCCTGAGTACACTATTGAAAGACCTACACGAAGAGCTAGGCGAGCGTGAAATATGTGGAGCTGGTGATGGTAATAACAATAACAATATAAATAATAATACTAAAAGGGTCAAAAGAAATAGAAATAGAAATACTCACTTGCACTTGTTTAAATCGAAACGTTAGGAATATTCCTCAAACATCTCCTTAAAGCTTTACCGAAATCCGAAGATGCTGAAGAGTGTGCTAGTTTATACCAATGTTATCATTGTCTGTATGGATTATTATTAGCTGTAAGTAATATATATATATATATATATATATTAACACACAAAACATATACAGACACATTTGGTTTGTATACTTACTTACTTGCAATGATTTATTTATTCACAGCCGGATTCTGAAAATATCCAAGACCACAATGCTGTTCACAAAGATATCGATCAAAAGTCAGCAGAGTCACTTTTCGATCTTGTTAAAGACGCTGCATTAGAAAAGCTGAACCGTAATGTACCCTTGAAAAATGATGTAAAGATTGCAATCGATATCTTGTTTGAGCTTTTCAATGTAATTCCAAGCAACGCATGTAAGTATATACACATATATATATATTACTTTTACACAATTTATTCTTCAAACACAATCTAACATTATACGTATATATAGTTCGGGCCCAATTTAATGCTCGCATCGTGAACAACTATTTGTCTGGAAACATTGTACCGAAACCTTCAGTTGAAGAATTGATAGAAACAGCACGCTTACCTACACGCCCTGACAGCCCAGAGATAAGTCATATATCACGTAAGTCGATATCCTTGCTATTTTTCTTCTATCTCTTTGAATATATAAATATATATTTACATAGTATGTTTGATTTTTTTCTTTGGTTTTTAGCTGTGTACTTTAAAATATTTTGGATAAGAGGGAGAACACTGCGAATCAATACCAAAAACAGAGCAAAGTCAAACCTTGAAAGATCAATCGATGATTTGAAAGAGGCGATTGTATTATTCACTGTAAGTAGAATATGCTTACTATAGGATTTTTAATTTAGTGTTCTTATATATATGTGTGTACATATATGTACGTGTCTGTAGAATCATATATATCTGTGTCCAAATGACTTTTATGGGTGGTATGATCTTGCTCTATGCTTCTCACAACTCGCAGAAGAAATCCTGGTATACAGTACTGCCAGACTTCCGTCGTATAAGAATGAGATTGCTCAATATCAAAAGGTATTGAATCACTAGACATTTAGTTTAATTTTATATAGCACTTGTTTATGCGTATGCGTTTATGCACCATTGTATTTTCTTAACCATTCATTTCTCTCTCTCTCTCTCTTTCTTGGTGTTCCTTTCTTTATTTTTTATGATGCTAAATAAAAAAAAAAACAATGTAGAAAGCTTTCTTAGCCTTTGTGAGAGCATGGTACCTTGCAAACGAATATAATCTCAAATTTTCCGATTCGACATTATTTGAACTCTATGCCCACTTTGGGGAATTAGTTTTCAGTATGACTGGGTCTCCGATGAATATGGAAGCATTCAAGACCACAAGTGTTTCGAGATTCACGTTGGCTGATGGAAAAGTTCGGATTGTTGCAGATCCTGAAATGGGAAAAAAACTAGCATACAAACTGGTAATCAAATTGTTTTCCAAAGCACTCAAATACGATTCACCGGACGACTCACACTGGAAGTAAGTTTTTTTCATCAATTATTTTGTCAAAAAAAGAAATACAGAAACTCAAATTAAATCTTTTTTGTGTATGTAATTATTGATATTGATATTTGGCGTGCATTTGGCTTTCTCTCTTTGTTTTTAGGTGTCATTATATGATTGGAAAGTGCTCTAGTAAGCTAGAGTTACGACCTCAGGCAAGTTATCTATAATACACGATACGATACGATATATATATATATATATAGTGTGGCAATACTTGTACAAATACACAGTATTTTTCTTCCTAGGACTAATGTATCTTAATAGGAGGTTTTGGGGCATTATCGATTGGCTTGTAACCATGCAATCTCACGACCAAGACAGCAGGAAAATGTGGAAAGTACCCGAGAAGCTATCTACACACTCTGTTCAGCATTAGCGAAATATTTATATACTGAAAAAATCCAGGTAAATGAAATTTTATCTTTTAAATATTTTATTTTAACTGTTTTGCTTTTGAAATATATATATTCTAGGCACAAGATGTTGAAAAATACTTTTCTGGTATACCATCTCTCTTGGCTAATAATTCGCTTTTCGATGAGATATCAGCTTCTTCTTCAAATTACTTTGACGGTATTTGCTCAATTGTTTCTCGGGCGACTCCAACTCCTGTATATCAGCTTCCATTTGGCTCTGAGTCCACTGAAGATATTTCTGCAGCAGAACTTGAACACCAGTACACGTGTCTAAAGAAACTGTCGGTAGAGAAGATCATGGCGTACAAGATTATATATGACAGATTAACAGAGCTCAGGAGAATTGACAAGCGATCTCTGCATCACCGTCCGATCTTTAGGGTAAGAAAAAAAAACAAACAAAAAAACAATAAAAGAACTGACGACCCAATATACATGGATAATATAAATTTCTTTATATTTAAAACAACAAATATATTGAAAATGACATAAAAACTATTAGCAAGCGTGTATAAACTTTTACATTCTTGGAAATGCAAGACAAGCAAAAAAGGATATGCTCTCTCTCTTCAATTTCCGTTCAAATACAAAGCTTCTTGTGAATATTTGGAAATCAGACTATGAAAGGTAACAAAGAAAAAAAATATAAAGAAAAAATTTCTGTAGTCCATAAATATTAATAAGTTGAATTAGGCCAGGAAAACATTACGAATATATTTGCGAGTATACTTTATTCCTCATCAAGATTGCCAAGGCCTCGAAAGATGTGGAGTGCCTAGATTTGTTAGCAAAGAAGTTAAACAAATCTCAAGATATTTTAGCCACTGACAAAGAAAAATATCTTAAAACTTGCAATTCATTTTTAATTGATTTAACACAAGAATAAAGATTAAAAATTGACATGTAGCAAAAATTCATAGTTATATATACATAATAAGGAGAACCTCCCCCCGATTATGTAATGTCTTTTTTTGTATTTTTTTTGTAGGTGGAGATGTAGTACCTCACATTTTTATTGCTCAGACGTCGGGGTGAAAGGCTGCACAATTAGTTTTAGGGGCTTAGGCAAATTCTAAGCTAGAAGACAGGAAAAGGGAGATGAAGTTTAAAGGGATAACGAAGGTAGTGAATTTATAAGAGAGAGATAGTGTGTATTAATCTTCTAATTCATTCTGAAAAACGTTGATAAGCTTATTAGCCAGGGCGGTGGAAACACTGGAAGAGAACGGAACATCATCGAAGACTTTTCTCCAATGACATTGCCAGTTGGCCAATATAATTCCGATCACAACCCGGTATGGGGAGACCTGAAGCATTGCCGTCCGAATTGGGAAAACTAGTGAAAAGATACTCTGGGTTAAATTCAGAAGAGTTGGGCTATGCCCAAAGAATTTTTTTCATACATCAAGCCAAGTGCTATATTTGTTGGGGCAGAGAAACAGGAAGTGGTTAACATTATCTGGGGCTTCGTGACAGATCGGGCATATGGGTGATGGATGCGTGGTAGGAATAATCTGATGAAGATTAGCTTTACAGGAGAGTTTGTTGTGAAGTGCTCTATACCAAATGTTTCGAGCTGTATGAGGAATATTCATTTTCCAGAAGAATTTCCGGTTGGCAGCTGAGAGTTGAGGAAAGAACTGTGGACAAAGCGGGATGGACAAAGCCACCTTGCGGAAAAAAGAGGTAGCGATTGTATTGAGAGTGTATTTGGGCTTTGCCATGACGGCTGTGAAAGGAATAACTGAAATCTCACCAGGACCCACTACACCGCCTGCCAAAGTGCTGCCCTGCGTGCAATTGTCAAACATAAAGTCATGGCGGAGAATTTGCCCTGCCCAATGGGCTCTGTGAAACCGAGCTACTAATCGAGGTTTCATGATGACTTCGTCTTGACTCTTATGTTGGAGACATTGCCCAACTTCGTCAAAAACAAAAGCATTAGATGTCTTCAATTTGGCTAGCCCTTTGGTGTGGACGTAGTTGCCATCCAACACTCTCCACACTTCGGGCAATGGAAAGGCTAGATACGTGGCAGCTGGCACTGGGCAGGAGATGGAAGGATGAGGAATTTGATCAAAGCTCTTTAGCAGAGTGACCAGAGGGTGTAGACCAGATGTTAGGCATTGCGGCCGAAAAATGGGAAACAAGAATGGCAAAATAGGATCCAATGTCCTGTAAAGATCTTGTAGAACAAAGGAGATATATGCTGTCACAAAAGAAGTGTCCCCACCAAACATTGGATGAAGCCAACGCAGTTGCAATGCTTGTTGTTGTAGCTTAGGATCAAGAATCCCTAATCGACCTGCCTTCTTTGGAGCATTGAGATGGGTGAGTCGTATTGGCAGGAACATCTGGTGCATGAGAAACTCCTGGCCTATGGAACGCACCTTGTCTAAAAAGGATCTTGGCAGAGGAGTTACTCGCAAAACATGCCACAATGTAGCCATTATTAGACAGTTAAGAACGGTGGCCCGTCCAAGTACTGACAAGACTCTTTGGGAATGCATGCAGCAGGAATGTTGTATCTTGCCCAGGAGAAGAGACGAAAATCGATCTCGTTGTGCAAGAGAAGAGAAAAGAGGGAAACCAAGGTATACCACTGGTTTTTCAGAATTTCGGTCGTGTCAATCAATAATGTTATGTCAGTGGAGGGGCTCTACCCAAGACGGTTGGGGAAGTCCAGAGAGCGAGAAGGCTGTTGTTTTGGAGAAATTTATTTTTGCATTAGATGCTTTGCTGTACTTATCTAGCCAGTAGTAAAGGCGGTCCAAATCATTGCTATCCCAAAGGAAGACTAAAGCATCATCAGTGTTGTAAATGAGTATTGACTACTGCTGTAATTGAGAATAAGTCTGAAGGAAATAATATAAGGCCTCAGCTATTCCAGTCAAAGGTGTCTACCGATTACTTTATTATTTAACACACAGGTTTAGCATGCATGATAGTGATTATATTTCATATGATGATATCACCATAATATGGGATACATCAGTGGATTATTATAAGCATAATTATAACTCATAAACACATTTACTTTCGATGTTAATACTTCATTGGGACTACACACATTTATATAATTAATCATACATTAATTATCCCAAGATCATGTTGCTCTGATTAAGGCTCAGATAGGATCGATTACCTGACCCCAGTCATATAATTTTCCCAATCCAAAACAATATAAATAGCAGTAGTAGTTCAGTGTAGGAACCTGGTCAAACTTTGATACAAAATCTATCTCAATAAACAAAACCTACACAAGTTCTCACGAATCTTCGTTCCTAATTTCAAATCTTCAATTCTTCCTCTTAAAATCTTCTTCAACTTCAACTACCACAACAATCAGCATATGCCAAAACTTTGGCAGGAGAAAAAAGAGGAAGGGTTAAGCCTAAAGTGTCAGACAGAGAGTATCCACGCACCCTTGGATCATATAGGATTGATCGCAGCAATAGTTCGATAGTCAAGTTGAACAGTACAGGGGACAGAGGGTCGCCTTGACGTAGTCCACGTTGCTGCTGCACTGGGGCAGATAAGAAACCATTGACATTGACCCGAATGGATGTTCCAAAAATCAAGTATAAGGGAAGTAACAAGAACCTCTGGAAATCTAAAATTTGTTAAGACACGGGAGAGAAAATTGGGATGAACCCTATCATAGGCTTTTTCTTGGTCTAGAAGTAGGCTAATCCCAGACGATTTTGTGCGATTGGCATCATCCATAACCAATTTTGTGAGAAGGCCGTTATCAGCAATAAACCGACCATGAAGAAAACCTGTCTGAAATGGATTAATGAGCGATTGTGCGGCAGGAACTATCCGCGTATTTAGCAGTCATGTAAATACTTTGGCATCAGTGTTTATGAGAGAAATAGGTCTCCAATTTGCCAAGTCTGAAAGATTGCCTTTCTTTGGGAGAAGTGTCATGCAAGTGTCTGACCAGCTGGTGGGAAATGCCACCTCCTGGAGAGCATTTTTGTACACTTTCACAATTAAGGACGAGTACAAAAGATGGGTGAAGAGCAGCTTAAGCATCTCATAGGGCAAACCGTCGGTGCCTGAACTGCTTTGTCTTGGTGAGCAGGAAACTCCTTCTTGAATGTCAAGAAGGGTGAAATCCTGAAGGAGTATATCTTGGTCTCTGTTGGAAAGTCGGCATTCTACTAGGAGGTTAGACAACAATTGCTCTGTATTCTCATTGTTAGTCAGTTCTTTTGTGTACAAGCGTGTATAGAAGAATTGTGATGCATCAGTCTTAGTATTATGAGAAGAACATAAAGTCTGTGTTTCCAGGTGAATAAGAGCAGGTATGGCTCGCCAAGATTCTTGTGTAGCTATAGTAGGTTTAAGAAATCCAGCTGCTTTTTCCCCATTCTCTTGCCATATTCTGCCTGCTCTGAGTGAGGCGATACAAGACATTCCTTCCTGTAAGGAAGCTACCTGCATTTCAACAGTAGGTAACAGCATGCACAGTATTTCTATAGCTTTGTAATTATGAAGTATTCGATTCTGGCAACTTTGGAGACAACGTAATTGCCGTTTTTGCCAGGAAGCTTCTTTCTTACCAAATTTTCTAGCTACTGCCTTGATTTTGCCTTTCATCCTTTCCCACTTGTCTTGTGCGGTCATTAGAGAGGACAAAGTAAGGTGTAGGTTGGTGAGAGCATTGTCTATCATGGATCAAAGTTCTGGATTCTGAGCGAGAAAAGGGTTTGCACACCATAAACCAGGTCCACTTAGGCAAGATTCCAGTGTCAGATGTGTGCTTAGAAGAGCATGGTCAGTCCAATCAGGATTGATGAAGTCAATTTGTGACGTATGTGTAGCCCCTGATAGATTATAGGACAAATATATGTAGTCCAGACAGGAGTTAATGTTGCCACAGCAAAAAGTTGGTAGTGGTGCAATTGTGTTGGACTGAATACTGTCAGAGAAGTGGGTAGCAAGGGTGGCCATCCAAGAATAAGGTATGTTGCTAGGTCTAGTACGTGTGGGATGAGTAGAATAGTTGATATCTCCAGCCACAATGACCTGGGGAGAGGTTGTAGAAATGTCTGAAAAGGGTGAAAGTTATTGAAGATTGATATAAAAGGAGAGTTGATGCGCTCTTGTAGCAGATGCATACACTATCAGAACATTAAAAGACTCAAATGTATTATTACTATGTGTTACAGAGGCAGAGAGAGCATGCTTGTCAAGAGAGATAAAGTTTGTAATAAGGATGATATTGGGTGAGAAAAATACAAGTCCACAGTGTGAAGATCAAATGCTATGAAAAGTCTGGAATTCCATGTGAAGTGTGTATTGAATGTTTGGAGAGGCGTGCATTTCTTGCAGGGCAAGAAGTTTAAAAGATTGTAATTGGAGAAATTGTATAAAGTGTTGTCATTTGTCTGTGTCATTTACCTTAGCAAGGCCCCTACAATTGAGAGACCCAAATTTAATTCGTAAATCTTAGGGGGCAGGGGGTTGTTGGATGATGGGAACAGGGTATTACACAAGCTTATAGTGATTTTTGTTTGTATGGAGCGGAGCTCTGGTTTATTGGTGGGACTCTTGTCCAAAAGGCTTAAGAGGCGCCACAACTTGTTTTTGGTTTTTCTATTATTTAAATGTTTTTGGGGATTTTGTTTTTTAAGTTGTAAATGTAATGTAAAAAAAAAATGTAGAAACGAAGAAACACGATGAACTTAGACAGAAAAAGGGCGTTGATCAAGGTTTTCTTCAGATTGTAAATGGGAAAGCAGGGAACTGGCAGTGGTAGTGGCATTAGCGGCAACAAAAGGTGATTGATTGAATATGAAAGCCCAGTGATGTCTCCACAAGGCTAAAAGAACAGAGCCAAGGATTGAGGCAGGATGTGAAGTTGGATCAAGGGGGGGAGGGAAGGAAAACTTGTATAGCACATTGTGAATGTCAGAGAATTGGGGGGAAAAGCCGAAATGCGTGAGCCAGAGTGTGTGCCAGAGAGGAAGCTTGAGTGGGCATGCGTAGAGAAAATGGTCTTGAGAGTCAATTTCCATTCCACACAGCAAACAATTAGGGAAGGGAAATGAGGTGGGAATACGGTTATGCAGCACGGATTGACATGAGATCTTGTGATGAAGCAGCCAGAACCAAATGTTGCGAGAGGCTTACAGAAGGATGAAAGACCAGAGTTGACGCCATTTGATGGTTCGTATGTTGTGTGGTACATCCTAAATAGAAGAAGTGACAACTTCACAGGAGGAACGGAATTGGCATGTAGACAAGCGTTTCCAAGGAAAGGTAGGAGAGAGGGCCGACAGAAGTGTGGAAGGGTCAACCTCAGTGCCCGTGTGAGCCATCAAGTCAGGGAATTGTTCAGTCAAGATACTTTGAGGCAGGCAAGCACGAATGACAAATGCGTGAAGGAAAAGAGAGTGATCATCCACCCGCTGAAGGACTTTGTGGAGGATGCATGGTGAATGAGGAAAGGAAGAAGGTAAGTGGCAAGAAAGGATATCCAAAGTGGTGTTGATCTCATAGGCATCCTGGATCTGGAGGTGACGCCAAGAAGCAGGAAAAGCAGGGAGACCATGTGGAACCACAACTGCAGAGGCGAGAGGAATGTCCAGACAAGTCAGTAGATTTATCACAGTAGAGTCAAAATCGTGAGGCAAGAGATTGCAGGCAGCAAAAAGGTTAAAGAAAGGACTGATATAAGTTCGGAGTCGAGGGTGTCTGAGGTCAGAAAAAATGAAAGGAAGATGGAGATGGACATCAGGTAGATAATGCTGAAGAAGATATAGCAGCCAAGGCAACACCAGACCAGAAGGAGACGAAGCGGATTGGAACAGAGGTCGAAGCCAACGGAGCTGAAGGGCACCTTGTTGCAGTTTTGGATTCAAAACCCCTAAACCGCCCATTTTTGTGGGGAGACATAGAGTGTCAAGTCTAATCGGTGGGAAGCTTTGATGCTGAAGAAAGCGACCCATGAGAGAGCGAACTTTGGTAAAGAACGTGCTGGGAACAGATACAACACGAAGAACGTGCCAGAGCTTTGACAATATAAGAGAGTTTAGGACAGTAGCACGGCCACGGAAGGACAAGGCGTGGGAGAGGTGGATATGTGAAGCTCGCTCTATCTTAGACAAGATTTGTGAGCAGAAGGAGTTGCGTTGGGTGAGGGAGGAGATGATCGGAAAGCCAAGGTAGTGGAGAGGTTCTGGAGAGCGACTATCATGTCAATCGACAATCTGCAAGCTGTGAAGGGTGTCCGCCCAGTGAGGATGAGGTCTGCCTGACAGAGAGAAAGCTTGGGTCTTATGAAGGTTGATGCGTGCATTGGAAGCAGAGGCATAGGTAGCGAGGTGGTGCTGCAATTGGGACATGTCCTGGATCTGTGGGAGGAAAACCAGAAGATCGTTGGCATAAGTGAGTAGCTTTATGGGTGGAGGTGCGGGATGTTCAGGCGTACTTTGGATCTCAAATCCAGTAAACTGAGGGTCGTGTATGAGTTGGCGCAAAAGTGGTTCAAAGGCCAGGTTAAACAGAACAGGGGACATGGGGTCATCCTGTCTGAGTCCACGTGCTTGACAAAGAGGACGAGAGAGAAAACCGTTCACATTAATCTTAAGGTCAGAAGAGAAGAAAAGATTAGTGATGCAGGTTATAATTGAAGCAGGAAAACCGAATTTAACAAGAACTTGTTGAAGATAGTCAGGGTGAACCCGATTGTAAGCCTTTTCCTGGTCCAAGAGAAGACCGATTCCAGAGTGACCAGTAGAATTGGCATGATCCATAACCAGCTTTGTAAGTATACCGTTATCAGCAATGAAGCGACCATGGACAAATCCTGTTTGATACGGAGATACAAGCACTCCAGCAGTTTTGACCATTCGAGTGTTGAGAAGCCAAGTGAAAATCTTGGCATTGGCGTTGATCATAGCAATTGGTCGCCAATTCTTCAGGGATGAGAGATCGCCTTTCTTGGGCAACAGAGAAACACATGTTGTTTGCCAGGATGAAGGGAATTGGCCACTACTAAGAGCATTATTGTACACTTGTGTCAGCAACTGGGAGCAAGAATGGTGATGAAAAATGAGTTGGAGGATCTCATTAGGGAGGCCGTCTGGTCCTGGGCTACTTGTTCATGGAGAGTGAGACACACCTTCTCGTATGTCTTCAATGCAAAGTTCAGCAGTCAGAGAGGAACATACGGTATCAGAGAGGCAGAGATCGTTGGGAAGGTGGCGAAGTAAATCGTCTATGGCTAGTTGATCTATTGGTTCAGATGTATACAGGCCTTTGTAGAAAGAAGTGGCAGCTTCAGTCATGCCATCAGGCTCAGTGTGTAAGTGGTCAGTGATGGGATGGCGTAGTTTGGTGATGTTCTTTCAGGCTTGGCATTCTGCAACTGTTTGCTTGAGGTATTCTGCGGAGATCTCTCCATTCTCTCGCCAATGTTTGCCTGCACGCAGGGCAAGAATTTCCACTCTCTCCAGCTGGACTTGTTGCAACTGTCTTTCAATAATGGGCAATTGGAAGTTTTGGGCGGGTTGTTGTCTGAACTTGTGGATTAACTTGTCACGTTTACTTTGAAGTCTGGCCTCCAGTGTAGTGAGTGTTTGTGTGCGGCGCCTAGTAAAGGACTTAATAAATTTTGTAAGCATATGTTTTAATCTATCCCATTGGTCTTGTGGGGACATATAGGAAGAAAGTAGAAATACGGAGGTAGAAATATAGGCGTCAAATTCAGTGCAAAAAGTGGGGTTGCAGGCAAGACGAGAGTTGGTGCGCCACATTCCCTTTCCTGTTGCATGGTTGGCAGTAAACTTAAAAGTAGTGGCTACTAGACAATGATTGGACCAATTTGGATGTATATAGGACACAGAAGAGGACTGACGGCATGGGGCAAGGTCGGAAGAAGCAAATACATAATCTATGGAGGAGGAGCAAAGTTGTCAGTAGAAGGTTGGGGCAGGGACTTCACCACTCAATGTGACACAATCCACGAAATGGTTAGAAATAAAGTTAAGCCATTTGGGAGGGCCTGGTGAGGGTTAGAAGAAGTAGTGTGGTAGGTATAATTGAAGTCGCCCAAAAGTATGCATGAGGATAGGAGATGAGGAAGTAGTGCTGGAGAGTTGAGAAGAGAGTGGAGGAAAGAAAAGCAGTCCCAGTAGGAAGCTGGGGCATAAACAACGCATATACGGAAAGAGGAAATGGAATTATTAGTATGTATGACTGTAGTAGAGATGCAACGGCCACAAGGGCTGAATAGAGGATTAATGAAAGATAGGTGCAGAGAAAGAGAAACAAGACCGCAGTGCGGAGACCATAAGGAATCTTGGGCATGGAATTGTGTATGGAACATCTGTTGGAGAGGTTCAGTATTGGCATGAGTTTCTTGAAGGGTGAGTAAATCGATCCCACAGGATCGAAGGTGTCTTATAAATAGGGAGCGCGTTTGTGGGTGGTTAGTTTTAGCTAATCCATAGCAATTCATAGATGCAATTTTTATCATAATTATTATTGGGGGATAGTTTTTTCAATACCCTTCATAGGGTCGTCTTCGCAGTTTTTCTCAAAGTATGCCTCCACCTCTGCCAAGTCGTCATCGGTGAGCATGGGATCATCAGCAGAGAGTGTTTCCCTATCAACTAAGTTCGCCTCAAAAGGGAGGGGAGGTGTTTTTGGTGTCTTGGTGCGTGAATCGGCGGGTACAGCTTTGGTGGTGTTGGCGGGGTTGTGTTGAGACCCGGCAGAAGAGAGTGAAGGGTCAAGTAGGGCATAAGGGTTGGCTGTGGTGAAGGAGGGGGGGAGGGTCTTCTTCATATGTGAGCCAGAGTGAGTGACAGTGGGTCAGTTGTGGGTGGCAGTGGTGCGATGGGGGCCATGCGGTTCAGGAACCTTGCAATCCCATTTGTATGAGTTGTTCACTTTGGCAGCATGAGGGCATTTAGAGCGAAAATGGCCGACCTGATGGCAGCCATAGCACGAGTGAGTTTCTTTTAGTTGATTGGGGCAGTTGTCACGGTCATGGCCCATGGTTTGACATAGAGCGCAATGGGCTCCCATATTGAGCCAAGTGGCCAAGAACATTGTGTTATCATCGAAATCCATTTTAAAGCGAAGTGGAAGGAGGGCACCTTCCTCATATGGAGGACGCTCCATATATGCGTGTCCACTTCCATCCATAAACCCAAACAACGTGTTAATGGAGATATCATGCACATAGCCATATTTTGTGAGAGCATTACGAAGTTTGGTATCCAAGGTAGTGTACTCTTGAGAAGGTAATCGGGGGAGCTTTGACAAAGTCAGCTTAAACAATTTGGATTAGCTAGCAATGGCAGAGGAGGCAAGAACAGTTTCGTTGTTGTACCAAAAGCCTACACAACAAGCACAAGCACAAACATCTTTGGAGCTCAAGTGGAGCTCAAAGAGGGTACCAGCTTTATTGGAAGGGTTCAGGCCAAAGATTTCGCCAGGCAAAAAGGACTGGAGCAGAGCATCAAAGAAAACAATGAATTTGGGAGAAGTTTCCAGGGGAGTAGTGTAGTAAACAGAGAACTGGCTAGTACTTTCTCGCCAAGTGTGAGATTTTGTCAGAGGGTCATTAGACCCAAGTACAATGGCATGGCAGAATGTCAGTGCAGTGTTTGTTAGGGCAGTCAAGTAGGTGAGAGGGAGTCCGGGTGTGAGTGTTGTGATAGTGGGTGAATTGTTTGTATGGCTGTTTATGAGGTGTTTCCCTGTGGGGGGGGTGTCCGGTTGTATAGCAGAGGAAGCCATAACAAGCTTATAGTGAGTAGTCTGGCAGATAATTAGAGGTGTGACTACTTTTAACTTGTCTGGCAGACATTCATTGTTTCTGTGTGTCACATGCTGTCCCCCAAAAACCAGTCCCCCCTGTCCCCATCCAGTATAATCACTTGTCTTTATTTACTAAGAAAAATCATGCAAAAGTGGAAGAACATTTGTTCATAACTTTTTATTTTCATTTTTATTTATTTTTAAAAAATTCATAACTCGTTCAAAAAAATAGATAGAAATATAAGAGTAAAATGGTTGGTTTTGTTGATTTTTTCTGCATAAAGTGAGTATTTGTTCGTTTTGTAATATTTTTTGAATCACGTTTAAAGATTGAATTACAAAAGTTCTGTACATTTCATTTGTGAAAGATTGAACAAAAAAACAACAATTTGAAAATATTAGTAAAAATCACTTGCAAATGTTTTATATCAATAGAAAATAATAAAAAACAAGTCAGTAAAAGCTTTAGACTATATTATTATGTAGAAAAGATATTTATTAGCAAAAACAATCTATATTGAATGGTTAAAAATGTGAAAAATATGTATATTTTGCTTGTTTATTCAACTAAAACATAATAAATTAATTTCAAATTTTGGATACAGAGATGTACGTATGGTATTTCAGGTACGAAACAATTGAAATTAATAAATTTGATAATAGAGACGTATAGAAATACAGACTCATACAATAAATGAAAGAAAAAAGTATAAACTCAACTAAATAGAACATCTTTAATGAAAAGTTGTTGTGTTTTTTAAAAACTCTTCTCATTCAAATCTCACAATGTCTCAGCAAATCAATAAAAGTATTCCTAATAAACGAAAAGAGCTTTCAGACTATGAAAAAGGACTTATTATTGGTGGTGCTCTGCATAATATTTCATTGACTGTCATTTCGAAGAAGACAGGCATACCCATGACAACTTTACATAGCACAGTTCAAAGATGGAAACAGAATGGCACACCATTAACAGAAAAACGCCAAGGACATCCATCAATTTTGGGTGAGAGAGATTTAAGCCAGCTTAAACACGAAATGAAGAAAGATTGTAATGCCACACTTGGAGAACTCACAAACGCTATAAGACTCATGATTGACAAGTACATTTCCAAGAATATCATTCGCAAAGCTATTTGTAAGATCAGAATGTCTTCTTGTCATCCTGTATTTAAGCCAAGACTATCCAGAACACATAAAAAAACAATTGTTGTTTGCTAAACGTTGCAAAGAAATCAATCAAAGATGGGATCATGTGATTTAGAGCAATGAGTCTCACTTTATGATTTTTCCAAAGTATAGAAACCTTAGAATTTGGCGCTTTCCTCTGAAGAAGTTGAAGTCTGATTGTATCATGCCTAGAGTACAGTTTGGAGGTGGTTCAGTGATGGTTTGGAGCTGTGTGTGGGCAGGAGGAGTAGGCTTACTAAAACCGATTATTAACAGCCTTGACCAATTTGGCTATATAAACCTTTTGGAAAAAAAGTTGCTCCCATTTTATGGTTACCTAAGTGAAAGACATGACGGGGAGTTTATTTACCAAGAAGACAATGCTTCTTGTCATAAATCAAAACTTGTTGAGAACTGGATAAAAACCCATTATATACCAATAATGGAACGGCCGCCGAATAGCCCAGATCTCAATCCTATTGAGAACCTATGGGCTCATTTGGGTTGGATGATAAGGGCAAGAGTACCAGCTCCAAGAACTATTAAGGAGCTAGACAAGGTTATCCATGAAGAATGGAAGAAAATACCAGCTGCCGTATGCAAGGCCTACTGCATGTCTATGCTAGCTCGCATAGCCCATATGAAGAGAGCCCATGGTGATGTTACCAAATATTAAACTTTCAATAAAAATTATTTTTCTTACTATTTAAAGGTTATATATTCTTATTCCAATAATTTTAAAAGTAGTTTATTAAGTAAAAGTAGACAAACAATGAAGAGAGAGTTAAGGATATTATTTTTTCACTTTGGTGGAAGCTAAAATTTTCTTTTATTTAATTGATAAGACTGTAGAGTATAGTTTCAAACGGACTCCAGAGTTGATGGTCATAATTGCAGAGAGAGAAAGATGAAAGTTTCAGGAAGTTGTTCAGAGATATCCTTGTGAGTATAATTGGATTCACCAATTCATTGAAATCTACCAAGCAGTTCAGATAGCCGTGGATTGCTAGTTGCTCCACTAAGTTGCCTGGGTTTTTTCCACTGAAGACCTTACTTTTCATTAACTTAGAATTGTGGTTGAGATATTTGGGATTGTTTATGGGTTAGTATCTCAATAATGAGAAAAGTAGATACTGTGAGAGTGTTATTTATTAAAGAGACAAAAATAATATTGTTTGTATCTGCTACTATTAAAGTCCCTGTAATTCAAATCCCTGTTGTGTAATAGTTGGTTTACACTGTATGAGTGCGTAGTGTACGTGTGCCTGGGATGTAACAGTTCCGGAGATTGTTAACTTGCCAGGTTCATTAGCAAGAAGGAACCAGTGTTTGGTTGTGGGGTCTGTTCTTCACTCAATTGTGGTGTGTATATCACAGTGGTATTTCAGATACAAAACAATAGAAAAATAATAAATTTGATAATGGAGACATATAGAAATATTTTGAGACTGTATATAAGTTGTTCTTTATTCATAAATAAAAATGGTCTCTTTTTATAAAAAAACACAATCTGCTCTTGTCATTACGTCTTAGTTTCTTAAGGCTTTCTTCCTTTACTATATTTGGTTATTAGAGTGTATTTACTGCTTAACTAGTGTCAGTGTTACAATTATGACATCAAGTCATAAATCATACTTCTTTAACTCTTAGCTATTCTTTTCTCTTTTATACTAGAGCTTTAGGACTTCCTACTAAATTAGCTCCATATCGATCTGACACAGTTTACTCAGCAGTATGATATAATTATCTTAACAATCTTTAAGATATTATCTACAGTACTAACTGTAATAATTATTGGGCTGATTACTTAATCATTTATATAAATTTTATACTGACAAGATGATAGCTACTACACTATCCAAATATGAATATGTTCTTATATGTGATAAATCCAACATCCGAGTGTCTGGATCACCACATCAACTTCACCCTCCTGGGCAGCCCCCTGGGCGGCCCCCCAGTGAACCCCCAGGTGCACCTCTTTTTTTCTCATAGTGTTATCTTGTTGGCCATTTTGAATCATGCCAATATATTGATATGCCTTGGCATACTGTTTATGTTTGAAATAAGCCTTAAAAGCCTGAAGGATTTCACCATCCAATGGCTGAAGATGGGACGTGGTGTTTGGAGACAGAAAAAGAAGCTCAACATTTGTAGGCACATAATCTACTATATGACCAGAGAAATTATCAAGGATCAAAAGCATCTTGTACTTTTGCGCTTTCATTGAACAATCAAAGCAATAGAGGAAAACATGGAAGATTGATCATGTCATCCAGGCATTACTGTTGTAATGATACATAGAAAATACATGATATACTGTCTCTTGTTTTTTGTTGTTTTTATTAAAACAGTTTGGTCTTTTTGTATGACCAATCATCAATATGTCAGAACATTTGTCTGTTCCAATGGCATTGCATAAAAGACCTACTGTAAGCCGCTTCTTATTTTCCTTTCAACCAGAAAATTTCTGGTGGGAAATCATTGTTCTTGGTGGGGTGGCATAGAAAAGTGCTGTTTCATCAAAGTTATAGGTGTCACAAGCACTATAACCCTTTATCTTCCCTTTGATAGCAGTCTTGTCAATCTGAAGCGACTCTATATCTGTTGAACCAGCCTCACCATGAATTCGATTCATCTTGATACAATGATGCTTTCCAAACTTCTCCATCCAGCCTTGAGAAGCATTACAATCTTTAACGTCTATTCTTTTGGCAAAAATAGTAGCTTTTGTCTTAATCAATTCTCAAGTGATGGAAATCTGATTATTTTCAGCAATGTTGATCCAAAGAATGACTGCTTCTTTGATTTGCTATAGTTATATGACAATATAATAAAATTAATTTTAGTTTTTATATAGAGCAAAAATGTATAATGTTGAGATATATTATATACAAGTCATTTTTTTTTCTAACATTCTTTCTGTTCTTTATATCAGCTTGCATTATTAAGCCCTAATCTCCTCTCTTCAAAATCTTCAAGATTATAGAAGCATCAGGAGCTTTCTGAAAGCCAAAGGTTTCCTTTGCCCACTCAGCCAATTGAGGGTCACTCATAGATGGCTTTTTCTTTTTTATATCACAAATCTCAAGATGATTTGCAATATTAAGCAAAAGGGTTTTTTTTTGCTCATATTTATTGTTTCGTTCTGAATTTGATAGATTTCATTAAAGTATCATAAGATTGAAAATTATATTAGATAAGCATTATATAATAAGCTAAAAGCATACTAAGAAGCTGTTATTATTTGATTGAATAAGAATTTGAAACAATAATTGGTTACAAAACAGAGGGGGGTAGAAAACAGCAATGCAGCCAGAGGTTATATTTAACTAGAATGGATTTAAATAGAGAATTGAAGCATATCGAATCATTACTTGATATATTTTTTCTATTAAAGAATAATGTAAACTCCGCCCATAGTTGACAGAAAATATGTACTCCAAACTTGTTAATTTTACTCTTCAATAATTTCAAGGCACCTGGCCTTCTCTAGGCCTTGAAATTATGAAGAGATCACTGTATTAGATAATAGCAACTTTTGTGGAAAGTGTAATTACATATTTCATTTTCATACCAAATATAGCAACAATTTTTTCTATACTTTTCTGAGTTTTTGCTGCTATATCAGAGTAGAAGTCACTGTCGGAAAGTATATTAATACTAAACTAACAAGTACTTGCTTGTGTTAATTATTAAATAAATATATGGATAGTGTTTGATTGAAATATGGTCTTCTGTAATAATAATAATTGCAGTACATAAAAAGTATGAGGTAAAAAACTATATTTATAGAGTACATACGTCTTTAAAATTATATTCAAAATTGATATTTTACTTTATATCTTACTTATAAATGTGTTGTTAGTTTAGATAGTTAAAATAAAAAGTAATGATTGACTAACAAAGGTGTAAAAAAAGTGTAAAATAAGAAAAAATTACACAAATTGTAAAAAAAAAAAAAATTTACACTTTTTTTTTGGAAGTTGGGAAGAATCATTTCTTTTTTAGCAACCAATTTTCTTTTTAAAAGTGTAAAAATAGGTTCTCAGTGTTGTGGTGGTTGAAGTTGAAGAAGTTTTTAAGAGGAAGAATTGAAGATTTGAAATTAGGAACGAAGATTCGTGAGAACTTGTGTAGGTTTTGTTTATTGAGATAGATTTTGTATCAAAGTTTGACCAGGTTCCTACACTGAACTACTACTGCTATTTATATTGTTTTGGATTGGGAAAATTATATGACTGGGGTCAGGTAATCGATCCTATCCGAGCCTTAATCAGAGCAACATGATCTTGGGATAATTAATGTATGATTAATTATATAAATGTGTGTAGTCCCAATGAAGTATTAACATCGAAAGTAAATGTGTTTATGAGTTATAATTATGCTTATAATAATCCACTGATGTATCCCATATTATGATGATATCATCATATGAAATATAATCACTATCATGCATGCTAAACCTGTGTGTTAAATAATAAAGTAATCGGTAGACACCTTTGACTGGAATAGCTGAGGCCTTATATTATTTTCTTCAGACTTATTCTCAATTACAGCAGTAGTCAATACTCATTTACAACACTCAGAAGTTGTTCATATTTAAAATACTGCTAATCTTTAATAGGAAATATATACTCTGAACTTGTTAATTTCACTCTGATAATTTCAAGGCAACTGACCCCCCCCCCCCCTCAACTTTTGGCTCACTCTCACCTCACTCTACCACCCCATCCAGCCCCACCACCTCAAAACATACATACTCATTTGCTGCTACACTCACATCTACTGCTCTTCTTTCTTACCAGCCTCGTATCATATATGGCAATTCCATTGATGGTGTTGTGAATGAGTATTGATTACTGCTAAATCTGAGAGTAAGACTGAAGGATAAAATAATATCTTCAGCTATTCCAGTCAAACGGATCTCCCTTTATAATATTATTTAATACACAGATCATCATACACATAATTGATTATTTATTATTATCACCATGACATAGGAAATACAAATACATATACATTATATATATGGCATCATTATATTTCATCTACATATTTCTTTTATTATACAAATACTTAATTGAGAGACTACAATTACAACTATTTAATATTATAAAACATTACCCAAGTATCTGGGTCGGAATACTAAAATATTACCAATAGCATAAATGCTCTTCTTTACCAAAACTCTCGGACTGATCTGACTGGAGAAGTATCATATCAATTGGTCTTTCCAGATCTTTCCAGAAGAACAATACTCCTGGAAGATGACTCATTATGATAAAGATTACTTAAGCACACACTGAATTATAAATTAGACAAACATATAAATATCAGTAGATAGTTCTGTGTAGAAAAACAATTGAATTTTATCATTCTTTACTTTTCTTTTGAAATAAACAACCTATACAAGTTCTCACGAATTCTTTCATCTATATTATATTTTGCTTTATTTTCTCCCCACAACAGATGGGTTACCACGCATCTGGCATGCTGGTACTGCACCTCACTTTGTTTATTATAATGCTCCTCTTCCCACTTCTCCTCTCCACAATGCCTTCTGGTATGCTCTGAAAAGCTCTGCTTTTGCAGACTCTAGTATAAAAGTTACTCTTTTCAGTCGTCCTGCTCCTACTGCTCTTGAGGTCCAATTCCTCAACACTGCTTCGTGTGCTATTGTGTGCGCACATCCTATTTCTGTTTCTGATCAACTCTTCTCAGCCTGTATTGCTGTTGCTCCTAGTTGCAAGGTATATTGGGTAGCATTGTCTCGACTCCCTGGTATTTGTTATTCTGATTAAGTAAATGGACTTTAATGGTGCCTTTCCCCTTTCAGAGTTGTACGCAAAATTGTGGTCTGCAAGAGTTATACTTTTTTGATGACACTGGCAGTATCCTCCATGAACAACCCAACCCACCAGCTCAGCAAGTTGCCAAGCTTGCCTATGAGATTTCTGACAATGACAACACTATCATCCTTGAAGAATGAGCACATATGGGCTCCCATTACAAATACTGCAAAAAAATAGGCTATGACATTAATGCCTGCCCTGCACACTCTTCAGAAACATATACCTGTTACAGCTGCAACAAGTCTGGCCATTTTCAATCTAACTGTCTCCACATCTCCAAACCTGCTCATAGGTCAGCAATCACTAACAAATGCTCTTGCCATCTCAACCATGTTCCTCACCAGGATCGCATTGTGCTGTCCTGCCCTCTGACAACTACTCTTCCCACTAGTACATCTGCAGATTCCATCTACAATCCAGCTAACAAAGCTTTATCTTCTCTTCTGCTGATTGAACTACAATGCAATGCTAATGTAGTCAGTCATGCTGAAGAGGAAACACCATCCAACAACACCGCCCATATTGCAGATCCTGAAGACTATACAATGTTTGACGCTCTTGCAGAACAAGTAAATTCTGACAAAGCCTAATTGCAACAGGAGCCTGAGATGGCTGCCAATAAGCAGGCTCTTCTAGGGGCTATTCATGCTACTGAAACTAAAAGAATATGTTGTCTTACCCAACATACACCTAATCGCAACATGAGATGCAGTCTTTTCACGTCCCCCACATACAAGAACACTGCATCTCATAACTCTTCGTCCTTCCCTCCACCATGGTTCACTTGTCAAGCCCTCGGCACAGAGGCCAAATCAAACCAATGATTACCATTAGAACTATGAACTGCAGAGGCCTTCGGTTGAATGAAGGTTTATGGGGCTTTTAAAGCCAGATTTTAACTACCAATATGGATAATATCTCTATGAGTTTTCAAAATCAGATTAATGTTCTTAAGCTAAAAACCAATCATTTTTTGTGTTCTATATATCTGTGTTTTAATATCTTGTTTTTTAAATTACTCTGCGAATATTTGTCCTATAATAATGGCAAAACCGGATTTGGATAGCCTGAATTTTGTAGATATTAATCAATAGTCATCACATTTTGGTACTGTTTTTTGTTGTCAAGATAATGCAGTTTCAAAGTTTATGTAAGAAAGGTAACAAATATGCTTTTAAATTAGAGGCAATAGATTTTATATAATAAATGTTTTTCAATTACATATACTTATGGTCCACATGTTACAGTTATAGTTCACTGATGCAAAGACTCTGGTTTGATTCTGGCTGGATGCATTTTACACTTTTTATATTTTTTTAGCTAATTTTTTTAAGATATAAAGCTTACCTTATATCTATTATTAGATGTTGAATGATGTTATTCTTTTGATATATTTGAATTAAAATGTCTTTATGTTTTGTTTTTATATTATTGTTTTAATATTATTAAAACAAATTAATTTAAATCCAAATTTCTTATATTTTTTTATTAAACCATTATAGAATCAGTATATTCTTTATCTTCATTATCTTCTTAATATTCATAATTTGTATATATTGGGTTGTCAACAATGCTTCCAAAAGAAACTTCAGCTAACGTTTTTAGCATTCTTTGCCACAATCTGTTCTCATATTTTTTTCTCCATATGAATTCCATCAACATCCATGGCACCATTTGTTTTGTTTGCAATCTGGCCTTGCAGTTCACTTTTATTCCATTCCACAGACCTATGTAATAAAAGTTAATAAAATAATTTTATCTTTTATAGTATTTTACCTTCTATAGTATTGATATGAATACCATCAGATATAACATACTCAAGATTGTGATTGACTGTTCTATGAGTATAGTTCATATCAACCACTGATGACAATCCCCCATATGCAGCCCAGCAATCTGTGTGAATAATGCTATTGGGCTTTACATACTTCTTTATCACTTGAAGGAGAGTTGCAGCATCTCTCTGAGGAATTGTCACCAAAAATGTTTTTCGTTCTGCTGTTTTCTCTACCCCCCAGAACCCAAACACCTTCTACTCAATGTCCTTGGTGATATTTCCTCTTTCCAAATTTGCTTTCATCAATTTCAACAATAATGGATTGACCATTGGCATCAATACCTCCTATAAAAATATTTAATGTATCTATATATAATTAATTCTTATAAACTTATCAATTCTCATACCATTGTTCGTTAAATTCATTTGAATCAATTGGTGAATACTAGCAATGAGATGTCTTATAGTTTCTAGAGAAACACCAAGCATAACTCCCATTGTCATTCTAGGAATCTGGTTTAACCAGTAATATATTCCTTGCATAACAACATCATAGGAAAGATGTCTTTGTGCAAAGAAAGAATCCAATGTTTCAGATTTTCTTTCTCTTTTACAACATGTTGCTCCCATGCTGTTTACTCCACTGCATCTGTAATTGTAGTCTCTGTCTTTTTCAAATATATAGTCCATAGAACAGCGACTAGAACAATTAAAAATAATATGATTTCTTGAATATAAAGCACCCTGTGCAATCAAATATCTTTATATATATTAAATACTAATATATAATAATTAAAAATAACTTTTTTACTTACTGTTTTGCAACTTCAGATGTATATGTTAACGCCATAACATAGCTCAAAAGAGGAATAGATAATGGACGAACTGATAAAGAAGATTGATTATCCATTTGAAAATAAATAAAGTAGAAATAAAAGAAAAGAAAGCAAAAAAAAACAAATGAACATAATAGTTAAACAAAATAAAAGCTGTCAAAAAAATTTTCTGTGACGTGGCAGGTGACTAAGCCACACAAACTATATTATTTATAAGATTATAACACTTAAAATAGATAATATATATTTTATAATTATATTTTCTCTATCAATTTGTGACATTATGTGACGCTCAAACTGAATCTATATAGCTTACATTCACGATATTGTTTTAAGTATATGCATGTCACAAGACGTCACAAATTGATAGAGAAAACAAACTTTAAAATAATTAATAATAATGATTTAAATATGTTATATTTCACTAAATACTTATATGTCTTTTGTGGGAATTGAACTGATAATCTACAGATTGCTTTATGACACTGTAAGCAAAGGGCGGAGCTCTAATTCGGAGCTTTAAAACCCCATAAGTCCTCAGAAATCCTCACCTATAGCACTCCATCTTGCCCATAGCTTCAATTTCTCACTAACCACCTTGTGGACTGTGTAACTCCTACCGGCAAGGTACTTCAACCTACTTTTCACTGTGGGATATCACCCTCTACAAATGACTACATATTCGCTTCCTCAAACCTTGCTTCTTGTGCCATTTCACACTCAGTGAAATATATACACTCATAGTGGTCTGACTATTGTCTGGTCACAGTTGCACTCTCCCTTCCTTCTTCTCAGACCAGTGGTAAAGGCTTTTGGTAGGCAAACCCTCACTTTACTCAGCTTACTTCTTTGCAGAATGAACTTTCTGTCTTTTTTTACATCTTTGTATCTACTCTCCCCACCTCCAATTCTCTACAGACAAACTGGGATTTAGTCAAGTCCGGAGTGACTCGCTTCATTAAACATTTCTCTCATCAAATCTCACCTTCCCTGTCCACTCTAGAAGCACAACTTCAAAGTCGGTGTGATAAGTTAATTCTTTGATTTTGTCATCAACCTGCTCAGAACTTTCAACTTCCTATAAGTAAACAAAGCTCCAACAGGTTCAACTGGAACATATAGAAATTCTTGCTCTCTGGGCTGGCCGACAATGGCCCAAACATGGTGAAACTTCTGCAGGTTTCCTTAAACGCACCATTGCTACATGTCAGTCCAAAAAACTCATCACCAGTCTATACCATCCTGTTACTGACTATCTTTGCACTGAGTCTGACAGTATGTCAGAGGTTGCTGCCGCCTTCTATGAGACTCTCTGCTCTTTTGAGCCCATTACTTCTGTTGCTGTTGATGATCTTCTTTAGAATCTTTCTAACAATCTTGCCCTCACTAATCTCACTTGAAAGTTTTCTCTTAACACTGTTTGCCAAGGTGCCTCTCAATCTCTTAATGCCAGTAGTTCTGGTTCCGATGGATTGTCATACAAGATTCTGTGACTCATACTTGACTACCCTAAATGCTTCACTCTTGTCTTGTATATATGTAGCAAAGCTTTGTTGAATTGTGTCTTTCCCCCCACTCGGATGTCTATCTGCATATGTCTTCTCCCAAAAAAAGGCGATCTTACATCTCTTCAGAATAGGTGACCTATTGCACTTATTAATACTGATGCTAAAGTCTCTACTAATTCTCTTAACTCTCATTTGATCTCTGTAATCACTCCTCTTATCACTCTCTATCAAACTAGCTTTGCTCAATGACAATTTATTGCTGATAATGGAAAGCTCACTCAGATGGTCATGGTTCAGACACTTGAGAAAAGTTCAACTGAAGTGTGTCTTCTTCTTGATTAGGCAAAGACATATGACAAAGTGCACCCAAAATACTTTTGCTAAGCTGTTCATCACTTTTGCTTTCCTAAATCTATAATAACTTATATCACTTAATTGTTTTTCTCTATACAGATTCAGATCAACATTAATGGCTTTCTATCTCACCCTCTTATATAATTGCATGGTCTCCATCAAGCTGACCCTCTCCTTTTCATCTTGTTCAATTTGGTTTCTGAACCTTTGTTGTGATGAGCTATAATTGATCAATTATTTTTTGGTTTTTGATCTTTTGTCACTGATAGTGTGACTACTATTCTTTCTATTAAACTTCTAGCTTATGTTGACAATATTCTTGTCTTTCTTTCAAATCCTGCTCACTTTGTCTGACTCCACACATATCTCATTATCTATTCTGCTGCGTTTAATATGCAAGCTTTCTCACTATCTGGTAATCTTCTTCCCAATTAGTCCTACACTCTCTGTAGTCATAACATTACTAATTGGCATGACTACACTTCTGCCTTATCTTAGTTTTTCATAGATTCACTCCAAAGCTCAACAAGACTCATTCTGCTCATCTCTTCTCCAAAGGATTGAGGACAGCTACAATCTTCACTCCTCTTGCTTTCTCTTCTTTCAAGATAAAGTCACTATTTCAACATCTCTCATGCTCTCTCAGCTTTGGCATAGTTTGCATGTGGTCTCTTTACCTATGTTTTTCTTTCTGAAGATCCAGTCCATTGTGGATAGCTTCCTTCAATGTGGCACCTTCTCCCCAATTTCTTTGGATACTTTCTGCCTCCTACACATGCAAGATGAACTTGATATCATCAATTCTAAGATGTAGCAGAGTGCTCTACAACTTTGTCCACTTCAATCTATTGTTCATGCTTCTTGGTCCCCATCTGATTTGGTTCTGCACTGGATATTCAGCTTGTTACAGACTTCACTTTCTTTACTTTCTTCTCTTTTCTCTTCTATTTCCAAATATCCATCCTTCTGAATGGCGGGATCTTAACTCTTCTCTACACTTGGTCTTTTCTGCTATTGACTATCTGCTGCACAGCTTTGATAATATAGTAGTAAATTTGGCTACTTGTCTTACTTTGTTTCTCTCAGTAGTCAACATTGTCTCTGCTTCCCAAGCATGCTTCCCCCCCATTCTGACAAGATCTCTTGATCTCCTTTCTCTACACTTTTGACTCTGCTCTAAAATTGATATGGTCTATCTCTATCACTAGCAGCCATCAGCTCTCTTGCTGTTGTAAATGAGTATTGACTACTGCTGTAATTGAGAATAAGTCTGAAGGAAATAATATAAGGCCTCAGCTATTCCAGTCAAAGGTGTCTACCAATTACTTTATTATTTAACACACAGATTTATAATATATGATAGTGATTAGAATTCATATGATGATATTACCATAATATGGGATACATCAGTAGATTTTTATAAGCATAATTATAACTCATAAACACATTTACTTTCGATGTTAATACTTCATTGGGACTACACACACTTATATAATTAATCATACATTAATTATCCCAAGATTACATTGCTCTGATTAAGGTTCAGATAGGATCGATTACCTGACCTCAGTCATATAATTTTCCCAATCCAAAATAATATAAATAGAGTAGTGGTTCAGTGTAGAAACATTGTCAAATTTTGATACCAAATCTTTCTCAATAAACAAACCCTACATAAGTTCTCACAAATCTTCGTTCCTCATCTCAAATCTTGAATTCTTTCTTTTACAACTTCTTAAAAACTTCAACTATCACAACACTTGCATTATTAATAAGTTCCTTGGCCTAGTTCAACTCAACACTCTCAAAGTATATCATATAATTGTTTGTGTTTGTTGCTCTTCTTGTGGACTAACCAAACAATATTCATCTCTGCCTATTCAAGCTGACACATCCATTGAATTGTTCCCTTTCTTTAATGTGCTAACACTTTCTTAGACTTGGGTATGTCTTTTTACATATACTTTCTACAGGCTGTGCTCTCACTATTTCGTCTAGACCTAGTATTTAAATTTCCCTTGTAGCTCTTGTTATTGACAAAAATTTTGATCTTTCCTTTTTTCTCTGATAGCTTATAAAATTTGGTTTCATGGTCTACACAACAAGATTTCTTGCCAAGTCTGTCTTCACTCCTTGCTTCCTCTTGCTTTTTCCTCTTCTACCTGCTCTATTTGCTCTTTATTCTACAACTCCCGAAATCATTTCTTCTTTACTTGTCCTCTTAAAAATGTAGTGTGAATCAGCATGTAACTGGAATTCTTTGGCACAATATCTATCTCAACCATGCTACACAATGCTTTTCATTTCTTCTCTTTTCTCTCTTCTTTAAACTTGTCTATTCCCCCTTCTACTGTTTTTGGATGCATCATTTTTACAATATGAAGTCATCACTGGACTTTTATCTTTGACAATTTGCCATTTGTTTCTTTTGCTGTTATTGATACAGCTCACAAGACCTTAACCTACATTTGCCAAGAATTGGAACTTAGTCCTCTCCTTTAACACTTATATTTATATTTATCATAATTAATAAAAACAAAAAACCCCAAAAAAATTAAGAAAGCTAAAAAAACCCTCCAAACAAATACTGTGATCACTCTTTTGATTATCTTCTTTGGAGTGTCATCAGATCTCCCAAGTCTAGTAAAATGCTTCTTACAAACAAAAAAGACATGAATTATCATGAGTTTTTTTCATAATGTGATATCTTAACTGTGACATCAACACTAGTTAAGCAATAAATATACTCTAATAACCAAATATAATAAAGGAAGAAAGTGTTAAAAAACTAAGAGGTAATGACAAGAGCAGATTGTGTTTTCTTATAAAAAGGGACACTTTTTATTTATAAATAAAAGACAACTTATATATAGTATCAAAGTATTTCTATATGTCTCCATTATCAAATATTTTTTTTCTATTGTTTTGTACCTGAAATACCACAATGCTTTTTTGTTGTACTTATTGATGTTTTGCTCTACAAATAGAAAAATCAATTTTTATCTAGTCACAGCTGTCATTGAAAAATAATAGAATAATAGAATATAATTTTTCTAGAATTGCAAAGAATTTTTCAATGTCACTGCACTGCTGGACAACCAAAATTTTGTTGAGAGCTGACCATTTTTATAATATTCCATGTTACAATTGTCGTAGCCAGCAAGCTGGAGCTTAAGCAAAAGAGGAGGTTCAAACCAATTGTTTCAAAAAGAAGAAAGGGCAAACAAATCTCTTTTTGTAATTAATTACTTTGACTCTCACTCACATTCTCACATAGCAGAAACAATAATTCAATTAACATTTTTACAGATGAGACATTATATCGAATAAGACTTCAAGACAAACATTCCAAATAATTAGTATAAATATCAATAACAATTGTTCATAATAAAATCATTTTTTTATTTATTATATTATTTTGTCTGTTTGATTGTACTTCTTTAAGTATAATTCTTTATTATCAAATATACTTCTTTGCCTGTTTTTATATTGCTAGACTTATGCTTTCTTAGCTTTACGCAATCTGACATAATATTGATGCATGTTGAGTTATGATGTGTGGTGCAACTGGTCAGAAATATAATATATATTATATGTATAGTTATATTTTTGTAATTTTGCTTAGGGCAATCCAATAAGAAGGAATTTAGATAATGAATGGGACTTAAAATAGATGGAAACAGATATATGGATAACAGATAGATAGACAAATGGACAAATGAACAAGCAAACAAACAGACAAACGGACAAGCAGACAAATGGTGAGACAGTACTTATACACTCGAGTGTAATAGGTCATTGAACAGTCTTCTAATTTTCAAAATTATTCTTTAAGCATATTATGGATGATATTTTCTTTTCCATAATGTTGATAATAAAATGTGCTCAGAATAAAGCAAAACTTAGAGAAAACATAGTTTATTATATATATATTTAAGAGAAAAGATATGAGCTCTAGTAATGAGTTGTGTCACCACATCTCTCAATTACTTCTTTAAGCCTATCTGGCATGCTGGCTACCAAAGTTTCTAGAATTTGAAGTAGTATCTCCAACCATGTCTTGTGGATTACCGCTTCAAGTTCTTCCATATTGGTTACTTGTGCTCTATTCTTGCAAAGATTCCTCGCAAGATGAGCCCAAATATACTTGATAGGATTAAGATCTGGGCTCTGGGCAAGCCAAAAAGCAAAGCTATCTATTAGACACCTCTCTTTTTTATACCATGTGGCATAAGCGCCCGTGTGACATGGTGTATCATCCTCTTAGAGCAAAAACTGTTTGTTATTATCCCTAGACAGTTTCTTGTACCAGAGAAGAAAGTACTGAGCCAAACAGTTGATGTACTTGTCTTGATCAATGTTTCCTTTCAATGTTACTAAGGGGCCAAGACTCCCACCCCAGAAACAACCCCAAATCATGACGAAACCCTTACCAAACTTATATGTTTGGACAATATGGTTCTTGTCAAACCTCTCGCCAGTCTTTCTGATGACTCTGACACTTTCATTATTGGCAACTACCATGAATCTGGACTCGTCTGACCAGACAACTGACTTCTACTGCTCAACAGTCCAATTCACTTTGTCAAGGCACTATTTCAGTCTGTTTTCCTTCTGTTTATCAGTCAACTCTGGCTTGCAAGCTGCTGAGTGAGAACTAAAGCCAAGAAGTTTCATGTTCTTACGGAATGTAGTCATGCAGATAGAGATTTCTACATTGACTAATCTCTGATGCTGAGCTGCAATTGATGTGAATGGCTCATTACGAAATGAGCACACCATTGCAGATTGTGTTCTCCCTGTAATTTTTGGTTCTCTTTCTAGACGTGTCAAGGGCTTGGAAACACCTTTATGTCTGAAGACTTTCACTACATTTCCAACAGTGCTCTTCAGAATGTCAAGGGCTTTAGAGATTTCTCCATATGTAACACCCTTCTCCCATTGACCTATAATTTGGCCTCTAATGAATGCATCTAACTCTTGTCTTTTGGGTTTTGTGATGCTAGAAGTTGGTGGAGTTATTTTGTGCTTTTGTTTTATTTGTTTAAGAGTTTTTAGTGGTTTTACAAAGAAAAGAGTATTTTGATAATACATAAAAAAATCAAAAAATCAAAAAATCTGTGACCGTCTAATGACCTATTATACTCAAGTGTAGATTCTAATAGTGTGCAACTTAGTATTTCCTGCAAGACAATAGCTCAAGCTCAGTGTCGATGTTCAAAAGAAATATAGACAAAAATTGAATGAATTTTATTGAGATAAAAACGTCTCTCTTATATACTAATTGACAACTGCATACAAGATGACAATCTAGATACATCTTATGCTAAATGATGATTATTTAGAAGAGTATACAAATCTTTGGGCACAATCACAAAAGGAAATAATCAAAAATAAAAATAATCAAACTACTAAAAAATATGAACTCTTGAGAAGCATACTAAAGAAGTAATATCAAGAAATGTAAAGGAACAAGTGCAATGCAAAGAGAAGCAAGCTAAAAAGAAAATAAAAATCAAAGAAAAAAATAGAAAAAAGGAAAAAGCATTTAAAGTCCAATGGGAATTTAAATGTCAATAGCAAGAAAAAAGAAAAAAGAGAGAGAGAAAATAAATCCAAGAAATCGGATTTTGTTGTGTCCGGAGATGGAGTCATGACTTTGCACTATTCATAACTTAATAGTCTGTCCATAAGTTGACGTCACATCAAAAAAATATATGTTTTTGGTTAATGCTGCAATATTTTCTAACACTTGCATCAATTGACACATGTGGTGCTTGTATTTATGCTAAATGTTGACAGATGATGTTATTACGGTTTTTGAGGTTTGAATAGATTTCTAAATGTGAAATAATCTCTCTTTTCCACAAGAGAGAAAAGGACAAACTCAAAAGAGAATGTAGAATTAAAGATAATAAAAATCAATAAGAGAAAAATAAGAAAAAAACAGTATTATTGATCAATCTTAATAGACTTGACTCAATATAATTGAATAATCAAACAAGTAAAATATCAACAGTGTTAAATATTAAGAGAACTTGTTATCAGAAAATAAGACAAAGAAAAATCAATGTTTATTAAATGTAAGTATTGCAATATTTATAGTTTTTGAATTGACTTGTTGAATAATTAAATAAATAAAAGTATAAAAAAAATATAATAAAGATTGTATAATTGACAATCTATTAAATGTGATTTATTCTTTACTATCATTAAGTACAAATAAAATAAAATAATTATTATGTCATAATCATCAAGATAATTATGCTTATAAGAATATATAATAAAAATAGTATTAATTTCAAGTTGATTCGTTCAGTTAAATATAGTGAGAAAGTAAGATACAATGTGTGGTTACGTAAAGTTATTGTTAACAAGATGATGTTTTTTTGTTGTACTTATTGATGTTTTGCTCTACAAATAAAAAAATTGCTTTCTATTCAGCCTCGGCCACCATCAGAAAATCAAAAAATAATAATAATAGAATATAATTTTTCTTGAATTACAAAGAATTCTGTAACATCACCGCACTGCCAGACAACCAAAATTTTGTTGAGAGCTGACCATTTTTACAATATCCCATGTTACAATTGTTGTAGTCAGCAAGCTGAAGCTTTAGCAAAAGAGGAGGTTCAAACCAATTGTTTTAAAAAGAGGAAAGGGCAAATAAATCTCTTTTTGTAATTAATTACTTTGACTCTCACTCACATTCTCACATAGCAGAAACAATAATTCAATTAACATTTTTACAGATGAGACATTATATCGAATAAGAATTCAAGACAAACATTCCAAATAATTAGTATAAATATCAATAGCAATTGTTCATAATAAAATCATCTTTTATCTACTATATTATTTTGTCTGTTTGATTGTACTTCTTTAAGTATACTTCTTTATTGTCAAGTATACTTTTTTGCCTGTTTTTATATTGCCTGACCATTGATTTATCAGCTCAGCACAATCTAATACAATATGACACGTGATTTGTTAGGTTTGTTGTAGGTTGTAACGGATTTCTTGGCAAATAAAATACAATGATAATAGAATACAACAGAAGACAGATACAGCAAAAGGTGGCAAGCAGCAATAGTTGACAGATAAGAAAAGAGAGAACAACCGATAGAATCATTGTTAAAAGCAAGAGAGAGTGGAAGATATATGAAAAGAGAATGACAAAACAGAAAAGTAATAACTGATGAGGATACCAAATCCAGCAAACAACCTTTCTAAAACCAAGGAACCGATATGTTATGTTGCAAGATGATATAGACCACAAAGAGAAGAAAACAAGAAAAAGATACTGAAACTGGGCAAAGGATTGATTGATTTATTGAGTTGAGTTTGCTTCTCTTTTTATAGTCGATAAGATTTTAAGTTAATAATAGATGTTTGAAAAAATAAAGGTAGAAAAAATAGAATGATGAATAAACAATATGGCAAGGATAAAATATATAAATAAAAGTACGGTAAAAATATAATAAAAGTACTGTTGATGTGCGGAGATGTTGGCAAGATGAATTATGTGCATTATAGAAAAGGAATGTTACTAGCATGGGGGACCATGATTTCGAATGAGTACAATGTAGACGAATATGTTAACAAGGGAAAAGAAAACACTATGGCGGAGAAAATAGTAACATGTTACCACTTTGGTAACATAACTGCCATTATTTATTTAATAAAAAATGGCAGTTATTTATTATGTAAAAAGCCAAAACAGGCACTGTTACCATTTTTTCAAAAAAAATCAAGCGTCCTTCCTTTCCTCTGTTACATTCTTTTTTTTTGTTCTATTGCTTTCAATTCTAGCACAACCTCTTGTTTTTCCTTTGCAGCTTTAACAGAATGGTCTGTTTTTTATTATACAGTATTGAATTGGGTTTAATTGAATTGAATCTTTATTTCAATGCATGTTTTATTAAATGAAAATGATAATAATAATAATAATGAAAAAACAATTCCATTGGCCACTCGCAATAAAAAATGGTTCTGTTTAACTACTGCAAAATGTATGCAGTAAAACACTACTATTCGAATTGTATTTCATATACTTTGGGTATTCTAATATATCTTAGATAGCACTTATTATTTTTTACCAATTTCTACAAATATATTAATATTAGAGAAAAAACTTAAAATAAATAAATAAATATAATATTATTATAATGCTTACCTTTATATAATATGCTTACTTGTTCAGTAAAATAAGCATTTACTCTAAGAAGATATATATATTAAAGAATGTATTAATATTTAAGATCTATATATAAGAAAAGCAATAAAACATAAACATTATAAAAAGTCGTTATCATAGAAGAAGAAAAACTTGAGCAAAGATTCAAGTCATGTAACATGAAGCTAATTTGAATCTGATTTATACAACCGGAATGAGCATCTTGTTAGAAAGCTCAAAGTGTTTATTCTTCTCAATATACTTACATATAATAGAACGACTCCCGAGTATAATATATCAGTACAAAAATATTACTATTAATTTTTTTCTCAAAAAAAAGGCTATATACTATTTCCTTTTATATTTGAATGTAGTGGAATTGTAGATGCGGTACATTAGCTTCAAATTCTTGTAATCACAACATTAGCAATCATATGAAAGAAAAAAGTAATAAAAAACATAAAAAGAAAAATGACAAGATAAGAAAAAAATGCACTAAAGACAGACTAAAAAATCAAACTCAGCTAATCACAGCAGCCAAACTACGATCTTTGACTTCTCTTGCAAGCAGGCTTGACACTTGCTGTGGGTAAAGGAGACCTACATAAAAGAGTAAGAAGTTTATATTAGTTTTGTATTAACAGCGCATGAGAAAAAGCAACAATGGTAACTTACAGAACATCTGCCATTATGGGTGACTCAACATCACTAGTTTCTGACATATCAAGAGAAGAAAGCAAAGAGTCACTTATGTCTTGCTGTGTCTATAGCATAATAAAAGGAAACTATATTAAATAAAGTTTACAATATATAGATTTGTTAATTGATAAACTTACTTTGTTCTTCTCTGCCATTCTTCTCTTGTGCATCTGGTTGTTGCTCTTGAAGCTTTCCTGAAGAAGGCTTCTTGCACACTACATTCTTTTACATTGGTGGATGTGCAATCCACCATTCTTTGCCAACCTCTCCAAATGCATCATATAGTATTCCCTGTTTTTCTCTGGGATATTCTTCCATTCTTTTGAGACCGCAGGATAGTCTTTGTCAATGATATCATGCTTTACTATACAGTCTAATGTTTTGAGATGCAGTCTTTTTACTGTCAAATCATGGTCTGAAAGAGAGACTAATGGGGGCAAAGGCTGCCCTTGTGGAACTTCTTTGCAGCGCGCCTTCCAGTCCTGCTTGTAAAGAATCTGAAGCAATAGATTGTATTTTTGTGCTTCGTTTTTTCCTTTGAACTCGCCGCCAGTATTGATTACTTGCTTACCGAGCTGATCAGGGTACTCTGTGAGCTGGGCTCTTTTTACAGACTTGGCAATGCACTCAAGAGCTATAAAAAATGTATGACAATATTAATAAAGTAAATAAACATCTAAGTACAGAATATATATGACTTACAACTCTGCTCAATAATGCTTTGTTGCATTGTAGTTAGATCTTCCATACTGACTGCTGGCGCAAATCGATTGCTGAATTGCCTTTGAAGCTTGCGCAATGCTTGCTTGATTTCAGAAAGATCAATCTCAATCTTTTGAATTGAGTTGAGGAGAGTTGTGTTATTATCGAACATGTTTAAGTTTTTTTTAGCTATAAGCAGTGAGTTGAAAAGAAAAGATGATAGTTTAGACAAGTAGAATAAGAGCGATTTGAGTTTGAGAAAGGCAACAATTTATTACAAGCAATTGATGGCTATTTATATGAAAAAGATACAGACAGATGTACAAACAAAACATATAAAAGAAGGGATGCTTATGCACTTGTATGCATCTGTTTGCAGTAGCTCATGTGAACATGATACAATCTTTTTGTGTAGACACAACAAAACTGTAAGAAATATAAAGATAAAATGAATTAGACTTTAAATCAATATTATATGTATAAATGTTCATACTTTGCACCGTCTACATATTAAACGTTTTAAAGTATATGATATAATAATATAACTCTATACATATTGCAGATATAGTATGAAATTTGGTTAAAGTTCTCGATGACAAAACCCTGTACCAGTTAAAATTATAACTTTAAATATACTCTACAGTAGCTATATAACATCTGAACATCATATAGTTAATTAGCCCCTTTTTATCAACATTAAAGTAAATGTTATGATACACTGGAGAAATGACCCTGAATACCCTTGTGTGAAGGTTTATGGTTACATGTGGATATTTAGAGCAATTTTTCATCTCAGCATGTTTTTTGGTGTACATGTTCATAAAGTTATGTTGTAATTTTCTATTGGCTCGGATATAATAACCATTCAAGTTATTTTATCATTATTATTATTATTATTATAAAGTTTGAACAAATAAAGTAAATGTAACACTTGTTTCCCTTTTATCTTAACATTTATAACAAAATAAACATCATGTCCTCTACTTCTGATCTTTATAATAAGAAGTGCTATTGCACAAAATGCAGCAATAATAAACAAGGCTACAGCTTTGTTCCTATACGAATCCTCCAGCGTCACAATAAAAGAGCAAGATATGAAGACATAGAAAGAAGTGAAAGAAGTATGTTTTGTTTTTCATTTTCATTTTCATTTTGGTTATTTTATATAATGTTTTATTTCAATAGATGTATCTGTTCAAAGAAATCTCATGGATATTGATTTTGAAAGTAAGAAATGTTAATTGTGATAAAAAGAGAAGTAAACTAAAAATTGAATTCTATATGTAGCTACATCAAACCAACAAACTGGACCCATAGAAGCAATGGGCGGTCAGACCAACTCGCCTGTTTGGGAAGGAGCCCCAATTTCTGACAATGAGGTTGCTTTTAGCAATGAGTCGAATGGCGAAAGCAGTGATGGTGATGAAAATGACAATGACAAAGAAAGCAATGGTGGTGAAGAAAGTGAAGACAATGAAGAGAATATTGTTGAGATTGAAGTCGAAGAATTCGATACTGAACGTCAGTCTATGTTAATTAACTAATAAAAAAAGATCCAAAAAAATTCAAGGAAAAGAACCAAAAAAGAAAAATCTGAAAAAAGGGGGGGTGTTAATTTTTTTTGTTTTTTTTTACAATAGATCCTTTTGCCACCCCAAATATGCCTGAAAATTTGGTACACAGATTCATTGCTACTTTTGTGGTAATGTTTGCTTCCCGCTATGTGGTCAATAAGGGTGCTGTTATCTTGGTCGAGTTCATCAACAAGCTCTTGTTGATTTAAGAGCAGGATTTCCAATTGCCTGTGAGTCTTTCTGGTCTCCAAAGCATGACAGGATTCTCAGCCATGACAAAAGGGATTAAGAGATTTGTTGTGTGTCAGGATTGCTACAAGGTGTATGAGGAAAGTGTACCTGCTTCTTTGAATTGTGATTTCGTAAAGCTTGGTGCACATACCACCTGTAATTGCAAATTAATGGTCGAATCATTGTCTGGTGGTTTGGTCGCAAAGAAGTCTTATATATATCAGTCTCTCACACGTGCTTTTAAAATTCTTTTCCTCTGTTCCGATTTCAAGCAAAAGATCATGCACTAGAACCAAGAATTCAAGATCACTGATACATTGTGTGATGTTTACGATGGTGAAGCCTGGACTGATTTGAAGGACAATGACAATGAAATTTTTGTTGAGCATCCTCGTTCATTGATGCTGACATTAAACATCGACTGGTTCCAGCCTTTCGATAGTACTACCTATTCCTGCGGTGCTATCTACCTGGTGATTAACAACCTGCCTAGAAGTGAGCAGTTTAAAGCAGAAAATACAATCCTTGTTGGCCTCATGCCTGGACCAAAAGAGCCAAAATCAGAAGAGATCAACCATTATCTCAAGCCATTAGTCGACGAAATGATACAGCTCTATCTTGGAATACAGATACCCACCTATCAGCAAACAGATGGTACAACTGTTCGTGCAGCCTTATTGATGGTTGCATGTGATATACCTGCTGCCAGAAAGACTAGTGGGTTCACTGCGCACAACAGCACATGCGCCTGTTACAAATGCGACAATCAATTTTCTTGTCTAACAGGCACTTCTTCTATCGATTTCCGTGGATTTGATTGTGACCAGTGGCGCCATCGAAGTGATAGAGCAAACCGTGTGCATGCTGAGGAGTGGAATAGTGTGAGTACACCCTCAGAAAGGCAGCAGCTGGAGGTCGAATATGGTGTTTGATGGTCGCAGTTGTATTGATTTGGATACTTTGATCTAGTATGTGGAACGATCATTGATCCCATGCATAATCTTTTTCTGGGAACACCAAAGAGAATGATTGAAACATGGACAAAAATCAAAAAAATGAAAAACAATGATCTGCTTGCAATGCAGACAGTTGCAGCAACAATAATATTGCCAAGCAACTATACCAAGCTGAAAACGAAGATAGGAAAGGGCTTTTCCCACATGAAAGCAGATAAGTAGAAGTCTTGGGTATTGGTGTACTCTCCCGTGCTTCTAAAACCAGTTCTTCCATCCAATATGTTCAATGGCTGGATGCACTATGTAAAAGCATGCCGTATACTTGTAAAGCCGTCAATCAGTTTCATCGAAATAGACCAAGCACACAGATATCTACAAGAATTCTATCAATCTTGTGAAGATACATATGAACCAAAAGTCCTCACCTGCAATATGCACCTGCACCTCCATCTTCATGACACAATTCGTGATTTTGGACCCGTGTATGGCTATTGGCTCTTTGGTTTTGAGAGATACAATGGTTTGTTAAAGAATAACAAGACAAACAGAAAAGACGGGTTTGAAACAACCTATATGACAAAATTCACTGCAGACGCATACAAAGCTGATTACGTACGAAATACGTTATCATGTCCAAGCCTCATTCCATTCCTTCCTCTTTTTGAAAAACTTACCTCTATGACCACACCTATAACGACCTATGCCACTTATGCTCCAACCAACCAACAACCTTTCCAACTGCAAAAATTTGTAGACTCATCCTTAGATCAAGCAGCACCTATCAAAGGCAATGAACCACTCCTCCCATCCACCTTTCCTTTACAGTCCTTAAAAGAATCAACAATGAGTGATATTGATTATCCTCAATTGTTAGATTATTATAAAATTGCCTATGCCATGCCCAATCTCATTTCTTATCACGATGCCAGATTGTCACAATATTTTGTAAATAACCAAATCACAAAATTGAAATCAATTGATCTCCTTGGCCAAACATATATTGGGAACAACAGTTCTGGTAAGCGTGGGTCACTCGTTCAAGCTTTCTTCCGTAGCAGCAATGGCCAAACTTCAAGCCTATATACCGGACAAATTCAGTATCTTTTTATACATTCATTTACTCTTGTGGTGATCCAGACACTCGGATGTTGGATTTATCACATATAAGAACATATTCATATTGGGATAGCGTAGTAGCTATCATCTTGTCAGTATAAAATATATATAAATGATTAAGTAATCAGCCCAATAATTATTACAGTTAGTACTGTAGATAATATCTTAAAGATTGTTAAGATAATTATATCATACTGCCGGGTAAACTGTGTCAGATCGATATGGAGCTAATTTAGTAGGAAGTCCTAAAGCTCTAGTATAAAAGAGAAAAGAATAGCTAAGAGCTAAAGAAGTATGATTTATGACTTGATGTCATAATTGTAACACCGACACTAGTTAAGCAGTAAATACACTCTAATAACCAAATATAGTAAAGGAAGAAAGCCTTAAGAAACTAAGACGTAATGACAAGAGCAGATTGTGTTTTCTTATAAAAAGGGACACTTTTTATTTATGAATAAAGACAACTGATATACAGTCTCAAAGTATTTCTATACGTCTCTATTATCAAATATTTTATTTTTCTATTGTTTCGTACCTGAAATACCACAACTCTGTCTCCTCATCCAAACCACTGAGCGTCAACATTACATCAAGACCAGCATGTTTTTGCATACATCCGATGGTATAATTTGACAAATGACAATGAACATAGAGATGAAGGTATTGCAATCTGCTTGCCAGAATTCTCTGCTGATAATTATCACAGCATCTTGCCTGTACATTGCATACACTTAGAGGTCGCAACTGCTGTAGATGTAACTGATATGAACAAAGAAAGAATGCTGGTCATTCCTATGCCAAAAAAATACTATGCCTGAAGTCTTTATGAATAATTATGCACTATGATTTTTTATGCGAATAATTAAATAAAAAACAAAGAACAAGTAATGCCTCTTTATGCATTTTTTAGTTATTTAAAGTATAAGACGTTATGAATGAAGAAAAAAAGAACAAAAAATATAAACTTTATTTAGGGCCCATTTCTAAGAGCCCACTGAAGAAACTGTGATGCAATTGCATCAGAGACTGGTCTTTCAACGGTTTTGCCAAAAGCACGTGACAGCAATTGATGGCTATTTAAGCCTAAATCAGCTACCACTTTGTTGTCAACAAGTGTGATGAAGTGGTTGTACTATATTAAAGACATTAATATTTTATTCAGTATAATACAATATAATATATTAACTAAATTAAATATTTCAACTTTCAAAAAACTAAGTACCTCATCACTTCTCCAACCTGAACGACGAAGACAAAGCCCACTATAAGAAACATGAGGCAAAGTGCCATCGTCTGACTCACTAACAGACATAGCCTCTTCTATAATGAGACTAGAGCAATCTCTTTTCATCTCGTCATCAATAGCAGTCTTGTTAGACTGGTATGCTGTTTTGCGATGTTTCAAGTGCTGTTGAAAATATTAAATTAGTTTTCTTTTTTTGCTTTAAATTAATGACTTAGATAAGAATTATTCAAATAATAAATAAATAAAGTATAAATTACCTCCTTTTCGCAGCTACTCCTTCTGTTGCGAGCATTGTCTGACTTCTTTTTAGCCTGAGACTTATTAGCTGCACGCTTTCTGCTAGTGAAGTTCGTGTAGACAAAGTCACGAACATCACTTTTTCTCAGTCCTGCTCCTACAAAATTTCTTTCCAAGTAGGCAACGAGGTTTTCTATCAACTCAGTGGTTGGCGACTGGCTGAAGTTGACAGCTGTGTTCCACCTTGGCTTGCTATTGTTGGCTTGAATTTCAGCCAAATGTTTTGACTTGAACTTAGGGTCCCACAAATGCTCCCGAAGAAGTCTCTATTGAATCGTGGTAAGTTATTAAAGATATAATTTACTATATGTATGATACATACATAGGCTTTTGTTTTGTTGACTGATTTTGCATCAGAAGCCATGGTGGGAGAACCAGCTACATTCATTTCCATGCTCACAGGAGCAACAGCATGCACTAAAGCCATCGGCTGACTCTGCAAAACAGCAGACACAGAAGTGTTCGAAGTTTTTGCTTTGAGATCAGCAACGTCTTTCATGACAGTGGTCATGTCACAACGCAAGATGGCAAGAGAGTTTGTCATCTCTCTCTCAGCAGGAGTGCGTCGAGTGGGATGGCTTTCATTTTGGTTTGCCATATTCTATTAATTTAAAAATATAAGTTCAAATATGTATTAACTGTTAATGTTTTTATATTCTTTGAATAAATTTCTATTATAAACTACAATTATATTTATTATCAAACATACCAAAATAAAAGACAGAAAAAGATGGGGAGATAGAGAGAGAAAGTGTGAGTAAAAGTAAGAATAATTGTAAGAGTGCGTGAGCAAAGGTGAGTAGGATTGTAACAAAAATGTATATTTATATTTCCAAAAAAAAAAATGTCTAGTCTTGATTGATCTTGATTAAAAGAATATATCTAAAGTAACTTCTTGTATACATACTGTGTAAATTGATACAAAGGTTGCTTTTAGATACTATATCATTATATCAATTATGTTTTTTGGATTTTTTTTTTGAGTTTCATTTTTTTTAATTACCTATTTTGTTTTTTTTGTATTTTATTTACTTATTTTTTTATTTATCCATATTTATCCATATTTTTTCTTATCAACTATTTTCTTTTCTTTTCTTTCTCTTTCTGATTTTTGTTACAACTGTGAATTTTACTTGTAAGATACATTCTTCTTAAAAATACTTCTGTACAGACAACAACAAGATTAACACATTCTGTTGTTCTAGATACATATATACTCTCTTAGTGTTTTACTATATTTGCAAACTTTTTTGGTAACATATCTTCTTTTTTTTAAAAATTCTTTTCTTCAAATGTAACTAAATAATAATTATTATTTCAGCTGTCATAGATACTAGCGTGTTTTTTCTTTCTGATGTATTCTCTTTACAATGGTCATCTGAATTAGTCCAGGTTAGTAACTATACTTCATGTCATCATCCTATAAAATTATTCTGACTTTTCTCCTTCTTTTTTATAGACAATATCGCCAAAAATATTCCCTACAATTAAACAATACCATCAACACAGTAATACTTTATTTTTTATTTACTTTTAATATTTATCTGACAGAATATAATTTTTATTACAGATGAATGTTTATCTGCCAAACACGCAATGAATCAAGAACCTCTATCTCTTGGCGCCGTCATTGACATGGTAGAACTTCTTCTTTTATTCTCTTAATATGTATGATAGTATTATTTATACTGTATATTAATATATGTTTTTTACTAAAGATTATATCAACTCTTGACAAGTACTATCTAGGTCTACAAATAAATCGACTTTCTTTGGGTACGTTCATTACATATTCTGTCACCCAATTTACTCAAACTAACTTCTCTATATTATTTTTATTGTTAAAGAAATTATACTTGATGCTATGCCTCAAACTCTCAAAGTTTTATTTTTATCTTCTTCAGTCATTATATTATATATATCCTCAAATTAATATATCACTCACAACAGGTAAATATTTAAATACACATCTAATTTCTCTTCTATTATGTTAAATAGTATCTGTGCCAAAGATAACTACTGAATATGAGGGTTTACAAACATTATATATAAAGCACTGCTTGATTTGAGTCATATGAAGAATACTAGTGAAGACGGCCCAAGGCATATAATATTATTCCAATACTATCAACCTAGAATCATTCTATTTTTTCTAATAAATACAAAAATAAACTATAATTCAAACCAATAATAATTGAATATCAAGTAATTGGGGGAGCAGATAATCTATGACCTCATAATAAAGAGTGTTAATGATTGGCTTATAAGCAATAAAATGTTCATGGTTCTAACTATTCACTCAGAGATAGTTCAACAATACACATGTGATGCAGTTTCTGATTATTAATCTTTAACATGGAAACAGATTGTATTACAGCAAAAAACAAAGTTTGAAATAAAGTTTTCTTGGTACTCTATTATATACAAAGATATAAGATTACTATTGACCCCAACTTCACTAATGGTATCAAACTTTACATTTGTAGATAGCAGGTCTGTGCACATGTAACCAGATCAGCTTTGGTACCAGTGTAAATAGGCAAAACCCCACTGTAAAATGCAGAATATTCACAATAGTATGCCTGAATTTCCCCGTGTGTATTTATTGTTATTTTTCCAGTGATACTCAAGTCCATATCATACTTATTATCATTATCAACTAAAATGCGTTTTGATTGATGCTGTCATCGAAGGTAAAAATAATTTTAACTGTCATTACTATTATTTACCAAGGGGCATTTTTGACTGAAACTGTACATTTTTGAAAAAGGTGTGCTTTAACTCACATTGGCACTTTCAATTAACACCCCTTTTGATCAGTAGTGCTTATCTTGATGATGTCAGTAAAAGAGTATCAGACTATAGCCCTCATTATCTGCATCTATTTCTTTAAGTTTTATACATAAACAAGAAAATAATGCTATTAGATAAATATATATTCACTATCTTAAAAAACTATTAGTACAACACAGATAATATAAATATGTCTTTTCTACCAATGTGTTTAGACAGTACTATTTTTTTTTTAATTGTTAACTATTAGAAGGCTGTTTTTCTTTGCCTTTGGTATTAGAGAGTAATTGATAATTTATTTAAAAAAAAATATAAATTATTTGGTTATTAATTATCCTAAATATACATATACCTCTTTATAAAGCCTAAAGAATATCTAATCACTCACAAGTAAAGAGTACGTGTCTGTTTCACCGGTGCTCTTTTAATGGTGTTGTATTCAACATAATTGTAGATTTAAATTAAAAGTACAGACACTCAATAAATACATACATTGAGTTACGGACAACTAGTAACAATACTAAAAGATATATCTTCCCTTATACAAGGAAATTACGTAAAGAACATACTAAGACAAATACTAAGACTCTAGTCAATAACACTAAAAACATAAGAACTAAATCATAGAAGATAATGGTAGAGAAACAGACATTACATGATATCATCATATTATCACCAAGCTAAATACAATGTCTATATAAACGCACAATACTAATAGCAATAGAACAGCACCTCTTTTCTGATTCTTTCACTTCTTCTAATAAAGCAAAGTCTCGCCATACTCTTGTCTGCACTTGCTTTATTTTATATCTTATTTTTACCTCATACATAACAAATGGTACCCCCTTGTCAACTAAGAAGTATTTGAACTTACATCATAATTATTAATGAAGAAGAATCTTTTCAACCACAAGAATTATTTACTGACAAGTGTTTCATCTAGCATTGACATTACTGTAATCATTGCTTTATCATCACTATGAGAGAGAAAAAGAAAAAGAGTCACAAGCATTTTGGTTAAAAAATAAAGAGTATATAAAGACGTCTTTTACATTTAATGAATAGCACCAAAATCCTCTTTGCAGTTTTATTTTATATATTACATATGTACTAACCCAATCAATATGTCTTCTTCTAACACCAGCCAGTAGAGAAATAGAATATCTACACAGCAATACCAATGTGATCAATGTGTCTTGTTTTTTGATAACTAACAGAAGCTGCAAAACCACAAGAGAATTCACATAAGAGATTCAGCAACAATGACTGAAATTGACCAGTCTATTCTGGATGATGTTGACATGTACCATGACGAAAATGATACTAGTAATGAAGATGAATCTGTTAGCAGTTCAGGTAATGAAAAGAGCTGTAACTGTATTATTTATTTTCCAATTACTAAATAATGTATTACAGGATATACTATGGAGTCTATGGAGCTTGATAATACTATTTTATATAAGTGCGCATGTAATTTTGAGGACTGTGAGAGTGAAGCTCACATTTACGACAGCAGCCAAATCAATACAAATACTTTTACCAAGGCCAAGTTGATGAGTATTCATCTGTCTCAATTGATGCTACAGCATAGAATTGCTAGAGCAGCATATAGAGACATTGTTCAATTTATAAACACTGTCATCGGAGACCGTGACGATATAATGATAGGTAAAATATTATATTTTCTGTTACCTTGTACTTTAATTCCAGATCACTAACATGTAGGGATATTGTTTTTTTTAGAACCTGGGGCTAAGATCAGTCATGGCAAAACTGTTGATGCTTTGCTCAAGTCAAAGTCAAGTGTCAAGGGTCATGAGTATGATGTCTACTCTAGTGGTTGTCAATTGTATGGCATTAATGACAATCAGGAATCTTGTGTTGACTGTGGCAAACCGCAATACAAGACTGATCCAAATCAAAGTCAGACATCAGCTGCCAGTATGAAACTTATGTTAGTTGGGAATATGCTTTCTCAAATGTTGGCAGATCCAGCCACAAGAGAACTTCTCTGTTACAGAGCAAACTGGGAATCTGTAGCTGTTCAGCTAACCGACATTTTTTATAGTGACAATTATAAGCAGTTAGTGCAGCAGGACCTGTTCTCCAATCCCAATGATATTGCCATTGGGCTTTATACCAATGGGTTTGTCAATCAAAAGAAAGGAAAAAACTCATATACCATCATCCATTGTATAATATTCAACCTAGACCCATCTATCAGATAATTAATTAATTTATTATGATTTATTATTATTATTACAATTTTTTTAAAAAAAAGTTACTAATAAAATACTTAGATATACCAACAAATACCTTTTGCAACTGGCAATCTTGCCTGGCCCCAAGAAGTCAACTCATTTGGACTCCTTTCTTATACCCATCATCAATGAATTGGGAGATCTTGAGGCACATGGCTTGGTTGTCAAGCACAATGGAGTGGAGCTTTGCAGATCCAAGGTCTATCTGCTGCTTGCTTCTGGCGATATTCCAGCTGTAGCTGATATGGCCCACATTGGTTCCTATACAAGTTTATTTGGTTGCCGTTTTTGTGAGACCAAAGGCAAATGTTCTACTAACAGATGGCACGGCATGTACTTTGATGACATTTCCGCCCAGTTAAGACCTTTGGAAGACTTCAAAGTAGGCAACCCTGTAAGTATATAAATGTTTAACTAGTTATCTTTTTTTCATACTAAATAACTGCTTGTAATAGTTGAAGAACATATACTAGCCAAGCATATATACCCAACTCTCAACCTTCTCTGGATCATCATTTTTTGCATTAGATGAACTTTATTTAATTGCAAGAGAGATTAGAAAGCTTGTGTATGACCTGATTACTGTCCCCCTCACAAAGGAAACCAAATTTTATTATACCCATCCAGACAATACCCTCAACACCACTGAATACCCTTTTTATATACCAAGAGCAGACCTTGTAACAATTGGAAACTGTATCACCGGCTTACAAAAATATATACCTACCTTATTTCAAGGCAGTTTCAATAACGTATTTGCTAAGATCGATAATATTTGCGTAGTTGACTAGCTTGACTTTCTCTTATACCTTATCCCCACTTTGGTTGTACCTTATTTACCAAATAGGGCTGTCAAAACAGCTCTATTATCTCTCGTGAAAGATTGCACACTTGCCTTGCAATAGACATTGACATCAGAATTACTTGATGAAATGGAGTTGTAAGTTATTATACATGTCATATATTATCATTACAAATAGCTGATTGTTACTATTTTTTAAATATTAATAATAGATACTTCAAGTACTGACACTCATTTTTATACTAACAAGTTCAGAATAATACCCTGTCTTGTAGTGTTTTCCGATCAGTGCAACATTACTTGGTGCATACACCCTATATCATCAAGCAGCAAGGCCCCCTGCAATGCTACTCCACTCACTCAATGGAGAGAGTAATTGGTGTCTTCTCGAAATTGATAAAGTCCAAATCAAAGGGTGGCCAAAATGATAGTTTTCTCATCGAGCAATTTGTGATTCACAATTATACCAGCATGGCAATCAGCATCTGTGATGAAATCAATCTCATTTGGACAAAGCCGTATGGAAGAGAAAGCTACATGGACCTTTCTAATGATCCTAGTGGTGCGCAGTTGTGGGAGCCGTTTCATTAGTTTGTTAATTTGAATGATGATTTGGTGGAAGGTGTAGGCGGCCCTAGTGTAAAGGAAGCTTTATTGAAATATTACCAAAGAACAACAGGCTTGACTGGCCACAAGTTTGGTGACTCTGTTGTTGTTGTAGCTGCACATCTGTGGATGGACTCGACTGTATATTCCTTATGCATGTACCGAAGAAAGAAAAATGAGACTAGTTGTGGCAACTATTACATGATGTTAACTTGCCCCTATAGAAAGTAAGTATAATATTTTTTGATATACAGTCAAAAGTTGCTTACATTCTATTTATTTATTTATTTTAGCAACTGTAATGTCATTGTTCACAGCTGGCTCATTGGTACAGTACAGTTCTACTTTCAGCATGTAGATTTTCATGGCTTCCCACACTTTCTTGCTTTCATAGAGGTCATGAAGAAATATAACGCGACTGGCCATGACTCATCAGTACCTATTAAAAAAACAACAGTCATAAAGCATCTATACACTAGGCCACCAAATGCAACCAACTTATGGAGTTATAAGTGTAAATAATATTTGTTATCAAGTTGGTCTGGTTCAATACCCACCAAATGGAAACCAGTTTTATGTAATTGCGCCCTATTATATCTTTAACAATAGCATGCGCATTGTTAAAGACAATCTTTCCATTCTGTAATCCTTTTTATTTTATCTTATTTTTCTATATACTTTATATCCTTATATCTTTTATATTTTTTATATTCTCCTTGTATCTTATATTCTTTTAATTTTCTCTATTTCTTATGTTTTTTTTAATCTCTATATGTCCTGTCTTTCTTTTCTTCTTTATATACTCTGGTTTTTTTCTATTTTCTATACACCTTATGCTTTTCTCTTCATATCCTATATGCTCTATACATTATTATGCGATTTAAATAAAATCAAATTGCCAATTCATTAAGATAAAAAGAATGTCTAAAAAAAAAGAATGTAGTTTAAAAAATAAAAAATGGTAGTTATGTTACCATTTCGTTCACACATTCTAAAAACTATTAATCTTAATAATTGTTGACATTTTTGTATTTGGAATACTTTAATATCCAATATCATATACAAACCCAGACAGAAGCACTTGTCAAAAAGGTTATTATAAATGATTATCCAATATGAAGTCCTATCTGAAACATAAGAGCAATATGTCTGATCAATTATTGGATTACTTTCAAGAAGTACTTAAACTATTATTGCAAAGCCATTACAATGACTCATATTCAGAGTGACTAGATATATCTCAATAAATATAAATACTATAGAGATAATAACTTTTATTAGAACAATTGGATTTGACTAAACACCTCTTATCAATAAAAAAGAGTCTCAAAGTACTTGTCGTCCCAACTTCTTCTATTTTCCATATATAAATAGAACAGACATTTTTGATATTCAATAAAACATATATTTCAATACTCAAAGTGGTCATTACAACTTACAAACATTTTTTACAGTATTGAAAATATTGTACAGCAATAAAAAAAGTGTTTTCATGTTACTTTTTTAAATTGCTACAAATAATATTACCATCTTACAACAAACGGCAGAGATTTTATTGGGTTTTGACCAAAAAAAATGGCAGTTATGTGCCTACTTTCGGCCCAACTGCCATTTATCCCGCCATAGTGAAAAAGTATTGTGTGTAGAAAGAACAGGAAATGGAAACGAGATTTTTCCTGTGCACAAAAAATTCTCCTCTTACCACCAAGGGCACAGCACCACATCAATAAATCGTTGACGTCAGCCTCTCATAACCGGGACAACACATCACAACAAACTGCCAGATAAACCCACCGAGCAGACTGACCTTCTGGTACCAGACACCACGACATGACTATTTGCCACACTAGTTTACAATACACATGACAAATGTCTAGATCTTCGATAGTATAGTGGTGAGTATCCCCGCCTGTCACGCGGGAGACCCGGGTTCAATTCCCGGTCGGAGAGATTTTTATATCCCTAACTTAAGACATTATTTTGTCTGAGTGTGTCATTTTCGATTTGTGTTGTTTTTTTTGTCAAGTTGTTGTCGTTCCTGATATGTATCTCCTTATTTTATGAATCTTTTTATTTCCTGTACCTTTTGCACACTGGACAACCAGAATTTGAATTTCAGAATTAAGTCACATGTTATCTTTGCATTTTCTTAAAAAAAAAAACGCAGAGATATAGAACCAAAATAATAACATATTAAGATAGCCAAGAATACAGCTTAAATTTATACTTACATATATTTCTAAATATACAATATTAAGAAGGTAATAGGAATAGTTATATATTGTGAGAACAATTGTAAATAAAGCAGAAGATTTTTTTATTAATGACATTGTATATTTAAAATTCTAAAATGAGCTTCATATTTAGCTTTGATTTCTTGAAAAGCCTTTATGGGAGCAGCATATGCTGCTCTGATAATCTCTGCTTCCTCTTCTGTAGCATACTGCATCAGCTGATACAAGTCTTGCTCATTATGTCTAGTTGTTAATGAACAATTCTTTGCATACTCAAATGCCTCTATGGCATACTCATGCTCAGTGCTCTCCCTTGTGCTATCAATTGACATAGTGTTGTCATAAACAAACTGCTCACCAGAAATTGTGATTGGCAGCACATTATTTGCAGGAGCCACAGACAAGAAAGCAAAGCCTGACATATGGATATGGAGCAAATGCATATGTTTATAAGGCTTCATGTACCTAGCCCAAGAATAACACGTACAAGAAAGAATAATATTGTTGTTAACTTCAACTTGATAGGTAATGTCATCTTTGGTAAACGAGTTGATGAACTAAAACCCATCTTCAAGAATATCATCAGTGTCATCAATGTGGTATTTCAGGTACAAAACAATAGAAAAATAAAATATTTGATAATAGAGACGTATAGAAATACTTTGAGACTGTATATAAGTTGTCTTTATTTATAAATAAAAAGTGTCCCTTTTTATAAGAAAACACAATCTGCTCTTGTCATTACGTCTTAGTTTCTTAAGGCTTTCTTCCTTTACTATATTTGGTTATTAGAGTGTATTTACTGCTTAACTAGTGTCGGTGTTACAATTATGACATCAAGTCATAAATTGTACTTCTTTAGCTCTTAGCTATTCTTTTCTCTTTTATACTAGAGCTTTAGGACTTCCTACTAAGTTAGCTCCATATCGATCTGACACAGTTTACCCGGCAGTATGATATAATTATATTAACAATCTTTAAGATATTATCTACAGTACTAACTGTAATAATTATTGGGCTGATTACTTAATCATTTATATAAATTTTATACTGACAAGATGATAGCTACTACGCTATCCCAATATGAATATGTTCTTATATGTGATAAATCCAACATCTGAGTGTCTGGATCACCACAATCAAGAGTGGCGTTCAGAGACATTGCTTTTGACGGTCTAATAATCATATTAGCATGCATGTATGCTGGAACAGCTTCAGCAGACATCTCTATCTTCCTTTGTTGTCTTTGGGTAGCTGTCATTGGGCCACAGCGCATATTGATTCTGATACTCTCCTCTTTGAAGTAGAACTCTACTTCGTTTGTCAGTATGAAAATCAGTCAATCAAATCTTTTGTTGCGACTGCGGCCTAAAAAATGAGTTTTTAGCTGGTTGTGCCACTGGAGAAATGACCCTGAATACCCTTGTGTGAAGGTTCATGGTTACATGTGGATATTTAGAGCAATTTTTCATCTCAGCATGTTTTTTGGTGTACATGTTTATAAAGTCATGTTGTAATTTTTTATTGGCTTGGATATAATAACCATCCAAGTTATTTTATCATTATTATTATTATTATTATAAAGTTTGAACAAATAAAGTAAATGTAACACTCACTGGAGAAATGACCCTGAATACCCTTGTGTGAAAGTTCATGGTTACATGTGGATATTTAGAGCAATTTTTCATCTCAGCATGTTTTTTGGTGTACATGTTTATAAAGTCATGTTGTAATTTTCTATTGGCTCGGATATAATAACCATCCAAGTTATTTTATCATTATTATTATTATTATTATAAAGTTTGAACAAATAAAGTAAATGTAACACTTGTTTCCCTTTTATCTTAACATTTATAACAAAATAAACACCATGTCCTCTACTTCTGAACTTTATAATAAGAAGTGCTATTGCACAAAATGCAGCGATAATCAACAAGGCTACAGCTTTGTTTCTACACGAACCCTCCAGTGTCACAATAAAAGAGCAAGATATGAAGACATGGAAAGAAGTGAAAGAAGTATGTTTTGTTTTTCATTTTCATTTTCATTTTGGTTATTTTATATAATGTTTTATTTCAATAGATGTATCTGTTCAAAGAAATCTCATGGATATTGATTTTGAAAGTAAGAAATGTTAATTGTGATAAAAAGAGAAGTAAACTAAAAATTGAATTCTATATGTAGCTACATCAAACCAACAAACCGGACCCATAGAAGCAATGAACGGTCAGACCAACTCGCCTGTTTGGGAAGGAGCCCCAATTTCTGACGATGAGGTTGCTTTTAGCAATGAGTCGAATGGCGAAAGCAGTGATGGTGATGAAAATGACAATGACGAAGAAAGCAATGGCGGTGAAGAAAGTGAAGACAATGAAGAGAATATTGTTGAGATTGAAGTCAAAGAATTCGATACTGAAGGTCAGTCCGTGTTAATTAACTAATAAAAAAAGACCCAAAAAAAATTCAAGGAAAAGAACCAAAAAAGAAAAATCTGAAAAAAGGGGGGGTGTTAATTTTTTTTGTTTTTTTTTACAATAGATCCTTTTGCCACCCCAAATATGCCTGAAAATCCGGTACACAGGTTCATTGCTACTTTTGTGGTAATGTTTGCTTCCCGCTATGTGGTCAATAAGGGCGCTGTTGTGTTGATCGAATTCATCAACAAGCTCTTGTCGATTTACGAGCAGGATTTCCAATTGCCCGTGAGTCTTTCTGGTCTCCAAAGCATGACAGGATTCTCAGCCATGACAAAAGGGATTAAGAGATTTGTTGTTTGTCAGGATTGCCACAAGGTGTATGAGGAAAGTGTACCTGCTCCTTTGAATTGTGATTTCGTAAAGCTTGGTGCACATACCGCCTGTAATTGCAAATTAATGGTCCAATCATTTTCTGGTGGTTTGGTCGCAAAGAAGTCTTATGTATATCAGTCTCTCACACGTGCTCTTAAAATTCTTTTCCTCCGTCCCGATTTCGAGCAAAAGATCATGCACTGGAACCAAGAATTCAAGATCACTGATACATTGTGTGATGTTTACGATGGTGAAGCCTGGACTGATTTGAAGGACAATGACAATGAAATTTTTGTTGAGCATCCTCGTTCATTGATGCTGACATTAAACATCGACTGGTTCCAGCCTTTCAATGGTACTAGCTATTCCTGCGGTGCTATCTACCTGGTGATTAACAACCTGCCTAGAAGTGAGCGGTTTAAAGCAGAAAATACAATCCTTGTTGGCCTCATGCCCGGACCAAAAGAGCCAAAATCAGAAGAGATCAATCATTATCTCAAGCCATTAGTCGATGAAATGATACAGCTCTATCTTGGAATACAGATACCCACCTACCAGCAAACAGATGGTGCAACAGTTCGTGCAGCCTTATTGATGGTTGCATGCGATATACCTGCTGCCAGAAAGACTAGTGGGTTCACCACGCACAACAGCACATGCGCCTGTTACAAATGCGACAATCAATTTTCTTGTCTAACAGGCACTTCTTCTATCGATTTCCGTGGATTTGATTGTGACCAGTGGCGCCATCGAAGTGATAGAGCAAACCATGTGCATGCTGAGGAGTGGAATAGTGCGAGTACACCCTCAGAAAGGCAGCAGCTGGAGGTCGAATATGGTGTTCGATGGTCGCAGTTGTATCGCCTTGGATACTTTGATCTAGTACGTGGAACAATCATTGATCCCATGCATAATCTTTTTCTGGGAACACCAAAGAGAATGATTGAAACATGGACAACAATGAAAAACAATGAAAAACAATGATCTGCTTGCAATGCAGACAGTTGCAGCAATGATGATATTGCCCAGCGACTATACCAAGCTAAAACCGAAGATAGGAAAGGGCTTTTCCCACATGAAAGCAGATGAGTGGAAGTCTTGGGTATTGGTGTACTCTCCCATGCTTCTAAAACCAGTTCTTCCATCCAATATGTTCAATGGCTGGATGCACTATGTAAAAGCATGCCGTATACTTGTAAAGCCGTCAATCAGTTTCATCGAAATAGACCAAGCACACAGATATCTACAAGAATTCTGTCAATCTTGTGAAGATACATATGAACCAAAAGTCCTCACCTGCAACATGCACCTGCACCTCCATCTTCATGACACAATTCGTGATTTTGGACCTGTGTATGGCTATTGGCTCTTTGGTTTTGAGAGATACAATGGTTTGTTAAAGAATAATAAGACAAACAGAAAAGACGGGTTTGAAACAACCTATATGACAAAATTCACTGCAGATGCATACAAAGCTGATTACGTACGAAATACGTTATCATGTCCAAGCCTCATTCCATTCCTTCCTCTTTTCGAAAAACTTACCTCTACGACCGCACCTATAACGACCTATGCCACTTATGCTCCAACCAACCAACAACCTTTCCGACTGCAACAATTTGTAGACTCATCCTTAAGTCGAGCAGCACCTATCAAAGGCAATGAACCACTCCCCCCATCCACCTTTCCTTTACAGTCCTTAAAAGAATCAACAATGAGTGATATTGATTATCCTCAATTGTTAGATTATTATAAAATCGCCTATGCCATGCCCAATCTCATTTCTTACCACGATGCCAGATTGTCACAATAATTTGTAAATAACCGAATCACAAAATTGAAATCAATTGATCTCCTTGGCCAAACATATATTGGGAACAACAGTTCTGGTAAGTGCGGGTCACTCGTTCAAGCTTTCTTCCGTAGCAGCAATGGCCGAACTTCAAGCCTATATACCGGACAAATTCAGTATCTTTTTATATATTCATTTACTCTGCCTCCTCATCCAAACCACCGAGCATCAACATTACATCAAGACCAGCATGTTTTTGCATACATCTGATGGTATAATTTGACAAATGACAATGAACACAGAGATGAAGGTATTGCAATCTGCTTGCCAGAATTCTCTGCTGATAATTATCACAGCATCTTGCCTGTACATCGCATACACTTAGAGGTTGCAACTGCTGTAGATGTAACTGATATGAACGAAGAAAGAATGCTGGTCATTCCTATGCCAAAAAAATACTATGCCTGAAGCCTTTATGAATAATTATGCACTATAATTTTTTATGAGAATAATTAAATAAAAAACAAAGAACAAGTAATGCCTCTTTATGTATTTTTTTGGTTATTTAAAGTATAAGACGTTATGAATGAAGAAAAAAGAACAAAAAATATAAACTTTATTTAGGGCCCGTTTCTAAGAGCCCACTGAGGAAACTGTGATGCAATTGCATCAGGGACTGGTCCTTCAACGGTTTCGCCAAAAGCACGTGACAGCAATTGATGGCTATTTAAGCCTAAATCAGCTACCACTTTGTTGTCAACAAGTGTGATGAAGTGGTTGTACTATATTAAAGACATTAATATTTTATTCAGTATAATACAATATAATATATTAACTAAATTAAATATTTCAACTTTCAAAAAACTAAGTACCTCATCACTTCTCCAACCTGAACGACGAAGACAAAGCCCACTATAAGAAACATGAGGCAAAGTGCCATCGTCTGACTCACCAACAGACATAGCCTCTTCTATAATGAGACCAGAGCAATCTCTTTTCATCTCGTCATCAATAGCAGACTTGTTAGACTGGTACGCTGTTTTGCGACGTTTCAAGTGCTGTTGAAAATATTAAATTAGTTTTCTTTTTTTGCTTTACATTAATGACTTAGATAAGAATTATTCAAATAATAAATAAATAAAGTATAACTTACCTCCTTTTCGCGGCTACTCCTTCTGTTGCGAGCATTGTCTGACTTCTTTTTAGCCTGAGACTTATTAGCTGCACGCTTTCTGCTAGTGAAGTTCGTATAGACAAAGTCACGAACATCACTTTTTCTCAGTCCTGCTCCTACGAAATTTCTTTCCAAGTAGGCAACGAGGTTTTCTGTCAGCTCAGTGTTTGGCGACTGGTTGAAGTTGACAGCCGTGTTCTACCTTGGCTTGCCATTGTTGGCTTGAATTTCAGCCAAATGTTTTGACTTGAACTTAGGGTCCCACAAATGCTCCCGAAGAAGTCTCTATTGAATCTTGGTAAGTTATTAAAGATATAATTTACTATATGTATGATACATACATAGGCTTTTGTTTTGTTGACTGATTTTGCATCAGAAGCCATGGTGGAAAAATCAGCTACATTCATTTCCATGCTCACAGGAGCAACAGCATGCACTAAAGCCATTGGCTGACTCTGCAAAACAGCAGACACAGGAGTGTTCGAAGTTTTTGCTTTGATATCAGCAACGTCTTTCATGACAGTGGTCATGTCACGATGCAAGATGGCAAGAGAGTTTGTCATCTCTCTCTCAGCAGGAGTGCGTCGAGTGGGATAGCTTTCATTTTGGTTAGACATATTCTATTAATTTAAAAATATAAGTTCAAATATGTATTAACTGTTAATGCTTTTATATTCTTTGAATAAATTTCTATTATACACTACAATTATATTTATTATCAAACATACCAAAATAAAAGACAGAAAAAGATGGGGAGAGAGAGAGAGAAAGTGTGAGTATAAGTAAGAATAATTGTAAGAGTGCGTGAGCAAGAGTGAGTAAGATTGTAGCAAAAATGTATATTTATATTTCCAAAAAAAAAAGGATGTCTAGTCTTGATTCATCTTGGTTAAAAAAATATATCTAAAGTAACTTCTTGTACACACACTGTGTAAATTGATACAAAGATTGCTTTTAGATACTACACCATTATATCTATTATGCTTTTTGGATATTTTTTTTGAGTTTCATTTTTTTTAATTACCTATTTTGTTTTTTGTATTTTATTTACTTATTTTTTTTATTTTTCCATATTTTTCCATATTTTTCCTTATCGACCATTTTCTTTTCTTTTTTTTCTCTTTCTGATTTTTGTTATAACTGTGAATTTTACTGGTAAGATACATTCTTCTTAAAAATACTTCTGTACAGACAACAACAAGATTAACACATTCTGTTGTCATAGATACATATATACTCTCTTAGTGTTTTACTATATTCGCAAACTTTTTTGGTAACATATCTTCTTTTTTTTTAAAGCAATTCTTTTCTTCAAATATAACTAAATAATAATTATTATTTCAGTTGTCATAGATACTAGCGTGTTTTTTCCTTCTGATGTATTCTCTTTACAATAGCCATCTGGATTAGTCCAGGTTAGTAACTATACTTCATGTCATCATCATATAAAATTATTCTGACTTTTCTCCTTCTTTTTTATAGACAATATTGCCAAAAATATTCCCTACAATTAAACAAGACCATCAACACGGTAATATTTTATTTTTTATTTACTTTTAATATTTATCTGACAGAATATAATTTTTATTACAGATGAATGTTCATCTGCCAAACACGCAATGAATCAAGAACCTCTATCTCTTGGTGCCATCATTGACATGGTAAGACTTCTTCTTTTATTCTCTTAATATGTATGATAGTATTATTTATACTGTATATTAATATATGTTTTTTACTAAAGGTTATATCAACTCTTGACAAGTACTATCTAGGTCTACAAATAAATTGACTTTCTTTGGGTACGTTCATTACATATTCTGTCACCCAATTCACTCAAACTAACTTCTCTATATTATTTTCATTGTTAAAGAAATTATACTTGACGCCATGCCTCGAACTCTCAAAGTTTTATTTTTATCTTCTTCAGTCATTATATTGTATGTATCCTCAAATTAATATATCACTCACAACATGTAAATATTTAAATACACATCTAACTTCTCTTCTATTATGTTAAATAGTATCTGTGCCAAAGATAACTACTGAATATGAGGGTTTACAAACATTATATATAAAGCACTGCTTGATTTGAGTCATATGAAGAATACTAGTGAAGACGGCCCGAGGCATATAATATTATTCCAATACTATCAACCTAGAATCATTCTATTTTTTCTAATAAATACAAAAATAAACTATAATTCAAACCAATAATAATTGAATATCAAGTAATTGGGGGAGCAGATAATCTATGACCTCATAATAAAGAGTGTTAATGATTGGCTTATAAGCAATAAAATGTCCATGGTTCTAACTATTTACTCAGGGATAGTTCAACAATACACATGCGACGTAGTCTCTGATTATTAACCTTTAACATGGAAACAGATTGTATTACAGCAAAAAAACAAAGTTTGAAATAAAGTTTTCTTGGTACTCTATTATATACAAAGATATAAAATTACTATTGACCCCAACTTCACTAGTGCTATCGAACTTTACACTTGTAGATAGCAGGTCTGTGCACATGTAACCAGATCAGCTTTGGTACCAGTGGAAATAGGCAAAACCCCACTGTAAAATGCGGAATATTCACAATAGTATGCCTGAATTTCCCCGTGTGTATTTATTGTTATTTTTCCAGTGTTACCATTGTTGAAGTGAATACGCTCAACCTCTTGTTCAAAATAGAACTCCATGTCATTTGTCAAGATAAAAATCAGTCGATCCAATCTTCTGATGCGTGCTCAACCAAAGTAGATTATCTTGAGTTGATTGTGCCATGATTCTACATAGTTGTTTGTCATATATCTCTAATGTTGTTGGCTAACATATGGGTGCCCCCATCTTTGCAACAATTCTTTGTTCTCAGTCTATTTCTTCTCAAAATATTTCAAAAACTGAGGTTGATCCTGAACCATCAGTTTAAAATCTTCAATTGCTCTTAGGAACATGTCTTCATTGGACTCAATGAGAATGTGTCTCAGGTAGTTCTTCAGTGCAGTCTTATAATTCCTAAGTTGTTCTGATGTATAAGAGGCATTAAGTTTAATCTTGCTGTCAAGGTTGTGCTGCCAAGCATAAAGAACATGAAAATCACAGTAGTGATTTGTAGCATGAGGTAATGCTTCTTTGATTGCATTAACCTCCATAATGCTACAGTCAATGGTGATATTCATTAGTACGAAGCTGCTCTTGATTCGAAGGTGGTCAAGCCAAAGTTTGATAGGTATGGCTGTCTGGTTGTTTGTCACCATGTATGCAACAGGGAATCCCTTTCCTGTTTGAGGATGGCGAGTGACCGAAGTATATAATACTTTGTTGCTTTTGGACGAAATGGAATGGGTGGCATCAAGACAAAAAGATTGCAAGATTCTCATGATTAACACTTGTATTAGTGATTGAAATCCAAAGACAACTTTTTTTTACCGTCATTATAAACAGAAAGATTGATTTCAAAAATGCAATAGTTTTGTTCTGCTAGCTTTACATTTAACCAGATGGAAATAGATGCATTTTCATCAGAAGCAAACATATATAACAAAGTAGTCATCTATTTTATATACAAGTATTTATTTGATATATAAATATTAATTTAATACGAAAGCTCTGTTATATTCATTGACAAACCTTTCTCATTCTGTTATAAATTTCTTCATAATTAGGCTTTCTAACGCCAACTCCCCAACTATCAATCTGTCTAAGAACTGAAATTCTTGTACTTATACAGCTGCTGCCACTTTTTAACTGATCTTCAATAATCTTTATGGCTTCAGAAGGCAAAGGAAGAGTTCTGACTTCGTCCCAGTCTCTAGAAACATGGTTTACATATGCCCTTGTTTGGCAAAATGTAACAACATTGGGGTTGTTGAGATGCTGTATGATTTTTAAGGCAGCTGTATAAGAGCATGCCTTCGTATCTTTCTGGGCAAGACGTAATTGGCAGTTTGTTATATATTGGCCAGCATGGTGGCATTTTTTAGTCTCTTCAAAAACTAAACCTTTTCCAGAATATTTATGCTTTTTATTCCATTTTGTTGAGCATAAGACATTTATTTGCTCCAGACACTTTTCCCATTCACTAGCTTTTACTAATATTGTCGAATTCAAAGGAAGCATCTTGATTCCTTCCAAAGGTGAGTTGATCAAGACTTGTTGAATGGTGGAAATATCATAAATAGTGTTGTTTATATTGTTGTTAGACATAATTGAAGTTTGTTTTTAAGAAAGAGGGAAGGGATTATTTGTCACAAAAAAATGCCATGTGTGGGATGCAAAAGTCACTGTCTGTCATTATAGTTAGAAAGCTACAGGACTAAATTAAATACTAATTCAAACTCTCCATAGGATAAAATAAGGAGATACCCTGATATAGACTATCTTACAATTCACTGTAAACGTAGCCAAATTGATCAAGCTTTAATAACACAGGAGTAAGCAAATAAGACAGAGGATAAAAAAATGATTTTTATTATTTGATTTGGGTTATCTTATATAGTTTTTGAAATGATTATTCATCTTTGACTACACTTAAGTAGTGTCTAGTAATAGTACAAATTATTATAAACTGATTACAAATTTCTAAAATTACAAACTGATGAATAATCATTCTAATTCCTGCTTCTTTTGTAATGACAAGTCACTAGAACTTGTATTACAAAAATTAAGCATGACAAATGTCAGTGTAATAATCTAAATAAAAGAAGAGACTTGGAAAGTATAGTGAAACTTCTTTTATTATGAAAATTGAGAGAGAATCAAAACATTGTGATCTTTTGCTCCCTTTATATACATTTTGATCTAAGGACTGTCTTATTTGTTTCAATAATTTAATTGTGTGCCTTCAGGTCCAGTCACACTCTTTTTTATAACATTGATATTCTGCCTACTCAGGAGTACTTGTGGACTTCACAGTCGGACATTATTTTGATGAATCCGTAAAATCTGAAAATAGTTAACCGCAGTCACTATGAACGAAATTGGTGTGACTGCCACTAATGGTAGTGGATATGCCACTAATTTATTTTAATTAACCAATCAAATTGGTTTTAGAGTTTGGTAAAAATATTAAAAAAAGGTGAAAAAGATAAAGTTGTATTTAAGAGCGAAATAACATAATATAAACGTTTTTTTTTTACATTTATATCATATAGAGAGTATAGCAATTTGATTTATTTATTTTTTATTTGAAATCATAAAACTTTTTTTTGTCTCATTGTCAAGATTGTTGTATTTTGACAATATCACTAATCAATGTGGCAGACCTACTATCTTTTCCACTAATTTACCGAAAGTGCAGGATTTAAATTAATTTTTTTATATTTTATTTTACTCAAATTTTTACTTTGCATTTTTCTCTTTTTCAACATAAATGAACATCATCTTGAAGTTATTTTTTAAGATGATAGTGAATCTATATAGCTACTTTATACATCTAATTTACATGACTTGCTCTCTATTTTATTATTACCTGTTTTAATTTATTAAAGTAAAAGTATATTTTAATTATCAAAAAAACAAAAAGTTATTTTTTATTGCTTGTGAAAATATCAAGGGAAAAAGAATAAGAAAAATGGGTATAAGGGGTATTTACAGTTTGATATATCTCAATTTTCCAGCAGTACTTTTCATGTCTTCATTAAATATATAGTATGGTGTGACAACTTTATATTTGGTTGAGTCCACAGCAGTTTGGACTAAACCAACTTGGTTTTGGATATCATTAAGACTGATGACTACTAATCTTTGATATATAGAGGCTGTCTCTAGAGTTCCGACTGGAATGAAATAGTCATAGTCCATGGCCGAGTGATCATTCATAACACTTACCAACACAAGAAACTGCCTGCAGCTTTTATTATGAGGTAAGATGTTATGGGTAAAATAAAAAATCACAGAGCCAACAAACTAGTGAATTTTACTAAGATTTGAATTAAAGTAATTAGAAGCTTCATTCTATATAGCTTTTGTTATGAAAAACTTACTTTTGGTATATGGCATGGAATTGTATGTAGTGGTTGCCTCGACGGAATTCAGATCTTTTTCTTCTATACATTTCAGAGCCATAGACATGGCTACCAATTAAAGCACAAGCTGCAATTTCGATTGTATTCATAGTATATTGTGGGTCAGTTTGATGGGAATTAGATTTGGTATAATAGGTTTGTAGTTCCTTGGTAAACGTGAGTAAATTGGTGAATTCTTTTATATAGGGTATTGATTCAAATAGACTCCATAGCCGGTGGTTTTGTTCGTGTGGTGAAGGGAGAGGAAGTTTCAGGTAATCGTCGAGTGATGTTCGATATGGCTTTATAAGGTTCAGCTGTTGTTCTATGTTGAATGCACAATTCAGATAACCACGTATTGCAAGTCTTTCGACCAAGTTCCCAGCATATTCACCAGAGAATACTCTACTTTTGATCAGTTTTGAGTATCTCCCAATCGTTCTCTCCATGGATCTAGTGTTATAGACCCTGAGATTCCTCATTTTTCTTGTTATATAACCAATGTGAGTCAAGTAGTGGTTTACTAGAGAAAATACACTTATGGACAAGCTGTTTTTGCTGATCTCGACTTGCAAAAACTGGTGCCAAATGCTAAAGTGACTACAGGTAAAGAAAGGTAAGCATCAGTATTATTCTTATTTTAAAAAATAAAAACTAAAGAATACATTAAAACTTACTTTTCCATTTCAACAATTAGCTCCTCATTCAAGCTCTATTGCAGTGAAATATAACAACCTTTCACCAAAGCGAGAAGTGCTTTTCGAGTAGCAGCTTTTGAGAAAAGAGGTACAAGGAGAGTAGGGATTGCATATAATAAAAAATCAATATAATTGATTGCTCTCACACCTTCAGTCTTAAGGATCAGATTATCTCAGCTGCCTTGAAATGATACAGGGATTCTTGATTGTAACAGTTTGATGCATTGACCAGCTGATAATACATCCTTTTTTGGCAATGAGAAGGTGTATCAATCTTTTAGCAAATGAGATCCTTCAGCATTTTTCGAGTAGTAGTTCTTGGTAGCTGTAGTAGTATTTGATAGTACTATTAGCTTGTGGATAAGCTTCCCTATACCATGACCAATTAAATGCATCTCATCCAGGCTGTAGAATGAAGACCCAGTAAAGGTAGGGAGCTGAGCAAAGATGTTGGACTCTTGAATGCTAGTATTCTATATATGTATATATAAAGTAATTATCAGTACAATGGGTTTTTTTTTTAAATATTTCTCTCTTTTTCTTACAGTGATTTACTTACAGGGTTGCCATTAACAAAGTCAATCATTGGCCTTAGAGGAGCACAACAGTTTTTAAAGTACATGTCTCTACCTCTTAAGGGGGCTTCACCTAATACTTCACATATGTAACATCCATATCTGTAATTATGATCTTTATGATGACAATACTTTGTAACCTATTTTGCCAATTTTGTAAGTCACCCTTTTTTGTTTTTTTTTCTTCTTCCACTTACTTGAGGAATGTCTCCAGATGCCATTACAATGTGGACTTTTGCTGCAATCCTTTCACCGTCAAATTTTTTTATAATCAGTTCATATTTGCCTAAGCTAATGACTTCAGCTATTATGGATAATAAGAAAGAATCAAGATCTACAGACTTTCTGGGTATAATGACAAGTTGAATAAGGTATTCATTGATATATCTTAAAAAGAGGAAAAATATGTAAGTTTCTTTTATGGAAATAATAATAATAAAACATCTTAAATGAAAGAAGCTAATTCTATTACCTTATCAATGGATCGTAATTTAAAATCATGGCATGTACAATTGTCAATTGCTGTTTTGATTTTTTCTGGTTTACAAAACCATCTAAGAACAAGGCAACAGCAACATTGTCAGGAGACTGGAAAAGGTGTTGGGTTTTGAGGGCTCTATACTCTTCTCCATCAAAGTAATCAGACAAATCACTAGATATAAGTTGTCTGTTTGCTCTGTAATGGAGTTTCTTCCTTGTGTCACTGTTGCTGAGGAGTCTAGCCAGTTGATTGCCTAGTGACATCATCTTCATTGTCTTCACCAGGACCAAATGGGCAAGGGTATCATCTGTGGCCTCCATGAACCTCTTACTGTCACAGTGAGGGCATTCTTCTTTGTTTTGGGTATTATTATACAACTTACAGGCATTCACGCATATGTCATATGCGTGAGGCTTTATTGCTGCTTTGTTCTTTAGTAAGGTATTTACAGGTCCAGCCCGAAGTATTTCTGGAGAATACTCTATGGATTTATCACAATAGTTAGTTTTTTGAGATAATTAAAAAGAATTTGGTTGAGTATATTGTACCTTTTGAAAGTTTATCATGATCCTAAAATACTATGTTCATTAGGTTGGCAAGCTGATGATGACACTCTGTAGATACATTGAATGAAGTGACAATATCATACAGCTCAATACTCAACAATTGTGAAGTAGTGAAGGTATTCTCAGTAAAGATATTATCATTGTATATATGTCCTTCATCACCAGCCTTAAAATTACAGGAGGCTTTATAGGTTCTTGGTTTGAATGGGTCAAAAGATATGTCTGTTAAACACAATTAGTATTCAAAAGATTGTTTTTTTTCTGGTAGATTAATATAAATGTTTACCTTCTGTCATATAGTCATCTACTGGAGTTGACAAGTCTTCATTTTCCAAATGAACGTGAGTAGAAGAACTAGCAGAAAATGTTGAGCCAGTATTTTATTTATGGATTTGCTTATGGTTCCGGAGCTGTTTACTTGTAAAACAATCTAAGTTGCAAACGTCACAAATGTATGAAGAAATGTTATTGAGACTTCTTGCTCTTTTGTTTGATGGATTCATTTTTATAAAAAGTTGGTGCTTGTGATGTGGATGGTTTGTATACAATAATAAATGGTATTATCTAAAGCTTCAAATAAATCATATATTTCTCTTTTTATACTTTTTTTTACAAACCGAGCAGAGAAGCTATTACTGGTCAGCAACATAATTTTATTGGTCTTGTAATTGCATGAATTTCTCTCAGTTTGCAATCTTTTGTTCTTTTGTTATTTTTTCCATAAGTAAATGCCTTTCTTTCTGCTATTTTTTCTTAACTTTATTTTATCTACGCGAACATATACAACATAAACAACATCTCTGAAAACATAAATCTGAGCACAGTGAGAACTGTAGTTCGTGAAGAACTTTCTGATATTTGGGCTTCTGTTGCCAAAATTGCAGAAACTGTTACCAGTCAGCAACAGTTTGTAAGAGAAGACATATTACACAGTTTTCATGCAGGTAATGCAAGCATAATATTTTATCTTTTATATAATAACATTTACTTATAAAATCACTTTATTAAAAGGTGAACAAAGTGCTACACAAGCCAGAATATCTTACTTAGTAAATCATCCAGATGATAGAGGAGTAAGACATATTCCTGCTACAATGACTGAGGCCTGTGTTGGTTTTATACCAACAAGAACCAACAAGATGCCAAGTGCAACTTCCAGAATTAATGCACTCATAAATTTTCTGTGGAAGAAGCAACAGAGAACAGATGTTAACATATCCGCAGAAGAGCAGAAGCTCATTAGACTCTAGTTCCATATGTATACAAGGCAATGCCGACATATCATGCATGAAGATGGCATTGTAGAGACAAACTGGGGAAGATTGAGTAGTCAACAAAAGTTGTACTACTCCTTGAGACTCAAGGAGTTAATCTTCTTGAACTACCAGTTCGCTCTACACAAATGCAGAGATCAATGGGCTGCTGCTCTTCTCCTTCAAGAAGTGATGAAGGCTGAACGCCAAACAGAGAAGTGGCGAATTGTATATATTACATTTAGTCTCATGCAAGATATTGCATTAATACTTTTCTTTATAAAAAAATATGCAGGCAAAGTTGAGCGGAGAAGTTCAAGAAGAAGAGTTGAGATATGTATAGATTATTCAAACGTAAAACTTAATACACTGACTAAACTATATTTTATAAGTAGCCTTGGTGGGCAGAAAGTAGTGTGGCATCCTCACCACCAAGAAGAAACATGCTGAGCCATTGTGTTTAATTTTTTTTGAACTCCTTATTGTTTCTGTCCTCCACAACAATAAAAAAAATTTTCTCTTTACAATTACCCTTTTTTTTAATAAATGACAAATCAACTCATTTCCTCTACTTTCTTCCATTGCTTTTCCTGTAATCACATTCAAACAACATGCACCACTCAAACTTCAAGACACTCTTGATATAAAATTACTACAATTGTGCTTTGATTAAAAAAAGACTAATGCAACTAGAAAAACACATTTTTTGCAGTTTTTTTTCTTTCAAGCAGCTACAATATAATATGCTCTTGACTTACTTTCACAAAATACAGCTAATGTAAGTTACTGTCTTGTTAAACTGATAATGTATAGGGCATACTAAACAATCTGATCAGTTATTAATAAGTAGGTACTTCTAATTATCTGAGGCATATACTGCAGTATAATAGCTACCAGAAAATCTTCAAATGCAAACAAATTATAAGGGTAAGCTTACTAGGCTATGTGTATTTACTTTGTATATTAACTTATTTTTGTAGATTTCGTCTTTATTCACAATTACTTGAGGCTGTTAATGAACATACTTGAGATAATTACAAAAAAATACTTTTAAGTATGTATATTTATAGTATTCTTTACTTTAACTTTACACAACACTAGAATAGAAATGCTTAAACATTCTTTCAATAGAAAAGTATCAACAATTATAATTCATAACAAAGAATCCCATCATCCATAGCTAATATATCTAAAGGTATGTATTACTCATATAACTAATATATGAGTTAGTATATGTGCAAGATATATTGCTAGTATTATTATTAAGCTTGCATATGAATATGTATCATTATATGCCATATTAAAGACATAGTATACTATATTATATTATATAGTCCATCGTATAGTCCATTGTATATTTCTATTGTATATTCTGTTATATATTCTACTGCACAGCAAGCATATGAATAAAAATAAAATCTACCAAATTTACTACCAATTTTTCCATATATGGATTTACTACCATACTTTTACTACCAATCTATTTGAAACTAAGCCAATCAAACATACTGCTTTACTATTCAGTAAATTAGTGGCAATACCACTATGATTAGTGACAAGCATAGCTCATTTACCACTAATTTTTTCAATTAAGCATAGTGTGGTCAGCTACCAAAATTTCTAAAAATTAGTGGCAGAACCACACACAAAGGTGATGTGGCAATACCACTATGATTAGTGGCAAGCATAGCTCATTTACCACCAATTTCCTCTGCTTTAGCATAGTGTGGCCAGCCACCAAATTTCATGCAAATTAGTAGTATTGCCACATCAATTTCATTCATAGTGAGTACTTCTTTATGCACAGTAATATCTTTCTGAGCATTAACTGTAGTATAATGAATATTTCTTTAATTAAATATAAATAATAACTACTGTGGATAATGTGCAGTATTAGTTTAGAAAACTATATAAGACAATTTAATTCATATCAATAAAAAGTAACTTTTATCCTCTCTTTCATTTTACATATACTCCTTGATCCCCAGTGGGTTTGACCTTTTGACTTTGCTATAGTAAAAGGAAGACCATTCCAGATCAGGAACAACACAAAAATGATAATAGGAAACTATACAAGAATGTAAAATGTATTCTCTCCGACCGGGAATTGAACCCGGGTCTCCCGCGTGACAGGCGGGGATACTTACCACTATACTATCGAAGACATATATATTATGTCATGACGCAAATGTAAAAAATGTTTAGCATTAACCAAAAACGTATATTTGTTTGATGTGACATCAACTTATGGACAGATTATTAAGTTATGGACAGTGCAAAGTCGTGACTCCATCTCCGGACACAACAAAATCCGATTTCTTGGATTTATTTTCTCTCCACCTCTTTTTCCTTTTTTCTTGCTATTGACATTTAAATTCCCACTAGACTTTAAATGCTTTTCCCTTTTTTCTATTTCTTCCTTAATTTTTATTTCCTTTTTAGCTTATTTCCTTTTGCATTGCACTTATTCCTTTACACTTCTTGATATTACTTCTTTAGTATACTTCCCGAGAGTTCATATTTTTTTAATAGTTTAATTATTTTTATTTTTTATTATTTTTGATTATTTTCTTTTGTGATTATGCCTAAAGACCTATATACTCTTCTAAATAATCATCATTTAGCATAAGATGTATCTAGATTGTCACCTTGTATGCAGTTGTCAATTAATATAAAAGAGAGACGTTTTTATTCCAATAAAATTTATTCACTTTTTCTCTATATTTCTTTTAAACATTGTCACTGAGCTTGAGCTATTGTTCTGCAAGAAATACTAAGTTACACACTGTTAGGATCTACAAGTACTGTCTCACTATTTGTCTGTTTGCCTACTTGTTCATTGTCTATTTGTCTGTTTGTCTATTCGTCCATTTGTCTGTTTATCTGTTTACCTATCTATCTGTTATCCATATATCTGCTTCCATCTATTTCAAGTTCCATTCATTATCTAAATCCCTTCTTATTGGATTGTCTTGAGCAAAATCACAAGAATATAACTATACATATAATATATATTATACTTCTGATCATTTGCACTACACACCATAACTCAACACGCATCAGTTACATGTGTTGTGAACAAGTCAGGCATTGGTCAGTTTCTGGTGATGGACACCAGATGGTGAGTTTCTTCTGTGGTTTGGTCTGGTGGTGAGCCGTGATGGATAATACCGGATTTGTAGATGTTGATCTCAATGGTGAGTTGACCGAGTGACATGTCTTGAGGGACAGGAGTGGTCCCCCAGGTTTCTTGGAAAATCTTGTTGCCAATACCTCTTATACCCAAACACCCAATTTCATTCTGTTCCTTAAATAATTAGAATAACCATTTACATCATCATCTCAGAAACACCTGCCACCCACTAAAAAAATTATATCTTTTTCCCCTAATTTTATACACTTCTTTATTGCCAATATTTATTTACACTATTTTTTATTACATTTTTATTAGACTTCATTATTATACTATTATTATACTTTTTTATTTTACTTTACTACATTTTTATTATATTATTACTTTACCTTTATTCAACTACTATATTTTTACTATACTTTTATTTTACTTTCTATATTTTTCTATTCCACTTCTACTATCAACACTAGTTGCATGTAGTAAAATTTTCACTTGACTTTTTTTTCTTTTTCTCAAAAAATTATATTAACTAAACATTTTTGTTTATAAAAGAAACAACCTTTTCAATCAATAAAATCATCATTCTATCCTTGATCTTATTTATTTTTGTCTGTTATTATTATTATTTTTCATTTATACACTGTTGTAAATGAGTATTAACTACTGCTGTAATTGAGAATAAGTCTGAAGAAAATAATATAAGGCCTCAGCTATTCCAGTCAAAGGTGTCTACCGATTACTTTATTATTTAACACACAGGTTTAGCATGCATGATAGTGATTATATTTCATATGATGATATCACCATAATATGGGATACATCAGTGGATTATTATAAGCATAATTATAACTCATAAACACATTTACTTTCGATGTTAATACTTCATTGGGACTACATACATTTATATAATTAATCATATATTAATTATCCCAAGATCACGTTGCTCTGATTAAGGCTCAGATAGGATCGATTATCTGACCCCAGTCATATAATTTTCCCAATCCAAAACAATATAAATAGCAGTAGTAGTTCAGTGTAGAAACCTGGTCAAACTTTGATACAAAATCCTTTCTCAATAAACAAAACCTACACAAGTTCTCACGAATCTTCGTTTCTAATTTCAAATCTTCAATTCTTCCTCTTAAAAACTTCTTCAACTTCAACCACCACAACAAATACGTATCTGGCTAGCAGATTTAGATGGCTGTTCTAATTGTTGGGACAGCTCAAGGAGGTATTTCTTTGCAAGAGGAAGAGTACAGATATCTTCATGAACATCACCAGAAGTATGCTCAGTATGATCTTTTATTAAAGTTATCTCATACCACTCTGGTGTCTTAAAGAATCCTCTGACATGAAGAAAAGCAGAACACTTATTTTTCTTAGTTTGTTTCTGAACTACTCTCATGGCTGCCTTGGATTCATAAGTGCTAGCACAATGACACATATACTCCTGGGAAAAGTATATCCTAATATCACTGTTTTGGCTTCTTCAGCAGTAATATCAGTAGGTTGCTTGTTAGAATTACGGATAATCCATTTGACTACACAGGATTCACCAATTTCTAGCAAGCAATCTCTCCACTCAGATGTTCTAACTTTTATAGTAGTATCAAGTCTAAGAGTCATCACTCCAGGAACAGATGTACACTCCAATGCTTCAGAGATTGTTGCAAAGTATAAATGTTTTCATTGAATTGAATGTTGTTTGTTGACATATTTAGTGAATAGTTATTTGAAAATAAAAACATGTGATTTAAAGGATATAGAACCTTTGTTTCAAATAAACAATTCAAAAACAAAAGAAAGTATTAACAGTTACTATATTGGTTAATAATTTTCCATCTACCAGGAAATATATACTTTTGTTACTGCACATAATAAGGTACTGTGGTTAACTATCTTCAGATTTTATGGATTCATCAAAATGTCAAGTCTCGATCTGGTATTTCTTTTCTGGCACTTGTAACTAAGTTGCAGAATCAATACCACTGGGGATTGTCAAGTTTATGAATAGTTTTTAGATAAGAATAAAGATGCTTTTTATTAAATATATTTCTTGACTATTTATACAAAATGATAATTGATTTCTGGCTAAAAGAATAGCTATGATAATATATCTTAGATGCCTGTTGTCCAGTAATATCTTCTACAAGTATATCTCCCATCTTAAACATCTAAAACATATATGAAAGTCCAATCGGCAAAGTCAAGATCTTTTATCCTAAAAAGTCAACTCTTACTGGTTGCTTATAACTACCAATTTTGTTCACTAATGTCAACTCTGACAAAAATTGTCGGACATTATTTTGATGAATCCGAGAAATCGGGATAATTGACCACAGCAGTTCTGTATGTCAAAGATACCTCATAGATAACGAACCGCAGTAATGTCTTGTAAAGATCAACCACAGTAACATCTTCTGAGCATCAACCGCAGTAAAAGGACTTCTCTTGTAATTAAATAGAGTATAATAGTTTACTGCGGATAATGCGCAGTATTAGTTTAGAAAACTATATAAGACAATTCAATTCCTATCAATAAAAAGCACCTTTTATCCTCTCTTCGATTTTACATATACTCTCCGATCCCCAGTGGGTTTGACCTTTTGACTTTGCTATAGTAAAAGGAAGACCATCCCAGATCAGGAATGACAAAATAATGTCCGACACAATCCAGAACAAAAACAAAACGTTAGTGTTGCTGCCCACTACAGGGGTCGAACCTGTGACCTTGGCGTTATTAGCACCACGCTCTAACCAACTGAGCTAAGCGGGCACTGCTCTTTCACTTAAGCATTTATTTATCTAGTTCCAAAATTTTATTTTTGACGAATCCACATATAAAGTGTATCCATCCATCAACATCTTTACGCAAAACGATCCATCCATCACGAAAAACGTACCTCCCATTGCCAAAAGTAATGCAGTCCTTGTCCTTGGTATCCCAGCTGTCAGCAAAAAAAAATTTCAGCTCAATCAGACAACATCACGCCATCTGCATTCTCAATCCCAATGGCCAATTTGCAAATCGGCAACATGCAGGGATTGCCAACTGAGCTTACCTCATTCCTGACAACATTGCAGGCACAAATCATGAATGTGCAAAACAGAACCGACCAGTTGGAGCGACTTGCAGCAGAGAATGCAAGATTAACCACTGAATTGGATCAAGCTAGAACAACAATTGCTAATCTGCAGAAGCAATTAGGATTCCAGAGTGCACCTGAAAAAAAACTTTTCACAAATTTCACTTTCGAACCCAGCCAGCGCAGTAGGTGCTCCTGACAAAAACAAAGAACCAGGTCTGGAAGCCTCCACTTGGGCTAGTAAAGCCAGTGTTTCTCTTTCTGTAACTGCATCAAAAATGTCTGCTGTTCCCTCTGCTCGCCATATTGCAGCTTCTGTTCGTATGTTTGCTCTTCCTTCTGGTCCTTCAGGTTATGAATATGTTTATATTCCAAGATCAAGACGCCTTAAGCACAAAGAAGTCCGTTCCTCTCTCCGCACTCTTGGGGTAGATTCTTCTCGACTTTTGGACATTAACTTCCCAGCCAGAGGTGTCATTGGCATCCTTGTTCATGTCCAGTATGCTGATACATTTAAGGCCAAACTGACAACTGCTTCTGTTGAGATTTTGGACGCATTTGATCCACTTGATCCTGATAATGTTGCTGATTCTAAGTATGCATCTCTGTACACTCATGAACTTGCCAACACTGCTGCCATGCTTCACCATGATAGATGTCTCCAAGCCCTACAGTTCTTGCGCCCACACGTTGCTATCCCAGTTGGTCACTTCTTTTTTGAGGAAGGGTGGATCAGTGAAGATGAAATACCAACACGTACTACTCTTACCAATGCTACTGGCGGGTCTTTGTTCAAATGTCAGCGCAGCTCATCAGTCACTATGTCTGAATGAGTAATCTCAATATCGGATTATGGAATGCCAATGGCCTGCAACCCAGAGCCATTCAAGATACCCTTCAACACTGTCAGTCCTTACATATGCTCTTCATTACAGAAACATGGCTTCTCTCTCCCTCACATCTTCCCACATCATGGTCACAAATTCACTTGTATGGGTCTCCTGTAGCTGGCACCTATAGGGGCTCTATGGGTGTTTCTGTTCTCATATCATCTCACTGTCCTTATGCCGTCACTCAAATACCTATGCCCTCCAAATATGCTCTGGCTGTCAAAATTGGCTCACTCAGAATTGTATGCTTATATCTTCCACCAAATATGCCCACTCATGATGTCCTACATGTACTCTCTTCCATTCCTTTAACACATGATACCATTCTTTGTGGAGACTTCAATGCAAGACTTGGCTCTGTTACTGGTGACTATGCATCAAATTCTCATGGACTGGCACTATGTTCTTGGATAGAAGAGAGATCTCTATCAGTTGTAAATGCAGATCTTGCACCTTGCATACCAACATATATTTCTTTCCGCAACAATTATGAAATCAGCAGTATTATTGACCTCTTTATAACTAATATGCCACTCATCAATCCTTCTCTTCATATTGCTACTGACTTGTCTCTTGGATCAGATCATTGCCTTTTATCACTTTCCTTTACCTATGATCTACAGCACTCTACCAATATGCCACCACCATTACGCAAGACATGGAACCTCTCACGCCTCAATGAACCTGATGTCCATGCTCTTTATGCTCATACCTTCAATCAAAACTCGACCTCCCTCCTTTCCACCTTGCAAGACATTGTACAGAATCCACCACTCACTAGACCCAACATTGATGCTATCACTGATGAGTTCAATTCACTCATTTATGACTCATTAAATAGCTCAATTGGACATCGACCCTCTCGCCCAAATCATTGGAAATCCTTCTGGAATGCAGCTTTGCAAACAGCAGCAGATCGTCGTAACCAATGTTACAAAAAATGGCGCCTAGCAATAGGTATTGACAAAGTTGTTTGGTGGACTAAACACAAGCATGCACAGGCCGAATTCCGATCTCAGGTTCAGCAAGCAAAACGTCAGTCTTGGCATGTCTTTTGTCAGTCTATGGAACGTGACTTCAGCAAAGCAACATCAAAGATAAAGCAGTTAAAACGCCGTAGACAGCCGCAACATACTTTCCAGCATGATGATGGACCAGCCGTAGCAGCAGCAACAATGTGTGACTATTTGGCAACAGTATATAGTGGACATATACTTCCAGCAACCCGACCACCAGCACCAATGACCACTTGTAACAGTGTGCCTTTTGCCTCTGATGACTCTCCCTTTACCTCACCAATTGTAGAGGAATTCATGCAATTTATGCCTAACCGCAAGGCACCAGGACCAGACCATATCAGAGCTGAAATGCTAAAACCTGTAAAAACATATGTCTCACTCATTCTTACTTTATTATTTACAGTTTGCTGGCAATGGTCATATGTTCCAAGTTTGTGGCGCCAAGCCCAGGTCTTCCCAATCTTCAAGAAGGGTAGTCCAACTGACCCGGCAAACTACCGACCAATCTCCTTGACTTCTGTACTGCGTAAGCTTTTTGAGATGTGTATAGCCCCCCAGTTACACAAGTACTCTCCTCCTTTGGATGTGGCTCAAGGTGGTTTTCGTCCTCGCCGTGGTGCTTTGGATCAAGCTCTCTGTCTCCATGATCTGATGAAAGCCTATTATCACCATCATAAGCACTACCCTGTTGTTGCATTTCTGGATATCAAGGCTGCCTATGATACAGTAGATCGACGAATCATCTGGCACGCTTCACAACAACGTGGCACTCCACCAGCCCTTTTGGGCCTCTTAGTTAACATGTTTGACAATGTCTCCATCTCTGTCCTTCTGGATAACTTTTCTTCACACTCGTTCTCACCTGCCACTGGGGTTCTCCAAGGTTCTGTCCTCAGTCCACATCTGTATTCAATATATATCAACTCCCTGCCCCCATTGCTCTGCACAGTTGCTCACTCACAAACTACAACCCATGTTCCATCACCCTCTCCTACCTCATTGGATGCATATAATGCTCTTCTTGCTCCTTCAGGTGTAGATGGCTTTGGACATATTCATTTCTCAACACCCATCAATTCTCTGCTCTTTGCCGACGATGTAGCTATTTTTGGTTCTCTTTCAGACGTTCAGGCCATGCTAGACCTTGCTGCAGACCACTCTTTTACTCTTGGATATCGATGGAGCCCCACCAAATGTGAAGTTATATATCCCAAAACACGTGCAAGCTCGCCAGTTTCTCTTCTTTTATATGGTCAAGTTCTCCCTGCCACTGACCTGTTTATTTATCTGGGTGTTCCTTTTGCCAATAAGGGTATTTCTTCCAAGTCCATTGCCACTCATAGACGTTCTGGTACACTTGCTACAATGGCAACCCTAAACTCTGTTGGTGCTTGTTGTTCTGGTTTTTCTCTGCTGCTCAGTTCACGATTGTATAAGACCTTTGTCCGCCCAAAGTTTGAATATGGTTTGGCAATCTCCACTCTACTGAAACAAGATATCAAAGTGCTGGAGTCCATTCAAGATAAGTGTCTTTGCATGATTGTTGGGGGGCATGCCACGTCCTCTACAATTGTGTTAAAGCACATCTGCAATCTGCCAAGTATGAAGTTTCGTGCCGATGCTCTTATGGCCAAGTTCTGTATAAGATCACGCTTTTTGCCAGCCCAGTGCCTTCTGTCTCTTTTGCACCATCATCATACTGTCTATTCTTCACTTGTCTCCTTGGGAAAAACCCATCTTCTGTCCAATCTCCCTCCAACACTCAAACTTCGAAGCCCTAGTGCTGTAAAAAATCATTTTGAAAGCATTAGAGAAGCTGGATTTGCAACCTTTCTCCAGTCCAATACGCAAGTTCTCATTCAAGCATGCCGCCCAGTTCTTGGAGTTGATCCAATCTTGTTTTTGCCAGCCTCACGTGTGGAACGTAGCCATTTGATTCGTTGGAGAATGGGGCAGTTACCAGGCAAACCAAAGGAATGTCCTTGTGGATCAGATCACACCTCACGCCGCCATTTGTTGGATTGCCCACTTGTTCCTATGGCACTATTTGAACAGTTGCCTCAACCTGACCAAGATCAGATAAACAGAATTGATTTTGCCATCACATCCTTGCCTTTGTCATCTCAAGAACCGCGACCTGCTTACTGGATACCACTGCTGACTATTCTCTGGCACATAGATGTTATATGTAATCCTGATGGTGACTATTCACATGAGACTGAACATGGTGCTCTTTGGATATAATTTAGACTTTTTCTTTTCTTTCATAGCTCTTCACTTTTCATTGTTCTTTACTCCCTTTATCTCTCTTCTTTCTCTTTTGTCCTTTGCTGTCTGAAAAGTTCTTTGTTCTGCAATTCTGTCTCCTCCCTTTCACTGTTACAACTATTTTCACAGCTGCAAAGTGGAGAGCAGATTCAGCCATTGAAGCTAGTAAGATTTGATCTTCTTTTTCCCCTCTCTTTTTTTTGTCTTTTGTGATCTCTTGAGACTTTTTTATATATTCTTTTTATACTTTGGAGGCTATATGATCTATAGATCGCCAGCATTATCTCCTTTAATAAAATATAATCTTTAACCTGAGCTAAGCGGGCAGTTCTCTTTCACATAAGCTTTACTTTTTTAAATTTTGGGTTTTTCAAAGTTTATATCCATACAATTCTATCATCAATCCATCCAAAATATTGCTTCAACCATTGCATCCATTGTCAAACACGATGTATCTACCCTTCTCACCACCGCATCCATTGTCAAAAAAATTTTTCCTATCATTCCTGCCATTTTATCACCAATTTTCACTTTTTCTCTGCTGATTGCTGCCCTCTCAAGATCATCGCCAAACATGTTGCAATTGTTGCCTGCTAATTGCATGCAAAGTCTGCCAGCCAAACTTGTGACGTTTTTAACCAGTATGCAGTCACAGTTCAATGCACTTAACAAATGTACAGCACATTTGGAATCTTTTGCTGTCAAAAATGTCCAACTACATGCTCAATTAGCTAATGTCTGGCAGGAGAATGCCAATCTCTGATCTCAATTGTTGCAAAACAATGTGACTGGTTCTGTTCCCAGCTCTGCTTCTCTTCCTGCACCCCAGTCAACTGCAGATCTTAGAACTGCAGCCTCCACTTGGGCCACCAAAACAAGCTTGATTCTGCCAGCCAAGACACCTCGAGTTCCTTCTGCCCACCAGGTTGCTGCCTCTCAAAGACTGTTCTCTGACAAAACTGGTCCTGATGGTTTTAAATATGTTTATATTCCTCGCTCACGTTGTATTACACACGGTGAAGTGTGCCGCTCTCTCCGCACTCTTGGTGTTGACACCAGTCACCTGTTATATATTAACTTTTCTGCTTGTGGAGTTATTAGAATTCTTGTTCATGTGCAGTATCTTGAGGAATTTAATTCCCAATTAGCTAGTGCTAAGGTCTCTCTTGTCAACAACTTTGATCCACTTGACCCTAAAAATGTTGCTGATCCCAAGTTTGCCAACTTGTCTGTCTCTGGTCTTGAAACCCAGGCTTTGGCTCTCCAAAATGCCCGCTGTATCCAAGCTCTCAAGTTTTTGCGTTCTCACTTAGTTCTGCCAGTTGCTCACTTCTTTGTCCAGTCAGAATGGATTGGACTTGAGGAAATTCCTGCCCGACCAGTAGCTGAGCACTTTGGTGATGCTCCAAACAAAAAACGTGCCCTTGATGCTCTCACTGCTATGATTGAATGAGTGACCTTTCAATAGGATTGTGGAATGCTAATGGACTTCAACCTTGTGCAATTAAAGACGTGCTCAACCACTGTCAATCTCTTCATATGCTTTTTATAACGGAAACATGGCTCTTATCCCCAGCCTGTCTTCCAACCTCATGGTCTCAGTTTCATCTCTATGGATCTCCTGTTGCTGGCAACTACCGTGGATCAATGGGGGTGTCATTGTTAGTCTCTCCTTTCTGTCCTTATGCTGTCACACAAATACCTATGCCCAACAACTATGCTCTTGCTGTCAAGATTGGTATCCTTCGACTTATATGCCTTTACTTACCACCCTCTATGCCCACTCATGAAGCTCTTGATATCCTCTCAGCCATTCCTTTAACTGATGATACCATTATATGTGGAGATTTTAATGCACGCCTTGGTTCAGTAACTGGTGACTATGCATCTAACCCTTGTGGTATAGCTTTAGAGCAATGGCTTGAAGAATGATCTTTAACTGTCCTCAATGGAGCTCTCTCACCATGCACACCTACATACATTTCCTTTTGTAACGAAGTTGAAATCAGCAGCATCATTGATCTTTTCATCACCAACACCAACTTCACTAACCCTTCTTTACACATTGCAACCGAACTATCTTTAGGCTCTGATCACTGACTTCTCTCACTTTCCTTTACTTATGACCTGCAACACTCACCACCAGCACCTCCACCTATGCACCAAACTTGGAATCTGTCACATCTTTATGAAGATAATGTCAGATCATTATATGTCACTACCTTTGTCACCAAATCCACCTCCCTTCTCACCACACTGCAAGACCTTGTTCAGAATCCGCCAACTATATGTCCACCCATTGATGCTCTTACTAACTCTTTTAATATACTCATTTATGACTCTCTTAGTAGCTCGATTGGTTCTTGCTCCCCTAGCCCCTCACATTGGAAATTGTATTGGACCCCTGTATTGCAAGCTGCAGCCGACCATAGAGATGGTTATTACAAGCAATGGCGTCAAGCTTGTGGCATTGACAAGATCAATTGGTGGAGCTGGCACCAGCATGCACACAAGGAGTTTCGTCAGCAAGTTCAGACAGCAAAGCATTTGTCTTGGCATGCTTTTTGCCACTCAATGAACTTGGATTTCAACAAGGCCACGTCCAAGATAAAGCAGTTGAAACAGCGCAGGCAACCACAGCACTCATTTCAGCATGATGATGGCCCAGCAGTTGCGACAACAGTTATGTGTGACCATCTCGCATCAGCCTATAGTGGACACATACTTCCTGACATTCGACCTTCACCACCACTACTCAACACCTCTCTCATGCCTTTTTCCTCTGTTGACTCGCTATTCACCTCACCAGTGGTGGAGACCTGTATACAATTTATGCCTAACTGCAAGGCGCTGGGTTCTGACCACATCCATGCAGAAATGCTAAAGCCCATTTGGTCTCACATCTCACTTCTTCTTGCCTGTCTTTTTACTATTTGCTGGCAATGGTCATACACCCCTTCTCTCTGGTGCAATGCCCAAGTGTTTCCAATCTTTAAGAAGGGACACTGGAAAAATAGGGTAATTTTATCTATGGTGTAGGATACTATTATTTGTGGAGTGGTAGCTTAAATTTCCATCACTTTTGTCTTTTTTATTTTCGATGGCGATGATAATGCTCAGACTGTTTTATTGGATAAAAAAACGAGTTTACTCTTTTTTGTAAAAAATGTCTGCGAGATTTCGTTTTGGGACTTGTAACCATGTCACAGAGTCAATAGTTGTAGAGAACTTAAACCAAATGATATCTTTTTGAGTGAGATAATAAAGCTTTTTATTATTATAATATTTATTTATAAGTATGATGAGGTTAATGGTCGTGATATTACTACAAATATTTTTGTTGTATATGCTCTACAGCTAATAAAATGTACATGACAACATGTTTTAACAAAAGTGTGTATTATTGTATTTTAGGATGAGGTAATCAATTACTGTTTAGAGAACTGCCCATTTTAACAACCGGAATAAACTATGTCATTTTGGAAGCTGGTGTAATTTGGAAAGATATATATTAAATTGTGTTTCTGAACAATTTTCTATTCTTGTCAATTCTAAAGACTTAAAAAATAAAATATACACACACAATATGTTAAACAACAACAACAATTCAGAATGCAAGTGCTCTAAATGCTTTTCCAATAGCATGGGATTTGTTTTGGTGTCTACCCAAACACTCAGAAGACATGCACAATAGGATATTGTGAGACAATATCAGTCAGGATCTTCTTGTAAGTTCAAATTTAAGAAAATTATTATTGAGACAATTTTAATTAAATATTTATTTTCATATAATATAGCCTCAGTTGTAGAAGTAATGTCAAATGACAATGACATGGAGATTAACTTTGAAGACAATGTTGATACCAAAGATCAAGTTGAAGGTATGCATAGTATTTTTATTAAAGTTTTATAATCGTTTATAATATCTAATAATTTGATTCTTCTTTACTTAACAAAACAGCCGAAGACTTACCTCTTTTTGACATCGATTCCTTGTTTGATTCTGAAAGCGAAGATGAGGGTGTCATTGAAGCAACCATTTTGGATATTTCTGACAATGAATCTGATGATGTTAGAGGTTAGTACAAAAAGCACATATAAATCAATAAAGTCAACAAGTATTGATTTTTTTTTCAAATAGAACACTTTTCTTCATCCAATATACCAGTCGATCCTACTCATGCTTTCATTGCTTCTTTTGCTGCCTTCTTCATATCCAAATATGTTGTCAATTCTGGTGGTGCTGTTCTGTTAAAGTTTCTTAACGAAGTATTGGCACACTTTGGACAGTCTTTCCGTCTTCCCCTCAGTATAAACGGTGTCAACTCTATGACCAGTCTCAGCGACGTGACTCGAGGTGTCCAGCGGTTTGTTGCATGTGGCGATTGTAACAAAGTATATGAAGAGTCCGATGTTGTTCCAGAGTGCTGTAATTTTGAGAGACTCTCTGGTAGAGAATGTGGAAACGCTCTTTTCTTTGCAACATCAAGAGCCTTGACTATCCCCAAAAAGATCTACATGTATAACTCCATAATCAAAACATTGTCTATCCTTTTTTGCCGCCCTGGATTCGAAGACACCATCAACCATTGGAGAATCAGAGTGCAAGTTCCAGGCATGATGTTTGACATTTACGACGGTACGAAGTGGAACAGTCTGAAGGATAGCAATGGTTTACCGTTTGTGAATCATGAGCGCTCCATAATGCTTACCATGAACATTGATTGGTTTCAACCTTTCGATGAGGTCACTTACTCCTGTGGTGCAATATACCTTTGCATCAATAACTTGCCAAGATCGGAATGATACAAGAAGGAGAATGTTGTTCTCGTTGGTCTCATGCCAGGGCCCAAGGAAGCAAAGACAAGTGAGATCAATCACTACCTCTATCCCCTTGTCATGGAACACAACCAGTTGTATGGTGGTGTAGTGATGCCTACCATACAGTGCTCATCTGGTGCTCTTGTCCGTGCTGCCCTTCTTCTTGTTGCCTGCAACATCCCTGCTGCCCATAAGACTTGTGGGTTCATCTCTCATTCAAGCACTTGTGCATGCAATAAGTGCAACCAACAGTTCCCTCGCCTTCCAGACTCCAATGCTGTGGACTACTCTGGGTTTGTGTTTTCTGAGTGGGTGTCTCGCACTGATGCTGAAAACCGCTGTGATGCCAAGTTGTGGAGAATGGCCAGCAGTGATGCACAGAGAAAGAGATTGGAGAGGGAAAATGGTGTCCGATGGTCAGAATTGCATGATCTAGTTTACTTTAACCTCATGGAGTGCACTGTCATCAATCCGATGCACAACCTGTACCTTGGAACAGCAAAGAGGATAATAGAGAAATGGAGATCTTCAGGTCTCATCACAGATGCACACTTGGCCAAAATGCAGTTGGATGCTGACAAGCTTGTATTGCCAGAGGACTACATGCCATTAGAGACAAAGATCGGGCGTGGCTTCCCATTCATGAAGGCTGACAAGTGAAAGTCTTGATGCTTGGTGTACTCTTCTGTTCTCCTGCGTGGTTGTCTACCTGAAGCTCATCTTGGTAACTGGACAACATTTGTCAATGCATGTCAGTACCTCTCAATGCCAAGCATATTTATGGCTCACCTTGATGAAGCCCATCAATCTTTGGAGGCTTTCTGCAGAAAGTGCAAGAAATTGTATAAAGCCCCATTCCTTTTGCCAAACATGCATCTCCATCTTCATCTGTGAGAGACTGTACTGAACTTTGGCCCGGTTTATGGCTATTGGCTTTTTAGTTTCGAAAGATGCAATGGTATCTTGAAAAACTATGCAACAAATAGAAAACACGGGTTTGAGGAAATCTATATGAAGAAGTACCTTGAAGAAGCATATCAGGGAGATTTTATTCACCAAACTTTGCCAATAATTCGACCTGAGCATTCGGCAATCATCCTTGAACTCACTGCATCCACTGCCAATTCCATAGCCACTTCCACTTCCACTGCCATCTCAATTCAATTTGATATCAATGCTTTTCTTGATTCTCCTGAGATCAACTTTGATATCTTCAAGAGAAACGAGCCTTTGCCCCCTTCTGCACTTCCTTTAGCTCTAAAGGGGGAGATTTCTATGGATGAATCCGAGTATGAGCATTTGTTGGAATACTATTGCAAGACATACAATGATCAAACTCTTGTTCATTATTGTCAGGCTGGTCATTCCAATAATTTTGTTACCAATCTGATACAGAAGTTTGAATCAATCGATCTTTTCGGGCAAATCTACAAGAGCAAAATGAAGAATCAGCATGGGTCGTTCATGCAAGCCTTGTTTGAGACAAGTGATGGTAGAAGTATCAAGTCATATGCAGGCCAAATTCAGTACTTCTTTGTCAATACTGCTGCAAACTCGTTTGCTGGTTATGCGAGCCAGCATGTATTTGCATATATATGATGGTACAAGGAAGTTTTACTTCAGCCTAGAGCAGGAGAAGGAGTTGAGGTGAATGAGGTGGGGTTCGAAGATGACAGCATGAACAGCATTCTTCCAGTGCATAGAATCTGCTATCCAGTCGCAGCAGGTGACCACCTTGGTCTAGAAAGCAAAGTTCAGATGTGTGTAGTTCCTTTGCCATGAAAAATATATATTTAGATTCAAATACAAAAATAAAACACATATAAAAAAGAAATATTAATTAATACAGACTAATATATATAGCTGCACGTTTATTTTTTATTATTTCTATAAATTTTTGTTTGTACTTGGCATGCTATACATGCATCTGTATACATCATGCTAATCTATAAACATAAGCAAATAGAAAAAAGACTCTAAAATAGTTGGCAAGAAAAAAATAATTTATTTTGAAAAGCACCAATCTGGTAAAGTGACTGCCAAATTCTCGGGAATGCTTACTTCTTTCTCATAAGGGATGTGCTTTTTCAAGCTTTCTGAATTTTTCTTCAAACGGATAAGAGTAAGTTTATCAATAGTACTAATAAACGTCTGGAGCTAGTTTAAAGAATAAATAATATTAATAAAGTATTATTATTTTCTTTAAAACATAAATAGATATTTAACATTATCTCATCAGTTCTCTAGCTGGGACGATATGCCCGCACTTTGTTATCTCCATCCAACTCGCCATCAGATATCACATCAATAGAACGAATATTTCTGCAATCATATTGATTCATGCCCTCATGAATAGCCTCTGTGTATGTCTGGTACGTGATAATATGACGGTCAAGAAGCTACCAAAGAATATTATATTAAAATATTAAATCAATAGTAAATTAACTTTATTTTAAAACTTATGGTCTTCTTTCTGTTGCATCTTCTTCCAGCTTTATTTCTAGCCATAATCTTCTCTGCTGAGGTCCAGAAGACTCGCACTTGATTTTGGTAGTGATTCTTTATTATATTCATAATGACACTCTTTGACACATTTGTGCAACATCTTTGAGATCTCAGGTACTTGAAGAGAGCCAGTGCAAGTGGCTTGTTGTACTTATTACCATACGTTCCAGTCATTGACCATGCTGATCTATTATTATTTTCAGCAACTTTGAGTGGGTCTGTGCTAACAAAGTTTGGTTTCTTGATATAACTATTGATAAGTTGCTATAAAAATAGTATTAGATATATTAATCAGTAATGTTATTATTATCAATTTACTTACAGAAATCAAGAGATGATGTTTTGCTTCAAGGTCAAGATCATCATCCATAGAAGAAGAAGAATCCACTGGTACAGCAGAAGGCATCACGGAATTTTGGCTGGTCATTGCCTTTTTAATTTTGGCATTTGCAGTCATGAGCTGAAGGACCAAGTTCTTCAAAAATTCATTTGTCTTGTTGGACAAATCCAGGCCATTCTTCAAATGAGTTATTGCATCAGTCATTCCTTTTGCATTTTCTTGCAAGGATTGCATCGACACATTGTTGGCTGCCAACAAGATAAGGACGTGATCCATTGGGGTAACAGCGACTTGAACTTCAGGGGCTGTGTCAACTGCTACTTCTGGAGTTAGTGTATCAATTGGAGCAACAATACCTGCAATTGTGCTATTAAGAACAGCATTCATGCGTAGGTTGGGTTGGTGGGGAGCAGTAGGAATACACTTTGTCATTTTCTGTTAATAAAATAAATATTAATAATTTTCAACTAATATTGTACAATTCACTACACTCGTTATATCATATTTAAAATTCACATACTAGTAAAGAGGATAAGCGGTGCAGATTAACTCTCTACCTTTCATTTGATATTTAAGCACATCTCTCAACTGCTTAATCCACATTTAGACAACTTCTTTTCTAACTCAATGAGGCACAAAGTAGTATTTCAAGATGATGGTGGTCATCTTCTTTTGGAGTATTACTTTTTACAGCCCACATTTTGTCAGGGTCAAACTGGATTTTAAGACAAGTCTTTTTTTTTCCTTTTTTTCTTTTAACAACATTTATTATTGATATTTTCTTCGTTTCTCTTTTGCTTATTTTTTACAATTTCACTTATAATTTTTTCTTTCTTTTATAGCTCAATACCAAATATGTGTCTCTTTGTTTGGCTATACTCTGTCTGATATATCAAGGTAAGATATAATTCTCTTACAGATCTTTGTTACTCATTATATTGTTTGTCTAGCCATTGCTACTCATTTCCATTGAGTCTCATCATCTCTTAATCAAACATGATGGTAAGTTTTTTTCTTAAAAAATTCAAATTATTCGTTTGTCTTCCTCATAAATATATATTTATTTCTATTACGATTTATTAATTATGTCTGATATTATGCAGGAAGATGTATAATCAGTAATATTTGGTAAGTTAACTACAATATATTTAATAAATATGCCTTTACTACACACAATATTAATAATTATTCATTTTTAGAATATATCTCTATTCAAAGACTACTGGTATTGTCTTGATAATTCTGAAGAACATGTTTATATCAATTTTATGTCAAGTCTTCTCTGTCTTGTAAGTATTTATGAAGAAATTTCAATTTAAATCATTTGCTAATTCTTCTTTTCTATTAATCATTTTTTAATAGCATTCCTGCTATTAAAGTATGTATTCCATGTCTACTTCCAGAAGGCTTTAAATTATATATAGCAAGCAAGAAGTATTAGCAATTATAATAGCTATAGTATCAAAACTGTTGCGAAATTAGGATTTTTATCTAGAAAAGATTTTCCTGTCAAATAAACCAAAATTGAACAAAAAATGTATAATTCAATGTTTTTCTAAAAAAATAAATAAAAGTAAAATAAATAAACAAACCAAAGAGGCTTGTTTATAAAAATCTACCCATGCTTTGTTTCTCTTTTCCATTATAAAAAAACCTAGTTTCATTGCTTTTGTATATATAAAAAACCTAGTTTCATCACTTTGAACATGTATAAAAAACCAACTATCATCATTTCTTTATATTGTAAAAAACCTACAATCATCTCTTTGATAGTTTTTAAAGCATTTTTGCAGCCAATAAAAAAACCTGGTAAAAATAATAATATGGGACGCTAGCTCTTTATAGACCTCAAAATATAACACATAAAGAGATATACTCAATAGGAGTAAAGCGTAACTACAATATTTATTCAGTTTCCATAGTTTGCAGACTGATAATCGTTCTACATTGGGTTTTCATGTACCCATTGTTATGATGATACGCATCAGCACCATAGATGATATCGTATCATTGCTCAAAATGATATATCACAAAAATTGTGATGATATTGACTCAATCATCTACATTTTTGGTACATTTGATCCAGATGAAATTACCCTATTTTTCCAGTGCCAGAACGTTGCAGATGCAACCAATGGCTTGCAAAGAAGTATCAGCTTGGGTGTTGGCAGAAGCATCCATTCTGCTCAAGTTGGTCTGAGCAGACAAAACCGGAGATTTGCCATTGAAGTGTTTGGAAGACATGGTGGTGTTTTTGTTATAGGGTGTAAAAGAAAAAGAGTTCACTGTAAAAAATGTTATATTTTTAGAAAAACAAAGAAAAACAAAGTGCAGACAAGAAGTATGGTGAGACTTTGTTTATTCATGAAAAAAGAGATCACCTTCTATTGCTATTTGCTATGTAAGTTTATATAGATGTTGCGTGTATATTTAGGATAATGATATGAGTATATCATGTGATGTCTGTTTTCTTATATCATAGATAATATATTGTTAAGTTATTACCCATGCTCTTGTTTGAGTGATTAGTGATGTTGACTAAGGTGTGTGACCTTGTTATTGGTATATTCTTTATTTAATGATAGTGTGAGAAATAATGTATAATTTATACTGGTCGCTTATTTAATATGTCTTTGTCTTATTGTTTGTGCGCTCTATTTGAATCCATGATTATGTTGGATACAACAGTCAGCAATGAGATCAGTTCTCAGAGAGAGGTCGTTGTCCAAAGCAATAGTGAAAGCAGCACCTCCGAGCACTCTGACGCCAGTGCGTACAGTGGCAAAAGACAGTCTAAATTCTTTGGCAAAATTGTGAAGAACATGGCAAAAAGATCAGTTAAGAGCATAGAGGATATTGGGCATGGTATAAAAGAGTTTAATGATGCCCAGATATCGCTCTTAGAATCAAAGTATGAGGAAGAGCTCAAGAACCTGAAGGAGAAAATGCAAAAAGAGTTTCAATGCAAGCAGCAGGTAAAAAGAGTGATCCTTATGGCAAAAATATTTGACTGGTCTGAGGAGAAGACTAAGAATGAATTAGAAGAGGTATATAATTAATACCTTAATTAATAAATTGTATTTCTTCTATTTATACTATGCATTTAATTTATATATATATTTATATACAAATTCTCAGAACTAATATTATTTTATTTAAAAAAATGTAAATGCATGTAGACTATATAAAAATACTATCATTAAAGCAGACAAAATTGATCTTCTACTTACGTCTTCAAAATAGTTCAGTAATAAAATATTAAAGAAAGAGAAGAGCATAAATAATAACAAAATATCTATTTACTTACAGCTGTCAAATGCCAAAAAGTGAGATCTATCTAATAGATATAAAAGCTAATATGTCTGTTTTTTTAATGTATTTAGAATGATCAAAGTTTATTTTCTTTATTCAAGAAGATTTATTCTTCTCTTTTGACATTACAACATGTTGTGTCTGGATCCATCTTGTATTTCCGTCTATAATCTGGGATCCATCTACTACACCAGACTCCTCTGAATATTCTGTCTTCCGCAGGCGTGCAACTTCAGATTTCTCTCTATCTTCCCATCGACGTTTGGCTTTCTGAGACCATTTGTCATCATCTTGACATATCAGAAAATTGTTCAAGACTACGCAAACCCAAATTTATGCATTAACCTTTACAATGTCTTTCTTTCTTTTTATCCTTACAGGGATTGATTTGAGATAGTAGAATCTCTCTTTCAAGATTCCAAATGCATGCTCAATTTTTACTTGCATGCTTGAGATCTTGGTGTTGAACTCTTGGTCTGCTAATGAGAGTTCACTGTTTCTTGGCTTCTTTTTAATTGGAACAATATAGTTTGTAGCCTTGTACCCCACGTCTGCCAACACGTACTCGTCATCAGAAAAGAATTGCTCTGGGAATTTTCCAAGCTCACACTCAGACAAAGTACACATATCATGCGAACTTCCAAAGAAACCGGTTGACATGTATCAGATTATGTATCTATGATCACACACTGCGACATTGTTTACACAGTAAGCAGATCTGTGACTGAAAAACTGCTCTGGCTTCCATGATAGTGCTTTTGCCAACTTAAATAAGCATCCATCAAGATATCTAACAAGGTTTGGAAATCCTAATAGATATTCATTTGCTCGTTTTATCTCTGCTTTCTCAGATTTGGTTGGCCAATAAATGAATTTGTGCTCCAAAGAGAGAATTACTTTAAAGAATCTGATTGTTATATTCTCGATAGAGCCCTCTATTTGTTTTTATTGTAGGAAACAGATGAATAAATTTGCTTTTGTATATGTGGGTAAACAGTTATAGAATATTATTCTGAGTCACTTACTTCCTATTCCAGAATGTCTTGCCAAATGGTCACTTGACAAAGAATTACCATTTGATCCTAATCGGTCAAGAACAATGGAAATCTGTAGTCTAACATCGATCGAGTAAAATCCTGACAATTGTTGGTAAAGTTCATGGATTTTTACAAGATCATACAGCTTATAAAAAGAGCTCTTCCTCACAAGCAATGCCATTAGAGTCAGATAACATCTTGATCATCTTCTTCAGTGTGTGTTGAGTGATAGCTGCAGATGCACCAAAAGTTGATTTTGCAAGTATATTTATTAGAGTATGCGGCATTTTTTTAAGATAATAAGTAAAAGAGTAATATATTTCTCACTTTTATATATGCTAGTATTTAATTATAGCAAGTATATATGCTTTAAATTGTCATTTGCTATTTAAGTGTAATGCAACCAGAAGGGATGCATGATATTATCATGCAAGTAGCATCAGACAAAAACTGGCCAATCATAGTCATTGATTAATTTTGCCCTTTTTTTGCTCTTTTTTTGAACTTTTAGTCTGTCCACACCAACTATTCAAAACATATTGGATCAATTGTCTTTCACTTATATCTTTTGACAAAAACATGGTATTAAATATAAAATAATTATTTTTTTAATAATCTTAAAAAAAAATTCAAAGTACTTTTTAATACTGCTTTTTTTTGTTTGACCCAGATATAATAAAGTTTGACTATCCAGGTGACTGCTCTCAGTTTTGAGATTTTAAAGGTTTTCACAGTCATGTCAGAGTTGACATCGATAACCAAAATTGGGATTTATAAGCAACCAGTAATAGTTGACTTTTTAGGATAAAAGATCTTGACTTTGCTAATTGGTCTTTCACATATGTTTTAGATGTTTAAGACGGTGAATATACTTGTAGAAGATATTACTAGACAACAAGCATCTAAGACATATTATTGTAGCTATTCTTTTAGCCAGAAATCAATTATCATTTTGTATAAATAGACAAGAAATACATTTAATAAAAAGACATCTTTATTCTTATCTAAAAACTATTCCTAAAAACTTAATGATTCCCAGTGGTATTGATTCTGCGACTTAGTTATAAGTGCCAGAAAAGAAATGTCAGATCAGGACTTGACAATAATAATATTATAACAAAATAATACTTCTTTTCAAAAAAAACTACTTATTGCCTTCTGCCAGAATTGAACTGGCGACCTTCTGCTTACTAGGCAGACGCTCTGCCAACTGAGCCAAGAAGGCATGGTTGCCAGGCAAACCAAAAAAATGTCCTTGTGGATCAAATCACACCTCACGCCGCCATTTGTTGAATTGCCCACTTGTTCCTGCAACACTATTTGAACAGTTGCCTCAATCTGACCATGACCAGATACACAGAATTGATTTTGCCATCACATCCTTACCTTTGTCATCTCAAGAACCGCGACCTGCATACTGGATACCACTGATGACTATTCTCTGGCACATGGATGTTATATGTAATCCTGATGGTGACTATTCACATGAGACTGAACATGGTGCTCTTTGGATATAATTTAGAATTTTTCTTTTCTTTCATAGCTCTCCACTTTTCATTGTTCTTTACTCTCTTTATCTCTCTTCTATCTCTTTTGTTCTTTGCTGTCTGAAAAGTTCTTTGTTCTGCAATTCTGTCTCCTCCCTTTCACTGTTACAACTATTTTCACAGCTGCAAAGTGGAGAGCAGGTTCAGCCATTGAAGCTAGTATGATTTGATCTTCTCTTTTCCCTCTCTTTTTTTTGTCTTTTGTGATCCCTTGGGACTTTTTTATATCTTTTTTTTGTACTTTGGAGGCTATATGATCTATAGATCGCCAGCAATATCTCCTTTAATAAAATATAATCTTTAACCTGAGCCAAGAAGGCAAGGCTCTTTCGCTTAAGCATTTTATTTGCCTGGTTCCACAATTTTATTTTTGACGAATCCACATATAAAGTGTATCCATCCATCAACATCTTTACGCAAAATGATCCATCCATCACGAAAAACATACCCCCATTGCCAAAAGTAGTGCAGTCCTTGTCCTTGGTATCTCAGCTGTCAGCAAAAAAAAATTCAGCTCAATCAGACAACATCATGCCATCTGCATTCTCAATCCCAATGGCCAATTTGCAAATCGGCAACATGCAGGGATTACCAACCGAGCTTACCTCATTCCTGACGACATTGCAGGCACAAATCATGAATGTGCAAAACAGAACCGACCAGTTGGAGCGACTTGCAGCAGAGAATGCAAGACTAACCACTGAATTAGACTATGCTAGAACAACAATTGCTAATCTGCAGAAGCAATTAGGATCTCAGAGTGCACCTGAAAAAAACTTTTCAGAAATTTCACTTTCGAACTCAGCCGGCGTGGTAGATCCTCATATCAACAACAAAGAATCAGGTCTGGAAGCCTCCACTTGGGCTAGTAAAGCCAGTGTTTCTCTTCCTGCAATTGCACCAAAAGTGCCTACTGTTCCCTCTGCTCGCCGAATTGCAGCTTCTGTCCGTATGTTTGCTCTTCCCTCTGGTCCTTCGGGTTATGAATATGTTTATATTCCAAGATCAAGACGCCTTAAGCACAAAGAAGTCCGTTCCTCTCTCCGCACTCTTGGTGTGGATTCTTCTCGACTTTTGGACATTAACTTCCCAGCCAGAGGTGTCATTGGCATCCTTGTTCATGTCCAGTATGCTGATACATTTAAGGCCAAACTGACAACTGCTTCCGTTGAGATTTTGGACGCATTTGATCCACTTGACCCTGATAATGTTGCTGATCCCAAGTATGCATCTCTGTCCACTCATGAACTTGCCAACACTGCTGCCATGCTTCACTATGATAGATGTCTTCAGGCCCTCCAGTTCTTGCGCCCTCATGTTGCTATCCCAGTTGGTCACTTCTTTTGTGAGGAAGGGTGGATCAGTGAAGATGAAATACCCACATGCATCACTCTTACCAATGCCACTGGTGGGTCATTGTTCAAATGTCAGTGCAGCTCATCAGTCACTATGTCTGAATGAGTAATCTCAATATCGGATTATGGAATGCCAATGGCCTGCAACCCAGAGCCATTCATGATACCCTTCAACACTGTCAATCCTTACATATGCTCTTCATTACAGAAACATGGCTTCTCTCTCCCTCACATCTTCCCACATCATGGTCACAAATCCACTTGTATGGTTCTCCTGTAGCTGGCACCTATAGGGGCTCTATGGGTGTTTCTGTTCTCATATCACCTCACTGTCCTTATGCTGTCACTCAAATACCTATGCCCTCCAAATATGCTCTGGCTGTCAAAATTGGCTCACTCAGAATTGTATGCTTATATCTTCCACCAAATATGCCCACTCATGATGTCCTACATGTACTCTCTTCCATTCCTTTAACACATGATACCATTCTTTGTGGAGACTTCAATGCAAGACTTGGCTCTGTTACTGGTGACTATGCATCAAATTCTCGTGGACTGGCACTATGTTCTTGGATAGAAGAGAGATCTCTATCAGTTGTAAATGCAGATCTTGCACCTTGCATACCAACATATATTTCTTTCCGCAACAATTATGAAATCAGCAGTATTATTGACCTCTTTATAACTAATATGCCACTCATCAATCCTTCTCTTCATATTGCTACTGACTTGTCTCTTGGATCAGATCATTGCCTTTTATCACTTTCCTTTACCTATGATCTACAGCACTCTACCAATATGCCACCACCATTACGCAAGACATGGAACCTCTCACGCCTTAATGAACCTGATGTCCATGCTCTTTATGCTCATACCTTCAATCAAAACTCGACCTCCCTACTTTCTACCTTGCAAGACATTGTACAGAATCCACCACTCACTAGACCCAACATTGATGCTATCACTGATGAGTTCAATTCACTCATTTATGACTCATTAAATAGCTCAATTGGACATCGACCCTCTCGCCCAAATCATTGGAAATCCTTCTGGAATGTAGCTTTGCAAACAGCAGCAGATCGTCGTAACCAATGTTACAAAAAATGGCGCCTAGCAATAGGTATTGACAAAGTTGTTTGGTGGACTAAACACAAGCATGCACAGGCCGAATTCCAATCTCACGTCCAGCAAGCAAAACGTCAGTCTTGGCATGTCTTTTGTCAGTCTATGGAACGTGACTTCAGCAAAGCAACATCAAAGATAAAGCAGTTAAAACGCCGTAGACAGCCACAACATACTTTCCAGCATAATAATGGACCAGCCGTAGCAGCAGCAACAATGTGTGACTATTTGGCAACAGTATATAGTGGACATATACTTCCAGCAACCCGACCACCAGCACCAATGACCACTTGTAACAGTGTGCCTTTTGCCTCTGATGACTCTCCATTTAACTCATCAATTGTGGAGGAATTCATGCAATTTATGCCTAACCGCAAAGCACCAGGGCCTGATCATATCAGAGCTGAAATACTAAAACCTATCAAATCACTTATCTCATCTGTTCTTGCTTTGTTATTTACAGTTTGCTGGCAATGGTCATATGTCCCAAGTCTTTGGCGCCAAGCACAAGTTTTCCCCATATTCAAGAAGGGTAGTCCAACAGACCCAGCTAACTACTGGCCAATCTCCTTGACTTCTGTACTGCGTAAGCTTTTTGAAATGTGTATAGCCCCCCAGTTGCACAAGTACTCTCCTCCATTAGATGTGGCTCAAGGTGGTTTTCGTCCTTGCTGTGATGCTTTGGATCAAGTTCTCTGTCTCCATGATCTGATGAAAGCCTATTATCACCATCATAAGCACTATCCTGTTGTTGCATTTCTAGATATTAAGGCTGTCTATGATACAGTAGATCAACGAATCATCTGGCATGCTTTACAATAACGTTGCACTCTGCCGGCCCTTTTGGGTCTCTTTATTAACATGTTTAACAATGTCTTTATCTCTGTCCTTCTGGATAACTTTTCTTCACACTCGTTCTCACCTGCCACTGGGGCTCTCCAAGATTCTGTCCTCAGTCTACATCTTTATTCAATATATATCAACTCTCTGCCCCCATTGCTCTGCACAGTTACCCAATCCCACACTACAACACATGTTCCATCACTCTCTCCTACCTCATTGGATGCATATAATGCTCTTCTTGCTCCTTCAAGTGTGGATGGCTTTGAACATATTCATTTCTCAACACCCATCAATTCTCTGCTCTTTGCCGACGATGTAGCTATTTTTGGTTCTCTTTCAGACGTTCAGGCCATGCTAGACCTTGCTGCAGACCACTCTCTTACTCTTGGATATCGATGGAGCCCCACCAAATGTGAAGTTATATATCCCAAAACACGTGCAAGCTTGCCAGTTCCTCTTCTTCTATATGGTCAAGTTCTCTCTGCCACTGACCAGTTCATTTATCTGGGTGTTCCTTTTGCCAATAAGGGCATTTCTTCCAAGTCTATTACCACTCATAGACGTTCTGGTACACTTGCTACAATGGCAACCCTAAACTCTGTTGGTGCTTGTTGTTCTGCTTTTTCTCTGCTACTCAGTTCACGACTGTATAAGACTTTTGTTTGCCCAAAGTTTGAATATGGTGTAGCTATTTTCACTCTGCTGAAGCAAGATATTAAAGTTCTGGAGTCCATTCAAGATAAGTGTCTTCGCATGATTGTTGGGGGGCATGCCACGTCCTCCACAATTGTGTTAAAGCATATCTGCAATCTACCAAGTATGAAGTTCCGTGCCAATGCTCTTATTAGCAAGTTCTGTATAAGATCACGCTTTTTGCCAGCCCAGTGCCTCCTGTCTCTTTTGCACCATCATCATATTATCTACTCTTCACTAGTCTCCTTGAGAAAAACTCATCTTCTGTCCAATCTCCCTCCAACACTCAAACTTCGAAGCCCTAGTTCCATAAAAAATCATTTTGAAAGCATTAGAGAAGCTGGATTTGCAATCTTCACTGCAAAATGAGGGTGGATTTGGTCGAATTTTATTTTTTGAATTTTGGTAAAATTTGGAAAAATATTTCAAACACCATCATTTTTCAATATATTTTTTTCTTGAGATGTGAATTCGCAATTTTTTTTGATTATATTAAACAAACACAGATACAAACATAAATATTTATTAATTAGGCAATAAATCACACAATTGTCTTAAAAAATATATGTTTCGATTGACTTGGCAGAAAAATAAAAAATAAAAATAAAATATTAAATGCTAAATGTAGTATTTAATTATTTTTCTGGAAGGAAAAACTTGTTGTTACAGATACACCTAATTTAGATTCAATAATATTTTTATTACATCACAAAAAATACCGATTTCTTTTAGAATATAATAAGTTACAATATATGACTTATTTTTAATAAGAAAGTATATCAAAAAAAATTGAAAAAAAAGCAAGAATTGATGTCATAAAAAAATACAAGAAAAAGAAAATCCAAAACAGACCACTTGCCAAAATGAGCGAGAATTGATGTCATGTTAAAAAAACGCAAAAGAGAAAAACTACGCCATTATATCAGTGATTATTAAATTGAAACCCCATTAATAATCAGGCACACTTTTTTTAAGAAAAGATTGCTATATCAAAATCCATTTGTAATTCTTACTAATAGGAATAGTAAGCTCAATGCAGTCAATGAAATAGTGAATAAGATATATCAACTCATTATTAATGACAAAAATAAAAGACATATAAAAGATAAAAACAAAATATAGTATACACTTCTTTATTATTTTATTATTATTAATATTATTCTTACTGTTATGAATTCTACAACTAAAATCTACACTGTTATATGTACATGTTCATCATGTACCAAAAATGCAATTGGTGGAATTTTGCAAAATGCACAGACCTTTAAGCGTCATAACGATGCTAATAAGTTATTAGACATTGGCTCAAAAAATCGAGGTAAATGACATTTGAGTAGTATGCACATTACTGGATAAATTGTAATCTGATATTCTTTTTCTGTTAATTATCAGTTAATACAGAAGTTGTCAAATAAGAAACACACATTGAGATGGGAGATGTATCTGATACATTGATTGACTGTAAGTATAAAATGTATTTTTAATAAATCATAATTTAGATAGCTAATAGTCTGTTTCTACTATAGATGAAGACAATTATTCTATTATATCAGCCGAAACTACTGTACAGAGTGTATCTTTTTTGAGAGAAGACGAGATTTTTCAATTCGAAGAGTCTGATGTCAAGACAACATCATTGGCTTCTGACAATGGCAATCCTGATTCAAGCGATGAGTCTGAAGATGAGAGTGAAGTCGAGGTTGCTGGTGTTGAAAATTTTGGACATAGTTGCTTCCAGTATGCATACATTTAAAAAAGAAATATACATAAATTGTGTTACAAATAATTAACAGAAATACTTGCCTTTGTAGTTGTTGTGGTGGTTGAAGTTGAAGAAGTTTTTAAGAGGAAGAATTGAAGATTTGAGATTAGGAACGAAGATTTGTGAGAACTTGTGTAGGTTTTGTTTATTGAGAAAAGGTTTTGTATCAAAGTTTTACCAGGTTCTTACACTGAACTACTACTGCTATTTATATTATTTTGGATCAGGAAAATTATATGACTGGGGTCAGGTAATCGATCCTATCTGAGCCTTAATCAGAGCAATGTGATCTTGGGATAATTAATATATGATTAATTATATAAATGTATGTAGTCTCAATGAAATATTAACATCGAAAGTAAATATGTTTATGAGTTATAATTATGCTTATAATAATCCACTGATGTATCTCATATTATGGTGATATCATTATATGAAATATAATCACTATTATGCATGCTAAACCTGTGTATTAAATAATAAAGTAATTGGTAGACACTTTTGACTGGAATAGCCAAGGCCTTATATTATTTCCTTCAGACTTATTCTCAATAACAGGAGTAGTCAATACTCACTTACAACAAACATTATAGATAATGTAATCGACTTTTAGGGTCAGGAACATTACATGTAGTGTTACATTATAAATCAATATTAATTTTTTTAAATTTTTTCTTTCACTCTTCCACAAAAGAAATATAAAAAAAAGCTATAATGAGCAACCTTCCCAACACTGTTAACCTTGAAGCCAACACTTCTGGCAAAAGTAATGTTGCAATTGCAATGTATATGACTATAATACTAATGTTAAGAGTTATGATTATATAATTCTGGCTATAAATATTGTCTATATATATGTAGAAGACCCAAGAAAAAACTTCACTATTGCTGAAGATAAACAGCTCTGTCATTCATACCTTTGCATTGCCTTGAATGCAATTCAAGATGTTGAACAAAGGGAGATACTTTTTGGGAAAAATAACTAACCATTACCATGAGTATGCTCCTGAGGGCTGCATTCCGCATAATGAATATTCTTTGCCTGCTTGCTGGCAAATTATAAACAAGGGTGTAAACAAGTATGTCAGTATCTTGTTGGCTATAGTGCACTCAAATTCCAGTGGCACCAACAACGAATGGAATGTAAGTTATTGAAATATAGATAATACATATTATGCTGTCCACAGTAGTTAAATAAAAGTTTAGGAGGCAAAGGCAGATGAGATGTACTTCGTTGAGACAAAAACGAAGTTCAACCTTTGTCACTGCTTCAGAATCTTGGCTAGACACCCAAAATGAAAGCTAAGTGCTCCAGCCAAAAATAAGGGAAGAAATCTTAAAGTGGCAGCCTCTGCCCCTAACCCAATTGGTGAGGGTATAGACGAAGAGGAGTTTCTAGCTCGCTCAGCTGGAAGAAAGTTTGCCAAGGAGCAAGAGGCGACTAAAAGAAAGTGGGAGAAGAACATTGAGAGACTGATTGTGTTGCATTCAGAAAGTATTGCAAAGGGTAATGAGCGCAAGAAGCTCCTAAAAAAGACTATGGAGTCTAATGTTTTGGTGGCAAAGGCCATAAGAGAGAAAAATGCCATCCTTCAAAGGACTCAGGACATAAAGGTTCTGTTGATTGATACTTCTTTGATTGCAGATCCTGTCAGCTGTCAGATGATGTTGGACTTGAAGAAGAAAGTTCAGGAAAGAGGTATAGTGAATACTCCTATCAGTAATAATGACAGTATGAGCAGCAATCTCTTTGATATTAGTAGCAAAGGAGAGGATTGTGATGGCAATTAGTTTGCACAAAGGAAAAGTAAAAATAATAAATATATCTGATTTTAATTTTTATTTTATTTTATTAATGAATTTCCTTTTCTTTGCTACAGGCTTTCTATAAGATCGTGTCTCAACTGAAAGTACTGCTCACAGTTTCAAATTGCCATATATCTTTGGATGAAACTTGCAAAGCTTCCATCTGGGAGCACTATCTCTGATCTGGATATCAAGGACGTCATTCCAGTCAAGGAAGTATCCACCTCAGATCTTTCTCCCACAACTTCTCTTTCTACTCCATTACTTTCACCAACATCTTCTTTCTCTCCTCTACTATTCTCTACAATCATATTGTGTAAGATTATGCAAGTAGTTGTAATGTCATGCAGAGTTTCCTGACTTCACATTCTTGCTAGCTCAACAACTATTGCAAAATGTGCCTGCAATATACCAAATGCACACTCTACATCCTTTCTGACTGCCTCTTGTGCCTTTGCAAAGTTCTTAAAGAAGATAAGTGCTTAGTGAATATAATAAATAACAATACAATATAAATGCAAGTACCTTGTGTTTTGCAGACTGAGGGTCATTAAAGCTTTTAACAAATGCAGCGTAGGTTGGGTATATGTCATCCATCAAGTAATATCCCTGGCTATAAGTATTGCTATTGATGGTGAAGTTAACTTCAGGGCCTTTTCTATCAGTTATATTCTCCGACAAGATAAAACATTGTTACTTCCTCAGAAATACACCTCTTTTTAGAGCACACCATTTTTTTTCCTTTTGCAGAACCTTTTCTTAAAACTAAATCACTCATGTCATCAAGAAATAAAAGAACCAGAAGCCTTTCAAAAAGATGTGAATTGTCAGAGTTTGAGCATGGTGGCATTATTTGGCTATATAAAACCAAAAATATCCCAACTGAGATTGCAAACCACATGGGTATCCCTAGAACAGCAATCAACACCACTATCAAACATTGGGAAGAAACTGGTACTGCAAAACCAAAGACCAGATCTGGGAGATCTAAGAAACTTAGTGTCATGAATGTTACAAGCCTTTGCTTGAGCGTGAGCCATAACCCTTTCGAGAGTTATGTATATCATCAAAGAAATATGACAGCTGCAGGTATCATCATCTGTAGAGACACAGTTATCCAATACCTTAAGGTCAAAGGCTTTGGTTCTTACACCCCTGTTTCTAAGCCAAACTTAACCCATAAACAGAAGAAGAATCAGTTGCGTTGGGCCAAAGCTAGAGCCAACTTTGGATTGAGGACTGTAGTAGGGTGGTGTGGTCAGATCAGTCGAGATTTATGCTGAAGAGCAATGATTCTGATCCAGCCATGATTTGTAAGCGAGGGAAGAGACACCAGAAACGTCATACACTAACAACAGAGAAGTATGGAAAGGGTTCCATAATGGTGTGGGGTTGTTTCTGAGCTGGTGATCTCAGACCATTATCATTTCTTGAAGAGTCAGTAGACCAAGACGCATGTGTCAATTGTTTATCTAAGGACTTAAATCTCTGTTATAAGAAATTGAATGATGAACAGGACACTATGTTTACATTCTAAGAAGATGGTGCTAGTTGACATACTGGGTCTTATATGACGTGGTAGAAAAACCATTGGGAAATTAAACGTTTTGACTACTGGCCATCACAAAGTTCAGATTTGAACCCCATTGAGCACGTCTGGCATGCCCTAAAAGCCAATGTTCAAGAGAGAAAGGCCTCTATAAACAATGTTGAAGAGCTCAAGACTTGTATTCTTCAGGAGTGGGAGAGACTTGACCCAGAACTTCTTTGTACTCTTGTAGCAAGTATGCTGGATAGAGTTCAAGCAGTTATAAAAGCTTGTGGTGACCACACAAACATATTAGACCCTATCTTATTTTTTTATTTCTATAATATATATATTTATATCTATAATAAAACGAAGTTTCATTTTATTTAGTTGAGTTCTTTAGAAGATATAATGTAAAGAAGCTGATATGTAGTTTATTTGGGACTAGAAATCAAGGAATCTGACTGTGATTTATTTGGCACAAGTGTATCCTCAAAAAGGTGAGACTGGTTCAAGACATTGATATCATTCAAGGATCCAGACAAGCCAAAGAAAGAATATCAGATCCAGAGGTCATATGAAGCAGCAGCTTTCAAAATGATGGGAAGAGTCTTCTTCTTTCCACCGTATTGCCCATGCCAAGCAGTGAGACAGTTCTTCCACTTCCAGTACATGCAATCGAGAGAACCTAGCATTTCGGAAAACTCTCTTGATTCCTCTTCTTGAAGAAGTCGTTTTAAATCCTCTTTATTTGGTGCTCTCAAATACCCATCATCAAAAACAGATACAGCTGCAGCACAGAAACGCTTCAGACACTTAAGAGCAGTTGACTCTGTCATTCTGAACAATTTGTTCATGGAATTGGCAGGAAGTCCATATGCTAGCTAGCAGATAGCTACGATTACCTTCTGGATAGGAGAGAATCCAGGTCTATGAGCAGCATCTAACTTTTGCTCAAAGTATCTGTCATAGTCTTTGACAGCCTTCAGAACTCGCATAAACAATGATCTGTTCATTCTAAAATGCCTACAGAATTGTTTGTCAGTATAGATTATACTTTCATCAAAATAATTCTTGAACAGCTGATTGTGGTCTTGCTGTCTATCACGGAAGATCATAGTATGGCGCTTCTTTGGGATATATTTTTTAATATCATTGTCAGAGTAGTTGTGGGTAAGCTCGTCCAATAGGAAGCTGCTGATGGTAATACATAATTCTTTATCACGTTCTTCTTCTTCAAAAAATGCAGTAATAAGGTTGTTGTTCATTTTTATTGGTGTACATAAAAGTGTAGAAGTAAAAAGAAAGTAGTAGTAAAGAAAGAAATAAAAAAAACAGCAATAAAAAATAATAACTGGCCATGTAACATTTATAATGTTCCTTGATAATATAACCACAATTTGGCAATCTGTTTTTAACTGGTATTAAATCCCCAATGTGACTGAATTACACTATATATAATATTTTCAATAATGTAACTACTGTTAATGCTCTAAGAGTTGACTTTTTAGGGTAAAAGATCTTGACTTTGCTGATTGGTCTTTCACATATGTTTTAGATGTTTGAGATAGTGAATATACTTGTAGAAGATATTACTGGACAACAAGCATCTAAGATATATTATCATAGCTATTCTTTTAGCCAGAAATCAATTATTATTTTATATAAATAGTCAAGAAATACATTTACTACAAAGAATCTTTGTTCTTAAAAAGTTAACAATCCCCAGTGGTATTGATTCTGCGACTTAGTTACAAGTGCCAGAAAAGAAATATCAGATTGAGACTTGACAAATTCAAACTCTCTATAGGAGAAAATAAGAGGCTTCCTCAAGTTGGCACATTAAAATGTGCGTCAACGGGGAATCGAACCCCGACCTTCAGCTTGGAAGGCTGAAATTCTACCATTGAACTATTAACGCGTAGTTGTAAACTTTGTACAATAAGTGTACATGTTGTATGTGTTACAAAAAGATCGCTGGTTCAACTCTCAGAAGCTATCACTGGAAAAGTGTCTACTTTCACATATGTTAAGCAAATCTAATTTCGAGTGAAAGAAAACATAAAATTGCGTCTCAACTGGTTTTTATGAATTAAATATTTGACAAGAGAAGTGGTCGATTTAATTGTCTATACCAATTTGTGTAGCATCTGAGAAAAATACTAAGCCTAAATAAATAAAAAATAAACTACTTTATATTTCTCTTCTTTACTTTTCAACTCATAAACATATTTATCTTTTTTTTATTAAAATGTCTCCCAGCCATATCTCAACCAAAAAGTTTAAATGCTACTGTCTAGTATGCAGAATTAAAGCAGGAGAATATAATATCATATTTTCTCAAACGCTTAAATGTCATAAAAGAGATGAACAAATTGCAATCAGGGGGCAAACCAACAGATGTAGAAAAAATATTTTTTTTTTACTTTTATTTTTAATATGATAATAATTGATACAATTTATTAATTGAAATACAGAAAGTAATGTAGTTGAAGAAATACCTGAGGTTGTCAGCCATAATGAAATTCATTTTGAATATGAAAATAATGAATATGATATAGTTTATGTTTTTAGTAAAATAAAACTTTTTTTTATTCTTTAAAATTGTTTTTATCTAATATTCCCATTTTGATAGGATTGAATGATAGCATAGAAGAGATAGAAATGTCTGCTCAGATAAAAGACTTATCTCTTTCTGAATCTAATGCTGTATTTGGTATTAAAGGCAATGAGTATGCAGCAAGCAATAATTTTGATGGTAAAGAAGATGAGAGTGATGATAATATGAGTGATGATAAAGGTTTGCATAGTAAATTTTAAGTAATGCTGTCCATGAGAAATAAAAAGAAAATTAATTGATTGTTCTTTTTTTTTTTAAAAAAAAATTCTTTCAAGTTCATCTCAGAATTGAGTTTGATCTACCATTTCATTGTAATTGCTACTGTCTTATTTGTATTCTTATACGTTGCCAATGAAGGCACAGTAATCTTTATTTCTATTGTCAATAAGATTCTTGAATTGTTTAACAATTCATTCCATCTTCCATTAAGCATTTTTGGGCTCAAGCAACTTTCAGAATTAAGTGCATTAATAAAAAAAATTAAGAAGTATATAGCTTGTGGTAAATGTCATATAGTCTACAGCAACAATGAATCTGTCACAGTATATTGCATGTCTCCTGTTTTTGGTAGTAACCTATTGTGTAAAACACCCTTATTCAAAAGTAGATCTGAGTCAAGAATTCCAAAAAAGACATATATATCATTCAATTGTATCGTCATTGAAAATGTTTTTTTGTTGCCCTCGCTTTAAAAGTGCTATCAACTCTTGGAATTGTGGTCCAAAAATAGATAGAATGATGTTTGACATATACAATAACGCTATGTAAAACAGCTTGTTGGATGTCAATAGTGTCCCTTTTGTAAACAATGACCACTCTATAATGTTTACTTTTAATATCGATCAGTTCCAACCATTTGATGGAAAAACATATTCATGTGGGGTGATTTATCTTGTTATAAACAATCTTTCTTGTAACATGCATTTTAAGAAGAAAAATATCATCCTTGTTGGATTAATTCCAGATGTGAAGTCCACAGGTACTCCTGAGTAGGCGGAATATCAATGTTATAAAAAAGAGTGTGACTGGACCCAAAGACACACAATTAAATTATTGAAACAAATAAGACAGTCCTTAGATTAAAATGTATATAAAGAGAGCAAAAGATCACAATGTTTTGATCCTCTCTCAATTTTCATAAAAAAGAAGTTTCATTGTACTTTCCAAGTCTCTTCTTTTATTTAGATTATTACACCAAAATCTAAAGAATCAAGTAAATCAGATATTAACAACTATCTGAAACCTCTTGTCGATGAATTGGAGTTGTTGTACAAAGGTATGAAAATCAGAACTCATCAACACCTAGAAGATATCTCTATTCATGATGCTCTTTTCATGGTCGCATGTGATATCCCTGCCACAAGAAAAGTATGTGGGTTCACATCTCACATCAGCACCAATGCATACCATAAATGCAACCGTAAATTTATTTAGTTAAATGGAACAAGCTCTGTCAATTATTCCGGATTTGATTTCTCCAAGTGACTTCTTTGCACTAAGAATGATAATTGTAAGAATGCAGAGATCTGGAGAAATGCAACCAAATCATCTGAGAGACAGTGTCTTGAAGTTGAAAATGATATTCACTGGTCCGAACTGCATTGTCTCTAGTACTTTGACATTGTCTAGTACACAATCGTCAACCTTATGCATAATCTGTTCCTTAGAACTACCAAGATAATGATGGATAGATGGGTTGCAGATGGAATAATTAACAACAAGAAACTTGCTGCCATGCAGAAATCTGTCAAGAAAATTGTGCTGCCTCCAGATTACATGATGTTACAAAACAAGATTGGCAAGTGATTTCCTTATATGAAGGCTGATAAGTGGAAGTCGTAGTGCTTGGTATACTCTCCTGTTGTACTCAAGGGTGTGTTACCAAAAAAGAAATTTGGCAACTGAATACTTTTTGTGAAGGCCTGCCAAATCCTGGTAGTGCCTAGTATTTGCAAAGGAGGCATTGAATCAGCATACACACATGTACAACACACTGCAAAAACAGATCAATTTCACATATGTAAAGTATACCTAAGTTCTGATAAACAGAATAGGTAAAATTGTAGTTCAGCTCACTTTTGTGAGTAAAGTATTTGAATAGTATTTTAAGCTACTCTATTGGCTACTGGCAGCTGTGTAGCATTAGAATGCAACATCAAACTCAAATGAAATAAAAGTGTGTTTTCTTTGAAGTCTCTTTCTTTACTATTAAATACTATTGTAAACCTTTCTTTTCATTTTAAAATGGCTTCTATTCGCAAACCAACTGTTAGAAAAGAGTGTCAATGCTCTATCTGTAAAAGCAAGACACTAGGATTCAATCATGTATCTGTTAAAACATTTAAACATCATCAAGAAAAAGATAATCATGATATTACACATGTTTAAACGCGTACGGTTAATACATTTGCTTTACTTCACTTTATTTTATTTTATTTTATTTTATTTTATATCATTTCCTTTTTTATTATTTTATATAATAATAATAATAATAATAATAATAATAATACTAACACTAATAATAATAAATGTGTAGCCCATGAAGACACATGCAATACAATTAGTAGTGCTGTTTCTGAGCCTGTAAATCAAGAGGAAGATAGTTTTGAATTTGAACAGGAAGATGTTGAAATCAATTCTGAGCTTAGAAGTAAGAAAACTTATTTTATTAAATTGATTTATTTGGGTCTAACATTCTGCTTTTGTAGACCTAAATGACACAAATGACATTTTAGATATACCGACAAGAAACTAACCTTTCTCTGAAACGGATTGCGTGTTTGGCCCTAAAGATAATGTCCAGTATACAAGTGACACTTACGAAGAAGAAGAAGAATATGAAGATAAATCCAATGTTGAGATGGACAATGATGAAGGTAGGTACACAGCTTTAGATAATATTATATTCTAGAAAATAGAGAGTTAATCAACATTCTTTAAAAAAATCAAATTAAAGATTCTTCATTAGAATCAATCTCAGAATTGAATTTGATTCACTGATTCATTATTATTTTGGTTGCTCTTTTTGTCTCACTATATGTTGTGGATGAAAAATCTGTAAACCTGATTCCCATAATCAACAAGATCCTGCAGTTTTTGTTTGACTCATTCCACCTTCCTGTGAGTGTTGCTGGCCTCAAACGTTTGGCCAGATTTGAAGCGTTAACAAGTGGTGTCAAGAAGTATATTGCATATAGCAAATGCCATGCCATATATGATAATGAAGCCGCCCCTTTGCATTGTACATTACCCAATTTTGGTAAAACCTCCTTGTGTGGCAACTACTTGTTCAAGTCTGGTCCCAGATCAAAAGCACCCAAAAAGACATATGTATTTCACTCTGTTAAGAAAGCCTTAAAGACGTTTTTTCAATGCCCAGATTTTGAAAACAAGATCAACTCATGGAACCGCAGCCCAAAAATGTATAGCACTTTGTTTGACATATATAATGGTGCGATGTGGAATGAGATAGTAGATGTAGATGTTATATCTTTTGTTGATACCAAGCAATCACTTATGCACATGCTGAATATTGACTGGTTTCAGCCATTCGATGATGTTACCTACTCCTGTGGTGCCATATATCTTGCAATCAACAATATTCCACACAGTGAGCAGTTCAAGAAGGAGAACATGATTCTTGTTAGGTTAATGTCAGGGCTTAAAGAAGCGAGCACTTCTGACATAAATAATTATCTGAAATCATTTGTGGATGAGTTGATGGAGCTGTACAAAGGTATTAAGATTAAGACTCACCAATGTCCAAATGGTACTTCTATCAAAGCAGCCCTTCTCATAGTTGCCTGTGATATACCTGCTGCAAGGAAAGTATGTGGGTTCACATCCCATACAAGTACAAATGCATGCCACAAGTGTAAGTGTCAATTTTTGAGATTGGCTGAAACGAGTTCCATTGATTATTCTGGATTCAATTTCTCAAAGTGGCTCCTTTGCACTAAAAATGACAATTGTAAGAATGCAGAGATCTAGAGAAATGCAACCAAACCAGCTGAGAGACAGCGTCTTGAAGTTGCACATGATGTTTGCTGGTCCAAACTGCATTGTCTTCAGTACTTTGATATTGTCTGCTGCACAATCATCGATCCCATGCACAATCTATTCTTAGGCACTACCAAAAGAATGCTGGAGAGATGAGTTGCGGATGGATTAATTGACAATAAAAAACTTGTTGCCATGCAAAAGGCTGATGAGAAGGTAGTGTTGCCACCTGATTACATATTACTTGGGACAAAGATTGCCAAGAAATTTCCCTATATGAAGGCTGATGAGTGGAAGTCTGGGTGCCTTGTATACTCTTCTGTAGTTCTAAGGGATGTGTTGTTATTGTCAGAGTTCAATAACTGGATAGAGTTTGTTAATGCATGTAGATACTTCACCAAGCCTAGTGTTTCCAAAGAAGACATTGAGAAAGGACACAAATGCTTAGAAGAATTCTGTAAAGGGTGTGAGACATTGTACGACCTGGACCTTCTCTCTCCTAATATGCACTTGCATCTGCACTTACACCAAACAATGATTGAATTTGGACCCATCTATGGCTATTAGCTTTTCAGCTTTGAAAGGTACAATAGTGTCCTGAAAAATATCAAGACCAATCGAAGAAATAGGTTTGAACTGACATTTATGAGACAGTTCATTGAAGAGTCATGGAAGAGAGATTTTGTTTGTCCACTTCTGAAACCTATGCATGCACTTGCATGTTTTGAAATTTTTGATAAGTTTACTATCAACAACAACAACACCTACCTCTTCCACTCTTTCTCAATTTCTGAATATCTTGAAGCTTCATGGGATCTTTCAATGACAATTCATGGAAAGGAGCCCCTGCCATTGAAAACAAAACCATTATCATTTATGCCAAAACATGAATATGATTGTCTTGTAAGATACTATCAAGCTGCATACAAGAATTAACAGATCTCAGGTTGCAAAGATGTAATTGATAACTCATCTTTTGTCAATGACTGAATCGAAATGGTGAAGTCCATTGATCTTCTTGGGCAAAGCTACAAAGGGTGCATTGGAACGAATAGCCACGGATCATACATACAATCATATTTCACTGAACGAACTGGGTCAGAACATGTGTATGTTGGAGAGATTCAATACCTTTTCATTCACAATTTTAGGCCAACTGTTTCTTCTCTAACATACAGAAATTCCCATAGTAGTCAGCATGTATTTGCATTTGTCAAATGGTTCAAATCCACTTCTGACAAAACAAGAGAATTAGAAGGAGTTGAGTTGTTACAGAATGAATTCTATAAGCAAGGTTTTCAAAGCATTCTGCTTGTACATCGGATTCTCCTAACAGTTGCAATAGTAGATTATAAAACTACAAAAAACGTTAACAAAAAACTTGCAATTCCTTTACCAAAAAAAATTTACTATTAATTCTCATACACATACTTACTTATATATTTATCCTCTATTATTATTATTTTCTTTAATCAATTCAATTTCAATTATTACTATTTGGCACTACAACAGAACATAGTAAAAAAGAAAATGTTTATTTATCGTTGATTGCCTAGCGAGACAATGACTGGGACAGGGTGGCAGAAACAGAGCAAGGCGACAATGTTGCTGAATATCTGTTCATTCTTAGCTTTGTTCCCACGCCTGCATTTGACACGTGATGGGTACGATTAATGTTGTCAACCATTGTCAACAATCTGTTGAACTGTATTTATTTTTATTAGTTCTTTATTTTTCTTGTTATAAAACTTATTTATTTATTCTAAATATTATTTACCTCTTCACTTCTCCAAGTGGGGCAAGCCACATGCAAACACCGTCATAGAAGATTGTCCACAATCTCAATATCCGACTCACCATCAGACATGGCATCCTTCTGAAAGAGTTTGAGATAGGTCTTCTCAACAGAGTTTCCAGTCTTATATCCTATTGCAGCATCAATGGCTACCCAGTTGTCCATGTATGTCGACTTGCGTTGGATAGACATCTGGCTATATAGATTGTAGCTTGAGAAAATAGTAATATATCAATTAATTTTTATATAGTATATACAAACCTGAAGAGTACGACTGTTTGCTCCCCCCTTGCTGTTTTTCTTGGCCTTCTGCTCAGGAGACTCGTGAAAAGTACGATGACTGTGCTTGTACCTGTTCTTTATTTTATCACTTATCACCCGTGGGTGAGTACCAGCTAGACGAGTTAGGGCGCTAATGTAGCTCTTCAAGTAATTGATAACAGCTACGTTATCGCAGTGGTTAATCTTCTCGTTCAAGTTCCACTTCTTCTTACTCTCGTTCTCAGCAACAAGAGCAGGGTCGTCAGACTCAAACTTCCAGTCCCACAACTTTTCTGCGAAGATTTCCTAAATACAGGTTGTTTAATAAGTTGTTGATACTAACATATATTAATATTAATTACCGAGATAATGACAGAAACCTCAACATCACTGAGGGAGGTCTGGGGAACATAGGATGACATCAGAGATGGTCCTAGACTAGCCATACGAGTCTGATCGTTGGCATAGACAGTTGCAAAGTCTGCAAATGCCGTATGTGTCTTTCCAGACATGTCAACAACAACGCCCATCCTGTTTTTAAAGGCTGCCATGTTGCTATTGACAGCAGCAATGTCATCCTTGACACCGTTGATATTATTGTTTACTTTGTTAAACATTTCAACAATTTTTGCGTATTGCTGATCTTGGATAGTTGCAGATGAGAAACTGGAGGCAATTTCTTGAGGTCCAACATGGCCAGCCAAAACACGGTTTGCAGAGGTAGATATACTTGCAGATGCTTTTCCTTTTCCTTTACGGTCTGTTTTTCTGCTGCTATTGGAAGGTATTTTTTCTTTATTGTATTTTTATTAAAGTTTTATACATTAATAAATTATTAAAATAAAATAAATGTATGGGTTGAAATATATTTATTTTTGTTTAATCAAAGATATACATACAAAATAAGTTAATATAAAGTAGATTTATGAAATAGCTGAGAAAAAGAAGGGATTATATATTATTTTCTATGAAATCCTTTATAACCTTGAACAACTTCTTTAATATTCAACATAGAACTTAGTGTTACAATATAATTTCGGACTATTCATTTTATTACTATTGTATTTTACTAGAGTCAATTCTCATCTAAACTGCCTTCTGTTTGAAAGCCTACTTTTTTTTCTTCTTTTTCTTTATTTTTTTCTTATTTCTTTTTTTCCTGTTTCTTTTCCGCTTTATTTACTTTTATTCTGGTTGATGTATTTGAGTTCACACCCTGGTAAGCAATTTGTTTTTATTATTCTACTGTTATATTTATTCTTAATGTTTTTTCTTTTATTATTATTGTGGTTGCTGATAGTATTACAAGTCTTTGCCATGTTGATTAATGGACAAGAACAAAAAGGTAAAACGCGGTTATTGTGTATGTGCTTCTTTATTAATTATTTTCTTTTTCTCTTCTCAGCTCATCATAAAGATATACCAACAGCAGAAATTTATCTGGTAAGTCTGAATAATGTATTTATTTATTTTATTCTTATATCTAATTTTGTTTATTTTCTATCTTTGTTAGTACTGCCAACATTTCTATGTACCTGATTGAATGGCTTGTCTTTGAAAACCGGTTTTCTTTGGTAAGTAATAAAGCCAAACTTTATTCCATGATCTTTACTAATGCGTTTTATTAAACCTTCCAGAACAACAGTCAATGTGCACTATGCCTGGTTCTGACGAAAGTACTGGTAAGTAAACATATTATTTAAATTAAAGAAAAATAAATATTTATATAATCTAATATAATTGAATAATTTTTTAGCCTTCTCTAACTAGTGAAATACCGTAAACACGCGTTTCTTTTTAGGATTCTATCGTATTGGAAGTATTTATATATTATAATATATGAAAGGGTTTGTTATTATATTAATTATGTAGTAGCTTATATATTAGATTAGACTATATATTGTCAAGCCGTACATATTATAAGCAAGAAGCTTTTTTTTTAAATAAAAACAATTTTTCCAAAACAATCCCTATAAAAATATTTGAAATGAAGTGCAAGAAGTATTGCGGTAGTATGGCATGTGTGAATCCTATAGTTTAGCCATGCATAATTGTCCAATAAAAGTGTTTAGATTCAGAAGACAGTATACATAAATCCTGTTTCTTTTGTTAAATGATCTAATAGAATATCATTATTTCAGTAGACAGTTTTCTATCAAAAATAGATTTTTTATTGGAATCTCTGTTTCAAATCAAGTTTAATTTAATGTAACATCCAAAAAAAAAGATGCCATAATTTGATTATTCTCTCTGCGATTAAATAGTTTAAAAGAACCTTACATCTCTATATGGATCATTATAAGTTCAGAAGTTATATGGACAACTCACAGGTAACATAACATATTGCGAACAGAATCTATAAATGCCAAATTCCAGAATTTAATTATTCTGTCACTCAGAATTTCCCATACTATCGCATATGTGTAGAAATCTAATTCCCCAGTGGTTGTTATAGATGCACCTAATTTAGATTCAATAATATTTTTATTGCATCACAAAACATACCAATTTCTATTAGAATGTAATAAGGTACGATATATGACTTATTTTTAAAAAGAAAGTATATCAAAAAAATTGAAAAAAAAGAGCAAGAATTGATATCATAAAAAAATACAAGAAAAAGAAAATCCAAAACAGACCACTTGCCATAATGAGCGAGAATTGATGTCATGTTAAAAAAATGCGAAAGAGAAAAACTATGCCATTATATCAGTGATTATTAAATTGAAACCCCATTAATAATCAGGCACACTTTTTTTAAGAAAAGATTGCTGTATCAAAATCCATTTGTAATTCTTACTAATAGGGACGGTAAGCTCAATGTAGTCAATGAAATAGTGAATAAGATATATCAACTCATTATTAATGACAAAAATAAAAGACATATAAAAGATAAAAACAAAATATAGTATACACTTCTTTATTATTTTATTATTATTAATATTATTCTTACTGTTATGAATTCTACAACTAAAACCTACACTGTTATATGTACATGTTCATCATGTACCAAAAATGCAATCGGTGGAATTTTGCAAAATGCACAGACCTTTAAGCGTCATAACTATGCTGATAAGTTATTAGACGTTGGCCCAAAAAATTGAGGTAATGACATTTGAGTAGTATGCGCATTACTGGATAAATTGTAATCTGATATTTTTTTCTATTAATTATCAGTTAATACAGAAGTTGTCAAAGAAGAGACAGACGTTGAGATGAGAGATGTATCTGATACATCAATTGACTGTGAGTATAAAATGTATTTTTAATAAATCATAATTTAGATAGCTAATAGTCTGTTTTTACTATAGATGAAGACAATTATTCTATTGTATCAACCAAAACTACTGTACAGAGTGTACCTTTTTTGAGAGAAGACAAGATTTTTCAATTCGAAGAGTCTGATGTTGAGGCAACATCATTGGCTTCTGACAATGACAATCCTGATTCAAGTGATGAGTCTGAAGATGAGAGTGAAGTCGAGGTTGCCGGTGTTGAAAATTTTGAAGACATAGTTGCTTCCAATATGCATACATTTAAAAAAGAAATATACATAAATTATGTTACAAATAATTAACAGAAATACTTACCTTTTTAGTTGCTTCTTTGAAAATTCAGGACATGTCTCAAACAAGTCAATTCATGGCTTTATTTGGCATTATCTTTCAGGCGTTTTACTTGGTTCAAGCAGGTGGAACTGCTATGCTGAAATTCTTCTACCATCTTCTTGTTACCTTTGATAAGGATACCGATCTCCTGCTCACTGTTGATGCGTTAAAGACTATGACTGGGTTCAATTTTATGACAAAAAGCATCGTCAAATACACTGTCTGCAACAAGTGTTTTGCAATTTACTTACCAGGCAATCACCAACCAAATTGCACATTCAAAAAATACACAACTACATCACCAACATACTGCGGAAATCCTCTTTTCTTTGAACCAGAAGTTGATCACCCCATCCCTCTCATGGTTTTCCTATATAACTCCCTCAAGAATTCTATTGCATAGCATTTCGCCAAATCTGGGTTCGAGCATCAAATCGTTCAATAGAGATCAAGGGAGACAATTAACAGTACCTTGTTGGACATATACGATGGTGCAATGTGGAGTGAGCAACTTGACAAAGACAACGAGCCTTTTGTTAATCATGACCATTCCTTGATGCTGACATTGAATGTGGATTGGTTTTAACCATTTGAAGGCCATACACATGCAAGTAGGGCATTGTATCTGTCAATGAACAACCTGCTCAGGGAAGAAAGAATGAAGCCGGAGAACATTATCCTTGTTGATGTCATGTCTGGTTCAAAGGAAGCAAAGATCGACCAGATGGATAACTTTCTGGAACCTCTGGTAGACGAGCTGGTAGAGTTGTATGGCGGTATAACTGTAAAGTCTGCCGCATTCCCCAATGGTACTATTGTCCACGCTGCCCTTATGTATGTAGCTTGCGACATACCTGCTGCAAGAAAAACCGCTGGATTTACAGGGCATGCAAGCACTAATGCCTGTCATAAATGCGAGCGTCACTTCTCTGTGATTGCCAGATCAAGTAAGATCGATTACTCTGGGTTTGACGATGAAAGCTGGGTGCCAAGAACAAAGGAGATGAACGCCATATACACTGATATGTGGGCTTGTGCAGAATCAAATGCAGAAAGAACAGATTTGGAGAAGCAAAATGGCACGCAGTTTTCCGAGTTGCATCATTTGCATTACTTTGATCCCATTTGGTGCACGATTGTTGATCCCATGCACAATTTGTTTCTTGGGACAGCAAAGCATATGATCAGTGTTTGGAAAGACCTTGGCTATCTCCCTGCTGCTGTTCTCGTCCGCATGCAACGCCTTGCTGATGGTATTATTGTTCCTCCTGGGTATACTGTTTTGTCTGCAAAAATCGAATTGGGCTTCCCATACATGAAGGCAGACGAGTGGCAATCGTGGCATCTTATATATTCACTGGTAATACTCAAAGACGCTTTGCCTGAAAAAGACTTCAAATACTGGACTCTTTTTGTCAAGGCATGCCAAAAGTTGACAAGTCCACACTGGAAAAATTAAGAAAATAAGATAGTTTAAATATGGGGTATAGTGTAGTGTAATTTCCATATTTAAATTAGTTGATTTTTTTTCCACTTGTGCTGAAGGTGACCTTCACAGATAGTGGAATGACTAGAGTCAACTAGCGGAATTGTGGGTGGGGGGTGCTGCAGGTAAGGTTTGTTAGCACTTTAGATATACTTATCTGACTTGATATATAAAAAGAAAGTTTTTTAAAACTGCATATCTATTTTGATATTCTTTATATGGAACCATAAAGGTCAGGTACCAACATATTATGAAGATTAAAAGTAGCCTAAAGGTGACCTTTAAGCTAGTTTATTGTTAAGAAGTTTGGTCATCAGCAGCAAAAAAAGGCGTCTTTAAAATTATGAACCAGTAATATGTTCTTTATTTATTTGGTTTCCCGTTCTTATTAGGTTGGTTATGGTTTATGCTTTTATTTTTATTGGAAAGAATAGAATGTTTCTAGGTTTCAGATCTGATAATACTATTCTATATCTCTAGCTACTTCTTGCTCGGTCGGTTTGTTATATTTGGGATGAAAAATTTTCTACAAAAAAGAAATACCTAAAAAAAAAATGAGCTGCTCAATACGTTTTTTTGGGGTATGAGCAGTACTCTTTGAGAATAGATAAATCATTAGTGATGGGTGTGCGTGTGTGTTAGATATTTCAATTCTTATAAACCATTAATACTTATATTGGAATTATCCAATACAAAGACCAAACAATAAAATATTACAAGTAAAGCTATGGAATTTTGATTCCTTTGACTATGAAAATGATTGGAAAAAATTAATTTTTGTGAATTGGGCGATATAATTATTAATTTACATACCCAAAGCAAACGGATTTATTTGTAGATATAGATAATACTTATCAAAAGTCGATATAGTATCTGGTAGTTTTTTTATTAATAAACACCATAAGTAATATAATGATACATATAAGGATAGTAAAAGAACAAAAAAGTCTTACCATGTCAATGACAGCAGCATGAGATAGAAGCTTTTGATCCATAGCATGTTTTGGAGAGGGTTGTTCATCTATAGTAAAAATTAGATTCAGTTTGATTAATATTAAAGAGAAATATAATAAATAAATAGATAAAAATATTACCGTTTTGGTGGTCATGTTTAGCTGTAGAAAATATTTTTGGTGATATGTCCTATTAAAAAGAAAGGAAAAAATCAGAATACTTTTACGAGATAATGGTATGAAATATATTTACTAACCTTGGCTAATCCGAATGGCCATTGTGAAGAGAATGCATCAGAAGAAAACTATACGCAAGTGACTATAGTAGCAGAAACACTTGTTATTACTCAGCTATATTTGAAGAAATTACTAATAAAGAAAAATAAAGAAAAAAAGCGCCTTATCAGGAACATTTGCAAGTATAAGAGTAAAAGAGGAAGAAAGAAGTAAAAAGAAAAGAGAGGGCAAGTGTCTATGGCAACTGAAACAACTAATTCTTTTTAGTTATATAAAAAAAAGTACTTTAAAAAAGCAGATTAAAAAAAAAGACTAATAAAAAAATAAAAAAAATGGGTAGAGACAGCAACAAAGAGTGTGTCTATGGCAACAGAATAAATAAATTCTTTTATTTTCTATAAAGAAGACTTTTTAGAAAGAACATGTCTTACACAAATAGTTCGCAAATATAATAGAAGTTGCAGAGATAGAGAAACAAAGAAAAGACCAATAGCAAATATAAAGAGCAAAAAAAAGAGAAACAGGAACAACAACAAAAAAAGAAAAAAAAGAAAAAAGAAAAGTGCGTTTGAAACAAAAGACTAGATTGGTTTGATCAATTGGGTTCTAAAGCAGTATGAAAGCCGATTTGCATCTCAGTGATTACAAGAAGTTTTAATAGAGACTTATATATCAAAGATATGCTGAATATCTATATAAGCCATACGTTTTATACAATTTGTTTACTCTTTCTCCTGCTTTCTTGCTACTTATTGCACTCATACACTACGGCGGAGAAAATGGTAACATGTTACCACTTTGGTAACATAACTGCCATTTTTTACTTAATAAAAAATGGCAGTTATGACTCTGTATAAGGCCAAAACAGGCACTGTTACCATTTTTTACATAGTAAAAAATGGCAGTTATTTATTATGTAAAAAGCCAAAACAAGCACTGTTACCATTTTTTTCATAATAAAAAATGGCAGTTATTTATTATGTAAAAAGCCAAAACAGGCACTGTTACCATTTTTCAAAAAAAAATCAAGCGTCCTTCCTTTCCTCTATTACATTCTTTCTTTTGTTCTATTGCTTTCAATTCTAGCACAACCTCTTGTTTTTCCTTTGCAGCTTTAACAGAATGGTCTGTTTTTTATTATACAATATTGAATCGGGTTTAATTGAATTGAATCTTTATTTCAATGCATGTTTTATTAAATGAAAATGATAATAATAATAGTAATAATGAAAAAACAATTCTATCGGCCACTCGCAATAAAAAATGGTTCTGTTTAGCTACTGCAAAACGTATGCAGTAAAACACTACTATTCAAATTGTATTTCATATACTTTGGGTATTCTAATATATCTTAGATAGTACTTATTATTTTTTACCGATTTCTACAAATATACTAATATTAGAGAAAAAACTTAAAATAAATAAATAGATACAATATTATTATAATGCTTACCTTTATATAATATGCTTACTTGTTCAGTAAAATAAGCATTTACTCTAAGAATATATATATATATTAAAGAATGTATTAATATTTAAGATCTATATATAAGAAAAGCAATAAAACATAAGCACTATAGAAAGTCATTATCGTAGAAGAAGAAAAACTTGAGCAAAGATTCAAGTCATGTAACATGAAGCTAATTCGAATCTGATTCATACAACCGGAATGAGCATCTTGTTAGAAAGCTTAACGTGTTTATTCTACTCAATATACTTACATATAATAGAACGACTCCCAAGTATAATATATCAGTACAAAAATATTACTATTAATTTTTTCCCAAAAAAAAAGGCTATATACTGTTTCCTTTTATATTTGAATGTAGCAGAATTGTAGATGCTGTACATTAGCTTCAAATTCTTGTAATCACGACATTAGCAATCATATGAAAGAGGTCGATAAATTTTTTATATGAAAGAAAAAAGGAATAAAAAACATAAAAAGAAAAATGACGAGATAAGAAAAAAAATGCACTAAAGACAGACTAAAAAAATCAAACTCGGCCAATCACAGCAGCCAAACTACGATCTTCGGCTTCTCTTGTAAGCAGGCTCAACACTTGCTGTGGGTGGAGGAGACCTACATAAAAGAGTAAGAAGTTTATATTAGTTTTGTATTAACAGCGCATGAGAAAAAGCAACAATGGTAACTTACAGCACATCTGCCATTATGGGCGACTCAACATCACCAGTTTCTGACATATCAGGAGAAGAAAGCGAAGAATCACTTATGTCTCGCTGTATCTATAGCATAATAAAAGGAAACGATGTTAATTAAAGTTTACAATATATAGATTTGTTAATTGATAAACTTACTTTGTTCTTCTCTGCCATTCTTCTCTTGTGCGTCTGGTTGTCGCTCTTGAAGCTTTCCTGAAGAAGGCTTCTTGCACACCACATTCTTTTACATTGGTGGATGTGCAATCCACCATTCTTCACCAACCTCTCCAAATGCATCATGTAGTATTCCCTGTTTTTCTCTGGGATATTTTTCCATTCTTTTGAGGCCGCAGGATAGTCTTTGTCAATGATATCATGCTTTACCGTATGGCCTAATGTTTTGAGATGCAGTCTTTTTACTGTCAAATCATAGTCTGAAAGAGGGACTAATGGGGGCAAAGGCTGCCCTTGTGGAACTTCTTTGCAGCGCGCCTTCCAGTCCTGCTCGTGAAGAATCTGAAGCAACAGATTGTATTTTTGTGCTTCGTTTTTTCCTTTGAACTCGCCGCCAGTATTGATTACTTGCTTACCGAGCTGATCAGGGTACTCTGTGAGCTGGGCTCTTTTCACAGACTCGGCAATGCGCTCAAGAGCTACAAAAAATGTATGACAATATTAATAAAGTAAATAAACATCTAAGCACAGAATATATATGACTTACAACTCTGCTCAATAATGCTTTGTTGCATTGTAGTTAGATCTTCCGCACTGACTGCTGGCGCAAATTGATTGCTGAATTGCCTTTGAAGCTCACGCAATGCTTGCTTGATTTCAGCAAGATCAACCTCAATCTTTTGAATTGAGTTGAGGAGAGTTGTGTTAATATCGGACATGTTTAAGTTTTTTTTTAGCTATAAGCAGTGAGTTGAAAAGAAAAGGTGATAGTTTAGACAAGTAGAATAAGAGCGATTTGAGTTTGAGAAAGGCAACGATTTATTACAAGCAATTGATAGCTATTTATATGAAAAAGATACAGACAGATGTACAAACAAAACATATAAAAGAAGGGATGCTTATGCACTTGTATGCACCTGTCTGCACCTGTCTGCAGTAGCTCATGTGAACATGATACAGTCTTTTTGTTTCGACACAACAAAACTGTAAGAAATATAAAGATAAAATGAATTAGACTTTAAATCAATATTATATGTATAAATGTTCATACTTTGCACTGTCTACATATTAAACGTTTTAAAGTATATGATATAATAATATAACTCTATACATATTGCAGATATAGCATGAAATTTGGTTAAAGTTCTCGATGACAAAACCCTGTACCAGTTAAAATTATAACTTTAAATATACTCTACAGTAGCTATATAACATCTGAACATCATATAGTTAATTAGCCCCTTTTTATCAACATTAAAGTAAATGTTATGATACTCAAGTTCATATCATACTTATTATCATTATCGACTAAAACGCGCTTTGATTGATGCTGTCATCAAAGGTAAAAATAATTTTAACTGTCATTACTATTATTTACCAAGGGGCATTTTTGACTGAAACCGTACATTTTTGAAAAAGGTGTGCTTTAACTCACATCGGCACTTTCAATTAACACCCCTTTCGATCAGTAGTGCTTATCTTGATAATGTCAGTAAAAGAGTATCAGACTATAGCCCTCATTATCTATATCTATTTCTTTAAGTTTTATACATAAACAAGAAAAGAATGCTATTAGCTAAATATATATTCACTATCTCAAAAATATTATTAGTACAACACAGATAATATAAATATGTCTTTTCTACTAATGTGTTTAGACAGTACTACTTTTTTTTAACTGTTAATTATTAGAAGGCTGTTTTTCTTTGCCTTTGGTATTAGAGAGTAATTGATAATTTATTTAAAAAAAAACATAAATTATTTGGTCATTAATTATCCTAAATATACATATACCTCTTTATAAAGCCCAAAGAATATCTAATCGCTCACAAGTAAAGAGTACGTGTCTGTTTCACCGGTGCTCTTTTAATGGTACCCCCTTGTCAACCAAGAAGTATTTTAACTTACATCATAATTATTAATGAAGAAGAATCTTTCCAACCACGGGAATTATTTACTGACAGGTGTTTCACCTAGCATTGACATTACTGTAATCATTGCTATATCATCATTATGAGAGAGAAAAAGAAAAAGAGCTGCAAGCATTTTGGTTAAAAAATAAAGAGTATATAAAGATGTCTTTTACATTTAATAAATAGCACCAAAATCCTCTTCGCAGCTTTATTTTATATATTACATACGTACCAACCCAACCAATATGTTTTCTTCTAACGCCAGCCAGCAGAGAGATAGAATATCTACACAGCAATACCAATGTGATCAATGTGTCTTGTTTTTTGATAACTACCAGAAGCTGCAAAACCACAAGAGAATTCACAGAGGAGATTCAGCAACAATGACTGAAATTGACCAGTCTATTCTGGATGATGTTGACATGTACCATGACGAAAATGATACTAGTAATGAAGATGAATCTGTTAGCAATTCAGGTAATGAAAAGAGCTGTAATTGTATTATTTATTTTCCAATTACTAAATAATGTATTACAGAATATACTATGGAGTCTATGGAGCTTGATAATACTATTTCATATAAGTGCGCATGTAATTTTGAGGACAGTGAGGGTGAAGCTCACATTTACAGCAGCAGCCAAATCAGTACAAATACTTTTACCAAGGCCGAGTTGATGAGTATTCATCTGTCTCAATTGATGCTACAGCATAGAATTGCTAGAGCAGCATATAGAGACATTGTTCAATTTATAAACACTGTCATCCGAGACCATGACAATATAATGATGGGTAAAATATTATATTTTCTGTTACCTTGTACTTTAATTCCAGATCACTAACATGTAGTGATATCGTTTTTTTTAGAACCTGGGGCTAAGATCAGTCATGGCGAAACTGTTGATGCTTTGCTCAAGTCAAAGTCAAGTGTCAAGGGCCATGAGTATGATGTCTGCTCTAGTGGTTGTCGATTGTATGGCATTAATGACGACCAGGAATCTTGTGTTGACTGCGGCAAACCGTGATACAAGACTGATCCCGATCAAAGTCAGACACCAGCCGCCAGTATGAAACTTATGTCAGTTGGGGATATGCTTTCTCAAATGTTGGCAGATCCAGCCACAAGAGAACTCCTCTGTTACAGAGCAAACCGGGAATCTGTAGCTGGTCAGCTAACCGACATTTTTGATGGTGACAATTACAAGCAGTTGGTGCAGCAGGGCCTGTTCTCCAATCCCGATGATATTGCCATTGGGCTTTATACCAATGGGTTTGTCAATCAAAAGAAAGGCAAAAACTCATATACCATCATCCATTGCATAATATTCAACCTAGACCCATCCATCAGGTAATTAATTAATTTATTACTATTTATTATTATTATTACATTTTTTTTAAAAAAAAATTACTAATAAAATACTTAGATATACCAACAAATACCTTTTGCAACTGGCAATCTTGCCTGGCCCCAAGAAGCCAACTCATTTGGACTCCTTTCTTATACCCATCATCAATGAATTGCGAGATCTTGAGGCACATGGCTTGGTTGTCAAGCACAATGGAGTGGAGCTTTGCAGATCCAAGGTCTATCTTCTGCTTGCTTCTGGCAATATTCCAGCTGTAGCTGATATGGCCCACATTGGTTCCCATACAAGTTTATTTGGTTGCCGTTTTTGTGAGACCAAAGGCAAATGCCCTACTAACAGACGGCATGGCATGTACTTTGATGACATTTCCGCCCGGTTAAGACCTTTGGAAGACTTCAAAGTAGGCAACCCTGTAAGTATACAAATGTTCAATTAGCCATCTTTTTTTCATACTAAATAACTGCTTGTAATAGTCGAAGAACATATACCAGCCGAGCATATATACCCAACTCTCAACCTTCTCTGGATCATCATTTTTTGCATTAGATGAACTTCATTTAATTGCAAGAGGGATTGGAAAGTTTGTGTATGACCTGATTACCGTCACCCTCACAAAGGAAACCAAATTTTATTATACCCATCCAGACAATACCCTCAATACCACCGAATACCCTTTTCATATACCAAGAGCAGACCTTGTAACAATCGGAAACTGTATCACCAGCTCACGAAAATATATACCCACCTCATTTCAAGGCAGTTTCGACAACGTATTTGCCAAGATCGATGGTACTCGCGCAGTGGACTGGCTTGACTTTCTCTTATACCTTGTCCCCACTTTGGTCGTGCCTTATTTACCAAATAGGGCTGTCAAAACAGCTCTATTATCTCTCGTGAAAGGTTGCGCGCTTGCCTTGCAATGGACGTTGACATCAGAATTGCTTGATGAGATGGAGTCGTAAGTTATTATACGTCTCATATATTATCATTACAAATAGCTGATTGTTACCATTTTTTAAATATTAATAATAGATACTTCAAGCACTGGCACTCGTTTTTATACCAACAAGTCCAGAATAATACCCTGTCTCGTAGTGTTTTCCAACCAGTGCAACATTACCTGGTCCATATACCCTATATCATCAAGCAGCAAGGTCCCCTGCGATGCTACTCCACTCGCTCAATGGAGAGAGTAATTGGCATCTTCTCGAAATTGATAAAGTCCAAATCAAAGGGTGGCCGAAACGCCAGTTTTCTCGTCGAGCGATTTGCGATTCACAATTATACCAGCACGGCAATCAGCATCTGTGATGAAATCAACCTCATTCGGCCAAAGCCATATGGAAGAGAGAGCTACATGGACCTTCCTAATGATCCTAGTGGTGCGCAGTTGTGGGAGCCGTTTCATCAGTTTGTTAATTTGAATGATGATTCGGTGGAAGGTGTAGGCGGCCCTAGTGTGAAGGAAGCTTTATTGAAATACTACTGGAGAACAACAGGCTTGACTGGCCACGAGTTTGGGGACTCTGTTGTTGTTGTAGCTGCACGTCTGTGGATGGACTCGACTGTATATTCCTCATGCATGTACCGAAGAAAGAAAAACGAGACCAGCCGTGGCAACCATTACGTGATGTTTACTTGCCCCTATAGAAAGTAAGTATAATATTTTTCGATATACAATCAAAAGTTGCTTACATTCTATTTATTTATTTATTTTAGCAACTGTAATGTAATTGTTCACAGCTGGCTCATTGGTACAGTACAGTTCTACTTTCAGCATGTAGATTTCTATGGCTTCCCACACTTTCTTGCTTTCGTGGAGGTCATGAAGGAACATGACGCGGCTGGTCATGACTCATCAGTACCTATCGTCAAACAACGGTCACAAAGCACCCGTACACTAGGCCACCAAACGCAACCGACTTATGCAGTTATAAGTGTAAATGACATTTGTCATCAAGTTGGTCTGGTCCAATACCCACCGAATGGAAACCAGTTTTATGTAATCGCGCCCTATTATATCTTTAACAACAACATGCGCATTACTAAAGACAATCTTTCCATTCTGTAATCCTTTTTATTTTTATCTTATTTTTCTATATGCTCTATATCCTTATATCTTTTATATTTTTTATATCATCCTTGTATCTTATATTCTTTTTTTAATTTTCTCTATTTCTTATGTTTTTTTAATCTCTATATGCCCCGTCTTTCTTTTCTTCTTTATATACTCCGGTTTTTTTTCTATTCTCTATACACCTTATGCTTTTCTCTTCATTCCCTATATGCTCTATACGCCATTACGCGATTTAAATAAAATCAAATTGCCAATTCATCAAGATAAAAAGAATATCTAAAAAAAAAGAACGTAGTTTAAAAAATAAAAAAATGGCAGTTATGTTACCATTTCGTTCACACATTCCAAAAATTATTAATCTTAATAATTGTTGACATCTTTGATATTCAATAAAACATATATTTCAATACTCAAAGTGGTCATTACAACTTACAAACATTTTTTACAGTATTGAAAATATTGTACAGCAACAAAAAAAGTGTTTTCATGTTACTTTTTTAAATTGCTACGAATGACATTACCATCTTACAACAAACGGCAGAGATTTTATTGGGTTTCGACTAAAAAAATGGCAGTTATGTGCCTACTTTTGGCCCAACTGCCATTCATCCCGCCGTAGTGATACTCAAACACACACACATCAACCCATTTTATTTTAAATAATTTAAGTATGTAAATTTGATATAATTTATTTTTAATTCAATTCAATTCAATTGTATATTAACATCAATAATAATGTAATCTAAAATTAACAGTTACATTTTTACCTTTTATTATATTCTGTAGACAATGGCTATTCAAAGACATCAACTTGCTCTTTGTCCCGTTGAGATTACAAACAAACAATTGATGGAAATTCTTTCTACTTTGAAAACTAATATGACAGCCATGGGAACCAACATGGCAGCTGACATGTCGATTGTACAAAAACAAATTGGCACTGTTGAAGATACATAGCTAAACATGAATAGCAGAATTGGTGTTCTTGCCACCAGTAGCACTAAGACAATCACTGCTATTGACAGTTTAAGCAGGGCCCCCCTCATTTCCCCTACCAATACAATGGCTAATGTTTCTCAGCCTGCCTTCAACGCCCCGTCTGAGTTTAGCAAGAAGGCCTCTAATGATGTTTATGTGAGTATCAACGTGTGCAAAATTTTATCAATGTATTTTCTCATATATTCTATCAGACCCATATTTGTAATCTCATGTGGGATCCCAAGCTGAAAACAAGAAATCAAGCTGATATCCTGGCAAATGAGAGTAAGCCCAGATAGAATACAAATGTTTTCTTTTACAAGTTGCCAAACAAGGAGTTGGTGGTGCGACTTCTTGAAAACTTGAAGCACAAGTTTACCCATGAGGAATTTAGAGAGGCAGACTTGAGAGCAAGACTGCACAAAAACTTCACCAGCCGGGTTTCAAAAGCAAGAAAAACTGAAGAGGAAATAAAAGCAACAAACACTTGTTCAAGAAGAGCAGGACGTGCCAGAGATGTAAGTGTAATCTCTAAATAAATAATTTCAAAATAATATAGTTTAGTCTTGAGAATTTTAAAAAAACTAATACAAAAAAACTACTATTAGAATCATACTTGCCGTTTACTTGCATACACAGACAACAAAGAAGCAATTTATCTACAAATTAAAAGAGATTGTGACTTCACAATTCAAATGGCAGCAATGTCCAATGGAGAATCTGCAGATGAAGACTTCAAGAATCGTATGAAGAGCATCGTCAAAATTGTTTGGCCAGGATAGAGAAGTGACGAGGTATATTATTTTATATTAATAATTATGTCTTATTATAAAAAATATAAAGTGAAGTATTAACAAAATCATTTTAGTTCAATACTCTCATTAAACTCGTTGATGAGTATGTTATTGAAGCAATGGGGTCAAGTGCTTCTCAAATGAAGGAGAGGGTTTTCACCAGTGTGTCTAATACAGCAGTCTCAGATGACATAACCCCCAAATTTTCTCAGTGGGCCCTTAGAGACGGGTATTAAATAAACAAAAATTGCCTCTCTCTTTTTATCTATATATTATTTTTCACATACAAAATACTATCAATATATATATATATCAGAAATACGAGCTTTGTTTTTTTGTTAAAGAAAAAGAAATGTAAAAGTTCACTTTATTTATTATTTAAGCATATAGCTTCTTTGGCAATGGAATTATCAGCATTTTGCTAACATTTCTACTTGTCGCAATAGTAGCTGTAGCAACCTCTAATAAGATGTGATATACAGATATAATGCTATGGTAGCTATCAGGAGAGAACGTGGGCAAACAAAATTCAACACTGTCATCCTCACGTGACCTATCAGAGGAAGTATGAAACCACTTGATAAATGCAAATACTTGTTGATGATCATGAACCATGCGAGTCAGATGGAGATTGTGCGTGGGTGGAAGTTGGAAGGAGTGTGTAAAAAGATACTGAATTTGTCCAGCAAATCCAAGTATAATGTTTCCATTACTACCAACAAACTTTGCCTGAACAAGTGATCTGCAACTGATTGTGCTGTTGTTTGTTCCTCGATAGTGTTGACCAAGAATGTCAATTGACTTCAATTTGATGATTTGATTGTCAAGTGCTGAGCAATTATAGGACGTGTCCTGATAGCTGGCAAGGTCTGGGAGGCTGTAAGCGACTTGGTAATATTCAAGTAAATGGAGATAGTCGGAATCATCCATTACTGATAGCTTTTTGTATTTTAGAGGAAATGTAAAAGGAGGAAGAGGCTCATTACCCTTGGGTGGATTATAAGGATCAGTGTAGCCTTGAACGAATTCTTGCAATCTGAATGGGCAACTGGAGAGAGTAGTGACTGTGGCGGCTGGTATGGAGGTTGTAACAAGTTTAGACAGAGTGTGAATGAAGGGGATCTGGCTAGAACTTTTAAGAACAGCATTGACATAATCATCCTTATACGCATTCTGAACAAAATTTTTCATGTAGGTCACCTCAAAACCGTCTTTGCCATTTGTCTTGAAATTCTTTAAAATACCATTGTATTGCTCAAACCCAAAGAGCCAATAACCATACACTAGTCCAAAATCACAAATGCATTCGTGAAGATGGAGGTGTAGATGCATATTGCAGATGAGAATAGTGGTGGTATAGTCTATGTTGCATGCATTGCAAAACTTTTCTAACAGGTTGTGGGTAGTGGTGATCTCATCAAAAGTAATGCTGAGCTTTACGTAGTATTGGCATGCATCAACGAAATACATCCAGTTCTTGAATTGTAATGGGGGAGAATACCATGCAACAAGACAGAAGAATAAACCAGAACCCATGATTTCCACTCGTCCGCTTTGATGTAGCTGAAGCCCTTTCCAATTTTAGTTGTCAGTGTGATGTAATCTCTGGGCAGTATCATTGTCTCTGCAATTTTCTCCATCGAAGCAAACTCTTCAGGTCCAATTGTCTTCTCATCAATCCACCAATCCATTAATCTCTTAGACGTCCCCAGGAAAAGATTATGCATGGGATCAATGATTGTTCCATGTACTAGATCAAAGTATCCAAGGCGTTGCAACTGCGACCATCGAACACCATTTTCGACCTCCAGCTGATGCCTTTCTGAGAGTGTACTTGCATCCTTCCACTCCTCAGCATGCAACCTGCTCTCTGCACCACTGCGGATATTCCAATGAGAATAATTGAATCCACAGAAATCAACCTGGTTGCTGCTCCCTAACTGAGTAAACTGCCGGCTGCACCTGTAACAAGCACATGTGCTGTTATGCGCTGTGAATCCACTTGTCTTTCTGGTGGCTGGGATATTACATGCAACCATCAGTAGTGCAGCGCGAACACTGACACCATTTGGGAATTTGTGTGTAGGAATCTGCATGCCAACGTACAGCTGCTTCAAATCATCCACCAAGGGCTCCAAGTAACTATTGATCTCATTGGTTTTTGGCTCCTTTGGACCAGGCATGAGACCTACAAGGATAATATTCTCTGGCTTGAATCTTTTATCACGGGGCAAGTTGTTGATGGCCAGATAGATAGCACCAGAGGAGTGAGTGACACCATCAAAGGGCTGGAACCAGTCGATGTTAAGTGTTAACATTAGTGAGCGTGGGTCCAGCACAAATGATACACCATCCTTGTCCTTCAACTCCTTCCACATCGCACCATCATAGACATCGCACAGAGTATCTACCATCTTCAACTCCTTATTCCATTGACGAATCTTGGCTTCGAAACTAGGGTGACGGAAGAAAACGCTCAATGTATTTTTAATGGATTGGTAGACATATTCACGCTTTGCAACCAAGGCACCGGAAGATATGGATTTCGTCAAATTACAGTTGCATGCAGACCTGGCACCAAGTTTTGAGGAAACACATCGAGGAGGAGCAGATACGATATCCTGATATACTGTATGACAGTCTTGGCACACCACAAATTTCTTGATGCCTTTTGTAATAGCAGAAAATCCTGTCATTTTTTGTAAACCGGCAAGACTGGTTGGTAATTGAAAATCTTGGTCGTAGATTCTTAGCAGGTTGTTGATAAACTCAATCAAGACAGCAGCACCCTTATCAACAACATGACGTGAAGCAAACAGTACAATAAAGATGGCTATGAATTGATGGACTTCATTTTTGGGCATATCAGAAGCAGCAAAAGGGTCTGTAAAAAATTAAAAAAAAATTAACACTTGATTTTTCTTTTACTCTCTTTTTCTTTTAGCTTTCTTTATGTATCTCACACTGACCTTCACTGTTGAAGTCCTCGATCTCGATCTCATTGACTTCATCTTCAACATTGTCATCGAAATCATTGTCGTCTCTGTCATTGTCAAACATTGAGGCGGCATCCAAAAAAGGTGAGTTGGCCTGACCATCCATTGCTTCCACAGAATCGGAACGAGAGGTCGGGATTACTACAAATATGGAATATAATAGTTTATTAGTTTTTTTTTTCTGCTTTCAAATAAAAAAATTCTTACCCTCAGTATCTACATCCATGTTTCTCATTGCGGCTGTGTTTCATTAAAAGTTTAAAAATAAACAACATAAATAAAAAATAAAAAATAAAAAATTAAAATGATTATTACGCAGCAAACAAAAAACCAACACTGGATATATTATACTATTCTCCAATATTCTGGTACCTTCAACTCTAGCTCTCTTATTACGACAAGTCTCAGTACGCTTTGCAGCATAAGAAGATTTCTGATGACTGTTGTGACATTTAATGCAGTGGCAGTCTAAGGTGTGGGTTTGGGTAGAGGGAAACATATTGTGTATGGCTTGAATTATAAAATAAAAAAGGAAACAAGTACTACAAATACTTTATTTGATGTGATTTTATAGCAAGCCAAAAAAATATGAATTTTTTATTGTCCATCTAAACCAATAGAGTATGTGGACAGTACACCCCCAACTTAAATAAAAAAACGGCTGAGCTGAAAAACAAACCCTGACATTTCCACTACCTTTCTTGTTACTTAAAGCTATAGTATTTATTTATTTTTCCAGTGTTACTTACTGTACTAAGTAAGTGACATGTGGTGTGGTAACATTGTTGGCCTTAGTTCAAAAATCAAATTCTACCAAGTTCAGACTTTCTTTTGAAAATCCCTTTTTTATTTTTTTTTTCAAAATTTTAATTTTAATTTCTTTCTTTCATTTTCACAAAATCGCCTTTTTCCAAAAACCAATTTTCTGAAAATTAAAATCTTTTCCCTTTATTTTTCCCAAAATTGTTTTCTCTCTTTTCTTTTTATTTTATTCCTGTACACTAAATGTGATACTTCCTCTCAAACACTACTTTACCAAAATTGTTAACTGAATAGTTTTCTTTTTATTTATAATATACTTCTTTCCGACATTTTTCTTTTCTTGTAGTTATATATTATAACTTCATTTATTTCTTCTTTCATGACAAAATATTTATATAGTTATTTTTCTTTATATTTTTATTTACAATTATCTCACCGAGTTTTATCTAGCCTATTTTTGCTATATATTTTATTCATAAAATGGTATAAATATTTCTTTAAAATCAATCAATAAACAACTGTTAAATTTTTCTGAAACAAAGTTTTCTTCAAGATGCTGTCTATTATTTTTGATCTCTCTTGTGAAATTTCATCTATTTTATTTTATTTTCCTGTCAAATCTGTGGTGATCCAGCCACTTGGATATTGGATTTATCACATATAAGAACATATTCATATTGGGATAGCATAGTAGCTATCATCTTGTCAGTATAAAATATATATAAACGATTAAGTAATCAGCTCAATAATTATTACAGTTAGTACTGTAAATAATATCTTAAAGATTGTTAAGATAATTATATCATACTGCCGGGTAAACTGTGTCAGATCGATATGGAGCTAATTTAGTAGGAAGTCCTAAAGCTCTAATATAAAAGAGAAAAGAATAGCTAAGAGCTAAAGAAGTACGATTTAAGACTTGATGTCATAATTGTAACACTGACACTAGTTAAGCAGTAAATACACTCTAATAATCAAATATAGTAAAGGAAGAAAGCCTTAAAAAACTAAGACGTAATGACAAGAGCAGATTGTATTTTCTTATAAAAAGAAACACTTTTTATTTATGAATAAAGACAACTGATATACAGTTTCAAAGTATTTCTATATATCTCTATTATTAAATATTTTGTTTTTCTATTGTTTCATACCTGAAATACCACAAAGTCTTTGTGGAAGATTGACCATCCTCTTTTATTTTATTATTTTGTCCCAATTTCTTCTTTTAATTATCTCTTAGTAAATTCATTATAGTGAATTTCCCTTTAGCTAAATCCTTTACTCTATTAAACATTTCTTTCTCATAGTTAACTTTTTAGAATTAGTATTATTTATTTCACTTCTTTTAGTTTAACTATTTCTCTAATCATTCAAATTATTTACACTCTTACCTTAGTGTTAGTTTCCCTTTTTATTTCTTTAACTGGTCTATTTGGTAACAAAGAGACTATTTTATTATCTCAATTTATCCGATATCAAATGCAAACTCTCAATTTCTCTTTTAAATTCCTCTTCTTATATATAATTATCTTTTCTTGTACATCTTCTACACACAAATACATATTACATGCAATATAAGCATTGCCATGTGATATGTTTGTTTGTTGTGGATTGTAACAGTATCACTTGGCAAATAAATATAATATGAATTACAAAATACAAGAAGAAGAATACAATAAAAATGGAAAAGAATAGATAATTTGACAGGTAAAAATTGGTGACAGACAGGTGGAAAGAATAGGGAGCAGATTAAAATGGAAATTGTGACAACAACAAAGTCTGAGAAAGACAGAAAAGGGAAAACAGAGAAACAAAATATATTAAAATCAACAGACAACACTCCAAAGAACAAGAACACTGTATATGAATGAAAAATAATGATAATAATGGACAAAAATAAATAAGATCAAGAATAGAATGATGATTTTATTGATTGAAAAGATTGTTCCTTTTATAAACAAAAATGTTTTGTTAAAATAATTTTTTGAGGAAAAAAAAAGAAAGTCAAGTGAAAATTTTTACTACATGTAACTGGTGTTGATAATAGAAATAGAATATAAAATTATAGAGAGAGTAAAATAAAAGTATAGTAAAAATATAATAATTGAATAAAGATAAAGTAAAAATATAGTGAGATCAAATAGAAAAATAATAATATAATAACAATGTAGTAAAGTTAAGTAAAAAAATGTAATAATAATATAATAATGGAATCTAATAAAATGTAATAAAAAATAGTATAAAATAAATGTTAGCAATAAAGAAGTGTATATAATTAGGGGAAAGAGGTATAATGTTTTTAGTGGGTGACAGGTGTTTCTGAGGTGACTGTTGTGAATGAGTATTGATTACTACTGAATCTGAGAGTAAGACTGAAGGATAAAATAATATCTTCAGCTATTCCGGTCATACAGATCTCCCTTTATGATATTATCTAATACACAGATTATCATACACATAATTGATTACTTATTATTATCACCATGACATGAGATATACAAATACATATATATTATATATATGGCATCATTATATTTCATCTACATATTTCTTTTATTATACAAATACTTAATTGAGAGACTATAACTACAACTATTTAATATTATGAAATATTACCTGAGTATCTGGATCAGAATACTAAAATATTACCAATAGCATAAATGTTCTTCTTTACCAAAACTCTTGAACTGATCTGACTAGAGAAGTATCATATCAATTGGTCTTTCCGGATCTTTCCAGAAGAACAATACTCCTGGAAGATGACTTATCATGATAAAGATTACTTAAGCATACACTGAATTATAAATTAGAAAAACATATAAATATCAGTAGATAGTTCTATGTAGAAAAAACAGGAATTTTATCATTCTTTACTTTTCTTTTGAAATAAACAACCTACACAAGTTCTCACAAATTCTTTGATCTATATTATATTTTGCTTTATTTTCTCCCCACAACAGTGATGATGTAGATGGGTATTTTAATTTTAAGAAACGGGATTATATTGGAGGATTAGGGTATAGGGGTATCAGGAGCAAGATTTCCCAAGAAACCTGGGGGGACCACTCTTATCCCTCGAGACATGTCACTTGGTCGACTCACTGTCAACATCAACGCCCACGAGTCTGGTACCATCCATCACAGCTTACTGTCAGACCAAACCACCAAAGGAATCCACCGTCCGGTATCTCTCACCAAAAACTGGCTAACAGTTAATATGCGTACAACACATATAACTGCACCTATGCGTTAATAGTTCAATGGTAGAATTTCAGCCTTCCAAGCTGAAGGTCGGGGTTCGATTCCCCGTTGACGCATAATGAACATGTTTTCCATTTTTATGAAAATTGTGTCATGCCCGAATTCCTGTCAGCCAATCAGTGTCGGACATTATTTTGATGAATCCGTAAAATTGTCGTTCCTGATCTGGGATGGTCTTCCTTTTACTATAGCAAAGTCAAAAGGTCAAACCCACTGGGGATCGGAGAGTATATGTAAAATCGAAGAGAGGATAAAAGGTCCTTTTTATTGATAGGAATTGAATTGTCTTATATAGTTTTCTAAACTAATACTGCGCATTATCCGCAGTAAACTATTATACTCTATTTAATTACAAGAGAAGTCCTTTTACTGCGGTTGATGCTCAGAAGATGTTACTGTGGTTAATCTTTACAAGACATTACTGCGGTTCATTATCTATGAGGTATCTTTGACATACAGAACTGCTGCGGTCAATTATCCCGATTTCTCGGATTCATCAAAATAATGTCCGACAAAATCTGAAGATAGTTAACCGCAGTACTTCTTTATGCACAGTAATATCTTCCTGAGCATTAACCGCAGTATAATGACTATTTCTTTAATTAAATATAAATAATAACTACTGCAGATAATGCACAGTATTAGTTTAGAAAACTATATAAGACAATTCAATTCATATCAATAAAGAGTATCTTTTATCCTCTCTTTGATTTTACGTATACTCCTTGATCCCCAGTGGGTTTGACTTTTTGACTTTGTTATAGTAAAAGAAAGACCAACCCAGATTGGGAATGACAAAAATAATATTTGACGTATAATTTAATATGCGCGGACCGGGAATCGAACCCGGGCCCTTCGCGTGGCAGGCGAAGATTATACCACTTAACCATCCGCGCCCAATGTATTATTTTACGTGTGTTACAAATTAATACGGCATGTAACCATGTCGTGGTGTCCAGTACCAGATGGTCAGTCTGCTCAGTGGGTTTGTCCAGTGGTTTGTTGTGATGTGGCATCCTGGTTATGAGAGGCTGATGTCAACGATTTGTTGATGTGATGCTGTGCCTTCGGTGGTAAGAGGAGAATTTTTCTGTGCACAGGTAAAATCTCGTTTCTGTTCTTTGTTCCTTCTATACACAATATTTTTTTCTTTTCTCTGATTAACATATTTATCTACATTATACTCATTCAAAATCATGGTCCCCCATACTAGTAACATTCCTCTTCTACAATACACATAATTTATTTTGCCAATATCTCAGTGCAACATCAGTATCTTTATTATTATATTTTTACTGTATCTTTATTCACATATTTTATCCTTGCTTTATCAATTATCTATTATTCTATTTTTACTATCTTTATTTTTCCAAACTTCTATTATCAATCCTAAAATCTTGTTGACTATAAAAAGAGAAATAAACTCAACTCAATAAAATTATCAATCAAACATTTGATCAGTTTCAGTATTTTTTTTTGTTTTCTTCTCTTTGTGATGTATACCATCTTGCAACATAATATATTGGTTCCTTGGTTTTAGAAAGATTGTTTGTCAGTTTTGATCTCTTCATCAGTTATTAGCAATCTTAGTGTATTCAGACTTTTCAAATGTTGGTATTACGCTAACCTTGTTTTAAAGTTTATTTAGTTTCATCTAGTGAGACATTCTATTTATATTCTCAGACATGTAATATTGACTAACATTACAAGCAGTCATATCTGATATTGATAACATTTATCAATACTATGAAATAACTGTTTGATTTGTAAAAGCAGAACACTTTTTTTTTCATAACAAATTTTTCCAGATGCTTTCTAACACTACCCTTATTTGCAACTTTGGTAATATAATGTCAAATGCCACATATTATATGAGTGATATGGAAGCCAGAAAAAAAATATGACTTGCCAAGAAAAACAACAACAGATTAACAATAGAGCATCTTCTCTGAGATATCAAGATGTTTTTGAGTTAGTTGTTCTACCAGTCAGCGAATATTTGATTCTGTTTTGGTTTACCAGCTCTCAGATATAACTGATAATATGGTTCCATCAAAAAAAAAATTACTAACAGAAGTATATATAAAATCAGATTCATTCTTTAGCTACTCTTCTTGAACTGGATGAAAGAATTTACTTTTGTGAATGTTTCTATGGGAGATTCTTAATTTATGTACCCAAAGCATTTGCCGTTTTACTTCAATGATTGACCTTTTCAGCTCACTTAGAAGATCTGTCCTTTCTCTTTGGGAAAACAGCTCCTGTATTGAGCATTATTTTCAATAGTATGGTAGAAATCATTTACCAAAAATTCCACACTGCTTTAGAATTTGATACCTGTCAATTTTACAAGAAAAATCTGGTTTTCTTTAGTGATGCTATCAGACAAACTGGTAAGATATATTTAAAGACATAGTATGCTAACAGGCTTAATAATAATAAATGAAAAAAGGTGCCCCAGTTAGAAGCTGTGTCGGATTCTTTGATAGTATATTCAATTGAATTGCTAGACCAAGAGAGAACTAGGAGATTGTTCACAATGATCATTATGTAAGTAAATGATTACAGTAATAGTTGTTTTCTTCTGTTACTTTAACTCAATACAATACAGATCTATAGAGAGGCCATGAGCTGAAATATCAAGCCATTATAACTCCTGATGGAATTAAATCTTTCATCATTAGTTCCAAGACTAGAAATCATCACAATATGCATATGTACAGACTGGCAGACATGGAGAGATGTCTGTTTGATACATTTGACTTCACTCCTGTTGGTGGGCCTTGTTATCACTTGTATGATGATTCAGCTTATGTGAATTCAGCAGTGTTGACAAGACCATTTAGAATAAGTAAGCAACACATGATTATCTGCTTTTACAAATAATATTTGTAAATGTTTTAATCTTTTTCTTTCAGCAAATGCATCCAAAGACAACAACGTACTTAACGCTGAGATGTCTAGAGTGAGGATCTCTGTAAAGCACAAGTTTGCTCATATCAGGAGCTTCTTTGCGTTTTTGAATACTTCAAAAATGCAAAGAGTTGACCAATGCTCCATAAGCCTCTATTATAATATTGGAACATTCTTAAAAAATCTTCATATATGTTATAATGGGGGGAATCAAACCAGTGCCAAGTTTGATGTTAGTCTTCCAACACCAGAACAATACATTGCAGGTCTTTTAAGACAATAAAACTTTTATACTAATTATTGCTTCATAAACAAATTGTATACAGTTTAAAAAAGAGGGTAGTTTTTTAGCATATTTATTATTATTTTCTATTTAGTAAGTTATTGTAATCTTATTGAGACAGTTGTCTCAGAAGAGCTTGAATGAGCTGCGATTGCATGTTTATTTTATCTGACATATTCTTCTCCATCATCTCAATTTGCTTATTAACTGTCTGGATCTCATTGTAGATTACCATGATCTCATTGTCAACCTTGGTCTCCAATCTTTCAATGGCACCAAATACCTCATCATCCTCAACCTTCTCCAAGAGAGCAAATAATTTTTTATTAAAGGTATGTATTATTCTTTCTACATGATCAATAGCAATTGGAGTTGTTGCTACTGCATGTTTAGAAGTGGAGGTGACAGGAGCAACACGGGGAGAAGGGACAAGACCAGCAAATGGAGAAGGGCCAGAAGAAAAGACAGAGATGACAGAAGCAGGAACAATAGGAGCAAGAACAGCAGGCGCTGTACTGGTGGTCTTCTGTCTCTTTCTTGCTGAATTGATGTCAGCAGCCATAATTCTGAACATTGTGGCTCTGTCTTTGACAACATTTTCTTTTTGCAATCTTCTGAACGTCTCACATTCCTTTTCTTTTTCTCTCTCGACCTCTGCAAATGCAAACCCATCTTCTTTTGATGGCAAATAATCTTAATTAGAGTAATATTCACGAATTATATTTTATTAACTTCTGATTTCCATGAGGTTTGTGAGAAGCTGTTCAAGAACTGGGAACTTCTTATATGCTCCTGTCATTCTTCTTCCTTGTCTCTGTCTAGCTCGATGATTTTCAACAAGCTGAGTATGTCTTCTTCTTATTGTAGATGTAGAAATACCCTTCGGATCTTTATCAGCTGCATTTATAAGGTCTCTAACCTCATCCCGGACAGAGATGATCTCACTACAAGAAAGATGCTATAGATGCTTGGCAATGAGACATTCGACTAGAGCTATGTCTATTTTGCCTGATTTAACACCATATACTCTGGGGCCAGTGATCCAGGGAGTGGTCTTTCTAGTGGTAGAAGTGGGAGTGGTAGAAGTGGGAGTGGTAGTGACAGTGGCAGTAGTCCGTCTGTTATTGTTCATCATATTGTATTAATAATAGAAAGAAAGAGAAAAATTTCATAATACAGATATTTTACACTAATACATGTTTTTAATAAGTAAATATCAGAGACAATTTAGCAAAAAAATATTCAAATCTTATTGGTTGCAAATTTGAAAAAACATACTTCTTAGTGAGCAAAATTTAAAAAATAAAAGACCTCTTTTTTCAAATTTCTTGTACTTCGTTACACTCAATTTAAGGTTGTAATTTGAAAAAATGATCTAAATTCTCTTATAAAGTAATTTATTTGGTTTTTTCAAAAATGCACTAAGGTCACTATTACTTTTCTATTGTGTCATTATCTTTTCATATACCTTTCTCTCTCTCTTGATTTTAACAACAATTCTATTGATTGTTCTCTCTTTTCTTACCTGTAAACTATTGCTGCTTGCCGCCTTTTGCTATATCTGTCTTCTGTTCTATTCTATTATCATTGTATTTTATTTGCTAAGTGATCCGCTACAATTTACAACAAACCTAACACATCACGTGTCAATTATATTGGATTGCACTAAGCTAAAAAAGCAATGGCCAGACAATATAAAAACAGATAAAGAAGTATACTTGATAATAAAAAAGTATACTTAAAGAAGTACAATCAAACAGACAAAATAATATAGTGGATAAAAGATGATTTTATTATAAACAATTACTACTATTATTTATAATAATTATTTGGAATGTTTGTTTTGAGGTCTTATTCAATATGATGCCTCATCTATAAGAATGTTAATTGAATTATTGTTTCTGCTATGTGAGAATGTGAGTGAGGGTCAAAGTATTTAATTACAAAAAGAGGTTCATTTGCTCTTTCCTCTTTTTGGAACAATTGATTTAAACCTCCTCTTTTATTTAAGCTCCGGCTTGCTGGCTATAACAATTTTGATGTGGTGCATGAAGACTGCTATCAACCACAGTACCAGTCTTTTTTTTCAATTTATTTTAACCTTTTTAATCCATCACAAAGTCTCAAACCCCCAATTATAATTTTATATTTTAACTTTATATGTATTATTTTTATTTCTTATTCTAAAAATTTGACTTCTTGTTATTTTTTTTTTATTCTTCTCCTAATTTTCTGAAAACAAATTTCTCTTCTTTTTATTCTTTTTGAAAATTAGTTTCTCCCTCCTTTTATTTTTCTTACTTTTCTTATGCACTAAATGTCACATTTTTCTCTCAATACTACTTTATCAAAATTATTAACTGTAGTTTTTCTATTTCTTTCTAACATACTTCTTTCTGATCTTTTCTATTCTCTGTAGTTATATACTATAACTCCATTCATTTTTCTTTCATGACGAATCTTGATTACAATTATTTTATCCATCTTTTTATCACAATTATCTCCAAGACATCAGTGCAATATATTTTTGCCATGAATTTTATCTAAAAAGTAGTATAAATAATTCTTCAAAATCAATAAATAAACAATTGTCAAATTTTTCTGATATAAAAGTTTTCCCTAAAGATGCTGTCTACTTTCACAGATCTCTCTTGTGAATTTTTCTTCTGTTTACTGTTTTTCTTTGTCAAGTCTTCGTGGAAGATTGACTATTTTCTATTATTTTTCTTTCTCTCAAATTTTACAATTTTTATTTTATTAAATTTTCCCTTTTGTAGCAAAAAACTTTAAAACATGACAAGTCAATTTTACTTATTATTTATTTCAAAGTAAAGAAAAAACCGAACTCTCCCAAAATTATTTTCTTATTCATTAAATAACAAATTGAGTACTAATGTGACAACTAATAATTATTCTAATAAGCGTCTTATGAGCTGGATGAGTAATGATTATGATTAGTTGCTACCTGATATTATCTATATAGTGATATTTTACCACATCTTTATTTTTTATTCTCTAAATACTTCTCTTAACTTAGTTTATTTTATATTAACATTATTCATTTCCTTTTGCTAGCTCTATATATTCTTTCCCTTTTGAAATTCCTTCTATTTTTTCTTTATAGAAGTAGTTTCTCTTATTTATTTTACATTATTATACAATTGTTTCCCAATTTAAATAACCCTACCTAATTACAGAATTCAATTCTTATTACTACTCTTATCTTGCTTTTATTGTACACATCATACATATAACAAAGTACTACAAGCATCAATTGTCACATGTGTTGGCATTTTTAGCGTTAGATAGTATCTGTTGAAAGGCATCAGACAGTGGGTCTCTTTGGTAGTTTGGTCTAGCAGTTAGCCATGACAGGTGGTACCCGACTTGTGGGTGTTGACGTCGATGGTGAGTTGACCAGATAATATGTCTTTGATGGACAGGAGTGGTCCCCCCAAGTTCCTTAGGAAATCATGTTCACAATACCTCTTATACTCAAACCCTCTGTTTTGATGGGTGAAGTTTGAAGAAGTTTTAAGAGGAAGAATTGAAGATTTGAAATAAGAAACAAAGATTTGTGAGAACTTGTGTAAATTTTGTTTATTGAGAAAAGATTTGATATCAAAATTTGATGAGGTTCCTATACTAAACTACCACTTCTATTTATATTGTTTTGGATTGAAAAAATTATATGACTGGGATCAGGTAATTGATTCTATCTGAGTCTTAATCAGAGCAATGTGATATTAAGACAATTAATGTATGATTAATTATATAAATATATATAGTCTCAATGAAGTATTAACATCAAAAGGCAATATGTTTGTGAATTATAATTATGCTTATAATAATCCACTGATGTATCCCATATTATGGTCATATCATCATATGAAATATAATCACTATCATGCATGCTAAACCTGTGTGTTAAATAATAAAGTAATCAGTAGACACCTTTGACTGGAATAGCTAAGGACTTATATTATTTTCTTCAGACTTACTCTCAATTACAGCAGTAGCAAATACTCATTTCCAACATCCTCAACTTATATTCCACCCTTACACTGCAAAAGGAGAGTGGATTTGGGTGAATTTTATTTTTTGAATTTTAATAAAATTTGAAAAAATATTTCAAACATCATTATTTTTCCATTTTTTTTTCTTGAGATGTGAATTCGCAATTTTTTCTGATTATATTAAATAAATACAGGTACAAGCACAAACATTTATTAATTAGGTGATAAATCACATAATTATTCAAAAAGATATATGTTTTGATTGACTTGGTAAATCTATGATAAAATAGACTGGTGTGCCTTTTTATTTAGATAAAAATAAAATAGACCAACACGTCTTAAATGTTTTTTTATATATTTCTTGATTTATTAATAAATTACTAAGTAGAAATATTTGAAAAATTCATAATTATAAATATAATACTGTATTTTCACTAATTATTTGCTAACTTTGAATAAATTATTCACATGTTGGTAAGTAAATTTTCAAACATTTCTTCCAATTAAATTCACACATTACTTCAACTGAAATTCACACATTTGAATTTTATTTTCACATTAAATTATTTTCAGAATATTGAAAAAAGTAGTTTTTTTAACATTAAAGTGAGGGAAAAAAGTTATAGAAGAACAAATTAGTCTTAACTATCAAACTTCTTGACTTTTTTTTATAGATTTTTTGGAATACTAGGTGATATTATCCTTATAATTTCGTGTGAAAATAAAATTCAAATGTGTGAATTATTATTGAGTAAAGTGAGTGATTTTAATTGGAGGAAATGTGTGAGAATTTATTTACCAATGTGTGAATAATTTATTCAAAGTTGGCAAATAATTAGTGAAAATACAGTATATAAAACAATTGAAAGCTTACAAAAAGAAAGTGTTATGATATTTGTATAAGATTATATATTATATGGCTTAGTCTGTTGGTTCGTCAAATACTTTATAATATACGGTATTGTCTGTATAGACAGTATTTTGAGTTGTGCTAGCATCAGAGATATCCATCATAATTTTGATTCCTGACAGTTTTCTGACACGAGATAGGGCAACATAAAGCTGACAATGTCCAAATACTAGTGAAGATAAGTATAGACCAACATGATCAAGTGTCTGCCTCTGTGATTTGTTGATTGTCATTGCAAAAGCAAGGCGAACAGAAAACTGGCAGTGTTAGAAGTCTATATTTGATATTGATTCAGATAGATTCAGCTTGATTTTTGGGATGAGAGCAATTTTTTTAGCGTGAGATCCTGTTACTATTGTAGCCTTTATGACAAATTGTTGAAAAGAATTACATATCAGGTGAGTGCCATTACATAGGTCATTTTTTGAATTGAGATTTCTAAGTAGCATAATTAGGCACCCCCTTTTAAGCTTGAGACTGTGAGGGGGCAGAGATCCAGGATCAAATGTGTTCAGCAGTTCACTTGAGTATGCCAGAAGATTATCATCAGTGTTACCTCAATCAATGCTTTTGAATTTGCTGGCTACTCCTGAAATTGATGAAGAAGAAGGTTGTTAATTGTTTTCATATCATAGTTTTTTAGAGTAAGTATTGCACAATACATAAGAAAATCAGTATTTTGTGAATTTGCATTCCAATCAGTGAATACATCATTTGAAAGGTAGAGGAGTCTACAGTCAGGAATTAGCATTTACTCAAAAATTGGAATAGTGTTTTCATTACCAGAACTGAGAATAGTATCACTGCCAACACTCAACAAAAAGGCAGCAAAGTCTCTGAGCTCAGTTTCTTCTTCTGGCATTGTTGCTTGAGAAATTTGCATATTGATTGTAAGGTTCAGGTGGTTGACATATCTCTATGCATGGGCACAATTAATGCATTGTTCTACGATGTGTGATCTTGATGCTCTTGGAATTACAGAAAGAACTTGTCTAAAATCTCCTCCAAATACAAAAAATTTTCTACTAAATGGCACTGTTTCAAGTAAGGGATTTACAGACTTCATAATGTCTTGCATAGAGTGGTTCACAGCATTACAAATATCTTTACTGATCATCGATGCTTCATCCCAAATAATTAATTCTGCTGTCTCAGTAGATTGACTGTTTGAAAGTTTGCTGGTATAGAGCACATCGAGTTAACATTAACTTCAAGCGGAATTTTGAACCATGAATGTGCTGTGCGTTCACCAACCAGAAGTAGTGCAGCAATACCACTGGTAGCAACAGCAAGGGCAATCTTTCCTTGACGACAAACATGACACAAAAGAGCATTGAATACAAATGTCTTTTTTGTTTCACCTAGCCCGTCTATGAAAAATAGTCTTGATGTAAAAGTAGTTACATTCAATACTTCTTTGATTGAATGACATGCCAATTGCTGATCAATATTAAATGACAAAGTTGCAGGGTCTGGCAACAAAGCAGCTTCATGGCAAAGGTCTTCTTGCTCATGCATCAATGTTTGCAATCCATGTCTACGCCTAGTTCGATTTGATGCAGCAGGAACAGGTGGAAGAGTGAAGCCACTGCAAGATACTAATGATAAAGAATTGACAATGAGATGGTTTTTAATGTCACACATACATCTATCATACATTTTCTGAGTAGACTCGAAGGAAGGGTTGTTGGTTTCAAGTCTTTCAGCATTTAGATTGTCTTCTATCATTGATTCTTTGTGGGATATTCATAGAGCAAATAGCTCTGACACCAAATAGAAAACGAAAAAAATTGCAAATAGACATCTCAATGACGATGATAGCTGGTATGATGCTGCTTCTTCCATACATACTTCCCATTTATTATCATCCATCAAGAGTCCTAATGCATGACATGCAGCTTGATTTGTTTCATATAGTTGGCCTTCTACAGTTTGGAGATCCTGGAAGCTTATAGTCTCACAAATATTATGGAGCAGAACTCTCACGAAATACTTTTCTGCATCTCTTGGTGATATAGTATATATTCTAGCAGTTGTTTCTTTGTCAAATCATACTCTTTTTTTTCATAATCAGTCTTTTAGATTCCAAACAAAATTTGTAAAAAAGTCTATATATAAGTGTTTGCATGCATCTGCAATTTCTACATTGTATAAAAACCATGCTGTCAATGTTGTATATAAATTTTTATTTGCAACTGCAGCTGGATTATCAGTTCCAGAGAAAAAAACTTGCTGATAGTCTTTGAGATGAATGGCCAGTCTTTGGTGTGTTGGATACTCTTTATGTAGCTTGAAGGAGAATATTCTCCAGCATGCTTCTGAAGCAGAGACATAGTATGCATCCAAAAAGCTGTTGACTTCATTAACAGACTCTTGTTGATTGAGAGGAGTTGTGGTAGTGATGGGTTGAACGTTTGCCATGGTTCAATTATGATCTTTATATATATATATTTGTACAAATATTTCACAGCCAATACAGGTATATATGTACTTCAACATTGATATGGGCATTGTATTTTGCACAAAGATATAAGTTACGAGGAACTACCAATGGATTGTCCAGTAGTTTTCCACCTTTTATCGCTGTTCTTCTATTATTGCATCTTCTGTACTTCAGATATCCTGTTTCATTCTCAACAGTGTTTTCATAAAAGAACTTTGAGTAATTTTTTTTTGCATTTATCATTTATCATACATGATGCATTTGGATAGGCATCTCCACATGGGCCATGCAACATGATTTTACAGACCGTTTTATATGTGAGTGGATGTGTGTCAGGGTCTGGAATTTCTGCAGATACAATGTTATTATAGTCTTCTATTGTTCTTAGTGTATCTTCAGAACAAAAAATCAACAGAATATGGGCATGTAGGAGGTCGCGTTTTTGAAATTCAATGACATAAACAAATGCAAGAAACTTTCTCAAAACATTTTTCTTTGTAAGATCATGCATGAGTTTTTTGAGCTTTAGGTTGAAACCATGGGAACAAAGATCAGACCTGTCATTAACTTTTTGCCCTCCCAGCAAAGCACTTGTTATTTCTGGCCAAGCTATGTTGCACATAAATATGATAAACAAATCTGACTTTCTAAAGTGATGCACAATACCCATTGCATCTTGATATAACTGGTGCATATGTCATGGCAAACCAACAAAAGAGAAATAAAGAATGACTCGTCTTCCAAGGTTATTCAAATCGCCATCATTAAGATTCATTGCGTTTTGTATGCTACTATAGAGATCTACTCAAAGTCGATTTTGATTTTTTGCAATAAAGATAATTCTATTATGCTCACTCTTGGCATACATGTCAACAATATACTGCTTGTGGTATTTCAGGTATGAAACAATAGAAAAATAATAAATTTAATAATAGAGACATATAAAAATACTTTGGGACTGTATATAAGTTGTCCTTTATTCATTAATAAAAAGTATCACTTTTTATAAGAAAACACAATCTGCTCTTGTTATTACGTCTTAGTTTCTTAAGGCTTTCTTCCTTTATTATATTTGGTTATTAGAGTGTATTTACTGCTTAATTAGTGTCGGTGTTACAATTATGACATCAAGTCATAAATCGTACTTCTTTAGCTCTTAGCTATTCTTTTCTCTTTTATACTAGAGCTTTAGAACTTTTTACTAAATTAGCTCCATATCGATCTGACACAGTTTACCCGGCAGTATGATATAATTATCTTAACAATCTTTAAGATATTATCTACAGTACTAACTGCAATAATTATTGGGCTGATTACTTAATCATTTATATAAATTTTATACTGACAAGATGATAGCTACTACGCTATCCCAATATGAATATGCTCTTATATGTGATAAATCCAACATCCGGGTGTCTGGATCACCACAGTTGTTGATGTTGTTGATGTTGCTCATATTAAATGTCAAAAAAATTATGCGCTGATGTTATAGTGAAAAAAGGGCAGTGATTTTAGTAGCAATCCAAAGAACCATTTATCTAGTCTCTTCACCCAAAAAAATGGGATTGTTATTATTGTAGTGGTTGAAGTTTTTAAGAAGTTGTAAAAGGAAGAATTCAAGATTTGAAATGAGGAACGAAGATTCATGAGAACTTGTGTAGGGTTTGTTTATTGAGAAAGATTTAGTATCAAAGTTTGACCAGGTTCCTACACTGAACTACTACCGTTATTTATATTATTTTGGATCGGGAAAATTATATGACTGAGGTCAGGTAATCGATCCTATCTGAGCCTTAATCAGAGCAATGTGATCTTGGGATAATTAATGTATGACTAATTATATAAATGTGTGTAGTCCCAATGAAGTATTAACATTGAAAGTAAATGTGTTTATGAGTTATAATTATGCTTATAATAATCTACTGATGTATCCTATATTATAGTGATATCATCATATTAAATATAATCACTATCATGCATGTTAAATCTGTGTGTTAAATAATAAAGTAATTGGTAGACACCTTTGACTGGAATAGCTGAGGCCTTATATTATTTCCTTCAGACTTATTCTCAATTACAGTAGTAGTCAATACTCATTTACAACAGTTATACTAATCATCTTTGATGTCAGAGATGGATATTTTTTTCTCAAAATCTTGTCTCATTGTCTTGTCTGTAAAGATAGCCATTTAAAAATGTATTTTCAAAAAAATAGTTCAAAAAAATTGAGTCTTAAATAAATTGGTTTTTATTTTTTGTTTTAAAGTAGAAAAAAATGCTAAGTTATAGCTACACCATATAATTTATGAGCAGAAATATATAATAAATTAAATCTAGTTATTCTAAGCTAAAGATAGGATTATGGAGTCTATATATCTTATAATTCTTAAAGACAAAAGCATCAAAGAACTATCTTGATAGTGGAATAACAGAGCAATCTAATAAAATATAAATATGAATGAGTATTTTAAGCTTAAAAATAAGTTAAATAAAAGCTTACCTTTGAGTTTACTGATATGCATTGTGGTGATCCAGACACTTGGTTGTTGGATTTATTACATCTAAGAACATATTCCTATTATTATAGTAAAACAGCTATCATTACAAGAACAAATGAATAATTTATTTATTTTACTTATGGTAAATCAATAAGACCAATAATTAATTACAGTAAGTACTGTAATTATGACAGCTCAGTAAGCACTGAGTTAATATGAGGACACTGCAATTAGATTAAATTATAAATATAGTAGTACCAGCTCTCTAATATCTAAATGAACTCAGACTTAAGAAATTAAGATGTGACTGACAAAGCAGATCGTGTTTTGATATAAAAAGGACAACTTTGTATTCTTTAATAAAGAAAACCTATATACAGTCTCAAAGTATTCTTATATACGTCTCAATCTTTTTACTGTTGATTTTATTCTATAAAACTTCACATGCATCTCATAAAAGTTTGAATCTCTACAAGTAAAAATAAATAAAAAATAGTTAGTATTCAATTACTTTGTAAACTAGATGTGCAGATATTATCTCAACTCATTTTGATCAGATGATAAAAAAGCTAATTGTCAGCTAATAAGACCCAAGATGAAAAACTATATTAAAAAGTACAATATTGTTTTTTATTGTATATACCTGAAAAACAAGAATATATAGACATGTTTTCTAAAAAGATAATATACTATATGTAAACACATGTAATAAATAAACTTTTGTTGGTAAAGTAAAGTAAGAAACAATGCAAAGAATATAATCTCACACTTACTCAAAATCAATTTCAAAAATTCTCATTGGTTTACTGGCTTTTAATATCAATATTGCAACTCATAGAAATGTTTTTTAAAAACTTTAAGTCATTCTCTCTCAGTTTGTCTTATTTTTATAAGTTAAAGAGATATGCTCTAATAGCAAATAATTGAAATTACAATCGTAACTTATTAAAACAAATATGTGTAAATATTTATATCTTCATTAGATTAAGTTATGTCTTAGAAGATTGCCTTTGCTAGGCATTTTTTATTAATATTATATAAGAAACAAAAAAAATCATATATATTTTCTTATTTGAAATTTTAACAAAGTTGTTTTATATGCTGAAAATTATTGTCTTGACTGAATTTTAACAGAATTATTTTTTCATTACATAATACAGTCTCCATGTTTTCTTATTCAATGTTTTGTCTTACTTGAACAGCTTTTTGTTGTGATCAAAAAAGTTTGAAGTAGGACAAAACCTTCTTTCCTTCTTTATTTGGAAGAAAAAATATCAACTCATAAAATTATAAAAAGAAAAATTCTCTAGACCAATAATATTGTTTGGGTATCATATCCTATGGATAATGCTAATCATAAATACTTTTCTGCAAGTCACAGCATATTCAGCCAATAAAGAGAGCAATTTTCAAAAAATGAAGAAATATTGTAAAAAAAAGTTAATATATTATTTTTTGAGAAATTGATTAAGAAAGACATATTTTTTATTAGACAAACCAATTCAGCAATCATTTTTTACTTTAATTAAGTTTATATAAGAGATAGTAGATAAAGAAGTATGGAGTAAATCTATCATATATAAAATAAATTAATCTTTTTTAATATTTGTGACTTGCAGAAAAGTATTTATGATTAGCTTTGACAATACCTTACTATATTTGGCTTTCAATTTTTGTGTTGATAGAATTTTTTGTTTCATTTTAATTTTTTTTTGTGATTTTTTAATTATTATAGGCCAAAAAATAAAGTTACAATTACAAAAAAACACCCCTTTTTTCCAGTAGTGAAAGGACAGTAACAACAGAAACGAATATCAAGGAACAAAAAATAAATTTTTTCTAAGTAAAAATGATGTAAAAGTGATAGAAAACATGAAGCTAGAAGTATCTTCTTTCAACAGATACAAGAATTTCTCAATAAACTACTATACAAAAGTCTCACTTTATTCATCATCTCTATATTATCTTACATCTCTTCAATCTCAATCTTATTATAATCAATCCTAAAATACTTTATTAATAATAGAATAGAATAGAAGACAGATATCATAAAAGATGGCAAACAGCAATAATTGACAGGAAAAAAAAGAATAACTGATAAAATTGTTATTAAAAGTAAGAGAAAGAGAAAGGTTTATGAAAAGAGAATGATGAAACAGAAAAGTAATAACTAACAAGGGGATCAAAACTGACAAACAACTTTTCTAAAACCAAGAAGCCGATATGTTATGTTGTAAGAAAGTATAAACCACACAGGAAAGAAAATAAGACAAAGATACTGAATTGGATAAAAAGATAATATTTTATTGCATTAAATTGCTTCTTTTTTATAGACAAAGAAATTTAAAGTTAATAATAGAAATATGGAAAAATAAAGATAGAAGAATAGAATAATAAGTAATTTACTGGAGAAATGACCCTGAATATCATTGTGTGAAGATTCATGGTTACATGTGGATATTTAGAGCAATTTTTTATCTCAGCATGTTTTTTAGTGTACATATTCATAAAGTCACGTTGTAATTTTCTATTGGCTTGGATATAATAACCATCCAAGTTATTTTATTATTATTATTATTATCAAGGGGTGAGGATTTCTAAAGATTTCTCTGGACGTTCATTTTTAATGACCAACGCTAGAATAACAGCCAATATCTTAGGTTCCCACCCGAAATAATTATTTCTTTTCAATGAAGGTCACCACAATTATTTTTTTTCCATAAGTTATATGCAGCCTAATAAAACTTTATTAAAAATTCGGTTTTTTTACACACATCTAAAAAATTATCATTATATTTTTATATATGTTCTTTAACATATTGATGAAGAAGCAGGTTTTTTTTATTAAGTACTTGTCTTGTTTCTCATATATAAGCACAGCAATATCTTAATGTCGGAATTTCTCTTAGTCACCTATTACTAAGCATAATAAATTACAATGAATTTTCTGGCGACATTAATATAAGTAGCATGTAAAAGTGCTATCTTTTCATCTTCCCAGATCTTTTAATATCTACTCAAAATGAACCCAAACGCTCCTAGTTATTCCGCTGCAACTTCTGATGTGAATGTTAGAATGATGGAGGCCCAGGTGTCTACTTCTCGCGAAGCTGAAGTTAACAGACCAGAGAACACAAAGAGAAGCTATGCTTCTAAGCAAAAAGAGTATAAAGATTGGTGTGATGAAGCTTTCTTGATCATTCCCCTCGAAAATTGCTACACTGTATATGGAGATAAGCTCCATTTGTTTCTTAAAGACTGTGTAAGTTTTTTGCTATTGTTTGGAGATATATTTTGTAAGTAATTGAATTAATTATCTTTTCTTCTGTTAGGTTGTCAACCGAACCCACAGAAGAGACACTGGAAAAACCATCAAGTATGGAACTGCAATGACCTATCTTGCTGCTATTGTGGATATGTACCAGAAGCAAGTTAAAGTCGGTGTGAACAACCACCCTCACCCTCGCAAGGCTTGTATCCAGCTGTTGGACAACATGAAGTTCAATGATGAGCGTGCCCATCATGCTGAAAACCAGGACCGTGGCCTTGGAACTCTGGTGGATGGATACACCACAGAGAACAAGATTGCTAGCATTGTTAGCTATTATTTCTCGAGATCAAGCGGAGGTGACCTGAGAAATGCAGTGTCTTTTCTTCTGTTGCATTTTTGTATGCTCTGTGGCGAATCCGCAAGAAAAGCCAAATTCACCGACCTTCAGACAGTCATGTTAAATCGTGAAGGACCTTCCGAATGCCCTGCCTTTGTCTTGGTCTTGAAGCAGGGAAAGACAAACCAGTTCGGACGAATTGAGCTTGCAGCCTGCTTGAGAAATTCCAAGGTTGAGATTTGTCCGTTCATGGCACTCGGATGCTATTTCTTCTGGAGATGGCATATTGATGGTGAGCAGTTTCCATCTTTTGAAACATCCGAGGAATGGTTCAACCATAAGTTGCTACGATCTGGGCAGGAACCAACCAGGGAAATGCCTTACTCCACTCATCTCGAAGCAATCAACAGGGCATTCAAGGCCTGTGGAATCGTTTCCACAGCAAAGACCCATGCTGCCCACGGATCATCAGCAAGAATGGCTGACATGAGTGGTGCCGACAAGTCGGATATCAGAAGGCAGGGTCGCTGGAATAGCAGCACAATGAATGGTGCATACCTCACCAATCTTCCAAGAGGTGCGATGCATACTATGGCTGGATTTCCGTCAGCTGAGGGGCAGTTCTACTTGCCAAGAGCCCAAGTGAAACCAGCCGAGTTGCTCCAGCGCAAGGTTTTCCCAATGGTAGACTTTTGGTATGACAGGATTTTGTCAGGAGCATGTCGGCAAACCGCAGCTGCACATGGGTTTCTGGAGCTTCTGAAGCAATTAAAAATCACTTTTCTACAGGATTCTGTGTTAATGATGAGCAAAACTCCAGGGCACCCATTGTGGCAGCACGGTGTATTCCATGATCCCAAATACATCAAGTTCAAGAGGTAAAAAAACTAATATATAATACAGTGAAAAAAATAGTTCTAATATATTTACATGTCAATGTTTTAGATCAGTCGAGGCTTTTGTGGAGACAGATGTCGAGCCTACTGATATCCTTTTGCAGAGAGCACTTCCTCTGATGGCCAGAAAGTTGATTGACATGCAGAATGCGGACAGCAGGTTTCGCAGAGAAGTTCTGCGGGAGTTTGGTGTTCTTCACCAGAAGATTGACGACTTGGTATCTGGGAGAATCCCTCTTTGGTCCCTTCAAGAAGATGGAGGGGAAAGAGGTGGAGCTAGATCAACAGAGGTCCAAGCATTTCCAGTCCCAGCCAACAACTCTGGACCAATTTCCCAGCTGCCAGACATATCTGTTTGGTATAGAATGAGCAGAGATGTGCAGACGATGCCTGACTTGTGGAGAGAATGGCATGTGGGACTCTCTGGCTGTGTCTCCGTACACAAGATGGAGACGAGGTACGGCGTTGCTTGGAGAAACAATGATTGACAGTTCTTCAATAGATGTAAAAGAATTGTCAATCTTATTAAAAAATATATGGTTGACAATTCCGTAAGTGAAGAAACAGCAGTCGAACTTGCAGAAGAAAACCAAAGAACAAGACGAAGAACTCTGGACTTTTTGTCTAAAAATTCAAGCCAAATCTTTCAATGATTGTAAAAATAAAAAAATATATATCTTGTTTCTTTTTATGATATTCAGTTAATGCTGCTATTAAGTAATTTAATAGCTTCCCATTATTTTCTGGTACCATCCTTGCTATATTCTACTTTATTAGATCAAACAGCTATATGTAATTAAACATATACTTAAAGAATAATACTTTATCCAATTCAATATCAGCTTTTTGATAAATATAAGAGAAGTATAGATACTTTTAAAGCTTCTACTCACGTTCATATATATATATATTTATAAGAATTTGAAAGAATCTCTTGTATGTAAAGAAATATTTTGTTTTGATCATTTTTTTGTAATGAGCAGCATATTTTTTTAGTGAAAATTACCTATAAAATTTGGTGTTCTAATGATTTTTTATTTTAAACAAGTCACTGGTTGGCTCGTCATCTGAGTCTGTAACCCCACTAAAAACTCTGTGATAGCTCCTTATTATTATAAAATTTGAACAAATAAAGTAAATGTAACACTTGTTTCCCTTTTATCTTAACATTTATAACAAAATAAACAACGTGTCCTCTACTTCTAATTTTATAATAGGAAGTGCTATTGCACAAAATACAGTGATAATCAACAAGGCTACAGCTTTGTTTCTATATGAACCCTCTAGTGTACAATAAAAGAGCAAGATATGAAGACATGGAAAGAAGTGAAAGAAGTATGTTTTGTTTTTCATTTTCATTTTCATTTTGGTTATTTTATATAATGTTTTAATTCAATAAATGTATCTGTTCAAAGAAATCTCATAGATATTGATTTTGAAAGTAAGAAACGTTAATTGTAATAAAAAGAGAAGTAAACTAAAAATTGAATTCTATATGTAGCTACATCAAACCAACAAACTGGACCCATGGAAGCAATGGGCAGTCAGACCAACTCGCCTGTTTGGAAAGGAGCCCCAATTTCTGACGATGAGGTTGCTTTTAGCAATGAGTCGAATGGTGAAAGCAGTGATGGTGATGAAAATGACAATGATGAAGAAAGGGACGGTGGTGAAGAAAGTGAAGACGATGAAGAGAATATTGTTGAGATTGAAGTCAAAGAATTCAATATTGAAGGTCAGTCTGTGTTAATTAACTAATAAAAAAAAGACCCAAAAAAAAATTCAAGGAAAAGAACCAAAAAAGAAAAATCTGAAAAAAGAGGGGGTGTTAATTTTATTTGTTTTTTTTACAATAGATTCTTTTGCTACCCCAAATATGCCTGAAAGTCCAGTACACAGGTTCATTGCTACTTTTGTGGTAATATTTGCTTCCTGCTATGTGATCAATAAGGGTACTGTTGTCTTGATTGAGATTATCAACAAGCTCTTGTCAATTTACAAGCAGGATTTCTAATTGCCCATGAGTCTTTCTGGTCTTCAAAGCATGACAGTATTCTTAGCCATAACAAAAGGGATTAAGAGATTTGTTGTGTGTCAGGACTGCCACAAGGTGTATGAGGAAAGTGTACCTGCTTCTTTGAATTGTGATTTCGTAAAGCTTGGTGCACATACCGCCTGTAATTGCAAATTAATGGTCCAATCATTGTCTGGTGGTTTGGTCGCAAAGAAGTCTTATGTATATCAGTCTCTCACACGTGCTCTTAAAATTCTTTTCCTCCGTCCCGATTTCGAGCAAAAGATCATGCACTGGAACCAAGAATTCAAGATCACTGATACATTGTGTGATGTTTACGATGGTGAAGCCTGGACTGATTTGAAGGACAATGACAATGAAATTTTTGTTGAGCATCCTCGTTCATTGATGCTGACATTAAACATCGACTGGTTCCAGCCTTTCAATGGTACTAGCTATTCCTGCGGTGCTATCTACCTGGTGATTAACAACCTGCCTAGAAGTGAGCGGTTTAAAGCAGAAAATACAATCCTTGTTGGCCTCATGCCTGGATCAAAAGAGCCAAAATCAGAAGAGATCAACCATTATCTCAAGCCATTAGTCGACGAAATGATACAGCTCTATCTTGGAATACAGATACCCACCTATCAGCAAACAGATGGTACAACTGTTCGTGCAGCCTTATTGATGGTTGCATGTGATATACCTGCTGCCAGAAAGACTAGTGGGTTCACTGCGCACAACAGCACATGCGCCTGTTACAAATGCGACAATCAATTTTCTTGTCTAACAGGCACTTCTTCTATCGATTTCCGTGGATTTGATTGTGACCAGTGGCGCCATCGAAGTGATAGAGCAAACCGTGTGCATGCTGAGGAGTGGAATAGTGTGAGTACACCCTCAGAAAGGCAGCAGCTGGAGGTCGAATATGGTGTTTGATGGTCGCAGTTGTATTGCTTTGGATACTTTGATCTAGTATGTGGAACGATCATTGATCCCATGCATAATCTTTTTCTGGGAACACCAAAGAGAATGATTGAAACATGGACAAAAATCAAAAAAATGAAAAACAATGATCTGCTTGCAATGCAGACAGTTGCAGCAACAATAATATTGCCAAGCAACTATACCAAGCTGAAAACGAAGATAGGAAAGGGCTTTTCCCACATGAAAGCAGATAAGTAGAAGTCTTGGGTATTGGTGTACTCTCCCGTGCTTCTAAAACCAGTTCTTCCATCCAATATGTTCAATGGCTGGATGCACTATGTAAAAGCATGCCGTATACTTGTAAAGCCGTCAATCAGTTTCATCGAAATAGACCAAGCACACAGATATCTACAAGAATTCTATCAATCTTGTGAAGATACATATGAACCAAAAGTCCTCACCTGCAACATGCATCTGCATCTCCATCTTCATGACACAATTCGTGATTTTGGACCTGTGTATGGCTATTGGCTCTTTGGTTTTGAGAGATACAATGATTTGTTAAAGAATAACAAGACAAACAGAAAAGACGGGTTTGAAACAACCTATATGACAAAATTCACTGCAGACGCATACAAAGCTAATTACATACAAAATACGTTATCATGTCCAAGCCTCATTCCATTCCTTCCTCTTTTCAAAAAACTTACCTCCACGACCACACCTATAACAACCTATGCCACTTATGTTCCAGCCAACCAACAACCTTTCCGACTGCAACAATTTGTAGACTCATCCTTAAGTCAAGCAGCACCTATCAAAGGCAATGAACCACTCCTCCCATCCACCTTTCCTTTACAGTCCTTAAAAGAATCAACAATGAGTGATATTGATTATCCTCAATTGTTAGATTATTATAAAATCGCCTATGACATGTCCAATCTCATTTCTTATCACAATGCCAGATTGTCACAATATTTTGTAAATAACCAAATCACAAAATTGAAATCAATTGATCTCCTTGGCCAAACATATATTGGGAACAACAGTTCTGGTAAGTGCAGTTCACTTATTCAAGCTTTCTTCTGTAGCAGCAATGACCGAACTTCAAGCCTATATACCAGACAAATTCAGTATCTTTTTATATATTTATTTACTCTGCCTCCTCATCCAAACTACCGAGCATCAACATTACATCAAGATCAGCATGTCTTTGCATACATCCAATGGTATAATTTGACAAATGACAATGAACACAGAGATGAAGGTATTGCAATCTGCTTGCCAGAATTTTTTGCTGATAATTATCACAGCATCTTGTCTGTACATCGCATACACTTAGAGGTTGCAACTGCTGTAGATGTAACTGATATGAACGAAGAAAGAATGCTGGTTATTCCTATGCCAAAAAAATACTATGCCTGAAGTCTTTATGAATAATTATGCACTATGATTTTTTATAAGAATAATTAAATAAAAAACAAAGAACAAGTAATGTCTCTTTATGCATTTTTTTGGTTATTTAAAGTATAAGACATTTTGAATGAAGAAAAAAATAACAAAAAATATAAACTTTATTTAGGGCCCGTTTCTAAGAGCCCACTGAGGAAACTGTGACACAATTGCATCAGGGACTGATCCTTCAACGGTTTCGCCAAAAGCACGTGACCGCAATTGATGGCTATTTAAGCCTAAATCAGCTACCACTTTGTTGTCAACAAGTGTGATGAAGTGGTTGTACTATATTAAAGACATTAATATTTTATTCAGTATAATACAATATAATATATTAACTAAATTAAATATTTCAACTTTAAAAAAACTAATTACCTCATCACTTCTCCAACCTGGATGACGAAGACAAAGCGCACTATAAGAAACATGAGGCGAAGTGACATCGTCTGACTCACCAACAGACATAGCCTCTTCTATAATGAGACCAGAGCAATCTCTTTTCATCTCGTCATTAATAGCAGTCTTGTTAGACTGGTACGCTGTTTTGCAACGTTTCAAGTGCTGTTGAAAATATTAAATTAGCTTTCTTTTTTTGCTTTAAATTAATGACGTAGATAAGAATTATTCAAATAATAAATAAATAAAGTATAACTTACCTCCTTTTCGTGGCTACTCTTTCTGTTGCGAGCATTGTCTGACTTTTTTTTAGCCTGAGACTTATTAGCTGCACGCTTTTTGCTAGTGAAATTCATGTAGACAAAGTCACGGACATCACTTTTTCTCAGTCCTGCTCCTACAAAATTTCTTTCCAAGTAGGTAACGAGGTTTTCTGTCAACTCAGTGGTTGGCGACTGGTTGAAGTTGACAGCTGTGTTCCACCTTGGCTTGAATTCCAGCCAAATGTTTTGACTTGAACTTAGGGTCCCACAAACGCTCCCGAAGAAGTCTCTATTGAATCTTGGTAAGCTATTAAAGATATAATTTACTATATGTATGATACATACATAGGCTTTTGTTTTGTTGACTGATTTTGCATCAGAAGCCATGGTGGGAGAACCAGTTACATTCATTTCCATGCTCACAGGAGCAACAGCATGCACTAAAGCCATCGGCTGACTCTGCAAAAACAGCAGATACAGGAGTGTTCAAAGTTTTTGCTTTGATATCAGCAACGTCTTTCATGACAGTAGTCATGTCATGATGCAAGATGGCAAGAGAGTTTGTCATCTCTCTCTCAGCAGGAGTGCATCAAGTGGGATAGCTTTCATTTTGGTTAGACATGTTCTATTAATTTAAAAATATAAGTTCAAATATGTATTAACTGTTAATGTTTTTATATTATTTGAATAAATTTCTATTATACACTATAATTATATTTATTATCAAATATACCAAAATAAAAGACAGAAAAAGATAGAGAGATAGAGAGAGAAAGTGTGAGTATAAATAAAAATAATTGTAAGAGTACATGAGCAAAAGTGAGTAAGATTGTAGCAAAAACATATATTTATATTTCCAAAAAAAAGAATGTCTAGTCTTGATTGATCTTGGTTAAAAGAATATATCTAAAGTAACTTCTTGTATACATACTGTGTAAATTGATACAAAGGTTGCTTTTAGATACTATATCATTATATCAATTATGTTTTTTGGATTTTTTTTTTGAGTTTCATTTTTTTTAATTACCTATTTTGTTTTTTTTGTATTTTATTTACTTATTTTTTTATTTATCCATATTTATCCATATTTTTTCTTATCAACTATTTTCTTTTCTTTTCTTTCTCTTTCTGATTTTTGTTACAACTGTGAATTTTACTTGTAAGATACATTCTTCTTAAAAATACTTCTGTACAGACAACAACAAGATTAACATATTCTGTTGTTCTAGATACATATATACTCTCTTAGTGTTTTACTATATTTGCAAACTTTTTTGGTAACATATCTTCTTTTTTTTAAAAATTCTTTTCTTCAAATGTAACTAAATAATAATTATTATTTCAGTTGTCATAGATACTAATGTGTTTTTTCTTTCTGATGTATTCTCTTTACAATGGTCATCTGGATTAGTCCAGGTTAGTAACTATACTTCATGTCATTATCCTATAAAATTATTCTGACTTTTCTCCTTCTTTTTTATAGACAATATTGTCAAAATTATTTCCTACAATTAAACAAGACCATCAACATGGTAAGATTTTATTTTTTATTTACTTTCAATATTTATCTGACAGAATATAATTTTTATTACAGATGAATGTTCATCTGCTAAACATGCAATGAATCAAAAACCTCTATCTCTTGGTGCCGTCATTGGTATGAAGTTTTATAGAATAAAATCAACAGTAAAAAATTGAGACGTATATAAGAATACTTTGAGACTGTATATAGGTTATCTTTATTAAAGAATACAAAGTTGTTCTTTTTATATCAAAACACAATCTGCTTTGTCAGTCACATCTTAATTTCTTAAGTCTGAGTTCATTTAGATATTAGAGAGCTGGTACTGCTATGTTTATAATTTAATCTAATTGCAGTGTCCTCATATTAACTCAGTGCTTACTGAGCTATCATAATTATAGTACTTACTGTAATTAATTATTGGTCTTATTGATTTACCATAAGTAAAATAAATAAATTATTCATTTGTTCTTGTAATGATAGCTGTTTTACTATAATAATAGGAATATGTTCTTAGGTATAATAAATCCAATAACCAAGTGTCTGGATCACCACAGATATAGGTGGGTATTCAAATTTTAAGAAACAAAATTATATTGGGGGGTTTGGCTATAGAGGTATCGGGAGCAAGATTTCCCAAGAAACCTGGGGGGACCGCTCTTGTCCCTCGAGACATGTCACTCGGTCGACTCACCATCGATGTCAACGCCCACAAGTCCGGTACCACCCGTCACGGCTCACCGCCGGACCAAACCACTGAAGGAACTCACTGTCCGGTATCCATCACCAGAAATTGTTTAAAATTGAATTTATTTACAACACACATGACACATATATTTAGCGCGGATGGTTAAGTGGTATAATCTTCGCCTGCCACGCGAAGGGCCCGGGTTCGATTCCCGGTCCGCGCACATTTTGATACCGCACATCAGATATTTTTGTCCTTAAGGTTGTCGTTCCTGATCTGGGTTGGTCTTTCTTTTACTATAACAATGTCAGAGTTGACATCGTGGATAGAAATCCTTAAGTCAGGTATCCAATCAGTTATTCCTTTTAACATATGCCCTCAATGTTATGTCAAGTCTCGATCTGGTATTTCTTTTCTGTCACTTGTAACTAAGTCGCAGAATCAATACCACTGGGGATCGTCAAGTTTATGAATAGTTTTTATATAAGAATGAAGATGCTTTTTATTAAATGTATTTCTTGACTATTTATACAAAATGATAATTGATTTCTGGCTAAAAGAATAGCTACGATAATATGTCTTAGATGCTTGTTGTCCAGTAATATCTTCTACAAGTATATTCACCATCTTAAACATGTAAAACATATGTGAAAGACCAATTGGCGAAGTTAAGATCTTTTATCCTAAAAAGTCAACCATTACTGGTTGCTTGTAAATCCCGATTTTGGTTACTGATATCAACTCTGACAGTTATACCTATTGGTTCCCCTTTTTGTTAACCAAGATATATTATATTGTGTTTCATAAATGTAAAACCAATATGTCTTGGGTAAAATAGTTAGATTAGATAGTTTCACTTTTAAGAAATCTGTAAAAATACTCCAAAATTTATATCAATAAAAAGTATTCAATTCTCTATATTCCTATCTGTTCCTATTTATTCACAATGTTTTAATTGGTGGTGATCTATCACTAATATTAGGGGGGTGGCATTTTCAGGATGGGGCACTACCTTTTTGATAGAAAACGTTGTTTTGATTTTACTAAACCACAAATTGTGACTTGCTGTCCAGTATCAAATAATTGTATCTGGTCCCTAAGGATTCATACTTATCATAATAAAGATACTTTTATACAAGGCAGAATAATAGCTTTTTCTACACTTTTTTCCTCTATGTAATTATGTCTATTCCTTCTCCACTCATGTGTATTAGCTCACTAAATTGCTCCCAAACTTTGTGCATTAATTAAACTGTCTCCAGGCATATACCTCTCCTTCTTTAGGAGGTACGACCAGTTTTTGGGCAAAATGATAATAAAAAATCTTCTCATATAAAAAAACAGCTTTGACTAAATATAAAAGCGTTGTTTTTTAAATATAATTCTATACTTAAAATTTTATACTATATGTAATAAATTAACTGATATATATAGAATAATAAAAAACTATCTAACATGTTACTTCAAGACATTATATCCTAATAGAAAATGTTGTGCCCTACTCTGGAAACGTCGTCCCCCAAAAGTCACAACTTTTCATATCTTGCCTATTGAAAAAATACCTTATAAAATTTGAAATTTCTTTACTAAATACTTTATTAGGCTTATAATATCCTTTAATGTAATAAACCACTGTAAAAGACCGCTGATTTTAGTTTCCTGAAAACCTGCAAAAATTTTACTACAATTTTCGATTTCTAATTTTTTCAAATAATTTCTATTTTTTTCTGTTGTGATTTCAGATCGCTCTTTTTTAGCTGTAAAATCACACTACCATCTTTTTTTTGACCATAAAATTACAAAATTGGGTTTTTTTTATATTATACACTTCTTTGATATAATTCTAAATTACACTGAAAAAACACTTATACAAAAGTTAATACAATATTTAATAAAAATTATATATATTCTTAAGGTTTCCTTTTTCTATTTCAAAATAAATCATTTAAACATTTTTATGTATTATAAATGTGAATATAAGAACAAATATTTAATTAATATATTTCAAGGGAACGAGACAAAAGGTTGTGATTTCATTTTTACTGTGGCAATATTTTTGCGTGATTTTTCTCTTTGATATATGAAATTAAAATATCAGATTTTTTTATTTTACATGTTGTGAGAGGCGAATGTTCCATTTTTGGATTATTTTTTGTCATGGTCGAATCATCGTCATATCAAATATTATAATTCTAAAAAAAGACTTTAAAAAAAATTGCGTACACTTTTAGTAATGTATGCAGTATTTGACTTGGTTAATGACTTAATGATATATGAGTATAATTATGATGATATGTGCAGTAGATGTATCAAAGAATTACTTGGAATACTATAGTTATGGCATGGAGCAGTATTTTATATATTTATAATTTTTTTTGGTATATAAAGACCTTGATCAAGATCTCTTAAAATCTATATAATTTTTTTTATAATTTAAAACAATCAACATGTCTAATAATCAAAAGAAAGACAGTTATGTTATCTGCAAATGTCCAGACTGTACAAAGTTGGATAGCTGTGGAAAGAAACAGAAACCACAAAATGCACAACGACACTATAAGAAACATATAGTGACTGTTGCCAAAGACAATGCAATGGGTAAATAACAAGAATAACTCGAGCTGTACATGTAAAATTAATATAAATTAATTCATAAAATAGATGTTCCTGAAGAATATTTTGACGACATGGAAGTAGATAGTATTGACAGTGACAATGACAATGATTATGATTGCAAAAACGAAGGTGAAGGTGAATATGAAGATGAAAATGAAGAACAAAACATTGAATTTGATCAAGAAGGTAAGAAAATAAAATAAAATAAATGAACAAAATAATAATTGAAACTGATATATATTTTTTTTATTTTTTATTTTTTATATGATTATAATTGTAATTATATTTTTATTTCTACATCTTTACAGCAATTATTTCTTTCCAGTTGACTTACCTTTGTCCCAAGAAGAGTCTATCTTTACTGCCAAAGATACATTTACAGGAGCATTTGTGGTTGATAGAGATGAGATGGAAGAAGGCAATACTGGTTTTGATTTTGAACAAGAAGAAAACTTTGAAGAGACCAGTGGGATCTCAATAGTAGAATCAGGTATGAATTAATAAGGTATAGACAATTAATCAATATATTAATTTAAACTAACTTAACCTTTGTCTTCATAGTTCGTTCTTCATCTTTTAATAACATGCCCTTGTATATCTGCTTTGTTGCAGTATTCATTGTCATATTTCACTTGATCTTTTTAGTGGAAAGCAGTGGATCGATTCTCATTGAATTTTGTAATACTCTACTATCTCTCTGTGATATGTCTGGCACCCTTCTACTGATGATCAATAGCTTGAAGCATAAAACAGGATTTAACATGGTAACAGACGGAATGACAGTATACATTGAATACTCACAATGTCATTCGATTCAGCAATCTTAGGGGACGGGGGGTTTTTGGCTATAGGGATGGAGAGTAACGGCACCACACAATTTAACGTGACTGCGAGTCCGAGGCCTGGCTATAAAGTGTCTTGAAGAACCCCCCATCCCCATTCTTTATAAGCACACCCTTGTCCCCATCATTTATAAGCACACCTTGCTCCATTGTTATAAGCACACCTCTGTCCCCATCTTTAGATCATTCCAATTTCCCGGGAAAAATAAAAACACCCCCTTTCTTAAAGTCATTAACATTTAGTTGTAAGAATACAAAATAATATTTCCAAATAACAAGAAATGATGCCTTTTTTACATTATGTACATTGCATACATTGTATACATTGCGTATATGAATCAATAAAAATACTTATATAACTACAGTGCTCTTTTATTAAATATGAATACCAACTTCAATACCCCTATTGAGAAGATGTACTTGCTTAAAACAACTCTCTCATTCCCCGAGAATGGTTATCCTGACAAACAAAGCGTTTTGGAGGCCATAAACAAGTATGCCCTTTCTAATAACTTTACTGTCAAAATTAAGGATGGAAAGTTTCCAACACTTCACCTTGCTTGTTCAAAGGCTGGTGCCTATCGTGATAAGTGTAACATCAGCGAGGATAAAAGAAAGAAGGCCCCTAACTCTTCCCTCACTGGATGCCCCTTCCTATTGAGATATTCTTTTAAAAATAAGAGTCAGAGATACCTTCCCTTGCCTGCCCGTAGTGACAATGAACATTGTCATAACCACCCCATTACCCCAAACAACTTGACGTCTTCTCACCAGGGAAGAATGTCTCTCCTGACTTTGGAAGATGCAATTATTGCAAAGACAATACTAGAAAATCATGCCAAGACTAGCAATATTCAGAAAGCTACAAGAGATAAGATCATGGGAATGAGAAAGCTGAGAATTAGCAATATCAACAACCTGAAGTATAGCTCTTCTTGTGGTGGTGAAACATCAATTCATGGCGCTACTGGGCTCATAAGAACTATGGAAGCAAAGGGATTTTCTGTCCTTTATCAATTCAATGAGAGAAAAATCCTCATGCACATTTTCTTTATAAATGAGACAATGATAAAAAGAGCCTGTCGTTTTCCTGAGGTTCTTATTGTGGATGCCACTTACAAGACAAACTGCACGAAGATACCTTTAGTCTGTGTAGAGGGTGTCAGCAACCTTGGTAGAGAAATATTGGAGCTTTCCTGTTGCATTTGCGTGGGTTTCTGATGAGACAGAGACAAGCTATGCCTGGTTTGCAAGATTGCTGAAATCAATCGTATTGGAGGGAATTGAGGACAGCCCTATCTTTGTTACAGACAAGTGCAAGGCATTGATGAATGCCCTTGATTCCGAGTTCCCTGTGAACAAAAAGCTTCTCTGTGGTTGGCACATGATAAATAACATTGCCAAGATGACAAAGAAGACTATGAAGGCAGGCAAAGGCAGGAATACGTGCACCAACTTGATAAACAGCATGATATTTGGAGACAATGCTGGCATGTTTATGCAGAAAAGAGAACTTTTCAGATCGTTGGCTTCTTGTGAGGATCTCAAGACTGAAGGACTATCTGAAAATGGTAAAAATGGTGCAGTAAAAAGTTTTGAGGAGTACTTTGAGAAGGAGTGGAGGAGCTGCAAAGAGAAGTGGACTGGCTACCTCACCAATAAGCTAAAGCACTTTGACTGTGTGACAACACAGCATGTTGAGAGTGGCAATCATGCCCTGAAAAGGAGTATCTTGGCTCTCCAGTCTTTGGACTTCTCGTTTGAGCAAATATGCTTATATCTCTTGCAATTTGAGGGTGACTACCAAGATCGTAGACTGGATGAGGAGTTGGTGACCAATGCAAGAATCCTTGCTGATGAGCGCCTTTGTGGATTGGTCCACTCAGTTTCCAGAATGGCATTGTTCACAATTCGTGCTGAACTTCTTGAAGAGGTTATTATTGGTGAAGCTTGTTACTGCAGAGTAAAGACTATGTTTGATCTCCCTTGCCGCCACACTCTGCCATGAAATTGGGCCCTCACACTTGCAGACATTCCTGAAGGATGGGTTGTCTCTTCTGCCCTCCCATTCCATAATAAAGAAGTAGAAAAATCGGAAAGTATAAGTACTGTGGCAATTGAGAAACAAGCTCTGTGAATGAAATCAATTGCACAACTTGAGCAGTTGTTTAGATGATGTGAAGGAGAACAACAAATCTGTAACCTGATGGCAAAGGTGAACGATCTTATAAATAATGCCGGTAATTTAAAGGATCACCGAGAGGTTACCTTTCCTTTGTCAAGTGAGATCAAAGCTCCTGGAAGACCTAAGCACGTCAAAAGGAAAACTGCTCTCCCAAAGGACTTTGTCCGTCACAAGCACAGCCATCTCCTTGTGCAAAAGAACAAAGTAAGCATGCAACATACACAAACATGATTTCACAATCTAATACATATTTATTCTTTATTTCTTTAGAATGATATCAGAAGTATTTTGAAAGAAGGACTTAAAGAAGTGATAAAGGAGTTCTTAGAGGAGGAAGCTCTCAAAAAAAGTAATTTATAATTGTTTTTTTTGTGAAATTACAATGTAATATCTAATGCTTACTATTTCTAGTCATAAAAGAAATAAAAAAAAGAAACCCAATTTGCTGAAAAACAAGAGCCTCTCGAAGAAGATAATTTTTGATAACTTATAAATAAATCACAAAATATTTTGTATGGTTTGCTCACACATTGCATGTTTTCTCTATAGCTAAAACAACCAATTCTGCTAAAAAGGAAGAGCCTCTCAAAGAAGGTAACCAATAAGATATTTTACTAAAATTAAATGCTAAATGTTACATTGTTTTTTGTTTCTTCTTAGCTGAAAAATATTCCTCTCGAATAAAAAGACCTAAACATCTCCAAGACGACTACTGGTACGATTTGCCTAGTCCAAAAAAAAAAAAACAAAAATGTGCATGACTTTGCTCTGCCTGCTAAAATCGACTAAGCCACTATTTCGTTGTCATTTAACCCCAAGTCTGATGGTTGGTACGGTTTCTGTATATTTGCACACCTGAAAGAGGGTGGAGAAGATCAGTTTCCTTTGGTAAAGAAGAAGACGTTAGCCACGATAGCAACCCACAGAAAACTTTACAAGCACAACTTTGGCATGTATGTTGCCAAAGTGACAGAGGTCATTGCCTTTGGCTCCGAGATTGACCCTGCTCTTGAGGAAATTATCCCATCTTGCCCTTCCTCTATGTGGTTCTCTGCACCAGACTGTGCTCAGATAATAGCTGACACCTATAACGAGCCTGTTTGTGTGTACTCAGACAATCGGAGAGTCTTGCCTGTAACTTTCCTTCCCCTCCATGATCGGACGCCTCTCAAAAGAAAGCCATTGCCAATGGTCTTGCACCATGTACATGGGTGCCACTGGACAACAATTAAAGTGAAGCCTCATGTACATCGGTCCTGGCCTGAAGTAAATGCACTGTCTTTTGATGCTATCCATAGAGGGAGTATTATTGACTGCTTTTCCACAAGTTGGAATCATTGGGGTCAGTTCCCAAAGAACAAGTCTTATCTTTTACCCTCCACTACTACAACTACTACAATTACTACTAATGCCACTAACTCTTCTACATATTCTCCTGTAAATTCTTCCAATATTATTGATCTCACATATATATAACTTATCTATCTTTCTATCTTTTAATATACTTTACTCCTATTTTTTTCTTTACTTTTTTAACAAACACAATTGCACCCAGTCTGTCTTTAATTTTAATGTTACATGTAAAACCCAGATACGAATATTATTGGCATCCAACTAATTAGAAGACTATATAATTGGCTTTTATTTTTTGGAGTACAAAGTCTATGCATTTATAAGCAATCTGATTAAGATCTTCATCCAATCACAGACGTGAATTTTACCATAAAAGATGTAAAACAGAAATGATGCATAGCTTTTGATAGATTTCTGTCATAATTCGAATGCTAAAGCTTGGATATTTTGCCGTATTGCTGAAAAAATACGTACATCTCTATATCAAAAATTTGAAGTTAATTTATTATGTTTTGGTTGAATAAACAAGCAAAATATACACTTTTTTTCACGTTTTTAACCATTCGAGATAGATTGTTTTTGCTAATAAATATCTTTTCTACATAATAATATGGTCTAAAACTTTTACTGAAACGTTTTTTTATTATTTTCTATTGATATAAAGCATTTGCAAGTGATTTTTACTAATATTTTCAAATTGTTGTTTTTTTTGTTCAATCTTTCACAAATGAAATTACAGAACTTTTGTAATTCACTCATTAAACGTGATTCAAAAAATATTACAAAACAAACAAATACTCACTTTATGCAGAAAAAATCAACGAAACCAACCATCTTACTCTCATATTTCTATCTATTTTTTTGAACGAGTTATCAATTTTTTAAAAATAAATAAAAATGAAAATAAAAAGTTACGCACAAATGTTCTTTCACTTTTGCATGATTTTTCTTAGTAAATAAAGACAAGTGATTATACTGAATGGGGACAGGGGTGACTGTTTTTTGGGGGACAGGGTGTTACACACAGAAACGATGGATGTCTGCCGGACAAGTTAAAAGTAGTCACGCCTCTAATTATCTGCCGGACTACTCACTATAAGCTTGTGTAACACCCTGTCCCCTAAGATTTATGCATTCGATTTATCCCCCGGAAACAAGTCAAAGAGTCTGTACATTTAAGAAATTCTCTCAATCTGCCATTTGCAACAACAATCTCTTTAAAGTGTCAACCGGAAATCGTTCTCTTCCAACAATGGTATATCTATTCAACTCTCTGAAGTACGCCTTACAACAAAAATTTTCCAAGCCAGATTTCGTGTCCAAGATCAATTTGTGGAGAAATTGTCAAATAATTGAAAACACCAAACTTGACATTTTTGATGGTGCAGTTTGGAGTGATATTAAAGACATAAATGGCAGATGGTTTGTTGATGATAGCCAATCTTTAATGTTAACTCTGAATATCGATTGGTATCAGCCATTTGATAGACGAACACATTCCAGTGGTGCAATATATCTCTCTATCAACAATCTCCCACAGAGTGAGCGCCTTAAGTCTGAAAATGTCATTCTTGTTGGTATGATGTCTGGGCCAAAGGAAGCAAGCACTGACAGCATGAATCATTACTTGAAGCCGCTCATTGATGGGATTGTTGGAGATGTACATTGGTGTAGAAATGACAGACTCACAAATAGAAAGATTATTGTATGTGCTGCATTGATGTGTGTTGCCTGTGATATCCCTGCCGCTCGCAAAACCTCTGGATTTACTGGCCACATGAGCACATGCATCTGTCACAAATGTCAACAACAATTCACGACTATAAAAAAGACCAGCAAGCTTGACTACTCTGGATTCAAGTATAGCAATTGGGTGAGACACACAGACAATGAATCTGGAACACGCTGTCAGCTAGACAAATGCATTGAACAATACTGAGTGAACACGCCTAGAAAAAGAAAACGGCACTCGGTGGTCAGAGCTTCATTGGTTATCTTACTTTGACCCAGTCCGCTTTACAGTTATAGACCCAATGCATAACCTCTATCTTGGAACTGCAAAGCAAATGATTCAGATATGGCGCGAGTGTAACTACATCAATGAAAAGAATCAGTTAACTATGCAAGAGCTTGCCAATGGTATTGTTGTACCTTGTGGATATGCACGTATAACAAAGAAGATTGCCAATGGTTTTTCGTTCATGAAAGCTGACAAGTGGAAGTTGTGGTGCATCATATACTCTCCATTTGTTCTGAAGCATGTGCTCCCAGCCAAGAATCTCGAAAACTGGATTTTGTTTGATGACGCATGCCGCTTACTCACAAAACCTTCGATCAATGACAAAGAAATAGACGAAGCCCACAGTAAACTCCAATTGTTTTGTACAAGATTTCAGACACTGTATGGAAAATCGGCCGTGACACCGAATATGCATTTACATCTTCATCTTGGCAAGTGTATTCATGACTTTAGGCCAATTTATGCTTTCTGGTTATTCAGTTTTGAGAGATACAATGGTTTGTTAAAGAATATCAAAACAAATCAAAAAGGCGGCTTCGAATCAATGATGATGAAGAGATTTTTAGAGAGAACATACATTGGCAGCTTCATACAATCTTTCATCAACCATCTTCCCCAGTTCGCAATTGACTTTCTGCATTGCATTTCAAATAGTCAAGATCAATTAGCAGCATTGCATCCATCTCCTACTGCCAGTACCTTTTATCTGTCTGACTTTGTTGAATATTCGTTAAACACTTGTCATTCTGCTTTGGGTTGTGAGCCATTGCCCCCTTCAGTGTTTCCAATTAAACTCGACCAAAGGATTACAATGTGCAAGGGACATTATGAATGTTTACTGGAGTTTTACAGACACGCATATGGCAGTCACGATCTTTTTGGCCATTATTCAAACTGCGAGTCTAACCAGATTTTTGTCAATAACCGAATTGAGAAAATGAAACGGATATCTCTTCTTGAACAGGAATACTCTTCTGGATCTTATTTCCACGCCTATTATCTTGAGAATAACAGTGAAGATAAAGCAGCATTTTCTGGCTGTATACTGTATTTATTTCAACATTTGATAACCATCAACGAAACTGTCAACACCCATACTTTTGCGTTTGTTGAGTGGTACTCTAATTATTCTTTGGGGAGTTACCAGCCAATGTTAAATGAAGGCATTGAGCTCTGGAATGGACCTTCTTCTGTATTTAATTATGAATGTATTATTCCAGTACATCGTTTATATTCACCAATCGCAATTGCTAAATATAGGTTTACTATAACTAGTGAATTTAAACGTTTAGTAATCCCTTTACCCCAAAAAATAGAAGCTTAAATAATATTAATAAAATACCACTTTGCACTCTTTTATCAATTTATTAGAAAATGTTTGATTCATTGTCTTATTGTTTCTTTGACTATGATGGCAGCTTGTTTGCCTTGGTCTTACTAAGCTGCTTATCTCTTATTCCTTTAAATTTATGCTCAAATGGACGGGTATTATTTTTCTTATCATGAGCTGCCTCATAATCCGCATCAAGTTCATCAACGAACCTATCTCCCTATATCTCAATGTAAGTATTATTACATACCATCCAAAAAAATAGTTTTTTATACTATACCTCTTTGCTTCTCCAGTTTGGGCGGAATCTCCAAAAAAAAACTCTTTTCTGAGGACGAATCCTGTTTCTCTTCTTCTCTTTCATCATCACTCTCAAGGTCTGGCATGTAATCAGCATGGAGAATACTGTTAACATTCTCTCCAAAGCTGTTCACAAAGTGTCCCCAATTGGCTTTCAAGGTAGATTGTCTTCTTTCACACGACTATATATAAATATATAATATTTCTAATTTAATATCACATCTAGTATATTGTGTGCATGTGTTTCTTACCTTTACACGTCGCTGACAAAGACAGGCCCATCGATTCTCTTCCTGCTTCTTTTCTCCTGTTTTTTTTTCTTGTAACTTTCTGTTGCCAATGTGCCGCACAATCTTAGTTCGAAGAGTTGGCAAGTCTACCTTTTTCCCCTCGTCTTGACAACAAAGGTAATTGGTAACAGACTTCAGAACAAGTCTGTTTCCCTCACCGTTTTTATTTTCATTGGTATTGTATTGGTCATACAATTTCTCTTCACTCAAATAATCGCATAACAATTGCTATAATATAAATGTATATATTAAATTCTATCTACATAAAAACATATTATGATTACTTACATTCAATGTTGGTTGACGTCCAGGCAACATGTCTTGCTCAACTGCATTACTAGCAGTGGCTTCCGCTTTCTCAGATAATGTGTTCATCAAAACAGTGTTTAAGACACTATTCATGGTATCAAGTTTCTCATACACATCATGGATGTTACCAGTTCTACCCGACAAATCACCTTCAAGATTCAACCGAGCTCTCTTTGGTGCTAGTCGTCTTTGATTGCTCACTGTTCCCTGTGAGTGTTGCAACATTATCATCCTTATATCATTAGTATTTCTCGGCGGGCCTTTTTTTGATTTTTATAAAAAACGAAAATAAAATTAATATAAAAAAATTGAAGACTGCCTGGTTTTAATCTACCTTCCCACAGAAAGTTCTTCACCAAAAGCATTGTTAACTGAATTGTTATTGAGATTTCTTGACATTGTGAATAATAAGAATAGCTTGTTTTTTTTAAATTCAAAGGATCTATTTATATTATGTTTAATTTGGGCTTTAAGTTTTATTCTTTCTCAGAGAACACCATGATCTATTACGTAACAAGAACAGCTTTGAATGTTTCCACTCTTGTTGTGAGTATTTTATGTGTTTCTTTAATTTAATTTTCAATCCATGTTTTATTCTTATATTATGTATTAGTATTTGAATAATATGATTTTATACTATACTCTGTTTTTCATATGTATTAGCTGCTGGCATAGTGAAACTGCGTTTTCTTTCAATTCTAAGTTACAGACAAAAATTATTTTTTGATTTATTTATTTTTAAGAAAAAACTCCGAATTCGTATTTAATAGAATAACTGCGCCCCTCTTTTTTATTTTCTCTTTCCTTAACCTGCTCTTCTCGTTTTATCTCTTTTTATATGTCTTGGTAAGCTTACTCTTAAGATCTCAACTTTTATTAATACTTTTGGCTTTTAGAATCATCTTAATATATATTAGATAAACAATACACTCAACAAGCATTCAAAACAGTACAGGTAATAAACAATCTCCTAACCAAAATGAAACACCTTGCTGACTAAATATCTTTTATTTTTAAAATGATAGGGCTTCTACCCATTTTGTAATAAAATATGTTTTGCTCTTGACACTATATACTTTCTGGTATTTTCAGTCTATGAAAAGGTAATATATATATAACTCAACTTAAATAATGTAACTTATCAATTCTTCTTCTCAGATAAATATGTCACGCCTTTTTTTCAAGTCATACTGGTTTGCCCCCTTTTGCAAACGCGTGTCTATAATATGTAAGTAATTCAAGTGTCTTTACAATCAAAGCGTACATATTAATAAAGTTGTTTATTTTATTTCTTGCTTTTTATTTAAAAGAAAATATCAATCGAACGGATTTTTATTCTATCGCGAGATTTGTTATGAACCCCCATAAATGATCTAGTAAGTATGTTATTTCATTTTATTTCATAAAGAAACCTATATTAATACTTCTGTATCTTTTTTTGCTCTAAGCTAATGTAGTTCCAAACAAACGTATTCTCCAAGAAAATACCAAGGATTTCATTTTCAGTTAAAGAAGTGTAAAACCAAAAAACGCGCCGAATACATGAAACCGATAAGGTAGGGAAGTATAGTATAAGTTAGGTCATCCAATGTATTCAAGCCGTCCAATAAATGAAAGTATAACATGTATACAAGTCGTACTATTTGTATACACACTTTTAAAGAAGTATTAGTGGTCCATATTAAACAGCTAAATATATTTTCCAACCATTCAAAAATTAATAAAAACCATTTTTTCTATGAGATTCTATTTCAAATGCGTCATCTCTTGATGATGTCAACCAGATCTATTTAAGTTTTTTTTTACAATCATTCATTTGAATGCTGGTTCCTGTCAGATTTCAGACTGATTCTAGGTCAATTTTAGTGAGGTCTATCCAATAATATTATGTAATTAACGCAAATAAAATTTTTAAGAGGTAGAGAGTTCAAAGTCAATTCTATAACAAGTAGTGTTTAGGTACGGTTTGAAGTTATGGGTGAATATATAACCAGAATTACAGACAATTATAATATTTTAAGAAAAGAGGGAATTATAACTCTCAATTTATCTATTGATTTTAGTATCTATAATCTCATCATTTAGTTAACTAAATGAACCAATTTTTGTAACAAATACCAAACTATAATTGAACATAAACCACCAATTTTTGGAGGATTTAAACAAAAATTAAGCTACTTAAATCAGTTGTCTTTTGCAGTGCATTCTGTTAAAGTACAAAATAAAGTCCTCATATACCCTAAATTTCACAAGAAATTCATTATACAGTGTATTATAGGCAACAAAAGTTGTTGCATGCATCATATTACTCAATACAGCATGAACACTGTTACGAGCTATGTTCGAAGCATATGTTGAGTTTTGCACTTTAATCTATATTATAGTGTTATATGAGATATACACAATTTTAAATAAATGTACTACCACTGCAAAAGGAGGGCCAATTCAGTATACTAAATCTTGACCAAATACTGTCTGAATGAATAAAATTCAGCATGAATTCGATCGGAATTTATGATGCCAATTTTTTAAAATTCGTGAGCTAAATGAATACAATTAGTATACTGAATTTTAGGAACGCAAAAAGAAAAAGTGTGATATACTTTTATGTGATATATTTTGGTCGTGAAAATATAGACGCACTTTTATCAGACCGCAGATTTTTCATTTTATATTGGTTTTGGGGTTTTTTTTTAAATACAGCACATAACATTCAACATCTTTTTATTACTATATATGGGTTGTTAAAGAAGAGATTTGGTCAAGATTTGGTCAAGATTTAGTCAAGATTTAGAGGTTTATGGGTCATTTTAAAGGTTTTTATTGGTTTGAAAAAATTTTCTTATTGTTTCTAGCTGTTTCTATTCGTCTACATCACTAATCGTCTTCTGTTGCAATTGGGTAGAAACATCACACTCGATGCCGTCATTTATTTTAGTGGATACTATGTTATTCCTTTCGAACATCCATTGGTCCACCCCTGGTGCAATCGACCCCTACTGTATTCCATTGCTTGCTGCGGCACGCCTTCTTGGCCTGTTTGTTTACTTTTATAAAAAATAATTATAGGGTGGATTAGAAAGAATGTTCTAGGTATATTTATTTGAGAGCGACAGATTATTTAAAAAATATGAATGTACTTACAATAAAGTTAAACATGAGAACAGATGGATGTCTTTAACATAAAGATAGATATATCAACGTTTTAGTTAAATGTCTCAATTATAGTAATATTGTCTATAAAAATAATAACTTTTGTTAATACAATGCAAAGTAAATAAGACTATGGTTTGCTTACCAGACAGTTCAGAAAACAGAAGAGTTGACAAACACAAAATACAATGACATTGTCTATAAAATATAATCTTTTATTAGAATGAAATAAAGAGTATCAGACTATTTTTTGCTTACCAATTATTCAATACAATAGAAGATGCAGCATGCAGGAAATGGAGATATTATCTATAAAATAATTTCTTTTCATTAGAATTACATACAAAGAAGTATAATGATTATTTACTTACTTGTCTGTCTGTAGAGAATAAGAGTCGGTGTATAATCAAAAAAAGAGGACCGAGATAAAGACCAGTGACTATAAAGTGTATGGTATACATAAGAAAAATAATAAATACAAGTTGTATCTTGAAGGTGTACGTTAATATTTATATAACATACCATTTTGTAAACCCTCCCAAGGTATATGTCTTTGTTAACGGGCCAGAAAAATCTAAGCAGAATAATTAATACATAAATCGTGAATAAATATTCAAGCATATTTTTATTACCTTTTTATCATTATTTTTGAGGCAGTTAAGAAGGACTTGGTGGCTTAAAGCATAGTGTATCATGCTAGAATAAAAACAACAAGATGATTAGGTCTTGAAACTTTGATGTGAGTTGATGCTTACCATGTTAGACATTAAGAAAGAAGTAAAAAAGAAGAAAGAAAAAATTAAAAAAAAAAACGGGGGAAATTCAAAATTATAATTTTATGACCATTGACTCTGAGAAACTGATAGAATCAATGGAGCAAATTGAAAGTCATTCAACCCATCCCGATTGAGACAAGACATTACATACTAAACCATAATCTCTCACATCTTTGTAATGGATGTAAGCTATTACAAATGCCTTTCCAAGTCGGCTTATAAAGAAAAGTATAATATAGAGAGCAAAATGCTATAAAGAGCATCATCAGAAAAATAATCTTTTGGTGCCTTACTTTCGACCTTTACATATGTTTTGATTTATTTTATTATTTTAAAGAAACCCAACTCTAATTATTAAAGTACTCACATTGTTTCCATTTCTTTCATTAGCCTTAAATATCTCAATTCATGTCTTCTAATACACAGCAATGCAAAAAAACGAAAAAGACGACTACAAAAAAGTCTGTTCAACAAACCGCTGGGACAGCAGCAAGCACAAGACAACGGGAAATTCTTCCCAGCTTGACAGTTAGCGCAGAGCTAGATGGTACTGTCCTGTCCACTTTGTCCACCATGAGCACCCGACTGAATGAATCTCATTCACTTCTGGAGAAGGTCTACCACAACATGAGAGCAACCAATGGCCAGAATAACAATTCGAACCATAGTCCTATCGGTCAGGCTCTTACTACAGGAGAATATATAAAGTACCGCCTTCCAACGGTTTCGGTAGGATATATACTAGTAATAGAATATTGCAAAGTTACTTACATTATATTTTGCAGAGATTGATCCGTTCTCAAACATGAGCAGTTCTGGCAACAATGCCATTGACGGTCAATGAGGGCGCCTTCTCAACATCCAACCATCCCATTGCTGATGTAGTGCAGAGCTACACACATCAGCAAGCTGAAGTAAAGTCTGTTTCGTCTGCAGTTGTGGAAGAGAAAACCCGAAGACATATTTCGTATATGCTTCAAAGGGCAAAAGGTTTGCCAGAAAAGATAGCTCGACAAAATCAGATTTCTTGACACCAGTCCAGAAAGAGAAACGTAAGTATAGTCAACAGTTTTTGTGTAAACTATTTTAACTTTTTTTTCAGATTCTTGCAGACTACAAGGCAATTCACTTAGCTGACAAAGCAAACCTTGAATCTAAGTTTGGTGAGACTGTCGTTGACCTTCTGGACTATGACATGTTGTCTGATATTAAGTCAGATGAGGAGAAAAATAAAACTAGATATACTCCTAGAAATAGACATCCCTTGGTAAGGCTCTCATGATAAAAGTTATTTTTTTTAATACTTCTAACTCAAAAGTATTTATATTATAATGCAGATGGATAAATACTTTACTGTTTTAAAGAAACAGAGACTTGCTAACAAGGGACCAGACGTCATTGGCAATTCTGTCTATCCAATTATTTTGAGAAACACTGAGTTATCGAATGAGAAAAAGGCACGTGTTGCTGCTTGGATTCACACACGCCAACAATAAATCGTTATTTTGTTTACAAAGTGCATATAGTACTTTAATGATTTTTATTGATTGTGTTGAATGATGTGGGGTGAAGTGGTAAAATATAATCAGGCGGTATTATCAAGATGAGAAGCAATTAATATATAAATAAAAGGAAAAAGAAAAAGACAAAATCAAAAATCAAAATAATAAATTATTATTTTATTTTATTTTATTTTATTTTATTTTATTTTAAAGCCAATTAATAAAAAAAATATGTATACAAAGCAATTATTTAATTATATAACCCTGATTGTTTTATCCTGGTTTTTTTTATTGGAAATTATAATACCGATATTAGCAAGAATATGTAATAAAGGCTAAGAAAATGGTAAATGTTGGGTATTAAATATACAAGTTTTTCTGTCTTTTATATTATTGATAAAAGCAAGAGAAATAAATAATGGTTTTTACTATTTGTTAATAGTTAAAAAAAACTGGTAATATAATTTACTATTGCTCTTTTAAATACTTAATAAAGAAGTAATGTTAAAACTAAATAAGAATACAGAGATAAATAAAGCTAAACCTTTTTACAGTCAAAAAACTCGTATTATAATTATTTATACTGGTAACCTAAATAGTTGTTATTTTTTTTGTTTTTTATGTGACTACTTTTCTAGGCAGTGGAATAACCAGGTGCTTTTGCATCCCACTCTGCATTTTGTGCGTAGTCAACGCAAAGCACGAATGCAGATGATGCACTGGAACAATGCACGAAGCATCTTCTTCCATAAATCCCTTGTCCCACAACTGCAGACCTTGATCAGCTAATGGCTGATGACTACTTGAATGGTAGGCAGGAAACCATTTAATGAATGCGAATGTTGACACTCTTTTGACTCCACCAATCTTGATGGTATGAGTAAATAAATACTCTATTTGACCAGGGAATTCAGATACATCGTCATTTGTTCTCTCAAGAAACAATACCCTCACAAAAGACCCGCGCTTCTTCTTTTCACCACTGCAGTACTCTTGCCCCAGCAACGAAATCTTCTTCACCTTTTGAATCCGATTGTTCACAAATACATTCTCACCAATTGAGATTCTCCCTACCACACAGAAGGAAACACTTGTACTCCGGTAAGCCTTGACATAGAATTCAAATAACCACTGATAGTGATCATCCTTCATCATAGTCAAAGGCTGCAACTTGATTGGCAATGTGGTCGGGGCAAGGCCTCACTTCCAGTGACATTGTACCATGGATTTGTAGCAGCTTGCTGGAACATTGCTAAGCTAAATGGCAACACAGGAGGGTGGCCAGCATCCAAATTCAAGGGAGAAGAGCTGTTGGAATTTGATTTTACTTGGGCAACCCCCTCAAGGAACTCTATCAGTGGTGATGAAAAATTGGTAGAATATGCTCGAAGAAAGCTACCAATGAATGCTTTCTCCAGGAAGACTCTCATGAAGGTGACCTCAAGACCATTGCGACGGTTCGTCTTGATGTTCTTCAACTTGCTGTTGTATCTCTCGAAGCTATACAGCCAGAATACGTATACCAGACCAAAGTTAAGCGTTGACTCATGCAAGTGCATATGCAAGTGCATATTTGGCGTGATGCTGCTCTCTCCATAAAGAGTCTCACACTCTTTTCCAAATTCTCCAAGGAGCTGGTGTGCACTGTCAATTTCTGAATATGTGACTGAAGGACCGGTCAACTTTCGGCATGCTTTTACAAAGAGAGTCCAGTTTTTGTAGTCGTCTTCAGGCAAAGCGTCTTTTAGTACCACCAATGAATAAATCAGACACCACAATTGCCACTCGTCTGCCTTCATATATGGGAAACCAGATTTGATCTTTGTTGATAAAACGGCATACCCAGGAGGAACAAGAATACCATCGGCAAGACGTTGCATACAGACGAGAACAGCAGTTGGGAGATACCTCAGGTCTTTCCAAACACTGATCATATGCTTTGCTGTCCCAAGAAACAAATTGTGCATGGGATCAACAATCGTGCATCGGATGGGATCAAAGTAGTGTAGGCGATGCAACTTGGAAAAACGGGTGCCATGCTGCTTCTCCAAAACAGCTCTCTCTGCATCAGATTCTGCGCAAAACTACATCTCAGCTTTGGTTGCATTTTCCTCTTTTGTTTGGGAGACCCAGTTCTCATGATCGAATCCAGAATAATTGATCTTACTTGTTCCAGCAACAACAGTGAAATGATGCTTGCATATGTGACAGGCGTTTGTACTTGCAAATCCTGTAAATCCAGCAGTCTTTCTTGCAGCAGGTATGTCGCAAGCAACACACATAAGAGCAGCGCAGATACTAGTACCATTGGGGAACTCTGGAGTTTTCATAGTTATGCTGCCATATAACTCTACCAGCTCGTCTACCAGAGGTTCCAAGAAGTTGTTCATCTGGTTGATCTTCGCTTCCTTTGGACCAGGCATGACACCGACAAGGATAATGTTTTCCGGCTTCATTCTTTCTTCCCTAGGCAGGTTGTTCATTGACAGGTACAAGGCCCCACTTGCATGTGTACGACCCTCGAACGGTTGAAACCAATCCACATTCAATGTCAATATCAAAGAATGGTCGTGATTCACAAAAGGCTCGTCATCTTCATCAAGGAGCTCAGACCACATTGCACCATCATAGATGTCCAACAAGGTACTGTTTACGGTTTCCCTTGATCTCCATTGAACGATTTGATGCTCGAACCCAGGTTTGGCGAAATGCTGTGCCAATGCATTCTTGAGCGAGTTGTATGGAAAAACCATGAGAGGGACGGCGCGATCAGCTTCGGTGTCAGAGAAAAGAGGATTTCCGCAGTATGTTGGTGGTGTGGTTGTGTATTTTTCGAATGTGCAATTTGGTTGGCGATTGCCTGGTAGGTAAATTGCAAAGCACTTGTTGCAGACGGTGTATTTGACGATGCTTTTTGTCATGAAATTGAAGCCGGTCATAGTCTTTAATGCATCAATGGTGAGTGGGAGATCGGTATCCTTATCAAAGGCAACAAGAAGATGGCGGAAGAATTTCAACATAGCAGTTCCACCTGCTTGAACCAAGTAAAACGCCTGAAAGATAACGCCAAATAGAGCCATGAATTGGCTTGTTTGAGACATTTCATGAATTTTCAAAGAAGCAACTACAAAGGCAAGTATTTCTGTTAATTATTTGTAACACAATTTATGTATATTTCTTTTTTAAATGTATGCATACCGGAAGCAACCATGTCTTCAAAATCTTCAACACCGGCAACCTCAACTTCGCTCTCATCTTCAGACTCATCGCTTGAATCAGGATCGTCATTGTCAGAAGCCAATGATGTTGTCTCGACATCAGACTCTTCGAATTGAAAAATCTCGTCTTCTCTCAAAAAAGGTACACTCTGTACGGTAGTTTCGGCTGATACAATAGAATAATTGTCTTCATCTATAGTAAAACCAGACTATTAGCTATCTAAATTATGATTTATTAAAAAGAAATTTTATACTCACAATCAATCGATGTTTCAGATACATCTACCATCTCAACGTCTGTCTCTTCTTCGACAACTTCTGTATTAACTGATAATTAACAAAAAAAATATTAGATTACAATTTATCCAGTAATGCGCGTACTACTCAAATGTCATTTACCTCGATTTTTTGGGCCAATGTCTAATAACTTATCAGCATTATTATGACGCTTAAAGGTCTGTGCATTTTGCAAAATTCCGCCAATTGCATTTTTGGTACATGATGAACATGTACACATAACAGTGTAGGTTTTAGTTGTAGAATTCATAACAGTAAGAATAATATTAATAATAATAAAATAATAAAGAGGTGTATACTATATTTTATTTTCATCTTTTATATGTCTCTTATTTTTGTCATTAATAATGAGTTGATATATCTTGTTCACTATGTCATTGACTACATTGAGCTTACCATCCCTATTAGTAAGAATTACAAATGGATTTTGATGCAGCGATCTTTTCTTAAAAAAAGTGTGCCTGATTATTAATGGGGCTTCAATTTAATAATCACTGATATAATGGCGTAGTTTTTCTCTTTGGCGTTTTTTTAACATGACATCAATTCTCGCTCATTTTGGCAAGTGGCCTTTTTTGGATTTTCTTTTTCTTGTATTTTTTATGACATCAATTCTTGCTCTTTTTTTCAATTTTTTTTGATATACTTTCTTATTAAAAATAAGTCATATATCATACATTATTATATTCTAATAAAATTCGGTATTTTTTGCGATGCAATAAAAATATTATTGAGTCTAAATTAGGTGCATCTGTAACAACAAGTTTTTCCTTCCAGAAAAATAATTAAATACTACATTTAACATTTAATATTTTATTTTTATTTTTTATTTTTCTGCCAAGTCAATCGAAACATATATTTTTTAAGACAATTGTACGATTTATTGCCTAATTAATAAATATTTGTGTTTGTATCTGTGTTTATTTAATATAATCAGAAAAAATTGCGAATTCCTATCTCAAGAAAAAAATATATTGAAAAACAATGGTGTTTGAAATATTTTTCCAAATTTTGCCAAAATTCAAAAAATAAAATTTGACCAAATCCACCCACCTTTTGCAGTGTACTTACATGCTTCTTTACATTAACTTCCTGTGCTATTTTAATATGCCAATAACATGACAGGATATTAACACTATTGCCAAAGACTTCTTCAATTGCACCAATTTCGATGGGACTACAGTCAATCATTATTCTTTTCATCTTTAATGTAAAGGTATTCTTTACCAATGTTAACTATTGACTCAAGATTGAGGTATATTCATGATCAGTTATAAAGAAGTAGACAGGCAATCCCTTATTGGTGATAGGGTTTTGCACACTAATTGTAAACTGAAAGCAATCTTCAGGTCCTTTACTAGCTACAGTATTGAATGACTTGCTTATTTTGTATGTTGAGTCAATGCACCACTCTTCCAAATTCTCCAGAAACTAATGCAATAATAAGATGTATAAATAGGTGTATAGAATAAAATATAAATAATACATATTATTTACTTCTTTTTGCCACTCAAAAACCCGCCAAACAAAGAAGGGGCCATTCTTATGAACTGTGAAAAGAGTAGTATTTTCACTTTCGTTCAACTCTTGAACCCACAGTTTGACACTTTCATAATGATCCACAGGTTTTCTTGAGAGTTTCATCATTTGAGCATTGATAAAATTTCTCACATATTGATAATTAATGAGAAGAGAAGAAGGGAAAGAAGATCTATTTCCAGCTTGTTCAAGCTATGTAATTTTAAATAAGCAAAGTCTCTCAAAATATACTATATAATATTTACTTCAAGAACTCTGTCTTCACTCATTCTAAACATGTTTTTGATAGATTTCCAAATCATGTTTTGGCTGACAAGCCCTTCTACCTATTGTTTTAATTCATCTGGCAATCTTGACAAACTGATCTCTTCAATCTTAAATGGATCATGGTTTGGATGCTGCCAGTTGTATTTGATACAAGCAGTACCATCAGTCATGGTATGCTTATAGATACTAGCAGAATAACCAATCTTGATGGACTTGGTTGTTGTGATGCGTTTCTGAGCAGGCTAAGCAGTTTTTTTCACTTGTGGTTTTCCAGCATAATCACATAAGTAAACTACTGTATTTACTTTGAGAGGATTTTCAAGAGGCTTCCCAACAAAAACTGTGTTCTTCTCATGACTGTAAGATCGATGATAAACCCAATTGCCATGTTTTTTAGCTATAACCTTTAACTAGTTTGTAAATTCATCTTCAGATGAAAGGTCAAAGGAGTCAACAGATTCTATATAATCTGGAATTATGTGATTGTTGTAATTAGCAGCAATATTAAAGGTTGCCATTTTGAGATTTAATAAAAAAAGGCATGCTTGAAAAAAAATATTAAGGGTAAGCATATCATAAAAGTTTGCCCAAACAAAACAAATGAAAATAAATGTGTGACTTGCTTTTCTGATTGGGGAATCACTGTCACCAATATTTATTACGTTATATCATTATGTAATATCTGTTACTGTGATTTTTTAATTTTTCTGACTCTGTAAAATTTTAACTTATTATATAAAATATAAATAAAATACAAAATATTATTATTAAAATTAACAATAAAACAAATTTTAATTCCATCAATTTTAATTCAGCAGTCACATGAAGCTATTATATTATAACTATATAGTATATTTATAATTGTGATTCTTTCAAATATTTTTAATTAGTAATATTTTCATCAATCAAGGAATATATAAAAAAATGCTTAAGACACATCAGTCTATTTTGTCTTTTGTACAAAAAAGAGAATTGGTTTATTTTATCATAGATGCAATACAAGACTTTTAGAAAAACATTTTTTTAACAAAGATCAAATCAGTACATTTTATTATTTTACCACTTATGTAGATTTATTATGTTATAATATGTAAAATTATACATACTATCTAATAACTATGACCAAGAGTAACTAAATCGTATTTTCAAGACATCTGCAATATTTATGCAGATTATAAATATACATATTTATAAAAGATTATATATAGGATATATCAAATATGACCAAAAATTACCCAATTTTATTCTGAAAACAGCTGCATTCTTTACTCAGATTATTTGTGTATAAATATACAAGGTTATCAAAAAATTAAACAGCTATAATCAAGAGTTATCAATTCCTATTTAAAAATATATATATTTTATTTATATTACTTAAAGATATGTAATTATATATAAAATTTAATACTTTTTATTTATTAAAGCACTTTTATTTATAAATTTATACCTATTACATAAAGACATATAGCTATGTATATTAACACATATATAACATAAAATTATATTAACTAAATAAAATAAACAATAGACTTATTTTCAATAATTTTTTAAATATACAAAATTTTGACATGTAGCCTATGCTAGGTGCTGGGACTATGTGTTAGGGACAGCGGGGTAAGGGGGGGACTTACTTAGGGTATGGGAACTTGGGGTGTGGGCTATGCTAGG